CTCTATTCAATCTTAAACGAAAAGAAATTCATAAAATTCAGGAAATCATCATAGGAAATGGGCACAATATGAACAAATACAACATTTAGAATATACAAAGAATAATGAATAAATAGACAAATACTAACCGAACGACAACGAAAAAAAACAACAGCAAAAAACAAATCAAAAGAGAAAAAAATGATTTAGCCATTATCATCATGATAATCAAATGGTTTTTTATGTATAAAGATTGTATCCAATTTTGAATATTTATATATGAAAAGACATAAGATTTTATGGGCAACAAAAAAAAATGACTATCATAATCATCATCATCAAACAACAATAACAGCAGCAGCAGCAGCTATAACATTTCCTGTATAACAATGATAATAAATAAAACAAAATAAACGACAAACAATAAGCCTGAACCATATCTTCTTGTTTTTGAATAAAGCCTACTACTACTACTACCACTATTCTTGACTAAAAAAACATTTAGGTATCTAGATTCATAGAGAAAAAAAATTAAAACCAACCTCTATAGCCACAACAAACGCAAACTACACAAATTTTGATTAAATACTTGATTGCCAACTATGAATGAGAAACTTGTGTGTGTGTGTGTGTGTGTGTGTGTGTGTGTGTGTGTGTGTGTCCAAACCCAATATGACGCCCAATATATGATAAAAAAGAACTAACCAAACCAAAATAGTGTTTAGACAATTCGTTTGACACAAATGTGTATATGTAGGGGAATAATAATCAAAAAAAAATGGAGGGAGAAAAAAGTTTTTTTTTTGATTAACAATCATCAAAAAAAGAACATTACCGAAAAAAAAGTTTTTAAACATTTTCTAATAAAAAAAAAATAAGAATTTTTTTTTTCTAATTTTGGTACAAATATTCTGCACATTCTGGTGTCCGGCATTATTCATAACTGGTAATTAATTAATTTATCAATCGAGTTGATTATATTCGGTCGATTTCCAGATGAAATTATTTTTGTTTCCAAATTTTCCAAATATAATATTATTCATGATATTAACAAAAATTTTAAATTTTGAAAGAAAAAAAAATAACTAAAATGATCAAATTATTGTTATATATACACTGTATAATTAAAACAGAAGCTAAATTGTTAGAAAAACATTTCATTTAATTAAATTCCAAAAATGAAAGTAATTGTTTGTGATTACCAGTTACCAGAAGATGATGAAAATGATGATGATAGGGCAATGGGCAACATGTGTACACACGATATATTAATACAATCGATATTGTAAGTGCATTCCATCAAATGGAAAACATAGAAAAGAATCACACACACACACACACACACACACACAAACTATTTAAAAGTTGAATTTTTTTTTTTCATTCTTTTACCACTGTGTAAATCGAAATAAAATGGCCACCTTTATATCTATTGAGAAGTTTTTTAAAAAAAAAAAAAAAAAATCTTTTCCAAATGAAAAGTCAAAGCTTGTAATTCTTGCCACAAGTTTTTATCACTTTTTTTTCATTTATTCACTTGACACTTGAACACACACACACACACATATATATATATAAATTTGAGCTTTTGGAACAAGAAAAAAAAACTTTTATTTTTTTCGATTCATTCATTCATTCACATTCATTATACATCTCAAAAAAGTAATGATTGTCAGGCTGTGTGTATGTGAAAATATTAGAAAAGGGACCAAAATCTATTGAAAAGTTTTTTCCCTTCACCCTCATACATATCACTATCAATTCAATTCAGTTTCAGAATTCAATGTTGTCACCATAAACAATGCAAAAAAAAATAGAGAAAAAAAATTAGACACATGTGATTTCCAAATTGAGGATCAAAAAAATTGAAACTGAAAACTTAAGGGAAAAAAATAAGTATATGAAAGCCATTTGTTTCTTTTCATTCATTCATTTGGATCGTAAATAATAAACGAAACGAAACAAACAAAAAATAAATAAATAAATAAGAATCGAATGAATGATTCCGAATGAAACAACGAAAACTAAAGAAAAAAAAATAATTTCAAATAATGAAAAACAACAACAACAACAACAACAATAACAACAAAGACAATGAATGAATGAAATGAAATCTGAACCCATCAGCCGAAATCAAAATCAATTTAGGTGTACAATTTATTATTAGAATGTGTTATTGTTCAATGAAAAAAAAATTTTTTCTTTCATACACATAGCTAAATGGGAATTATTTGAAGAATCAATGACTACGTCAACAGAAATTTTTTTTTTTAATTTTGAAACTTATAGATTCTAGGCAATTTTTTTTTCATCATCTTCATGAATAGTTAATATACAAACACAGGCACAAATACAGAGGAAAAGTGAATGAATGAAATACAAAGAACAAATATAACCATCGATGGTTTGAATGGAGCAATCCAAAAAAGAAAAAAAAATAATTCAAGATAACTATTTATCTATGTTTAATATATATTTATCGATTCTACGATCAAACCTACAGGGCCTTCTACTGACACACACACATACAGTGGAAACATTTGTGCTCTACATCATCATATTTGAAAGCTTTTTTTTCCGTATGATCAAATGATTTTCAATTTATATAATTAATTCAATTATATAATTCAGGCTCCTAAGTCACAAACACACCCATACGAAACATAGTAGGGGGAAAAAAATTGTTTTGAATTGAAAAAAACAACAAAAATCAATATTTTGTGTTTGAAAAATAGTTAGTTATAATAACAATAACAATACACACATATAGCTATCATATGACGATAATGATATATATGAGCCCCATGAAATAAAATTGACACAAACACACACACACACACATATGGAAAACGATTCTTCTTCCAAGTTTTTTTTATAACATATGGATATAAAGAATTTATTTTCAACAAAATCACAGCCGTTCCAATCAGAAAAAAAAGATATAGAAAGATTTATTATTATTATTGTTATTATCGCCAATAGGTCGTCAATTCTTTCAATACAAACACAAGACACACACAGAGAAAAACAACGATAAAAGTCGTTGATTGAAAAAAATGAGAATTCCGTATCTCACACAACGGTAAACTATAAACATACAAAGCTAGTAAACGTAAATGTAATAGTAAAAAAAAGAAGAAAAAACTGCCTCAAGTTATCATTTTTTTTTTGGTATAAATATATTCACTTTTTATCCAAACACAACGCCTAGAAAAAAAAATTCAGAAAAAAAGTCAACAACAGAAAAAAACGTCATTATATAATTTGTTGGATCAAAACAAAAAAAAAAATATACCAAATAAGAAATTCATTAGCAACTTATATATACACACACACCTCTCTTCAAGAAAAGAAAAGATTTTGGGATAAAAGTTTTTTTTTCCAGTTTTCGTAATTCAACACCTGAATTCAACACATTAATGGGTCATATATATTCGGCGAAATGTCTATTTTTATGTTAATGGATTAACCAAAAAAAAAAAAAAAAAAAAATTCCAATAATATTTGTATTGCCTTGAAGTCATTGACAATGAAAAACAAACAAATAACAAGCAGAAAATATTGTTTTCCAAAAAAAAAAAAATCGTCGTCATCATCATCATCATGGTTGGAATTATTAAATGTAACATATCTATACTAATGAAAGAATCGAACACATCTGCAAAAACAGCAAAAAAAAAAACGAAATGAAATTCTTGTTTTATTTTTAAGCTAATGTAGAAATATTTTCACTTAACTTCACATTCATAGTCATTTTATTCTAAACAAAAATTCATTGCAACCAAATGATTTAGGTGAAAACGACAAACTTCATGACGAATCATTGGCTAAACACATAAAAATAATGTTCTAACATTAACTAGATAAAAATGGCAACTAAACAAATTTTCAAACGAATGACAATTCTATTATAGTGACATTCAACTCTGACTTTGACAACGAATGAGGAATGAATTCGATGTACCAAAATAATTTTTTTTCTCTCTCTCTCTCTTTATTCTCATTCATACATGTGTGTATGATTTTTATGGTTTTATTTAGTGTTGTTTCTAATAATGAATGAATAAATCAACGACGACAATAATGATAATGAAGATGGTAACAACGACAACAGCAAAAGCAACGTAAATAACCGAAAGGACATTGTTGAGTGATGATGATGATGATGATGATGAAAAAGCAAAAAAAAAAAAAATGAAAATGACAACAACAACAAAAAAAACCACGAATTAAGCAAAGAAAAACGGAATAAGAATCTTTAATCTTTTGAATTTCAAATGTTTTCCATTTAATTCAATGGTTAACAACAACAATAAAACAGAACCGTTTATCATCGATTCAATCGATCAATTTGATTTTGATCGTATCCGATCATCATCATCATCGAAATCTGTTATTTATCGATAAATTTGATTATCAATTGAATGAAAAAAAAAGTTTTTTTTCCATTTATATATGTGTGTGTGTGCGTGTGTGTGGGTTGCGTTCCATTTCAAATCGATTCAAAATGATATGATGATGATCAATTCATTTTTCCGGTCTCTATGGATATTGTCTGAAAAATGTTGTTGTTGTCGTTGTGTGATAGTAAAAAAAAAACTATAATGCCCAAAAAAATGAAGAAAAAAATGGTTACCATCGAAACAATGAAATATGAGTTAAGAAAGGAAAAAAAACCGCAGACCAAATATAATAATAATCAAGCTAACAAGAAATAATAATTCAAACAAGCTCATCATATTATATGGGGGAAGCAAAAAAAAAAATAGCATGCCATATATGTTCAAATAACGAAATGGAAATGATTTAAAGAGAATGGATTTCCATTAACGGTAAATTCCATTGTTGAAGAAATTGTCATGTTCATGTTCATGTTCAAAAAATTTCTGTAATCAACAATAATAACAACAAAAAAAGGGATAAAGATTTTATGATTTTGTGTTCATTTGATTCGAATGTTTATTTTTTTTTTTATAAAAGAATAATGAAACCGATAGAAAATTAACAACAACAACACTTACCCTTGTTGAAGGCTAACGAAGATTCCACAAAGATAAGTGAAATGATAGCAAGGCATTTAGTTATCATTAGCCAATTTCTGCCACCATGATGATGATGATGATGATGATGGCTATAATCATCACGATGAATATGATGATATGATTTCATCTTGGATCGATTATTATTGTTATCTTGATTTGATGTTACCAATACATATACGTATATGAATTATGACTCTTCTCAAAAAAAAAAATGATGATAATGAATAATAATGATAATCACAGGCTTATTCACAAATTCGGAAAATGTTGAAAGCCCGTGAATCCCCCAAATCAAAAAAAAAGATGTCAATTGATGATATTGATATTCAGATAAAATGTTGTAAAACAAAAAGTAATCATGTATCAATCAAAAAACGGTCAGTTAGAAAAAAAGAGCGATTATTCTAATCATCATAGATTATCATATGGAACAATGTTGAATCAGTCATCACCAAAAAAAAAAAAAAAAATAAAATAAAAACGGATGATTCTCTAAAAAAAGGGATTAACCACACACATAAACATACACACACACAACGATGAAGTGAAGAACAAACGAGTGAAACAAACATAAAATAGGAATAATATTATGGCCACTATAGTGGGCACGATCGAAACAGTGAAAAGAAAAACCGATGATAAAAGTGATGAATATTTTGTAGATTTATTTTTTCGGGCGAGAAGGTTCCAATTTATCAAGCTAGCCAATATAAATGCATAAAACACTTTTTTTATAGAGGAATACAAACGAACACATAAACGAATACTCAATGAGCCATCGTTTAAGTTAAAATCTAAATAGATCATAACATACCTATTACATTTACCACTTACACAGACACAAAAACATACAGTCAATCTATCGGGTCCTAGGACCAATCCAAAGAAGAGGCAAACAAACAATGAATGGAAACCGAATTTTATTGGATCGGTAATGGATCGGTTTGAGAATGTAAGCTATATGCATGTGTTTTGTGTTTATGTGTGTGTGTATGTTTTGGTCGATGAATCCGAAAAACCGAAATTTTGAAGCCAAGCGCAATCTCCGAAAAGAACAAGTTGGCCATAGAAGATCGTGATGAATGAAAAAATAGAACCGAAAGAGCGAATTTCAGCGGAATTTTTTTCTCTGGCATCTCTCACTCACTGTTTTCCATGTCTTTTTCTTGATGTAATCATCTCCCCCGCATTTTTTTTCGGTATATACACAAAACATTCATTCCGATAAAAAAAAATATGATGCTCGTATGTGTGTTACTCCTCCCATATTCCCACCCATTCATATTATTTTATACATCAATCGAATTTAACCATCGATGCCACATTGATTTGAAACTTGTGTATATATATATGTGTTATGTGTAATAAATTTTAGCCCCTATTTTTTCCCGTAAGCTATAGACACAGGCAAATAATAAAGAGAGATAGATAGATAGATAGAGCTAGTCCAAGTTGTCAGTCGAGGTTGTTTGAATTTTTTTTTTCTTCTTCCTACTCTCGCCCTGGCTGATACTACCATGCATGGCAAGACGGTGTTGTGTGTGTGTGTGTGTGGGTGCTGATTTGAATTCAAATTCGGATCACCGTATTTGTTATCAATGCGCGAGCGTAAAGCTTTTTTTTCAAAAAAAAAGTTTTTTCAGTTTGCAAATTTTTATTTATATATATATGGTGGTTCCAACATTAGTGTCAATATTTCTTTAGCTTGGTTTACCTTATTTTTTTCCAAATCAAAAATAATACCACACTGATGACCTCTGATGTTCATTAAATGAAATTCTATATTGACCTAAGTCATCAGTTTTGTTTTTTGTTTTTGAAAAATTCATTAATTCTTTGATAGATAAAAAATGAATTATAAAATTTGTTTGACAATCATAAAGAACAACATTTCATAGAATTGATCAAATTTTTTTTTGGATAAATTTCATTTGTTTTTTTTTTGGTTGATTAATTAATTAATTAATTTTTTCTTTATTTAATCTTCTTTCGGTGGATGACTTGAACTTGTGTTTGAATGGATTTAATTCGCTGAATTCTGTCGAGCTTCATAACGTCTGGATCGTTCATTACTGTGCCATATACCATAGAAAAAATAGATAGATAATCCTATGGCCATCCAAATTGCAAATCGAATCCATGTTGTTGTTGACAATTTGAACATAAGATAAAAATTAACAAACATACTCAATATCGGTATCAATGGAACCCATGGAACCTGGAAAGAAAGTTTTTTTGTCGATCTTGGTTGCATGGCCAATGAAATAATTGAAAATACAAGCACAATGAATATGGCCAATATAATTATAAATGAATTTGTTTCCAATTCGACCAGACGATCTTCCAGGTATACCAACAATGCATCAAATATGATTAATACAGTTGCTATGTTAAAATATAAAATCGAGAACAAATGAAAATCATTAATCAAATTTTTTCATCAAATCAAATCAAACAAATGTTGAACACTTACTTATGAACATGACTAAATTAGTTGATATTCGTGATGTTTGAGCGCTAGCTTCTTTCATTCGATCTGTATTGAATAATTTAGCACACCATGATCGATTGTCAAATTTTTCATCTGAATTTTGATATTTTGATCGTAATGGTTTCATTTCGACTGTTATATTTCGATTGATATCATCATCGATATTATCGATTTCATGACTAAATCGTAAGATCAATACAGATATTGAGACCAATGTGTATGCTAACAATGTACCAATGGACATCATATCGGCTAGTTCTTTAACATCGAATAAAGCTGCCATCGCTCCAGCAAATATTCCGGAAATAAGTGTGGCTAAAATAGGTGTTTTAGTTCGTGGATTAATATCGGCAAATGATCGGAATATTACGCCATCACTGGCCATCGAATAAAGAACTCGTGGTAATGGAAACATTGCACCAAGTAAACTTGTTGAAAGACCTGTCAATGCTCCAATCGAAATGATCCATTTAGCTACTGGCCATCCTACATATTCAAAAACATATGGTAATGGTGCGCCTTTGGTTATCTCTTCAGTTTGAAGATAATAAGGTAACATCAAAGTTTGTACGGCCGAAATGCCAAAATAAGCCAAAAAGACGAATAACAATGACAAAACAATGCTTATTGGAATGGAACGTTGAGGATTTTTGGCTTCTTCACCAGTTGTGGCAATTACGTCAAATCCAATAAATGCTATTAAAATGTGAAATATTATCAACCTTGAACCAGAAATGTCATGTCATTGAAATCATACCATAAAAACAGGTGGCAGCTCCGGACATCATACCAGAAAATCCATAAGGCATAAATCCACCTTTGCCAGCATTTTCCGGGACTTCATCTTTTGATAGATTCCAGTTATGAAAATCGATATGAAAAGAACCAGCGATGACGACAAACAAGACAACCAATAGATTGATGCCAGTGAAAACAGAATTGAAACGTGTTGATTCTTTTACACCAATAACAAGCATAACTGTCATAATTAAATGTTACAATTATGAATGTCAATGTCAATCAATAACAATAATAATAAGGAAGAAATTACTTGTCAATGAGAATGTGATCAAAAATGCCAAAAAATCCGGATATGCTGAAAGTCCTGGAACATCGATCGGCATATAATAACGGAGATTGGCCTGTACAGTACCATTTACCAATGAATCGACATAATTGCTGTAACCTCGAGCCACAGAAGCCGTTCCTATTATTTCGTTTCCAGAATTTCCAATGAGAACAATGAAAAACATGTGTCATTTAATGATAATTTATTTTTTCATTTTCATAAGAAATATTATTACCGATCACATATTCGAGAACCAAATTCCAGCCAATAACGAATGCCATAAATTCGCCTTGAGAAAAAAACCAAAAATTACAATTAAAATAGCAAACCAATTTTAGTACATACCGACAGTCACATACGAATAAACATATGCAGAACCAGCTTTGGGAACTCTAGCACCGAATTCTGCATAACAAAGACCGGCAAAAACTGAGGCAATTGCAGCTAAAAGTCAAGAATAAAATTATTATATATTCCATAAAAACAATGATAATGAATTACAAAGGCAACTTACCAATAAAAAATGAAATAGTAACAGCTGGACCAGATGTTCGGCTAGCAACATCGCCGGCCAACACATAGATTCCAAGACCAAGTGTACTACCGATTCCTTTGAAAAAAAAGAAAAAGAAATAAAATCAAATCAAATCAAATGATCACTTACCCAAAGCGGAAAGATCCAATGTGGTCAAACATCGGTCTAATCTTGTATTACTTATTTGCGATGAATCGATACGTTTACGTCGAAGTAATGATTTAATGAAATTTCTTAAGAAAATCATCTTGTCACACACATATACAGATAAATGGCGTTCTTGAAGCCAAATGGTAAATGGACGCGCCAAATATTTTTTTTTTTTTGAATAAAAAACAACGAAAACGAGGACAGGAAATGATAATGATAAAATCAACAAGAGAAAAAACAAACAGCAACAAAACTATGAATGTGTGTGTGTGTGTTTGTGTGTAAGGCACAATCAGCAATTTGGGCGTATTCAAACGATATATATCAAATGAGAGTGATTGTCCAATAAAAATGATGGCATTTAATAAAGTTGATTGAAGCTTCTCTTTTTAGAAATTAGATTGCCAATTTTGATTCGATTTGAATTATGACAAAATTAAAATCACAATCTGATTCGATTCGTGTCAAATGAAATGCCTGAATGAACAAAACACGTAGTCATAGATTCGAATAATTCGTATGTGTATAATGATGATAATGATGATGGTGGTGGTAATGATGGTAACGATGTATAAGAGATCAGAATCTTGTTTGTGTAATCAAACAAAAACAAAAAAAAGTTGATCGGATACAAAATCTCAAACAATTTCGAAAAAATTTTCTATACCAAGAAAAAAAAATTTGACTGACACATAAACACAGTCTGCTAACAACTCATTACCATGGCAAAAAAAAATGAATAAGTGATTGAATGAATTCAAAGTATTGATAGTAATAATATAAAAAAAGCATTTGTATGGGCGTCGTTTGTGTCATAAAATATAATAATAATTCATATATCGTTCGAAATGAACAACAGGTAACACTAATTTTTTTTTCACAATTAAAACAGCGGTGTTATGGTATATGCACAAAATGAATGAATGAATGAAATGGATGGTTTTAAAAATATTGAAATAATGTTTGGCGCGTTCTTGATACTATGGTTCTTCTTTTTTTTTATGAACAGGTGGTGGTGATGGTGGTGATAATGGTGGTGGCCGCCCAACTTTTCACAACAATGGCAGCGTGAATAAAAACAACGATTATAATATGGTCATGATGATAATGATCTTGATGATGATGATGATGATTATATCAGAAAATGCTTGCTATATTTCTGAAGAAAAAAAAATTGTTAATTCACTGCACAGAAGAGAGAAAAATAAACTATTCATTCATTTTTTTTTTAATATTAATGCTGACAAGTAGCCAATGGATTTATATACACACGCATACATAAACACACACACACATACACACAAAGAAAAAATTTACAGATGGCCCATTGATGAAATGGACCTTGAGACAAATTATTTAAATTGTTTAATTGAATATATAGTTTACTATAATAACATAGATAGATGTATATAATATCATGGACTAAAGAGATTCAGATCACAATCGGGTAATATGGGCAGAAAATAATTTAACTTTATAGCTTTGGATGATGATTTGGATGATGATATTTCGTTTTTTAAATATATTATTAATTTTATGATGATGATCATTATCATCATCATCTCATCGGACTAAATATATTAGATCTAAATTGTAAATTGCAATCTTCTAAGAATGAATATGCGTGTACAGCCATGTGCTCATTCCATCCATCTCATCATCATCATCATCATAACTACATTTGTCTATATACCATCATCATTCTTGGAAAAAAAAATATATTACCAACAACACTAACCCGAACAAAATACGAACACAACACGTTTATTTCATGCTTGTCGAATTTTTTTTTAGTTCTAGTCTTGCGCGTCGTTCATTCTTTGGTGTTTATTCAAATATAATAACAATAACAACAATAATAAATGGCTGATGCAATTCTGGATGAATAGGAAATCATACAATTAAATTGGGACGGCAAAAATTGAGCAAGCGTACAATTTATAAATTCAAATTTCATTTACACACGTCCGATTATACCACATTGTTCTATATATGGTTCGTTTGCAATTCGGGAATTTGCACTCAAACAAACAATATAGAATTTTTTTACATTAGACAGATTTTCGAATTTTTCTAATGTTTTTATATATTTCACACACTAAACTAAAAGTGGATTTTTATTAATAATTCTTAATAATCGATTTCAATGGATTATTGGATATGAAAAAATTGAATTTTTATAAATTATTGACGAGCGTTAACAATTTGGACAAATTCCGGTTTCAATGATGCACCACCAACAAGAAAACCATCAACATCTGCTTGTGATGCCAATTCTTTGGCATTATTTGCCGTTACTGAACCACCATAAATGATTCGAATTGTTTCGGCAATTTGTGGTGAAACATTTTCAGAAAACCATTGTCGAAGTTTTTGATGAACTTCTTGTGCTTGTTGTGGACTGGCTGTTTTACCAGTACCAATGGCCCAAACCGGTTCATATGCAAGCACTACTTTAGACCAATCCTTGACATGTTCTGTTTAGTTTGGATCAAATAATTTAATTAAAATCATTTGTTTTTATTGAAAAAAAAGACAATCATATAATATTACTTGAAATAACTTGTGTTTGACGGAATACAACTTCAGTCGTCTTTCCGGCTTCCCTTTCCTCGAGAAGTTCACCAATACAAGCGATTACATGCAATCCTTCTTGAAGAGCGTGTTCAACTTTTTCACCAATCAACTATCATAAAATCGTTATATATTGATTATTGTGTTTAATTTTTATTTGAAATTACCTGATCACTTTCACCAAAAACATTTCGACGTTCACTGTGACCAAGAATGACCCATTCTGCTCCAACATCTTTGATCATGGCTGGACTTATTTCGCCAGTGAAAGCACCTTTAGGTACTTTATAACAATTTTGTGCAGCAACACCGATAGTCTTTGGCAATTTTTGTCGAACTTCGGCCATATAGATGCTTGGTACACCGACGACAACATCTATTAAACGAGAACATCAATGATAATCATAAGAAAAAACAACTACAACTAACCAGTATTCGGATCTAACGGTCCGTTTGACAATGTTTTTATGAGATCTTCGTTGGTCGCACGAGATCCATTCATTTTCCAATTACCACCGACGAAAAATTTTCGAACCATCTTTGACCGGTTGCTTTTTGATTGTTTAGCTGACTAATATAAAAATTTAATTGAAGTAAAAAAAATTAGCGACTTCAGTAACACCAAAAAAATAACAATCAGCTCGAATGATTAGCGCCGGCGTTTGACATTGAACGCATTGACTCATATCATCAATGTTTATAATTCTATGAATGGGAACTGCAGCGCCACATGGTTATCCGAAATACAAACCTTCGACGATTGATATTGGCCAGATTGATGGCACTTTGTCTTTTTGGAACTACTATTTGCCATTTTTTCCAAGTAAAGCATCTCCTACTTATATGAAGATTAAAATGCTTAATTCTTCTAAAACATGGGGAAAAAATTTGCCCTTTTATTTTCTAACAACAAAATTATTTGCTTAAAAATTTATTAATTCTAATTCTTGAGAAATTCATTCAATCCAGACGGGCCACATTCAATAATTCCATTATCCTTGAATGTTTTGATAACATTTTCGATATAATGTTCGGGTAAATTATTCTCTTTGGCACCCTTGATGATAATTTCTTTATATAGTCGACTTGGAATCGGTTCGTTTCCGTTGACATTGGCATAATTAGATTTCTGTACATACGTACGACATGTTATCATTGGTTGATCATTGGTTTCATATAGTTTTACTATGACTTCTATAGGATCATAGCCACATTCTTGTCGATCTAGATTATCAATGTCATCTTTGTCAAGTGTATAGACAGCACCATAAACGACACTCTTTGAATAAATATAAATTAATTAACATGATTTAAATAAATTGAAAGCAATAAGACATACATTCGAATCCTGTACAATATTAGCCGTTGCACCCTTCCATAATTGAGAATTACCAGCGAATGAAAGTTTAAATCCGGTCAATAATCCATTGGCATGTTTAGTTGCACTTTTATTGTTGATTCTCATTCGTTGAATGAGCAGATTCGAACCATAACAAAAATAGTAGACAAAATGTTCTTTTTTATGGAAAAAAAATTGCAAAGAATCCAGTAGAAATATTAAATAATCAATTCGAGACTTACTTGCGGCAGTTGGCATGTTTTTAAATAATTTAAAAAAATTCAATTATCCTACTCATTTGATGCCGTAATTTCTTAATTTTGTTTCGATCCTTTTCTGTTGTTTTCGTATTATCAATAAGATTGTTTTTTTTTGTATATTTGACATATAAAATTGAAAAGGACATTTGACAAACTAACCAGCTGTCAATCGATTTTTTTCTCCATTCACTTCAAATATTTTATGAGCTTTGAGATCCAGAAATTATAATGGAAATATGATATGATATTTGTCCTATTTTGACATCATTACATTGAATTACGCTTGAAATATCCTCATGAGGATTCTTTTGGCGTTTGCGCATAACGAATATATATGGTATTTATACATGTATATTACGATCATTTTCATGATCAAGTTTTTTTTCCGAATTTTTCAAACTTGAAAAAAGAATATCATTTCAATGACAATCATCATCATTTATATATAATACACACAGAAAATGTTAATTAAATTGATGTTTTTTCATCTGTGAATTAAAGTTTTATATCATAATAAATAATGGCTCCGGTTTGTTTGAAAGTTTTTTTTTTGGATCATTATTTTGATGGCCATTAGTTTTCATTTCATTCATTTGACTCAATTAAATTCAATGATGATGATGATTTTGTTATGTGGATCGATTGAAACATAAAAGTGCGAAAAGAAAAGAGAATTATATTTGATTAAGATCAACATTATCAACTGAATTATAATGAATATATAATATATAATATTATTCAGATGAGAATGGAAACAGATCTAGAAAACTTTTTTTTTCTTCTTTTGTTATAGAATAAATAAGTATATATCGAGAGTATAGTGAACTCTGAAAATGATGATAATGACAACGATAATAATAAACGTTTTTAACGTGCCACTAAAAACAAAGATTATTATTATTATTATTGTCAAAGATGTCATATATATAGAGTTGTCATTGAATTGAATGTAGTGTAATAAACAAAAAAAAAAAAAAAATAGCCAAAAAAAAAATTCAACATGTAAAAACAATAATAAAATGTGTAATGTCCATTTACATACATTTTTTTTTGAATTGTTATTTGATCATTTTTCTAAATATACAATAATAACAACAACAATAATAATAATGATGATGATAGGGTTGAACCAACCCTTTTCAGAGTAGGAAAAAAAATGTGTATTATATAATATGATGATGATGATGATGATTGAATTGACAGAGAAGAGAAAAAAAAACATTTTCTGTCATTATTTTCTGTTGATATTAATTACCTTTTGTGAATGAATGAGTTAATGTATAATGTGTGTGTGTGTGTATATATGATGTGGATAAAATAATTTGATTGCCTAAGTGTTTTATCATTATTTTTGAGTTTATGATTGGACAATTGAAAAAAATTGATTTGATTGATTGACTACAGATTATGAATTATGCTGTGAAAAAAAAAATAGTGGAGAGGAGAGAAAGAAGAAAAAAAATTTTCAAGCTATAATTTCTTGACAATATAATTTATAGATTTATAATGACGAATTTTAATATTAGATTATAGCTATTTAATATGATGAAAAAAAAAAATTTTTTGCTTCCTCCCTTTTTTCTCATTTTTTTTTCAAACAGCAGAAATGAATTGTGGACAAAAATGGAAAGAAAAATTTTTTTTTTTGTCATTTATAGAACTGAAGTTGATGTGGACGGGACATTGTTGTTCACCTGGACAACCAATGATTTTAAATCTTCTGCACTTTTAACTTTTCTTGGCATATTTGGCTCTGGATATAATGAATTACGATGATATGGATTACCAACAAATACTGAATTCAATCTTGGCCTATATGCTGGATGATGATAGGTTGTTCCAGATGCACATTGATATAATTGACCACTTTCAATCATACGATTATGATGAAACATTATATCACGTTCAGGTATTAGACTACCACGGCTTTCTAATGAAATCATATTCGGTGGAACCGATGTACATGTATTCATTCGTGATGTTTTTGGATGTAATGAATGTATAGAATTGGGAAATGATTCTTTATATTGTGGTTGATATGGTTCAAGCATTCGTATCTTGCCCCATTTATTAAAAAAAATAAATATACAACCAATCCATGCGGCAATAACGATGACAACAATGACCACTTCATCTTCACGTACCATCATACCATCGGTCATTTCATCCGGATATGTGTGTATCGGACGATTTATGAACTTACGATGTGATCTACGTGTTTCTATTGAAATTTATTTGGAAAATTAAATCAAAAAACATCATCAATTGATAAGATATGAATTCATAAGGTGCTTAAAAAAGCAATAAAAGATTCCCATTTACATAACATACCATTATCGGGAGAAACAAATTGTACTAATCTACTTTGATTTGTTTGGCCTGTTTCGGATACTGCGTTTATTCTCAATGAATATTCTGTGCCCGGTTGTAGACGATCCAATGTTAGATTGGAAAAAAATGGCGGCACTTCTTGAATCACTCGATATCTGTTAAAAATGGCAGATAAATAAATGTTCAATTCATATTGAATGTACCTTGATCTAGATGGATGATAAATAATCTGAAATGATTGTAAGTGGCAATTTTTCAATGCTCGTCTATCATAACTCCAATGTATTCGAACTTCAGGTGGATACCATTGAATCAATACAACAGACATGTTAACAGGTCGTGGTAATACTATGATTTTTTTATCAACATTATCATCATCATCGGTTATATTCTTTGAAGGCAGTATTTGTGTGGATGTATGATTCATATTCAATCTTCTCGATGAATGATAATTATAATGATCATACCAATTTGAAAATTCTCCCAAATCATAGCTCAAATTGGTCGTTGATGTCGTCATCATTGTCGTTGCTATTGGAACTGTATCAAAGAAAGTGAAAAAAAAAATTTCCATCATAAATCAAATGGGTAAAAAAAAAATTTCAAACGAAAATAAAAAAAAATTAGAGTTAGTTTAAACGATAATTATTTCCAGACAATCGCAATCGGAATCACTTTTTTAGAATTCTCTATAAATGGTCATTTTCACACATGAACAAACGATGATCACATTAATTAATAACAATGAAACATATGAAGAATTATGTCCTCGAATGGCAATTCAATGGGTAAATAGAATGTTTAGAAGAATTTCATTTATGTAAAACTATTATGCAAACTACTTTATTCAATTTGGTTCATTTTTTTTTTAATATTCTTAATGATTAATTTATAACATTGAAATGAATTGCATCCATGTGTGGCCATCTATATTAGTGAATGAAACAATTTTAAAAATTATATATATTTTTTTCGCAGCATTCAAACACCATACTAATGAAAAACCAAAATAAATTATTCATTGAATAAAAAATGAACAAAAAAAAAATTTTTTTTTTTCATGCAAATTGTCCGAAATCAAACCTTGTGATTGTGCCAGATCAAATGTTGCCAATATTGAAACAATTATGAATAATAATTGTATTTTGAACAACATAATGATCGTTATGATCGATGAACTCGTCAATGTTAATAATGATGATATCCATGATGATGATGATGATGATAATATTATCGTTGATAGTGACATCACCTGATAATGACAATAACCAAACATAACGGTGAATTCATTCATTATAATTTCAGATTAAATCTTTTCTTCAGATTATGATGATTATAATAATAATTATATAGTTGGAAATCCATTAATATCTTTTCAAAAATTGAATTGTTTGTTACTGGGACAAAAAAAAAAATTCTTTTCTCATATACAAAACAATAATAGGTCCAGGAAAAAAACAAGGACATTTCATATCATAAAATGTATTTGATAATCATCAAATATTCATACTTGGCCACATTTAACACCATAAACAAACATATACACAAAATATTCATTCACAGTATAATAGAACTGACAAAAAAATAATGAGAAAGAGAGAGAGTGAAAATAATTTAGAATAATTGGCTTGACACATCGGCACATTCGAACAATGAGAATGAAAATCATCAAAAATTGATGATTATAATCATAATCATATATATATATTGTTCGTGCGTGCTCTACAGACTATAAATGATCATCATCATTATTCTTATATATGGCTATAATTGAAACATGATGAAAAATTACTTAAAGATTCTTAACAATAATAATAATAATAATAATCTATGATTATCTTAAATAATTGTAATAGTATAATAAACGTGATTGATTTGAAATTGATTTGATTGTAGTATAGTGTAGGTGTCTATTTTATTGATTAATGTTGATTTCCTTTTTTTTTGTTTTCATTTCTACAATAGAAATGATAGCGAGGCAATTTTTAAGGATGAACAAACAAACAAACAAAAGAATGAATCACGGATGAAAATGTAATGAAAAATGTATGATCAATCAATCAATTATTGTATGACGGTAATTTCAATCATGGCGATTTTTTTTATATTGGTGATTAAGATGTTTGTCGGTTTTTTTCGTGATTGTATATGATGGCAGTTTGATTGTACTCAATTCTCGATGCCATAATTCTTCAGATGTTTTCTTTTTGTTGTTGTCCATTACGTCTTAATCTTTTCATTGTCTTTTTTCATTTTCTATTACACACACACAAACGGAGAGAATCAGAGAATGTAACTAGATATTAGAAATAAAAACCCGAAACAAACACAAACACATATACACACACACACACATGCAATTCTTGTTTCTGACATTCGAATATATTCTAGGTCCTTTTTAATGATGAAGATGATGGTTGGTTGGTTAGTTAGTGGTAGGCCGATGGCATATACTACCACCGTACATAACGGTCGGTGGTATCAAATGCGATTGTCGATTGTTTTGTATGATAAAGAGAAATAAATGAAAAAGAGGATGGATATAGAGAATCAAATGATGGGATTCAAATTCTATTGGACGCGCGCGCATCATATTATTAATACACCCATACACCCATGTGCAAAACACAAACAAATTCATAAACGATCCGGATAGAATCATATAGGCCATTCGTCGTCGTCGTCGTCGTCATCATCATCATCATAATCAATCGTTAAATGTTTGCGACGACTTTCATAGTTGAATCTTTTATTTTTTCTATAGATTTTTGATGATTTTAATGAAACAAACTCCCGCGTTCCACATTTTATTTTAATTTTATATTCTCAACGACGGGCGACAACATTAACTACTACTTTTACTACTACTACTACTGCATTCATTGAATTCTATCCAAAAACTTTGGAAAACTTTATTTGATTTTCCAATCTTAATACAGACAAACATACATAAACAATTTTTGGCCCAAAATTACAATTGAAACAAAAAACCTAAAAAAGTCAGTCATCGTTTGTGTATATAAGCTTAAATGAAAAAATATAAAGCACAACTTTTGTGCAAAACTTGTATATATATCTTATTCATGTTTTGTTCATTTCTTTTCTTGATACAATATACATATTTGCATTGTATATGATTGTATAACAAACAAGTGAAATTTGAAATTTTTTTTTTGTTTGTTTGTCATTATGTCAAAGAAAATGGAATCACAGAATCACAGAGAGATTTATTCCGGTGAAATTATTATTATTATTATTAATGGAAAATGGCCCGAAAAAAAAAATTAAATGGATAACTTTTGAGCATTTAAATTTTTGAAATCGAAAATAAAAAAATTACTACAATAATTGTGCATACCAAATGTATAATTGTGTTTGGAAATTTCACTCCCTCCCGAACAACAACTGAATGATCAAACATGATCAAAAATAATGGAAAAAATTTATGATTTATAGCGTGAATAATATGAATCATATTCAATATCGATCATTAAGATTCTAGTTCAATCAATTTTTTTTTCTCCTTTTATCGGCATGACGATCAATTACAATGATATGAAAAATTCTCCATTTTTTTTTATTATATTGTTATTATTATAAATGTACAAAATGAACAAAAAAAATTACATTAGTGGAGCATTTCAATGGAAAAAAAAACAATGTTTACAGAAGTTTCATTATTAAAGAAGAGATTTCTTTTTTTTTCACGAAATTACAATTGTGATTTCAATAATAATAAATACAATAAGAAATGAAATGAAATGAATGAATGCAAAACAAAAAAAAAAAAAATTCAATGAAAATGGCCATATTTATAATATATAGTTGCAACCAAATGAAAATAGCTTTGAATTTAGATATGAAAAAAAAATCTTTTGAATTCCAGAATATATGATAATTATAATTGCGTGATGGAAAAAAATACATAAGGCATATTTTACATAATGAAAACTAATCTATAAAAAAAATATATATCAGTTAAAATTGTGCCAACATGTTTGGGATGATGATGATGATGATGGAAAAAAAATCCAATAAACAATTGCCGTTTTGATATTATATTCACTTATTATCATCGATGAATAATATTGAAAACAGCAAAATAACAATAGAAAAAAAAACAACAAAACGAATTCAAATACCATTTGGACGAATTTCCGTTTCTGATTTTGGCTGTAATGCCATTGGTGGCTGTTGCTGTGTTTGTTGTGGATTTTGTTGTTGCTGCTGCTGCTGCTGTGTAGGATTAATATTGGTCGATGTAAATGATGGTGATACGATTGACAGCTGTAATTGTAAATGTTGTCAATAATTATAGAAATGAAATTATTGAAAATTATTACCTCTTTGTCACGGTCAAGTTTAAACGATTCGACAAGCTCTTCAACGCGTTCGGGTGTTGGGCCCCATTTTAGGAATCCCGCATCGTTTTGTAGAAAATAAACGATGGTATTATAAAGTGATTTTACATGAATTTCGTTTTGATTGCTGACATGCTGAAAACCATGCCTATATTCGTGTTCCGATGCTTGTACAGTCAAATGCATTCGTTTAAATTTATTGCTCTCTAGCCTGGAGATTATTTTCTCCGATATTTCCGGTTTTTCCTGAATGAATATGATAAAAGATAGTGGTTCCATTGAATTTTCCAATAATTTTTCAAAATGAGTTATAGTAGCATTGATCAAATCTTCCGAATCAGGAGGATTTGCTTGGAATGAACCAGAAATTGGATAAAAGTTGAGTATCGATCTGCAATATAACAAAAAAAAATTCAATAAAAAACAGGAAATCGGAACACAATCAATCAATCAATTAACAATAATAACATTATAAACAACTTACCCTCTTGAACCAAAATAACCATCAGTATCGGGAAAAATTGAACAATATTGTCGAAAATAACAATTCAAGGGTGATGCAAAACATTCAAAAGTTACACCAAAATGTTTGTTTAAAGCCCCAAAAACGGATAATGCAAGAGAATTCTGTGAGGGAAGGCCTTCATTCTTGTCGTAAAAACTCTATAATGGTAACAATTTATAATCAATCAAATTATGAATAAATTGAATTTAATCGTTTATCACCTGATATCGTTTTAAAAGACACCAAACACGTGTTAAGAAATAGTTAAATTTTCGGTCATCGCGACAATTGAAATAATATAACATTTCTAATTTTTGCAGATAATTGGTGTTCAGTCGTAAAATTTCAGCATTCTTACCACAACGAAGAATAACACTTTCTTTTTCGGTGATCATTAGTGTAGGAGGTAGTTTTGGACAAGGATACATAAGATAAGCTGAATAGCATGCAATCTTTTTATTGTTCATTCTCATGGAAAATTCTGTGAATAAGAAATAGAAATAGAATTAAAACAAATTCATAATAGTGTAATAATATACCTCTAAGATCTTCTTTTTTAGCCAATTCAAGATTCATTTCTCTTATTCGGCGAGCATATTCAGCCGAAACATGATATATTTTCAAACAAATCGCTTCAACAGATGATTTAGCCGCACCGACGATATGGGGTTGACATTGCCTCTTTAGATGTTCCAATCGTTCGATATAATCTTCAAATGTTGCATTTAATGTTTTCCTTATCCAATCGAATGCATCTTCTACATTCCATTTGACAATTTTTCGACTTTGACCCGAAACTGGATGTGCTTCGATTATTTTTTTTGCAGCTTCGGCATATTTAGATAATTGTTTACGAGCTTCACCACTGAATTTAGGTCGAACCAATTTGATTGGAATATCGCTCATGATTTCTCGATATAGTGAATTAGATAACTCATTTATACAATCTGATGGTAATATAGGATCACATCCTTTGTCGATAATTTTGCGTTCGAGAATCCATTTCGTAAAAGAATCTTTTGGAGGATCAATTGTCTGCCGAGTTCGACACAGCTCCCAATATTGTTGTCGTAGTTTGTGAACGCAATTATACCTGGCTAATTCAATGTCCGGATGAGGATGAAAATAGTAGAAAAACGATCCCTCCCAAATGTAACAATTGGGCTCAATTTCGAAATCAAATGGTCCGATCATAGTCTTCTTGTCATTGCTCATCACATCATTTTTATATTGAGCAAATGGAGTGAATGCAGGGTTAAGCGTTTGATAGATGGGTGGTGCTAAATGATCGGAATGAATTGGTGGCTGAAATTGACTGATTGGTGGATTATTAGCTGATTGTATTCCCAATGGATCGGTCATTGGATCATAAATGTTAGACAATTTAGGCATTTCCCAGATTGATTGATTTGTGTTTTTGTTATAGAAATAAAATCGTCCTTCACGTTTACTCCACACTTTTCGCCAACCTTGATGTAGTAATTCATTTGGTAAATCATGAGAAGGATCGTTAGCTAGGGTTGCTGCTGCTGACGCATTGTTTTGATTTTGTGGTGGTGAAAGCAATGATTGGTGGCCATGATGATGAAGTTGTGGCGTTGGTGGAACAGGGCCTGTTGGTGTCGTCGGAGAAACGGGTATATTGGCTAATGATGTTGGCCCACTGTTTATCTCATTAGCCATTGCATGGCCATGATGTTGCAAATGAGATGAAGTCGTATTGTAACTGGGCAACGATGTTGTCAAATGATTTGTACCGAATTGATTGTGTTGTATAGCTGTCGATACCGATGAAAATGCTGATGTGGATGATGATGAAATTAGATTCATATTGTTATTGTACAATGAACCGAGATAATTTTGTTCATTAGAATGATCAAAATGATAAGGAGCAGAATGATGATGATGATGATGATCATAGGATGATGATTTGGCAAGTGTAATTGGATTCTCTTCAAGCTTATTTAATGTTTCACCACTAATTTTATCAAATCCATATGTTAAGGAAATATCACTGGTGGCTTCGATACTTGTTTTTTTTACAGGTACTTGGATAATGGTGTTTAACATTTCATCATCTTTAGGTTCATCATAATTTTCATCAGCCAAATTATCCTCTTCCTCCGTTTCATCATCTTCAAACACTTGTTTTGCTTTTGGTCGGATTGTTTTCTTCTTTGAATTGGATTCCTTATCTTTATCCTTTTCTACATCTTTCAATTTGGGTTTTCTGCCACGTTTAGTGGTGGCAGATGATGGTTTCGAAACTTTTTGTGCTTTTTTTGGCTTTGATTTATTGGCTATCGAGGTTTTTCTATTATTCGTAGCGGTAATTTCATTTTTAACAAGTTTTTCTTCATTTTTATTATTAATCGATGTTTTTTTAGATTTTGATTCCGTTACTGTTTTGGATGTTTTGTTAGTTTTGACATTTGATTTGTTGGCTTTGGTCGTGTTTATTATGGGTGATGTTAATATATTAGCAGATTCATTCGATGATTTCGTCAATGTTTTTTCAATTATTTTTGTCGCTTTTGTTGCCGTCGTTGATGGACGACCTCTTCCACGGCCTTTTGATTTGGTAACATTGATTTTTTTATTGTTCGTCGTAGTCTTTCTAGGTTTTGGACTTGTTTCAGTTTTTCGACCCCTTTTAGCCATCTTTAGATAGTATGATCATGTCGAAAAAAATAGGAAAGAGAGAAAAAAAATTAGAATTTACAAATAAATTAAAACAATTAATTAATACATAAATAAATTATTATAAAATCGTAAAATACGATGCTATATTGTAGCGCATACACTTGTTGTTTATCATATTCGTCGACAACTTGTATTTCCTATGTCTATGTTTGTGTATCTATCTATGTATGCATGTGTGTGTGTGTGTGTGTGTGTGGCAATGTCCTTCGCAATACGAAAACAAAACCATTTTCATTTTGGCGCCATAAAATTTTTTTCACTTTTTTAAATTTAATAATTTTGATTTTTTTTCTGATATTTATATTGAAATGAATGCTGCCATCTATCATAGCTATAATCATTGATATGTAGATTTTTTTCATTTTAAATCTTAGATTCTATATATATTTTGACACATTGCTTTCATTAGAACAAATGATAATAGATAGAATTTGTGGATGACATTTTGAATTTTAATCAAAAAAAAAAAAAAAAAATTTATATAATCAAACTTACCACTGAATTTTATTCATTTAATCAATTATAAAATGAAAGATGAAAAAGCCAACAAAAAAACATTTTAATTAATTTATTCAATTATTTTATTGCCAAGAAAATTTGGTTGCCTTAAAATGTTTTGATGGGAGAAATTTTTTTAAACAAAAAACCAAAATGAATCCCAAGATGGAAACAAAACACATATAGAATATATATGAAAACAAAAAGATAATTCTTGAATCAAAAAACGTACACATACAAAATTACCAATTTTCTTTTCGGATGTTTATTTATTATTTACTGTTTGTTTGTTTGTTTGTTGTGATGTTTATGTTCGATGTGATATTATGGCATACATCTTCATGTTGAGTAATCCACTATCATCAATGTATTATCATTATTATATCCAACAAGAAGCATATATAAATAATATATATAGCAGTATGGCGTCCATTGATTTCCATTGATTTCTTGAATTTGTATACATCAAATGCTCCTAGCAAATAAACACACAAAAAAAAACAAAGACAGTGTTTGTGTGACTCACGCGCATCACTCATCATTCCAACAGACACAAGGATGGATCCACGATTCTTTTTTGACTATCATGAAAATATTAATGCTTATGCAACGTCATCTAGTGATAGATAATCGAATTGTTTAAATTAAAAAAAATTTTCATTTTTTAATTCAATTCATTTTATTAAAATTTCTGTTCTTAAAAAAATATTTCTGTACTTAAAAAAAATAGATAGAAAAATTTGATTTAAAAAAAACTGAAAAAACATTTACAAAAGATTTGAGAGATTGAGTTTCTGTGCCGTTTTTATCCGCATTAATATCGTATTCTTGATGTTTTAGCTGATAGCCGTCTTCGTCCGGTAATAAATGTATTATCCGATGCTAATAATTTTGGCTGTTCATCGGCACAAACTGGACAACATTCACCTCTGATAAGAATTTTTTGACATCCCGGTGGTGATGGTTTACATTTTAATCGTTGACATTTATGTAGACCATCTTTGCAACGACATTTTATGCAACTAATTTCACCATATGGATCAACTGCTGGATTCCATTCGTCACCATTTGCATAAATTTTTCCTCTGAAACGACAACTTCCTGTTGCAAGAGCTTGTTCAATATTATCATCATTCGATGCTTGGTCACTCATTGATTCCATTGATCTAGTCGATGCACGACATTTTTTACAACAGTCCATTGGATTTTCTCGATAAGCATCACGTTCTGCACATGGTAATGGTGGACATTCATTACGTTTGCATTCGATTTGTGCTAATTTAGTGCACATACATACTGTACATCGATCAAAACCAAATGGAGGTATGTATGGATGCCATCTTGATCCAATAAGATGAGATCGTTTTTCACCTTCAAAATAACATGATTGATTCCTTTTCGACGAATAATGAGCTAATTTGTTTTTACAAATGGGACAACATTGTCCAGGAACACGAATTTGTTCTTTACATCTGAGTTTTAGACAGATTTCGCTCTCACATTTAACACGACCACGTTGACAGAAACACATTTCACAATCATCATTGTGATTTTTCCATTGAGCACCTTCATCGTAGATCTGAGCTTCATAATAACATTTGTAATTGGAATTAATTGAATTCATCGATGGATATGCTGATTGATCCATCATTGCTTTACGATCTAATGAATTACGATCTTCATATGAAACAAATGAAGTTGCATTCAACATGTTTTGGAATATTTTATTCTTTCCAAATTCTCCTGATTCTAATAGTTCATAATAGAGATTTTGATCGTTCCACATTTCCTGTATAGCAGAATTGGCTGTATTATGTTTTCGTATCACACCGACCAATGAGGATTTCATATTAAAATCTTTGTTAAATGAAATTGAAATTTTCAGATGTCTATTACGAATCATGGCACGATATGGTTTTGGAACTTTTTTCCAAGAACCAAAAACAACATATTGATTATTTGATCCATTGCTTTTGTTACCGAGAACAATATATTCTTCAATGATTGTATCATCGAGATCTTGAAATCGTATATAAGTCGGTTTATGATGGCTAAAATTGTCATTAGGGAATTTCAATTAGACAAAAAAAATCAATCAATACAATGGTTTCATAGTATACTAACCTTGTAGTTTTAATAATGAACGCTAGCCGTTGTTTATTCAAATGGAAAAATGCTCTGGTTGTTGCAGTCATATTTGTCGGCGCTGTTGATGATTTTGATGAAAGAAGTGCATAGAATTTTTTACGAAAATTTTTCATAAGCAATGCTTCTTCCATTTTTTGACTAGCAATTAAATCTTCAATATTGTTAACATCTGATTAAGCGAAAAAAATGGAATTATTTGTCAGTTGGACTCATTATTATTATTGACAATAAACAATCGAAATTAATACAAACCTCCAGGACATGATTTACAGCAACGTTCAGGCAATAATACTGGATTGTTACAAGTAGGCTTTGGGCAATCATTTTTGAAATTTCTACAATGTACTTTGGCAACCACACGATTGTCACCTTCATTATTTTTTCTTTGCACAGCTATACATTCACAAAGAATACAATAATATACGCCGAATGGTTCGATGGTTGGTTTCCATTTTTCTCCAATCTCATAAACGTCTTTATCGAATACACATTCTATAAATGTGTTCATGATCATGATCACATAACAAACAAAAACATAGATTAACTAGGAATTAGTTTCTTATATTTTTTGTTAGTTTTTTTTATTGCATGAAACATAGGTACATTGACCTAACAACAAGTGTCAAACTGTGTGTGTGTGTGTGTGTTTTGTGTTTGGTTGTCACAGATGCAACAGGTTAAAAAAAAACATTTATTACTTACGAGTTTGTTGTGAAACTTTTGGTGCTACCACATAATCTTCCATTAACGGTAATTTAGCAGCAACATATTCTATATATTGATTTGACCATAAGATAGTTAACAGATAAATTTTTAATAACAAATTTATGAATAAAAATGCCATGTTTGTCTGGATTAAAATTTTTACGAATTCAGTAATCAAGTTCTTGAATGATGAATGGATTGATTTTTTTTCGAAAAATTACACTTTTAATTCTGAAGCAAGAATTGAAATTTTCTCATGAATTGAGAATTTGTTTTTTTTAGTACAAGAAAAAATCCAAAATTGAATGTGGCAATACTTGTATAACTGTTGACCATTATCAATAACACTTTAGTCATCATATAAATTAGTACACTGACCATGTGGTGGTGGTGTTATACATTATATATTCAAAACGAATGATCCATAAAAAAAACAGTAGTATTTTGTTAACATATTGGCCGATTACATTTGTCAAAAAAAAAAAAAAAAAAACAGTAGCACACACACAAAGGTTCTAAATTAAAAATGTCTTGTGTTTTGTTTCAAATTATCGTATTGTCGTTGTACGAACAAAAAAAAAAAAAAAGAAAACAAGAAAAACTGATGAAAATCTATTCCAGATGACAATTGAATGAACAAAAAAAATGATGATTATTTGCGCGGTTCAAACTAGATTCAAAAAATCAGATCTATTCCAAATAAAATATAATATAAACGAAACCAAGTGTAATCAATGAATGCCACAAGTAAACTGAAAAAATGAAATGAACAACAACAAAACTGAACCGAAAATATTCAACAGGTATCAGAAATGTTAGTCATTGCTTACTTACGTTGACGATAATTTTCTTGGGTTGAATCATTGTTGTACACACACACACACACACACATTTATACACACACTTATGTACATATGACACACATATATACAGAATTATAGCTATAGTGTTTTCTGTAATGTTATAACGATTTAATCTTTAAATATGAATGGTAAAACACCATATATATTGTACAATATTATTTACCAATAATATCCAGCTTCGTATGAAAAGCGCGGATGGACCAAACGAAGAACCAAACAAATGGTAAATTTTTGGATGGTCCAAATGATATTATTATTGGCCCACAAGTTGGTAGTTTCAACCACAAAAAAAAAAAAAGCAGAAAAAAAGATTATTGCCCACAAAACTAACGATGAACATTAAGATCAATCGTCATTTCAATATAGGCGACTCAATCACTCTATACATTTATTTTGTGTTTAATATTTATTTACCGAAATCATTTTATTCGCGGTACCGGATGACGGAAACAATGGTTTCTCTCTCTCTCTCTCTCTACCCTCTTTTTATTCAAAGAATTCTGATGACGGTCTCATAAAATTATTTGCTTAGAGCAAGCAAAACAAACGAAAAGATCACAAGTGAAGAAGAAAAAAAACTTGCGGTAACGATTAGAATGTTGACACAAGTAATTCAAAAAAAAGAAGTTTTTTTGCAAATATAAAAAAGGGGTTCCGATTTTTGAATTTTTCCTTTCACATTCAAAAAAAAAAAAATGGAAAAGTAGATCAACAAACAACGGGAGAAGTATGTGGTCAGATTCAGGAAAAAAAATTTATTTAATAAAAAAAAATTCAAACAAAAAAAAACGTTGACCATCAAATTTTTTTCCGTTCGTCTTTCCGGTCAAAATGTTCTAATGTGCATTACTTTTTGGCAGCAACAACAGCATTGGTGATTGTCACCTTTGTCCGATACGGATACATCATTCACACACACACACACCTGTGTGTGATTGTATGTAATTACAACTCATTAACCTACCTGATAGTTTAAGGCTGTGATTACGCGCAACTTTTTTTCCTTTTTTTATTTTTCTTTTTAGAAACATGACACATTAACACACAAACCGAATGACCAAATTTTTTTTTTCAATGACCATTCGGTGTGTGTTTGTGTAATACATGTCGTTAGTCAAGAAGAAAATTTTTGCGCAGGTGTTCAATCAATTCTGTGTTTGTGTTTGTATATATGCATGGACAAGTGTGTTTTTGTGAATTCTTTGGTAGGTAAATGAAGAGAAAAAAAATGTGTCAAACAACGAATAATGCATTAACGAGTTGGTGAAACAACAACAATACCATCAGGAAAAAAATTGTTTTTTTTCAAATTGAATTTTTTTTTCAAACTTTGTTTTATTATATTATTATTAAAAGAAGAAGAAAAAATATAGATATATTTAAAATCATTACATTACAACGACAATAAAAAAAAGAGAGAGAGAGAAAGAGAAAAGTAGAAAACATGTGTTGATGACAAATCAATTAATATATGAGATCATTGGTGTATTGAATCAAAATATATATAAATATTTATGGTTATAATTGGTCAATATTTAAAAAAAAAATTCAACATAATTGATTAATAATGAGAATAATCTTATGGTACATTTTTTTTCTTGTTATATAATTATTATCACATTATTGGAGTCAAATAAGGCAGTTACTGTGTTAGTTAATGTAATATTATGGTTATTATGTAGTAGATATTTATATTCTTTTTTTATGCTTCATTACTAAAATGTTACATTATATGATTCCAATTGAAATGGTAGAATATTCATTTCCGAAATTGAGCTTATCATTTTATTTGAACTTTTCATACCAGATAATAATGTTTTATGTATTGATGTTATACGTACATCATTGAATAGATGTGTTATTGATGATGATTTTGTTGGCAACAGGTTGTTGATAGTGCCAGATGATGATATAATCAATGGTGAATCGTGATCATCATAATTGTTATTGTTGTGATAATCACCACAAATATTATTGGGAATATAATCATCTAATGATGGCTCAATTGATGATTGTAACGAAACTCTATTGTGTAGTATCATTAAACTTGATTGTGATGGATGATTAAAATTATCATTGATTGGTAATGTACGTAAATTTAGAAGGAAATATCGACATAAAGTATTCGGTGCGATTAAATAGCGATTTCGATAATATTTTTTTGTCGAACGTTTAGTCACCTCTTGTTCACTACGATATGAATACATTGTGATGGATGGATAATTTAGATATAACAATAATGAATCAGCTAATCGAGATAAAACTGGTGGTGATATTTTTCCGTTTGATGATGATGATGGACCATTGTTATGGTGAACATGTTCAAATACTAGCCAAAAATTTGATTGTGCAGGAATATTGTCCATTACGCCTTCACTAAGTCCTCGTTTATCATCATATAAAATACGACGATCAAGCATTATTTCAATCATTCCATTTTGTGGAGAAGTTACGCCATGTGAATGCGATGATAGTATGGAAAATCGACGTATTTCATCTTCAATAAATACGGCCGAAGTCATTGGATAATAATTGCCCTCGATGCCGATTGAATCAATGAAATGTCTTTCAAGCATCTGAAAACCATTCGAATCAACATAAAATGTACGATTGTACAAGGTTTTGTTTATTGTTTTCCTTTTTTCATCAAATCTATTGTCATAATTATCGTTGTTATTATTATTATTAATATGCGTACCAAGACGAATGACTATTTCTTGATTTTCATAATTAGCTTTATCTTCCAAATCAATCAACAGTTTCATTTCAATGGCGGCACCAATGTCGGATTTAATGTTGTACAATTTAATCGAATATGCAATATCAGTATAATTCACAATTATGGTCGAGCTTAGATGTCCTTTAAATAGATTAATGATTGGTGTTTGTGAAAAAAATAAATCTGGATATGGATTTTGATGAACAAATTTCAACAAATAAGCACCACTTCTTTTTGGCACTGAATTGTAAGCAATGAATGACATGTCAAAATATTCTGTCAAATTTTTTTGTTTAAAATGTATCTTTTCAATATACCCTCTGGCATTTAATGTGACCAACAAATAGTCATTTTCCAAATGAAAATTTTTAGTTGTTTCGAATAAAAATGCTTGATCATTTGAATGATTGATTCGTCCTGAATGATGTTTGAAAATGGTAACTTTTGGATCAAGGCTATCTTCATTTGTCAATATTTTATAATTTTTCACTGACAATGGATATAATTGATCGTAAAATTCAATTTCAAAAATTTTTGATGAAAATTTCGAACCATTTATGAATACTGGATTAATTTGAAATGGAATTTTTCTTTTATTTTCAATGTCTATAATCTGTATGAATGGATCATCAGCAAATATTTTGATTGATTCCGTTACTAATTGTGTATGTGAATTCAATACCAACAATCGTAGTCCATCCTGATCGGAGGGAACTTTAAGCACCAGTTGCTTGGTTATTGTACGCCAATTTGATCGATAAGATGTAGTGAAAATGAACTGTTCAGTATTATTGACATCGTTAAATGAATCGATATCTAAATTTAAATACTGCACTATTTTGGCCAAAGTAATCATCGTACTGTTGATAGAATGACTCAAACGTCTACCATAGTCTTCCATAACATAGTCTTTTGAAGTTCCTGTAATGCCATCATGATGTTGAAAGAGAGCCAAATTTTGTCTAGCATTAGAAATAATATTATATTCTCGATCAAGCAAAACATTTAAATAATTGGTTTTCCAACGTTGACGTAGAAAGTTTCTCGTAAGACTATAGAAAATCTCTGTCGACCGTAACAAATGTTGTAGTTCGCGACTCAATGATTTAAAATACGGACGTGTAGTAAAATAACCCGTCCAATAACTGGATATAGAATCCACATAAACATCGGCATAGGGCATAAAATCACCTTCCACTATCGGATAATTGTTTTGGTTGATGGGTAATCGGTCGTTGACAGTGGTAAAATAATCTTCAATCGTACCAAAAGTAATTTCCGTATCATTGAATTTTTTTCCATTCGAATTGATGTAGTCCATAAGTAGCATATAATTTTTATATTGTTGCTGCCATTCAATGTCGAAATTGTAGCGAAAATCATCACCAAGTAATACCAGAGCTACATTATGTGAAAATAACGATCCTAGTTTAGAATACTGTTTGATTATTTTTTTAGCTTTTGTTTCTAAATTGGTAGCATTTAATGGTGTTGCTGTAGATTCAGAATTTTCGCCATAAATTTTACGAAAATCAAATTCTAAACATACTTTATAATCTGGACCGCATGCATATTTGAAGCTATATAAATGTAATGGTGACATATGACATAATGGGAGACGATCGTTTTTATTTTGAAATGGTTGTTTCCAGAAAAAATTCAAATATTGTTGCTCTGATAGATATTTTTTCCATGCGTGATGTGTTCGTTGAATGTAGATGTTTGAGATGCCAGATTTTTGTAATAAATAAGAAAATGTTGTCGAATGACCGAAAGGATCGACAGAAAAAGAGTTACGTAATGGAGTGTCAATTTTCAATTCAGTGCGAATAAATTGATGACCTTCAATCAATTGATCTATCATGTCGAAATAATGTGTGGTAGCTTCGTCGTTCATTACCCAACCACCAGTGACTATCTCCAATCGACTTTCATTCAATAATTTTCGTAAACTTTCTTTCATTTTGTTTGATGATAATCTAAAAAACCAAAAAGAGAGATAAATAAGTTCGTTGAATAAGGGAAAAAAATATCAAGACTTCAATATAAATAAAAATCATCAATCAAATCAAAAAAAAAAAAAAAAAACATTCATGCGAAAGAAAAAAAAAAAAAAATTTTGATTACCTATCCCACCAACGGGAAAAGAAAGACATTTCTGCCCACACAAATGTCATGTTTGGATATTTGTTTAGATTTTTAACCAGATTGTCTAATACATAGTATGTATAATGATAAAAATATTGATCATAGGTATTTAACCATCCTGGATCATTATGTGAATGTGGTACAATGATCACCTGTTGTTCGAAACAAAAAAAAAATTTCAACATGATTTATTATTCATAATATTCATAATCATCTAGGATGCATCATAAATCAATAATAATATATATGTCGTCCATAATGATTATAAACAATAAAATAAGATATATATTAAATTCTATTCATAAATTTATATTTAGATTATATGGCCTACGTTTTTATGTGCATGTTTATTAATAGAAATTATGAAAAAAAAAAATTATTGTGTCCATTTCTAGGCCGAAACATTGTTTTTTTTTGTTTCGGTCGAGATTTTATCATCATCATCATATTATCACGACATTATGATTATGCATTTTTATTTCATCATAGTTTTTTTTTCTAAATAGATATGAATATAAATTGAGCCTTTATTATAAATAGCTTAGAAAGCCAACAAAATTAAAATATTCGTATATATATTGTATATGCAGATAATTTGTTTCTTCACAATACAAAAAAAAAACATTCATGAGATTCGAAACAGAAAACATCTCATTTATACATCGAATACACTTGTACTTTACAATCAAATTGTATGATAATAAGGAAATGGAGCATCATTATAAAGCCAACTAAGACTATCAACTACAGACTAGTGTAGTGATGTATTCATTATTTATTTCTGGAAATAATTTCCATCTCCATGCTAATCATCATCATCATCATCATCATATTTTTCATATCATTATGACCTTGAGCGAATCAAGGTCACAAAAAAAATGAAAAAACTAAATAATATTGTAAAAGAAAAGAATTGCAAACACACACAAAAATTAAACATACCTTCAATGGGAATCGAGGATGTTGACTATTGAAACGTTGCTCCAATGTTTCGCTCCAGGTTTCATTATCATCATTGGATAATTGATTTAAAAGTATGGCAAATTCTTTATTTGTTTTGAGTACATCTTGCGAAAAATTTCGATTCAAAACATTCGGGCTATATTTATTATAATTATCATCATTTTGAGAAATATCATTTTTTATCACAAATGTATGATTATCATTGTTGTTGTTATTTTTATTATTATCTGTTACAATAGTTGGTGAATAATTTTGACCATACCTGCTATATGGTTGATTGATTGTTGAAAATTTAGCAAATATAAATGAATATATGAATATGATAAATATGGCCGGGAATAGTAGATATAAGAATATTATTCTTGGATTGCTTCGAGCCATTTTTTCGATATATATCAAAATCGATTATAACGGTAATCATTGACAAAGAAAATGAACGGTAAAATAAATTTAGCTGTTCATTGGCATCTATATCAATCGATAACGGGATTTTATCGTGTCACACAAAATATATTGATTTTCTATTTTTATTTGATTGTTCGAATTTTCGAATACAACGAAAACCAATTCGTAATGAACATGATGATTCAGCAGCTAATATATTTATTGAAACATTTGGCAAAATATATAAGTACACAGAAATTTAATAGTTTAACAAATGAACTAAATTGATCGTTGAATCGATTGAAAAGAAAAAAACGTGATGATTGTCGCCGTGATAGTCGTTGATTGGATACATGAATGATCATCATCAACATCATCGTAAATTTATAAATAAATCATCCACATTCATAAGCACATAAATTTGAACAGTCAATTGATGGTTATTGCAGCTAATCATTCATTCATTCATTCATTCAGAAAGATATAACAAAATAGTTTCGCGTTCAATATTGAATCCCCAAATAAAAAAAAAACTCATTTGAGGACGGAAAACAAATATACACATACATCCACGAAAACGAACAAAGCATACAACAACAACAACAACAAGTGCAACAACGACGAAATAATAATGAACAGAAAAAAAATGGATACGAGTACACCTATATATTTTTTTTATATGTATTGTTTAATGATTTGATCGAAGAGTCTTCAAACAATATAATGAACGAAATGAATGGCAAAAATTTTCTTTCAGGTTGGATTGGATATGCTTTACCGTTATTTTTATTATGTTGGATTTTTTCTATTTTTTTTTAATGTTACCAACATCATCACAATCACATCACCATAATTGAACCATTATCATAGATTTATAGTTATCTCTCAATGATTTTGGATATCATATCACACAAACATTGATGACGATTATTATTTCAAGTGCATGAAAACATTATTATCATCTCCAATGGCTACTATTCACAGTTGTTCATTTAGAAAGACATCATCACATGCACAGGCACATTTGATTCCATAACTATATATGATCATGATGTTGATAATGATGACAAACTGATGAACAAAAAAAAGATTCGGAAGAGAGTTAATGAAACATGATCACAATACATTCATGATTAAAATGATAATGATATTATCAACACCGTGTATTTTAACATAAATAGATGTTATGCCAAGATGTTCAAACACACAATGTAAAAAAAACATCCAATGATTGATTCGTTATGGACAAAATCATCATCATATATAAAGGTGACCCGAAATATATTTTTTTTTCTTCACTATTCAAATATTATTTCCTCACACATAAACACAAACAAACACACACACACACACACATGATCCACGAGGAAAATTCAACCAACCACCATGATGGACATAAAATCACACTAAATGCTGTGTATATTATGCTGAAACTTTTACGACGACGCTCAACAAACAACCACAGTATAGAAAAAAAAAATAAAGTCCAAAGAAATCGATTTCCATGAGAACTGGAATCTCTATACATTTAACAGACATATAACAATATGATGATGATCAAGCTTGAACATGCACATTTCGGGTTATCGTGATCTTCGTTTTATATATTTTTTCTTTTCTGGTTTTTTTTTGGTTGGTTTAATAGTTTCTCTCTCTATCCCACTAACACACACACACACACACAATAGCAATATACAATGGCATTTTTAAATGTTTCATTATTGTAGGTGGAAATTTATTCGTTTCCTTGTTTGTGTGTATGTCAAAAATGCAAAATGTCAGTGGCCAAAATAAAAATGAAAAACCAGATTTCAAATGGAAGAGATTTTATTTGTTTTTTATATATATAATGGATTTGTATTATTCATATCAGGTTTTTATTCAACATGCATATGTGACATTTAAAATGATTTTCGTTTTTATTTTTTTTTTTATGATCAAAAAAAAATTTAAACAACAATAATAATTTTATTCATTATGAAAGTACATCCATTTTGATATTATTGATGAAAAAAAAATACTGGATACAATTCACATTTGACACTAGAAATTTTTTTCTCTTATGAAACTATCGTTTACAAATTTTTTTTTTTTTTTTTGCTTCAATCAATAACAAACAAACAAAATAAAATCTAACTCTTAACCAAAGAAAAAAAAACTTCAATATTATATAATAGTCAATATGGTGACACATCATTCAATTCGGAATCAGAAAGCATTACAAAATCTGAATCCGTTGATTCGGATGATTCATCAAAATGATTCTCATTGGTTTCATCGTCATTAATCATAAAACCTGATAATAAATTCTTTTTCGATGCCGTTGAACTTGATAATTCAAGGTTATTATCGTCCAAACTATTAGAATATTCGGTGGAAGAAACATTTAATGGCTGTTGTCCTTGTGTTGTTTGTTGATGTTCGTCGTCGCCAATATTGAATACAATTATTGCCAATGTATTTTTAGGTACAATGTGTGCCAAAAATCCGGGTGTTAAAAATAGTATTATAGCTGTTTACATATATGTATTTGACAATTGACAAACAATAAAGATGTAAATATAACATAATTTATTTAAAAAATAAATCTTACCTGTTAAATATGTAATCAAAACGCCGGGAATAAAATGGCCAATATAATAGAAACAAAGAAAAAAGAACACTGAATAACAACAAAAAACTCCATGAGATTTTCTCCTAAACTCAATGATTCGATCAATGACATTTGTCATATATTGTTTTATTCTTGCAAAACATGATTTAATTTCCGGAGCACTCATTACATTAGGATTGACCGTCGTCCAGCTGATAATGATAATTATCAATGTGATTATTCGATAAACATTTTTTAAATAAATATCTACACACACACCTTTCTTTAATTGGAACCGTAGGAGCTTTTTGTATTTGTAAATGAAAAAAAAATTTGATAAATTAGAAATAACCAAAGCAAAAAAAATGTGTATATAACACAAAACTTACCACGAATTTCTGGCCAAACATAACGGATCCACATTTCATAAAAATGATAACAGAATGCTAAAGTTGCCAATACCGATAATAAACGTGGTTGCCATAATACAACGATCCTTTCAGATGAAATATGATTGATTAAATGATTGACAACAACAACAACAAAAAATTATTCAATATTTTTACCAATAAAAACAGGTAAAGGTGATCAATGCTAGAATTGAATCGCGTGGCTTCTCCCATATTAAAATACCTTGCAATGCGATTAATTGAGATTCGAAATTCGAGATCAAACTGAATGATGAAGATTGTGAATTTTGATTTTCATCACCATTATGCAATGATGGAATACGATTGCGAAATGAATTAACATTAAAAAATGATTGTACACGATTAACATCGATTCTATGAATAAGATTTTCAATTTTTTCATTAATAAAATTCTTTACATCCATGGTTGAAATTTAATAATATCTTGATGGGACTAGATGGACTTAAAAATTCACATTGCTAATCCAGACGAATTACATTGAATGAACTTGATAATGATGACGATCAAAAAAAAACAACAACAACAAACAACAAAAATTTCATTTGGCAGCAACAAAAAAAAAATATTTTTATTTATTATTTGTTCATTCAGCATAAAAATTATGGCAAATGTTTTGATCTTGTTGTTGACAATGTCTTTTAATTTTTTTGTTTATTGTTTCATGATATTTTGTCATTATCATTTAGTTGATAGTGCGCATTTCTAATTCTTGATAATCAACATCATAAACAAAAAACAGAGCAAGAGCAAAAAGCAAGTTCCACACATACAATACTCTCGTGCTGACAACAATATTTTGTTCAAGGCAAAATCATATGATTCACACCAACGCAATTACATACATCACGCACACATGTACTTTGAGAGATTTTTTCCAAACGCGGGATTGCCTCTTAAAAAAAACGTCGTCACATGAATATATGGCAACATATACGATGTTCTCGATTTCACATAGGCCCATCTATATATTGATTTTGATATCGATGTCATAATCATATATATATAGAAAAATTTTGCGCGCAAATCACAAGTCCAAAAAACAAATCAAATGACAAAGTTCAAACATTTCTAAAGCGATTCATATATGATTATTTATGATAACGATGATGATGATGATTATGATGGCCAACAATTTGATCAGCAATACTATAACAACCTTTCAAAAGTCGACAATATGGTAATGGTTCTTTAGGAAAACTGAATGGTCCATCAATATCGGTACCATAAATCATTGGTAAACGTAATACCCAATATGTTGATTGAGTCAATCGAATTGGTTCTTTGTTTCCCGGATAAAACAAAAGACTTGCATTAGGTGTCACTTGAATCATAGGATTTAATGTCACATTAATTGGAGCTTTTGGTGTGACAATATGGATTCGCATCAACTGTGCAACACATGGTTTCGTTGAACGACTAGAAATATAAGAAACAGATTATCTTAGGTTTCATTTTTCAAATGGATTAGATTAGAGACAAACCTGCAAACACAATGCATATATAATGGCATATCATTCTTTGCAATTGATTCGGCCGTTTCTTTAAATTTGTATGTATTAGTCTTAAGGATTTGATCCGGTTTCGATGCAATAAATCGATGACCATTAAAACATTCGTACTCAACACCGATGAAAATTTTCACGGTGAATTGTGTTCCATCTATAAACATAAAAATGTAATTATTTTTTAATTTAACAATTGAGTTGGATTAAATACCTCTAACGGTTTTCTTATGTTTGATGCCGGGTGGACGTTTACCTTCCCAAAGAGGTGGCATATTTTTCCAATGTTGCAAAATAACTGTGACATTCCATGGTAACAAATAATGAGAACCCTTGACGAATCCTTGTTGATCTTGTATACCAAGATTATGTGAATAAATACTGGACGAACCGAAACAAACCAATGACCAAGAGGCATAACGAGATGGTAAATTATTATCTACACCCAACAATGTATGGATCATTGTTGGCAATGTTTTCAAGTCAAGTATCTCTTTAGTTGAAGATGAAGTTGTCGGAGAATGTTGCTCTTCGTTTAGGAATTCTTCATCATCATCATCTTCGTCGTCGTCGTCACTGAGGAATTCTTTTTCATTGGAAAATTCTTCGTCTTCTGCTATATCATCAGACGATTCTTCAGATTCACCATATTGTGAACTATCATTTTTATTATCGGTCGATTTTTCATTTGATTCATCATTTTCATTGGATCTTGAATTCTTAACATCATCGATGGCACTAAAGTCATTTTCATCGTTATTGAATGAAATAGAATCACCATTATTTGAAAGATTATCTATACTCAGTAGGATATCATTCTGTTGAGTTTCGCCAGAATCTTCCACATCTGCATCGTTCTTTTCATCAATATCCTCATATTCTACTTGAGATAGTACGGCATCGTTGAACGTTTTCATAAGTGGACTATCACGTAAATTTTCACTTTTAGTTCCAGTCATGTTCTGACTGGAACTTAAATTCTCTATCTCGACATTTGAGTCGTAGACATGAAATTTATATCTTGCTATATTACGACATGTGTGACATTTGTATCGCATTTTAAGATAAAAATCATAATTTGCCGCTTTGATTGTAAATGGATCTTCGCGATTTCCCTGACGGCGACCACAATCGCAAGCAGAAATCATTTTTACCATACTGTTATGCGGCATCACAGGAGCATTACTGCTGTTTTGGCTAGATTCGGCTACCGATCCTTCTGTTTCAGATGAAGGCTGGTCAGTGCAATAGTCATCATGTGGTAATCGATGAATTTTATTGGTACAATAATTTCCGGTAAGGCTCATTTCTTCACACATTTTATGGCCGTTGGTCCAATATGATGTACATTCATTTTGAATCATTTTGATGTACTTGTAAATGGCAGGACCTCTTGATTGCATTGTAAAATGTTGTAGAGTTAATAATAGTTTTCGTTCATGAGTTTCACGAGTATAATGTGATGGCAAATTGTCTTTGTAATAAATGACAGCATTCGCAACCATTTTGGAACATCTACCCTCAGAAAAACGATTATCGATGTCCAATGTTGAGTGGAGAGAATCTAAAATCTTTTGCAGATTCTTTGTTTTTTCGCTACTAATGCCTGGATATGTTTGCTTGAATAAAAGCTCTTTGAATGCTATGAATAATTTGAAAAATATCTTCACTTTGATGACCAATTCATTAGATTTTACAGAATCTTTTGAATTTTTCATAAGTAAATTAATGTGAGGCAAAATAAAATTTGAAAATGACAAATTTTCCTGTGCCATTTGCCGATATTGAGTTGAACAGTTTTCATCAATACCAAAATTATCATTCGAACAACGATTAAAAATTTTTTCAAAGAAATATTCATCATGATTGATTATTGTTGATGTTTTGGTTACGATAAAGACAAACGAATTCAATGATGGAATCGTAAACAACGAATTGATCAACCGAGTTTTACGAAATAGTTTGACAATCTGTTCTTCAAGTTGTTTGACATAGAATTTGATATTTGAATCATTTATGTAATCATATCCATTATACGCTTCAAAAATGAACAAGAGTTGTGGCATAAACATGTTTTTCATCATATTGCTTGAAACCTTATTGAAAGAGCTTAACATCTCTGAAACAAATGGCTGTAATTTGATTCTAGTCGAATCAATTATTCTCAACATGTTAATGCAACCAATGTCTAATCGAGGGGAAGGGTTCGTTATCATGACGATATTACTGACGTAGAAAATCATAAGTATTGATTTGAACAAATCGGTCAGCAGATTAGGCCACATAGTAAGAAAACCCTGAATAAGGCAATTTATTCTATTGGTAAGAATGTTGAAAATACGAATTCATTTTCATTTACCTTTTCGATGAATTGTTTTTCCAGGTCTTCAAAAATATCAAGTACGGCACATGTATCAAAAACTGAAGTCAAATGAAGAAGAATCATTCGGTTGTTTACATCATAGTATCCATCAATTTGTACGAACTATTGAAAAGGTAATTATCAATTAAAAATGATAGATAATGTTAGAAATAACTTACATCATCTTTCAATAATAAGCTTTTATCAAGAAGTTTAGAATTGAATAAATTTTGTTCAATCCATTCGGGAATACAGGCGGCTTTGGCATTGCAAGAATGTAGAGCAGATTTTCCAATGATTGAAACGATAGAAACACGATCTGATTTATCAGAAGTCGATTGATCTTCAATAAATTTCATAACATTTCTAATAAAATAAATTAAAAACTTGAATTTATTATTCATCTCACACTTACTTTAAACTGGAATCTTCAACGGAGAAGAGAGAAAAATTTCTAGTAGAAGCAACGTATTTTTGCTTCGAATCATCATCATCTAAATTAAGTTGCGAATTCATCAAAGAATCTAAAAACTTAATTTCCGATTCGGACTTCATGTTGATGATTTGTTGATAAATATTGGATATTCTGCATGCAAAATAAAACACTATTGGAACCCAATGAATCCGATCGAGTTATTACAGAAATTTCATTGCACATGAGCTTTTTTGGCGCTTAAAATTTATATGGCAATAAAGTTTGACAAGGCCATTTATCTATTCATATCAAGGTTGTTTGAGCTAACATTTGTAGATAATGATAACGGAAATAATTCCTTGTTCGTTGTTGGGAAAAAAATGAACCAAATATCTACTATTTAAGAGTAGAGAATTAATGAGTTCCATTTTTAGATTGTCTGGAAATTTTATGATGATATATTAGTCACATGATCCATAACTTGTAATAGATGATGCTATATATTTTAATAATTTGTCTCGGAATCAAAATGGCATTGAAAAAAAACGACAGGCTATATATCATTGAATAAGTTGTGATACAATGTTTCGATATTGCATACACACAAAGATTTACCCAATTTGGGTGCTACTGGGGGCATTCACCTTGAATTCTAATGTAAAAGTGTATACTGTATTTGTTGATTCATTTGGTTGTTGTGTTGGATATTTGAAACTAAAATTGAATTCCCTATAGCTATAAAATCTAGACACCGCCTAGCCACGGTTTCTTTGTTGGTACTCACTCACTTTATGATGGGAATCATTCTGGTTCTATGGATATAAAGGCCTGGTTGTAATATAATGAATGCAAGAATAAATGTCGAGAATAATATGAGATAGTTGGAGAGACTCTTTATATAACAAGCATGTTGTAGAGAATTGTTGTCCTATAGAAAAAGATGTTTTATGTTACCATGGAGAAAATAAAATCATGCAGCCAGTCTTGAATCATCGAACCACGACATTCTAATTCATTTAACTTCGTGATATTTAAAGTAGCACGTTTTCTCATTTCTATTTCAACATTGACTAAAAAATTTTAAGTCCAAATAAAATACTGCCAACACCAATGATAATCATCGATAATAATCGATTTAAATGATGGAAAACTTGACCGGAAGTAGGGACAATATTTGCCATAATACTCAGATGAACTTTGAAGATACTAGTCACATATTCACGATTTTCACTGCAATGAACGAAATGCGAAAGATTGGTCAACTGTGTGATATCACTTTGGAAGTTGCTGGAACGAAAATCCTGGCTCATAAAGTGGTTCTGGCTGCTAACAGCGCATATTTCAATGCAATGTTTAACTGTAAGTAATGAATGAAAAAATTTACTTATCCTAAATTTAGTTATATTTAGCGGAAATGATAGAGAAAAGTATGTCTCATATTGAAATCCGTGAAATTGATCCGAACGCATTGAAATTATTGATCGAATTCATCTATACGGGTCAATTGACCATAACCGAAGCGAATGTTTTGAACTTACTACCGGCTTCAAGTTTATTACAATTAATGATTATTCGTGAAACATGCTGCCGATTCCTACTCAACCAATTGCATCCGTCTAATTGTTTAGGTATAAGAAAATTTGCTGATACTCACAGTTGTCAGGAACTTCAAGTTTGCTCGCTTAAATATGCTCTCGATAACTTCCAAGAAGTCTCATTGACTGAAGAATTTTTATCGCTTTCATATGAAGGCATAATTAGTCTAATTTCCGATAATCATTTAAATGTGGCCGACGAAGAAACTGTTTACGATGCGACCATTCGATGGATTAAACATGATTCTAAATCAAGAGAAATACATTTTCCCACCCTTCTAAGTCATGTTAGATTGCCATTGATTGAACGAAATTTTTTGATCAACCAAATACTAGCAGAACCATTTGTTCGTGAAAATAATCAAGCTAAAGATTTAGTCATTGAAGCCATGAAATATCATCTTAGTTTTGAAAATCGTTCAGGCAATTCTCCTCGAACTCAACATCGAAAACCGGATGGTTTGACTGAATTTATTTTTGCGATTGGAGGTGGTTCACTTTTTACCACTCATAATGAATGTGAATTTTTTGATCCTAGGGATAATACTTGGCTCGAATTCACGCCCACTAATCAACGAAGATCTCGAGCTGGTGTTACTTGTTTGCATAGATATATTTATGTCATTGGAGGATATAATAATGGATCAAAGACATTGTCTTCTGCAGAGTTTTTTGACCCTTTAACAAATGTTTGGACCGATACTACTGCAATGGGAACCAAACGTAGTTGTCATGGAGTTGCCGAACTCAACAACATTATTTATGCAGTCGGTGGATATGATGGTAGCTGTAATTTCCAAATACACAATTATTTTATAAAAAAATGAATTTTTTTCTTTAAATCTAGGAATCAATTGTTTGAGCAGTGCAGAACGATTTGATCCTTTAATATCAGCTTGGTTTTCGGTCAATTCATTGGAAATCAAACGTCGTTATACCAGATTATTGGCATTGAATGGCAGTTTATACGTGGTTGGAGGATTTGATGGAGCTAATCATTTGGCTTCAGTAGAACGTTATGATCCCAGGGTATTACATTATTGAATTATAAATTTAGATTGATGCTAAAATCCATCCTTCCTTTATTGTTTCTATAGGAAGGAAAATGGATAGCAGTTGCACCGATGTTAAGCCGACGAAGTAGTTGTGGTGCAACTGTCATGGATAACAAGATTTATGTTGCCGGTGGCAATGATGGAACATTGTGCATGTCCAGTGCCCAACGATATGATCCAGTGCGAAATGCTTGGGAGAATATATCATCAATGCAAAATCGACGAAGCACTCATGAATTAGTCGAAATCAATGGATTACTTTATGCTCTAGGCGGAAATGATGGCAGCAATAGTTTGAATACAGTTGAATTCTACACACCCGAAGATAACAAATGGTCAATGAATAATTCAATGATTTTACGACGAAGTGGCCTAGGAGCTGTTAAACTTGAATGTTGTGATCTACGAAATTCATTAACCGATTCATCAAATCTGGAAAAGTCTTCGCCATATTCTTCCCTCATTTCGACAAAATCTTTGGATCTTAATTTCAAAGAAAGTAATGTTAGTAACAGTGATGATAATAAACCAATTTAATGACAACCATTAGTTAGATAAAATGATGAGAAATGCACAAATTACGAAGTAAAAAAATCAAAATTAGATTTTTTATTAATATTTTTGTTGTAGAAAAAAAAATCTAACACATTATTTTTGTAGCTAATGATTCAGACAATGAATAGAACTGATATTTTTTCATTTCATTATTTTGCAAAAAATATTTAATTGAATTCTGACTAATTTGATTTGTTTATTTTTTGCCCTGAATTTCTGACGGTTTAATATCGAAATCTTTGCTTGCAATGTTCAATAACAATGATTGAGCATCCAGATAAACTCGGTTCTGTGATTGTGAAATCGTCTCGGCAATGTGTTGGGCGGCACGAATTTTTCTCAATTTGAGATAACCAGGATTCTTGGAAATTGCTTCACCTAAGTAAAATCGGAAAAAAATAGAGCTCAGGAAAATAAAAAGAAAAATTGGAATGATTTGATTGATTCTATTGCAAACATGGTCATCAGATTACTAAAGAATTAAAGAATCATTTTTGATTAATTTTTTTCCTATCTAAATGTTTATCAATCTTATTGAACCATAGCTAGAATGCTTCATAAATAACTATATGTACTCATTCTAACAGAACCATTTGGTTCAGATTGATGATAAATTGTAGTCTGCCCTTTACAGCATCAAAATTGATTAAATCCTACGGTTTTGACGCCAAGATATCAGACCTCAAATCAGAAAGATGAGCTATGAAAAAATGCCATTAAAGTTCATCATTAAAGACCATTATAGTAAATAAAATCATTAAAAATCGTAATAATTGTGAAAAGGATATCATTCGAGCGGCTTCGGCTTCACCCTCAGCTTGTACAATCTTTTGTTGTTTTTCCTGTATCGCTTTTTCTACTAAAAATTGGGCACGTTGAGCTTCTTGTTGGGCAACTTGTTTAGCTTCGACAGCATGTGAATATTCTTTTCCAAAACTCAATTCGGTAAGAGAAACATCATCCAGAATAATATGGAAATCTTTTGCACGATCAATTAATTGTTTTCGAACCAGAAGGGATACTTGTTGACGTTGAGTGATCAATTGTGAGGCATTGAATTTGGCCACAACACTTTTCAAAACTTCATTACAAATCGAAGGCAAAACACGTTCATCAAAATCAGTGCCCAAAACCCGATATATATGTGGAAGTTTTAAAGCATCCGGACGAGCCAGAACACGCAATGAAATATTAACCATCTGCAAATCTTTACTACCAGTCGGTGAAGAATATTGTTGTGGCTTTGATCGAATATCATAAATGATAGGCCATTGAAACCAAGGAATGCTATTGGTTAAAAAAAATTATTTTAGCTTGTGTATAAAATTTTTTAATATTTTAAAATTTACCGAAAATGCAATCCTTCAGAGTAAACACCCTGTTGAACACCACCTAGACGGCTGAAAATTATCGCTCGATGACCACCATCAACTAATCAGAATGATAAAATTTTAAATTAAATCAACGAAACAAAAAAATTGAATTAGCCAAACCTGTATAAACGGATTGAGTTGCAGCATAACCAAGGCCACCAGCGGCTAACAATAATTTGGCACCAAGGCCAAGACCGGATGGGGTTTTACCGCCAAATTTTCCCATGAAATCACCAAGTTTTTCAGCCATAATTAGTGAAGATCAATAATTAAAAAGAAAACGAGCAAAAAAATTGTCAAAGGACAGAATGTGAAATGCTTCAAGATGTGATGAAATTGGGAACATGTGTTCATCAAATAATGTTCAAATAGAACGTATCCCGAAGGGGGACATGCCTTTCTTTTGAACCAAAATAACAATTTTTGCTAATTTACAAAAAAATGGCATCCTTATTAAAAATACGATTTTTGATTCAAAGAAAATTTTTGAATTCAACCGCAAAATTTCTGAGCAGTAAATCTTCTGCTGTTGCAAGTACATCCGGACAAGAATCTGCCGATTTGATGGAATTAAGTTCGGAAGAAATAAATAAACGATTAATGACTTTTTTTGATCTTCCCGACAATTGGATTAAAGAAGAGGTTAAATCTGGTAATCAAATGAATCGTTATCAATCGATTTAAATAATTAATTATTCATTTGAATAGGTCGAGGTTGGCGAATCGAAGAACTTCGTATCAAAAGTAATAGTGATTTACATAAATTATGGTACATATTATATAAAGAACGAAACATGTTAATGACAATGGAACAGGCTGCTAAAGATGAAGTGGAAAACATGGTTAGTCCAGAAAGATTGGTTAAAGTTGAAGATAGTATGAAGAATATTGAAGAAGTCATAAAAGAAAGAAATCGAGCTTACTGGCAGCTTGAAGTTGGTGACAGTAGCCCGGTTGAAAGGCGTCGAGTTTTTCGTCGCGATATATTTGGTCGTTGGAGAATGATTGCCTGTTCGGAACATTTAATACCATATTGGATGAACAGTGAATGGAGAAAATTCAATGCTCCTGGTTTCGGTGCCGATGTTATCAATTTTAATCGACGTTTCAATGAGATTCAACTAAATCGTCGAATGTCACAGTTATTGAAACAACAATTCTATTGTCGACAATTACTGAAACGATTTCCAAATATTGATCTGGATCATCTACAGGAACGATTTCCCGATATCGATATTAAGCATATAAAAGATAATAACGATGAATATACTCTTCAAAATCGAATTTCGCGATTTAATCAAATTTTTTATCATAAAAAGAAAGATATTTAAGTAACTTTGATTTTTTTTCATTTAATATTCAAACTTCTGTATAATTATTACATATTGTGTAATATTAATTTTATCAATAGAAATATTGAGATGATTTTTTTTAATTACAAAAAAGAATCCCAGTTTGTTTACACTGAGAGTAATTAAAAGCAAAATGTCAAAAAAAAAGAAAAAAATTTTTTGCAAATGATTACAAAAGACTATCGACGATGATTATGATGATGATGATGATGATTACAAAGCTGATCAAATATTATCCATAATCCAAGCACCACAATAATTATTCAAACCTATTAATGCTTTTGTATGCTTTATCACTGTTTCGATTGCTACTTTTTGCGTACCCGAATTAAGATTGACTATGGCATTGTTTAATCTTTGACAGACGGTTTCACGATCTAAATGATTCAAGTATTTAGTAGCTTCATTGGGATCAGAGAATGCAATAAAAAACCATGCCTCTTCTAACATTTTCTTATTGATCTCTTTCGATGCTGAATCGGCATCCAATTTTTGTGCCAAAGAATTCAATTCTTTACCAAACATTAGAATCATTTTGAAACGATCAATATTATCATTGGACGAGTGAATATTATTCGATGTGTGATTTACATCATTATTATGCACCAAATTATCCTCTGATTGATTGTTGAAATTATTAACTGGTAGATCTTCATTATCATCAGAATTCATGTCTAATTCCATTTTCATTTCCGAGTTTCCATTACAATCATTGCCATTGGCTGAAAAGGGAAGATCATCGTTTCCACATACAAATTCGATAAATTGTCGACATTTCAAGGCGAATAAAAGATTATGATTATCTTGCAACACTGTTGGATAAAGTCGATTTGTTGTTTGAATAGCCTCGCCGATCTTACCACTCAATACTAATTGTTGTATTTTGAGCCTTTGTTTTACGTTCTGAATGTTTTCATTAAACGGTATTTTGGTATATTCCGAAAAGACTTGTGCTGTAGAACAATAACCATTATGTATGAGCCATGATTGTACCAAATGATGGATCATCGGTTGCCATTCAGTGTGATTTACTGGGAAAAGATTTATACAAGATGTTACTTTATTTCTTAACTTGAATATGTCTTGTTCGATATCATAACAAAATGGCTTGATACCGAAATTTGCTTCCAATTCTTCACCAGGCGTTTGAAGGCCAACTGTTGGAAACAATGATACTTGAGGCAAATCCACAAAAGCAACTCCAAGATTTTGGCCATTTTTAGTGTAGAAACAAAGATTTTCGATTAGATTATAGCCACAACCGATTGTATCACCTGTGGTGAATGTGGGTCCATAAGGTTGACCAGTACCGGAGCTATTGAACGAATGTCCATCATCACCATGATAACCATATGACTGTTTGTCCCAACCAGGTAAACGATGCATATTAACACCTTGAGCTGCCAGACCAATACCCATGTATCCATCACGACCCTTTGAAATGATTTTGACTTCATAATAATAAAGTAGACATGATAGAGGTACAGGATTTGAAGCTCGAATAGCAGCCGCATCTTTATGAGTTTTGCCCACACCCTTATAAAGAACTTTGAGACCATCTTCCGACAATGTTATATAATTGGCTTTATCTTTGGAAGACCATTGTTTCGGTATCTGATCTAGATCAGTATATGGATAAAGTTTTTTCAGCCGACCAATCTGTTCAGCATTAAGATGATTGGGCAGATTGACGGGCGATGATGATCTAGATGATGATGAATCCATGACCAACTCTCGCACTAAAGGATTATTCGACATTAAATCTATTAGATTATTATTCAAAGATTTTTTTTTTAAATTAAACAACCGAAACGCTGATGATGTAACTATTATTTATTGTTTTAAAATTCCAAATTATAATAAATATAAAATACACTTATTATAACGAGATCACAAACAACAAGAAGCGTAGCTGTCTATTGTTCCGAGTATTTTTCTTTTGTTGACTGCTACTTTATTGCAATAATGATGTCGTTGCTGGTGATTTTTGGTGAATATGTGCATATAGATTTTATGAACAGCTTCCATTTATCAAACTTCGCTGAATCATTTTCGATTGAGTCTTTTAATTTTATTTTTTTTTTTTTTTTTATTTATTTTTTTATAAATTCTTGTTCAAAAGCGATCCATAAGTATAAACAAAAATGCCAGCCGAAAATCTAGAAGATGAAAGCTTAGCTAAAAATCCAAATTTGGAACTATCACAATGGCTTTTCTTATTAACCATTGAAGATAATGCATCAATTCGACAAAATCTTATGGATGCTATCACTCAAAATGACATGGCACCTTTCTATAAAATGGTCAGTTTTTTAACCAGTTTTATCTTACATAATTTTATCTGATTACTTTTTTATTAAAAGGTTTGTGAAACTTTAAAATGGCCAATTAACGAAGAACTTTACGAAAAAATGAAAAAGAAGAATGATGAAAAAATTAAAGAATTTGATTTTGCTATTGAAGATGCGGAAAAAAATCTGGGTGAAATGGAAGTTCGTGAAGCTAATCTGGCCAAAGCCGAATACTATAGTATGATTGGCGATAAAGAAAATACAATGTCTGCTTTTCGAAAAACCTACGATAAAACAGTGTCGTTGGGCCATCGTTTAGATTTATTGTTTCACATTATCCGTATTGGTCTTTTTTATTTGGATCATAAATTGATTTCTATCAACATCGAAAAAGCAAAAGAACTCATTGAAGAAGGTGGTGATTGGGATCGTCGAAATCGATTACGTGTCTATCAAGGTTTCTATTGCATCACCATTCGTGATTTTCAACAAGCTGCATCACTTTTTTTGGACACAATTTCAACGTTCACTTGCTATGAACTTTGTGATTACAAAACGTTTGTAGCCTATACTGTTATTACGGCCATGATTTCTTTGCCTAGAGTTCAACTCCGAAAAAATGTCATAAAAGGTGCTGAAATTTTGGAAGTACTTCACGGAAATCCCGAACTTCGCGAATTTCTATTTTCGCTATACGAATGCAATTACAGTAAATTTTTTGAGAAACTTTGCTGGATCGAATACTTTATGAAAAAAGATCGATTGTTTCAGCCACATTATCGTTTTTATATTCGTGAAATGCGTATTCTTGCCTATAATCAATTATTGGAATCGTATCGAAGTTTGGAACTAAAATATATGGCCGATGCTTTTGGTGTCACTGTCAATTTCATCGATCAGGAATTGGCTCGTTTTATTGCTGCTGGAAGACTTTTCTGTAAGATCGATAAGGTGAACGGTATTGTCGAGACCAATCGGCCGGATGCCAAAAATCATCAGTATCAGGCATGTATCAAACATGGCGATATTCTATTAAATCGTATTCAAAAACTTAGCCGTGTCATCAATATATGAAAATGACACAGAAAATTTTATCTAAATAATAATAATAAAATAAAATATATAAATTTTCCAAAGATATACAATTTTTATTATATCCATTCATGGAGAGAAAAAAAAGAAACAATCTTTGAATAAAGTCATGTATCACAGTGGTGATTTTCAAGAAGAAAAGAATTGAAGTTTGGCCAGCTTTGAAATAAAATGTTTTGGCTATTCTTCAATACCAACAACATAAGAAATTTATGCTAATTTTTACTGATAACTGTTTCTTTTGATAATCTGGACGGTTCTGTTCTGATCATTAGATTGTTGAATATTTGAATTGTTGTTGTTGGCTTTTTTCAAAGCTTTTAAGGCCCTATTTACAATGAAACAATCTTTAAGCCATTCTTTTGCTTGATCCGGATCGGATTTTTCTTTCGTTACTGTTGTTGTTAGAGCTGATGATGATGATTCAGCAATTGTAGTTAAGAATTCATTCATATCATATTGATAGCCATTCGTATGAATTTCCATTGATTGTTGATTTTGCTTGTTATTATTGCTATCATTAGAATCCACACATTTTGACAATAGTACTTGTTGTTGGATGGTTTGATCAACCGATGTCGAATGCACCAAACTAGATTGTGGTTGTTGTTGCTGTTGCAGGATACTAACCTGATTAGTACCATTATGAACAATACCAATTATCTGACAATTATTATTAATCAAATGAGTAGGCTGATGATTTAGAATGGTTTCGTTTTGATCAGTCATCGCTATTCCTGTAAGTACGGTCTGTGCACTGATGTTATTGTCCAAGGCAATGATTTCGCATTCTTGCTCTTCCTGAGGTTGTTGTTGTGGAACTTCTTCATATTCAACATTAGTAGCTATGTAATAATTAATATAAGAATTTTATTATACAATTTATTTCAGTTATTTTAATTTTTTTTAGCTTACCTTCATATGAAGAGTCAATTGGAGAGGTATAGAATAGTTGATGATTATTTGAAGATGCAACCTGTAAGCTTAGATTAGGTTGACAAATATTCTGTGAATTTTGTTGTTGTGGTATTAATATGCATTCATTTTGATTGGCTATCAATATTGTCGACGGTACTAATACGCTGACATTTGGAAAAGTTGCGGCAGCTACCTGATAAGAGCCAACAAGATCGTTGTTTGTGGGCAAAATCATTTGTACAGGTTCGGCAACTGTCGTTTTTTGTACAAGGGTTGATGTATGATGTTCATTAATGAAACCATTTGATACTTGTAAATTTTGTGTCGGTAATAAAACAATTTGTGCAGTCTGCGACATTGTATTATTTAGTTGATCTCGTTGTTGATGATTATTGTGAAATCCAACATCCAAATGATTCTCTTGGCTATGATTCACAGGATTAGCGGCAATCAAAGTGATTCCATAAGGATCAGCAATTGTCGCTGTTGTATGAATATTGTTGTTTTGTTGTCGTTGATGAATTTGATGTCGTTGTTGTTGATTATGATTTTGGTGATGACGATGATAATGATGATGATGATGATGGCCAATATAACGATTATTGGGCATAGTATAATTTAATTAAAAAAAATTGATCGACGACTTTATTGTTGTCGATATATTCCACATGAACAGGTATTCATTCATTGGTAAATCTAAATTGAATAAAAAATCATAAAGACCTTATAATAACTATATATATTATATGGTTAATGAAAATTCAGAATCATTCGAGTCATACCGTATACATTTGAATGATTAAATCAATTTTTTCATAACAAAAACAATAGAATTGCAAGCCAAGAATATATCAATTATAATTCAAGTATATCAAATAATATACACCCACCACCAATACAATAAACATGACATAGCTTTGTATTCGAATTTTTGTTTATTAAATATATTTTTGTTTAGATGTGATATATGAATTACATGATGACTTGTAAACAATTAATTTTTTGTCTTTTCTTACACACACACACACACACTATATATATATCACCAAAATATTGGTATATTTATTTTTTTCTGCTAACACACACACACTTTATATATATATATATATTGAGAGAAAGGGGAATATAGATTTTTTTTTGTTGTATATAATGCGTGTGATGAAATGAGCGAGAATGCCAGAAAAAATGAGCAATGTAATTGAATATATATACAAACTAGACACCGACTCTTTAATATTTTTCACTCATTTCTTCAGCCATTTGAATAGCTGCTAAGTGGAAAAATTTTCGTATTGTATACCAATACTGTCTCTCTATATACAGAGATATCCTTAATGGACATTAAATGATGATTCCACATGCTGGTTTATACAAATATGCTTCTTCTTTTTTTTCAAATTTTGATTTCATTTTTTTTTCGCCACAATAATCAAAATCGTGGACAATAAAGACTCTCTTGGAAAAAATAATATCTTTTTTCGGTGTTGATTAAAATTCGATAATAATAATTTATAAGAATAAGAACGTAAAGATATAACAATAAAAAAAAATGTCACCACTTAAAGGTAATAAATTTATTCTTATTTCAATTATCAATACTTACAATGATTCCAGAATTACAAGATACAAATTATGAAGATTTACCAAATCTTGAGCCAAATTTTATTGATTACCGTGTGAATAGCGCTTCGTTTCGAAAACCAGAAAAAATTGGCCATTTTTCCTCTGATTTGTATAAAAAAAATCGAACTAGAGAAATGCGATTCGATGAATCAAATTTGTCATATCTGGATCTTCCTCAGTCACTAGACTACCTTCAATTAGATTTGACCGAAGGATATGATCGTTTTAAACATATCAACTGGGCGAACCCTAGTATTGATAAATTGGATGAAATGCTTAAATGGATTTTAAAAAATCGTCATTTAATCGAAAGCGGTAATCAAGCTAAACCGCTGGATTTTGATTTCATCACTCAAAGAGGAGTATTTACAAGGATCATGTGTACGCCGATTGTGAGTGATGAATGGCATATTGGATTTTCTAAATTTAAAGGAACAATTTATATATGTCCATTTTTCAATGATCATGATGAAAATGAAAGCAATTTTGAGCGTTTAAATATGGCTTCTTATGGTGGTTATCGATTTGAGCATTATATAACCAAATCCAAACATCAAGATACAAGAATGTATGACAATAATTTTTCTCCTACATTACATGAATATTCTGCTTTGCTCAAATCAAAAATCCATTCTATGGCCAATCGGAACGGATATCATTCATTATTATATGTGGCCGAAATAGACTGTCTGGAAGACAAAGAACAAGATTCCACGCGTATGGAAAATTTTGTTGAAATAAAAACGACATCCAAAATTAATAGTCACATACAAGACGAAAATTTCCATCGTTATAAATCATGCAAATGGTGGGCTCAAAGTAAATTGGTAGCAATCGATCGAATAATTTGTGGATACAAAGAAAACAATCTTACCACAGTTACATCAATCGAAACATTGTATGTCGATGACATTGCAAGACGGGCCTTTCGAATTTGGGATTATAGAGATTGTTGGAATTTTCTAGACCATTTCCTAACATACGTACAGAATTTATTGAAAAATGAAAATGACCCTTCTAAGGTTTTTCTGTTTAGCAAAGAACGAAATTCATCAACGATTACATGTAAAAAAGTTCTTTATTCTGGCAATCTTCTCATCATTCCTGATTGGTATGTCAATGCTTTCAAATGTGTAAATGATGTCAGAAAGAAAAACGAATCAAATGTGAAATGAATACGATCATAATAATTACTGTCGAACATATCAACATTTTACATCCTGAACAATGTGGTTCATGTTCATAATCACCAATACAAGACGCAAATTCCATCAAATGAGCTATGTATGTTTGTTCTTGACTTCCTCTCAGTAAATTAGATCCTGGTCCTGTTGCATAAGCGGCTATTATACAAATTTCATAAAATAATTTACATATTCATTATTTTTGTATATATAAAAATATATCATTGGAAAATTTTCATTTACCAACATCATCGCCTCCATGAGTAGCACTGTCCAATGGTACGGCCGATATTTGAGCAAAGTCAATTTGTTCTATGAATGTTATATAAATAATAAATTAAAAAATAATTTCATATTAAATTCTTAATCATACTGATTTCTTTTCCGTGTAATTTCTCGATTCTTTATATCCAGGTCCAGTTGAATAAATCAATGAGGTAAAATTTTTTCCATCTCTATCTGTATAATCACTAAATCCAAAAAGATCATTTGTCATTAACGAGCTGCCACTATGAGTAAAACTATGTGAATGATCTGCTGTGACAATGATTAACGTTTCTTTAAGATTGACCATTGATTGCGCTTTGATAATTGCCTTTTCAAATGCCAATAGATCATGTAATGAATAAAATGCTTGATTTGTATGATGAGCTTTATCGATTTTGGCACCTTCGACCATTAAAAAGAATCCATTTTTGTTCTTTTTTAGAATTTGCAATGCTGCTACAGTCATCTCTTCTATTGTCGGTTCAGTTTCGCTGGTATCGTTTTTTAATTCTTTATCGAATTTCATATGATTTTCACAAAATGATCCAAGCAAATAGTCAACTTTGTCATAATCGATCTCTGATAATTCTTGTTTTGTCGAAACAAATTCATAATGATGATGATTCGTTTGATTTCCCAATTTATATTGCCATTCTTCGAACAAATCACGATTATCTTCTCTTTTGCCAACTTCTTTTCCTTTTGGAAGAAAGTTTTTTCTTCCACCACCAAGCATTACTCGATATTCTGTATGATCTTCAATCAATTGTAGAGCAATATCTTTGCATTTATCATCATTTAAAGATGATGAAGATTCATCATAACGACTTGAGACATGTGCATAGGTTGCCGCCGGTGTAGCATCGGTAATACTGGCCGTCGTAACAAATCCAACACTTTTACCTGTTGATTATTATTTCGAATGTTAGATGATTATAAATCGCTTTGAATAATTACCTGATTTGGCAGCTTTTTCAAAAACCGTTTCAACAATGTTTTCTTGTAACAATTCGCAATTTGTATCTTTATAATTAACGTTTCCATTCACACCGATCGTACCACGATTTGTTTTCACTCCAGTACAAAAAGCCGTTCCTGTTCCTGCCGAATCCGGAACTGCATAATCTATGTTGTATGTCTTTGATTCAAAAGTTTAGGCTTTGGTTACATTAATAAATTAATTGACAAACTCACCTGAATCAATGCCGTATGATCGAATTGTTCAAAAACTAGATGGTCATCATTTTTATTGGTAATTTGTCGTTTTAGTAATCGAGCTGCAGATATGGATGGCATACCCATTCCATCACCAAGGAAGATAATAACATTTTTAGCTTGTTTGATGTCGTCATCCGAAAGAAACGTTTTCGAATGGTACAATGCATTTCTACTCAATTCTCGCCAATATACAGGGTCCTTGTGATTTGAACAAGAAATCCAATTGACTAGAAAAAAACATAGATAAAAAAATAATGAAAAATTCATCATTAATTTGTTAATAATGATTAAATGACGTAAAAAAATGATTTAAAATCACCGAAGATTACCTATGAATTTATATATGTAAATATTTGATGAAAATGATAGCAATTAAATAATTAATATTATCATAAATAGTTATCAAAATAAAAAATGATTTATATTTCATCACAGTGCTTAAAATAAAATGCGATACAATTTAATTCAATTAGATTTGATCAATTAAATGATCATAAAATAATCAAAATTAAGATTCAAGAATTTTTTTTCTGGATCTGATTTAAAATTTTCAAAAATTATATTAATTTATACATGTAATAAAATAGTAATTAACGTAATCAAGCATTGAAAAAAATAATTGGTTTATTAAAAAAAATGTTACAATTTTTATTATCAAATAATACGTCGTCAATTTTTTTTTATTGTGCAATCAATTAATTCATATGAAATTCTGGTCGAATATCCAAGGTATGCTGATCAAATATTCAAAAAAAAAAATGGATACAGTTGTTCAAACAACGAGCAATTATAATTTGCGACCTTGAAAATTTCAAAACCATTTTCGATCTAGTTATTGATCAAAAATGTTATGTTTTAGAGATAACTTTATACTTTCTGGTCGAAAATGTTTCAAATTCATTTTCGCTATTCCTATTTGTCTTTATTTGATGTACAGATTTCTTATGATTGAAAAACATGATGATAATCCAATCAAAAAATGTTTTGAACATTCAAATAATCCAGTCGACATTGATTTTAACCATAGTAAATTGGCAATGGATGGACTCAAAACTAATCATATGAAATTATTATTAATTTCTGAGGCACGAAGCGGTTCAACTTTTTTAGGTGATTTATTACACCATGCAATTGAATCCAGTTACTATAGTTTTGAACCACTTGTTGGCGTCCAACGCAATCCATACAACTATGAACAAATCATTGAAGATATTTTCAGCTGTCGATTTGATCTACGTTCATATCTAAAACCGCTGTACTGGAAGATTCAATATATGAAATGGAATCATTTGCTACTAAAAGCGATTGGTCCAAATCAACATGAAAATAATATTCATTTGTTCAACAAGACCATTCATCAAATAACATGTCAATACAGTTCGGCAATAATTATCAAAACCATACGTTTTACAATGAAACATTTGTCTTCTTTAATGCTCTCTAAATCAAGTATGATAATTTATTTCGTATTACTAATTATTTAATAATTTTTTTATATCAATTTTTTCATAGTGACTAATATAAAGGTAATCTTTCTCGTAAGAGATCCTAGAGCTGTAATGAGTTCTAGATATAAATTATCATGGTGTCATCATAGTGAAAATTGTACCGATTCTCGTGTATTATGTGATCGTATTCAGGCTAATATAGAGTCTTTGAAAATGATGAAAAATTTAATGAATAACATATCAATCGTATTAGTACGTTATGAAGATTTAATTGGTGATATTTGGCAAGCAACAGGTAAATTACTCAAATTCTTAGAAATCGTTCCTACCTATTCACTTGATCAATGGATAAAAAAACATACATCAACTGATGATGTACTACTAAATCCACATTCAACTTATAGAAATATCAAATCACAGCAGAAAATTGGATGGAGAGAAAATCTTTCATATGAAGATATAATTGACATACAATACGATTGTTCAGATGTAATGAATGATTTAGGCTATCGACTAACCAATTATCGTTCAATCAAATCGAAATTCCAAACCATTTTCGAGGTAGTTAAATTTGATTTTCCATTGAAAATTTATTCACTGCAATAAGAAAAATAAATTAACGAATGCAATAAATTGATGGATGATGGACTCATGCTGATGATATGACGACGGTATGTGTGATGTTGATGGCGGCGGCCAGTTTTCAGTTGCGTTTCCTTAAAATAAACCTGTTTAAAAGAAAATGAAATCATGGCAAACACCCTATAATGTATACTTTTCTTTCTACATATGCTTGTATATATGAAATACTTAAATGTCAATATTCTTTTAAATACCAATTCAAGTTTATTATCAACATGGTTTCCAGTTACGAATGAATGAAACAAAAACAAATATTTGTTGTAACAAAAAAAAAATTCAACTCATTCGATTCGACCAACAACAAAATTGAAAAAGAGTTAGTTCGAAATGATGATTTCGATGATTGTTTTTTTCCAACAAATTTCAAATTAAAATCTATTATTATTATCACCTTTTTCAATGTCGATTCTCAAGGAAATCGATTAATTATAATACGATTAAATATCAATAAGTTGTCAAAAGTGGAATAAAAACGACAAAGACAACAATTCACTATTTAAAGTTTGCTTTGTGATTAATTTTTTTTTGTTTCAACGCTGTGTTGTCTTACCTTTGATTTTCTCAACGAATATGACGAAATTTTATTGGACCATTTCATTGGTCATAATCTTGGCATTGATTTTGCATGGTAAATTGTTGATCTTTTTTTCCTTGAAATATCTTTCATTCTTATGTCATTGGTTTAAGTTCATGGCCATAGAGAGAAGAAAAGCTATGAAGAAGAATGTGAAAATGAAGAGGAAATGGTCGAAATATGTGGCCGAGATTTTCTCATTTATACAAATGAAACAATGGCATCAACAGAAGCTGAAATGGATACATTTTGCCGGTTGTTATCAATAATGTTTTCTTGGTTCTAAATCTTATTGACATTTTTTTCTATATTGTAATTAAAAATAGAATCTACAAAGAAAAAGAAAGATGCCTTCGTGACCATTCTAACAAATGCCTTTCTCATTCGGCTAATCAAGCAATCATGGAATTAATTCGAACCATATCGAACAAGAATAGGATAATTTGTTCAAGTAAACAACGACGAAATGTACAGATTCGTGCCAATCATTGTTTAAATCAACAACGTTTACAGCGACCAAATTTTTGTTACAATGGCTTTGTTCAACGAATTCATGGTATTCATCAATATAGTCAAGAGGAAAAGATTCCAATCATTTGTTGGTAAGAATTTCGAAAGGATAAGAATCAAAATTTTTAAAATAATCTCTTAATAATTTTATCATTAGCAACTATCATGAATTTTTGACCTGTCTACGAAATCAGCTAAAATCATGCGCTCATAACTTGATCAATAATTTATTGAAATTGATACAAAATTATTCTGGTGAAACGTTAAACTATGTTTGTCGTGAATATCGAAATTCAAACAAATGTCAGAATAATGGCATGATCAACGACGATAATGTCATAAATGAAGCTAGACCAAAGACATTTTTTTCATTATTGGTAAAAATTTATCTATCTTAGTTAATTATCAATTTAATGGCTTAAAAATGGTATATAATGGCATATTAAAATGTGTGTATTTTTGATTTATTATATAATAATAATCTTATTTTACAAGAAAAAAAATAAAAACGCCAAAGAGGAGGAAAGAATGATTCAGATAAATGTTTCGATAAAAAAAATTCATTTAGCAAATCAATTCATTTTCCTTCGTTTGAACCGAGAAGATCTAGTATGATTTGCTATTCCTTCTTTTACATCATCATTATTATCATCATCATCATAGTTTTTTTCATTATCATCATCATGTTCACAGTGATTGGAATTGACATGTTCATTGATATTAGTATCGTTAATATTATTCTCGGATTCATCTGTGGTAGCATGTTTGACGGTAGATAATTCTGCTGGATAATCTCCTTCATCCACATCCTCTTCATCGTCATCATCATCATCATCATCTTCTTTCAAATGTTGAGATTCATCTTCATAATAATCGCCATCCTCATTATTGGTAGACGATTTTTGTGTTGATCGCGTCATCTCGATATTTATACGGGATTTAACATCATCAGGTATATCTTCGCATTTATATAGAAGATGTAATCGAAATTTAGTGACATTTTTGGAAGAATAAAGTTTTTTGCAATAATTGCATTCGTATTGTTGACGCCCTATTTTTCGAAAATAATTATGAAAATGATTAGCAATATTAGATAATACTCACCTTGAAATGTGATCATTGAGAAATGCTTCCAAATTGGTATTTTGATTTGTGTCCAAGTTTTTAATGGGGATTCATAAAACGAATTGTTAATTTTGTGCCTTATATTTAACGGTATTTTATCACATCTTTCAAGAAGATGTTCTCGGCATTTGGTGGCATTTTTGTTGGCATAATTCATACAACAATAGATACATTGTATGACAGTTTTGTCTTGAACGAATAATAATTATGTTAAATTTTTATTTTACATATATAACCAAAAATTATTTACCATCGTCGTTAATGATGCAAAAATGTTCCCAGATCGTAGAACGTTTTGTTTGTTGTAAGATTCAATATATTCTTGACTGAATGTCGATCGCATTTTGATTCGTACGTCCTCATCTATCTTACGACATTTGAATGCTAAATGTTCTCGACATTTGGTTGCATTTCGTGACGAATATTCAATACCTGATGTTCAATATCAGATTTTAATGAAATTATAACGAATTGAATTGCATAAATAATACTTACCACAAAAGATGCAATTGATTGTGGTTTTACCATCTTTTTCAGAATTAACGAAATAATTCCAAACAGTATATTTTGAACCACTTGGCGGAGAATTGTAACGTCGAGCCTTTGTGGTTTTGATTTCATCGGGTGCCTTGTCACATTTTTCATTAATATGTTCCCGACATTTGTGTGCATTCATGCATTCATAAACGAAACATTTTCCGCAAAAATTACATTCAATATTCTTTTCTCCATCAGTATCTACCAATATGGTAAAATGGTTCCAAATGGCAGCTCGTTTTTCGACTTTTGAAGGAACTTTTTTGGAAAAAAAAGAATGAATTTTGAGTTTAAAATGTTTTCGCTTTTGTATTACCAGGATCGTCAGTGACAATCAACACTCTTCGTCGTTTATTGGACAGTTCGTTAAATTTTATATTACATTCATCGACAAGATTGTAACATAGTTGTATTTTTCGTTGCAAATCATCCATCTCTCGTTTGTCTGGTTCATCAACGGATTTTACCATATCAAGTCGTAATATTAATTCAATCAATTTAGCCTGATGTTGTACTTGCGATTGTAAAATGGAAAATTTTTCCTGAGTTGCAGTCAATTCTTTTTTGAGATTTTCATTTTCAGCGATCAGATTATGTGAATCTTTTAAAAATTCATCATCATCTTGTACTATGCGATTGTAATATCCTAACTGTATATTCGAATTATCATCAATGGCTATGATTTCATCATTGTTTCCACTGATGACAATGTTTTCTTCAATACCATCTTCATTTTGGTTGCTAAATTCTTCGACTTTTATCTGAAAAAAAATCTATTGCATTAGAAACCTCAATATATATCTTATCATTACCGTAATATTTTTATCCATGTTAACGTTATCTGATGAAAATTTTAATTCATTGCTAGTAACAAAATAAAATGACAATAATTTATTTTCGTAGTTTTAATTGTAACGATTGTATGGTGAATAAGAAACTTGACCAGAATCGAATTCCCGCTATTTGAAAAAATTCAATTAAACTTCTGAGATGTTTCCGAAAAATTTTGGTGTGGAAAGGTTCGCGTGAAAACTGCTCAAAAAAAATCACAAACATTGCTCTGGCAAAAAAGTGTTGCAGCTTTTGGCAATAGAATTTTTTTCGTCTATACAAAAATGACGTGTCTGAATGAATATTTTATTCGAATTTTAGAATTAAATTTTTTAAAAAATAATTAATTGTTCCTTCAATTCTGTTTTCTTTCTGAAATTATTTAAAGTGTAATAAAAAAATTAACATATTTATCCAATGGAATCACAACAGGTATTTATAACAATGAATTGATTTTCTATTATTCTAGTTTGTTTTTTTTCAAGGAATCAAATTTTGATTATATTATCCAAAAATTTATCTCTATTCTTCGCCAAAATGATCATTCATCATATATTTGTCCTCAAAAAGAATTGGTTTGTTTCTGTGAACGTAATTTCCATATGACAGACTTAGATGTGATTGAACCGGTAAGTGTCATCCTTTTCTGTTATTTTATCTCATTATTTCTCATTAGTTTATTCGTCAAATGAATTATTATTCCCATATTGATATCGATGCGGAAACTGATGAAAATGAAATATCACAAAGACTGTCATCTTTTAATCTGGATGATAATTTCAAACAGGCAATTGTAAAGAATTTATTGGCCATGAAATTAGATAAAAAACACCTACAAAAGTCACAAGGTAATTAATTTTGCTACTAGTTCACTGCCACAATTCTATCTCTTTCTTATTCTTTTATCATAAACAGAACTGATCACTACAGTCAAACATGTTGAATGTGAACGTCTAGAAACGCAAGATAATCCATTCCGAATTAATTTCCATACATACAATCCTAATGATGATGGTAATTCTGAATCAAATGGACAACTGTCTTTTGTTATGAATCGAGAACAAATGACGAGTATCTGTGATGAAATGGACAAAATTCGTCAGCAATTATTCCATTCGGTGGGATAAAAAAAAATGATCATGCTCTTTTTTAACATGATTGACTTGTTTGATCGTATTGTTTGCTTTGTCACTAACACACACAGACAGATATATACGATATAATCATCATCTTTACATCATGAATTACACACATTCTATCCATCCATATGAATTCTTTACAATTACTATTCAATTGTTAAATATCCGATTACTTTCTAGTCGGTTGGTAAATGTCATGCCACACATTTTTATACGCAAGTTCTGACATTCAAAACGGAATAAGGGCTAAGTTTATTTTTAAAATCTTTTTCCTTTTGATTTCCTCAACAAATCATTTTTCAAGACTTCCCAATTGGATAGTGGCCAGAAAGCTTCATACACAATACATTATATACTATCAAGACAAAAAAAACAATTAGGTCATGATCATTTTATCAATTAAAAGAAAAAAAAATTCAAATGAAAAATGTTTAAAAGAATTACATTTTTTCTGATATGACAAAATAAATTCAAAAATTAAAACCATGATGACTTTAATTTCATCAATTTTTTTTAATCATTAACTTTGCATAACTAAGATGCATTATGATAAATGCCAATGAATCAAATCAGTATTAGAAGACTTTAATTTTTATTTTAGTGTTGAAATTGGTAAAATTTTCATTTCCATGCCCGATTGATACGATATTTCTGATGGCGCATGATCGACATTGATTCAATGGTCTTGTGGTGGTATTGAAGGTGGTGGTGGTGGTTGGTTTGGTTTGGTTTGTTTCACGAGCTATCCGTTCGCATGTGTGTGTGTGTGTATGGTATGGCTATGAGATGAAAGCATGCATCACATTGTGAATGACACTGAATGCCCTTCAACGTACTTTTTTTTTAAATGCAACTCACCAGAAAAAAAAAATTTCTTTACAAATCAGTTAGTGTTCATTCAGTATCGCCTTCTGTCCTTTCCGTCGCCGGTTGGTCTTTTATTTGTGTGTGTGTCTGTGTGTGTATATATTGTGTTTTTTTTTTATTTGAAGGTAAAATAAAGACAAACTCTTTTTTAATAAACATCATTCAATTGCCTTAAATTATACGAGTCATATCGACATTCACATCCATACCCTAAACTCATTCAGATATACACACACACACACACACCGCCACTAACATTCACATTTTCCCATTCATTTTGTAGCCATACAAAACACATTAGCACTATCAGTGATTGTTAAATTTAAAAAATTTCCGCTCATATTTCGTTCCAAATTTTTCTTCTTGATTTATAGTTTAAAATATACCGATTGAATAATTCAAAATGCCATTCGACGCTACATCATTTGCCAAGGATTTTATTGCCGGTGGTGTTTCGGCCGCTATCTCAAAAACTGCAGTAGCCCCAATCGAACGTGTTAAGCTTTTGCTTCAAGTTCAACATGCATCCAAGCAAATCACTGAAGAGCAACGTTATAAAGGTATGATAATGATGAAACTTTTGATTTCTTTTGTTAAATAAAATATTTTAACCCTTTAAAAATCAGGTATCATTGATGCTTTCGTTCGAATCCCAAAAGAACAAGGATTCCTTTCACTGTGGAGAGGCAACTTGGCCAACGTCATTCGATATTTCCCCACACAAGCTTTGAACTTTGCGTTCAAGGATAAATTCAAGCAAATGTTCTTGGATGGTGTCGATAAGAAAAAACAATTCTGGCGATATTTTGCCGGCAATTTAGCTTCTGGTGGTGCAGCTGGCGCTTCTTCACTTTGCTTTGTATATCCACTTGACTTTGCTCGTACTCGTCTTGCTGCCGATATCGGCAAGGGACCAAACGAACGACAATTCAAAGGTCTTGGCGATTGTCTCATCAAAGTCTTCAAAAGTGATGGTTTGATTGGTTTATATCGAGGATTCGGCGTCTCTGTTCAAGGTGATTTTCGGCTATAAATAGGCTTAATTATTGTAGCCAATGTACTCATTTTTTTCAATTTTTAGGTATCATTATCTACCGAGCTGCATACTTCGGTTTCTTCGATACTGCTAAAGGAATGTTGCCAGATCCGAAGAACACACCAATCGTTATTTCCTGGATGATTGCTCAGGCTGTAACAACCGTTTCTGGTATTATTTCCTATCCATTCGATACTGTACGACGACGTATGATGATGCAATCAGGTCTTTCGGCTAAAGAAAGAATGTACAAAAATACTGCTCACTGTTGGGTGACAATTGCCAAAACTGAAGGCTCAAAAGCTTTCTTCAAAGGCGCTTTGTCAAACGTTTTCCGTGGTACGGGTGGTGCATTCGTCCTTGTGCTTTATGATGAAATCAAAGCTCTTATTGTCTAAAATCAACTGGATGGATTGGTCTGTATGGAATCGTGGGCAAATGTTTAATTTTGTGCGAAAATAGTGAACAACCTGTTTAGTTTTTTTAAAGAAAGATTCATTTAGGAACACCATCTCTATAATTTCCTCATTTAAATTATTTTAAATTTTAATAAATTCCGAAAAAAATATACAAATAAAAATTATCTAAAACGTTCGAAATATGATTTTGCTTCGATCCATTTGTGTTTAGGAAATCGTATCGTTAATGACCATTTTTTGCTGACTAGATTTTAAAACATCCAATATGTAGCATTATTAGATGAGGAAAAAATATTAAATGCCATGCTTACTTATATTATTCTCTCGCCGATCACTATCCAATTGATCCAATTGATTGTTCACAATTTCCTGATCGATAAATTTCGACAACATTGTCGTAGACATTTCCTGTTTCAAAATGTTCAGATTATCATTATTGTTATAACAGCACACGATCAACGTGGGAAAAAGAATCTGTTTCAAACGATTATCGCTAAAATAGTCGAATGGCAGTGAACATAATTGTTGTACTACCGTAGGCCTTTGTCCCGATTGCAGCAATGTCTAATATATTTAATGAAATAAATGATTGATTGATAAATAAATAAAATAAAATGTCGTCATCGCTAAATGATCATGCATAATGCACATGAGATACACTCACTTGATTATCATTATTAAGAACGACAAAATTTCCAATCAACAAAATGACTTCATTGAGCAAATCTGAATTGCTTAGATGATGTGAACAGTACCATATCAAATAGCTACAAATGTGTCGTATTTGCAGCGATAGTCCTTCACTTCCTAAAATCGACTGAGATAATATCAACATTTTAGATTAGTGGAATAAGATTTTCTGATCTATACCTGAATCAAATTAATATCAAGTAATATTAAGTAGTTGAAAAAACGAATTATTTCCAACGTAACATTCAACGTATGATCTGGAACAATTGGAGGCACATTTTCATCACGAACAGGGGCACCAGAATGTAATAGAAATCCATACAGTAACGATACGGTACCACAAAGTTGAGTGACTTTAAGCGTTAACATGAATTGTGTTCCATCGTGTTGCAAATTGACGCCATACGCAATCGCATGGAAATCGTCTGATGATGATAAGTTGAGCAATTTGGCCAAAGAACTAGAAAATGTGATTATCTGTTTAATAAACAATGATTGTTGTGGCAATTCATTGATCGAACCACGAAATGATGTTAAAATCATGGAAAGTTTGTCCACGACTCCTATGAGCACCAGATAACTATGCATTTATATAAAATGGAAAAATAACAAATTACGATTATCATGTAATGAATCAAATTTACTTAATTATTTCTTTGAGATGTGTTCGAATAAATCGTGTTGTTTCATCATCATTATCATAGTTGCATGAATAATAGGCAAAAATCTGATCAAAGGATGTAGAGAATAGTTCGCATAATGAACCGACCACAGAATCATAAGGAAACGACATCACATTGGAATTATTATTGTTGCTGTTAACGCATAGCTAGAAAAAATTTAGGCATGATAAAATCGTTTATTGTATAAGATAAGATAATTGCTTACATTGATACGATGATAAAAAATCTCTTGAACGGTGATAATATTTTGTGATCGGAAAAAATACCTGCAGATTCTAAAATCTGATTGACATAGTCGTCTATATAAAGCGATCAATTTGTTATTGGCATTGTCAGTCAATGATGTTGGTCGTTCAGCAGAACTGTTCAATATCCGTGAAAGAATTTTGGTGAATAACAAAAGTCCACCACTTCTATAAAAATAAAGAATATGTGATGAATCCTTCTTGAATAATTTATCTAATTCGAATAAGAATCGCTCAAAACTACGAATCATATCTATGGGCCATTGACCACTGATCCTGTCATTCGAATTCAATGCACCAAGATCTTTGATTATTTTGGCTAATTTTTGTTTTGAATCTTTCGAAATATTTTCAACTTCAGAAATGCGAACATCCTTTTCAAGATCAAATGTCTTCTCAAAGTCCATAGCTCTATTTGCCAATTTTTGTTTGAGTTTTTTTGATTTTTTCTTCGCTTGTTTCAATTTTTCGCTATCACAATCTTGGAATGATTTCAGAAAATCATCATTGCCATCACCAAGAGTTTGAGCATCAATTATAAATTTTAAATTGAAATTTTCCAATTCCTCTGGACTGGGAATTTTTCCCTCATTTTGTTCGATAATAGCATCATTGTGTCGTTTACCCCTCAAATGTCCAAACAGATAAACTTCCGATTTGATAATTATCTTGCAGAGGGCACACATTTTAACCGTATCATAAGGCACACAGACTAATGCCTCATCACTGGTACTTGAAGATTTTTTTACCGATAGTTCTAATGCTTTCTGACGAATCTGTTCCATATTTTCTTCATGTCTACGTTTGCTTTCCTCTTGTTTGGCCAGAATCTTTTTCTGTAGTTCTTCTTTTTCGGCAGCATGCAATGCATTTAACGCTGATATCTTGGATTTCCGATCCAACTCTTTTTGAAACGCTAATTCAAGACGTTCTTTCTCCTTTTCCTGAAATTGACGTTGGATTTTCATTACTTTAAGTTTCCTTTGTTCTTTAAGCTTTTCAATTCTGGCCTGTTTTTCGGCTTCAATTGCTTTTCGTCTTTCTTCGAATGCTTTTTCTTTCGATGCTTTTTCTTCCAATTTCCTTTGTCGTTCTTCTTGTAAATCTTGTAATCTGGATTCATAGACTTTTTCTTTGCTAAAAATTTCGTGCTTTTTCGTATCCGCTTCCAATGAATTTATGAACAATATCTCACTAACTTTTTCATCTTCATCATGAGCTTTTCGAACAATTTTATTTATCTGTTCTTGTCGTTTTTTACCCGCTCTTTGTAATCTCATCTCCATGGATAATCTCAGCTGCATTTGTTGTTCTTCTTTTTGTGCTTTAATTTCTTCCACTTTTTTGAATATATCTTTGAATTTTTCGGCTCTTTTTTCCAATAACTTTTCCCTTGCTTCTTGTGCTTTTGCTTGCTTTTCTTCTTGCTTTTTCAACGTATCACCAACAGGTCGACGCCGTGATGGTGATGAGAATTTTTCATGAAGCTTAAGAACACGACATGGTGCGCGATTATCGCCGATCATATTACCACTGTCCATTCGATCGTTATGATGAACGAACAAATTAGCATTATGTTTACTTGTTGAGTTATCATTATGATCAATTATTTTCAATTCAGTGACCTTGTTTCGTTGTCGATAACGGACAACTTGAAAGCCATCATCATCGAGTTTTGATGAACTAATATTGGGCATACTATAGCGATGATTTTGGCCAGTATTGGAAACTGTATCTTTTTTAATCACGTGTTTCATATCACTTTGATTGTCCGAATGAACACTGGACATAAGGCCATTGCTAAAAAAGACATTTTTAAAAACAAGGCTTTTTATAATAAACAAAGAATAATACCCATTGTCATAATTAGAAAGTAACGTTTCAAAAGTATCGGATTTGGTGAGCAAACTCTCATCAATCTGGGAATGTGATATCGTATCCTCATCATTATTATTTTTAACAGCATCAATTTTTTCCTTAAGCTCTTCATTATTCTGGTTAAATCCTTTAGCTGATTTGAATAGTTTTGTTTTTTTTGTTAGAAAAAGATTTTGTCACAATTTTCAACTTACTTTTTTCGTCATTCAGATAACATGAAAAGAGCGATTTTTCGGGTAACCGTTTACGTACTTCCCATGAAACTGAACTTGGTCGCTGTGGTGTAGATTCAAGATCTTTGTTCAATTTTAACCATTCAATCAATGATTCAAAATCACGAATATGATTCTGTAGATTGAGAATCACTTCACGACATTCATCAATGGATTCATCCTCTTCACAATTCTGATATATTTCATCAATAATACGATTTAGATGATCAAATAAAAATGTCCAATAACGTGAACGACGTTCAAAATTTCTTGTTCGTCCTAATGATGCCGAACGTGTACGATTGATCGATTCCAATTTTACCATTATGATTAAAGAATTTGAAATTTATTTACAGATCATTCTGTGATCAGCTGATTATATATGACAACAGAAGGACGTGGCGCTATAGTTCGCGAACAATGCATAAACATGTACATTGAATTTTTTCTTGTGAAAATTTTTAATCAATTCAATAATCGATGGATTTTGTTTTCAATTTAATAATCATAGAATTAATATAATATATTATATAGATAGATTATTTTCTCTTGTTTATAAATTTTACATTTTTAATTAAGATAAATATCAAAATCAGATCAGATTTTTATTTTTTTTAACGGGATGAAAACAGAGGCAGACAAATTGCACAATTCATTTTTGTTTTTCTTTTTCGTTAGTTGTTTTGACATGTTAAAATTACTAAAATACTGTACACATATAGTTAGTTAACGTGAGAATTCAAAAATGTACTAAACATTATAATAAATGTAACGGATCTGTTTTCAAATGTAATTTTTCCAACGTTGACCTGCTCAATTCCTTGAAATTTTTTTTTGTTTAATCTGGCGATGGCATACATTTGAGTCGTTCGAATGCACCACGTTCTAGGGCTTCACGATGATCCGGATGTGCAATCTGTATGAGGGCATGGGCACGTTGTCGATAATTCTTACCAAAGAGATGAGCTATGCCATATTCCGTGACCAAATAATGCATATGAGCACGAGTGGTTACAATACTAGCACCAGGTTTTAGGTTAATGCAGATTTTTGATTCATTTTTTCTAGTAACCGAAGACATAGCAAGAATAGCTTTTCCTTTACCATCTAAACCTTTGGCAGCACCACGTAAAAAGTCAACTTGACCTCCAAAACCTAAATGAATGCGATATAAAAACACATACATTGATGGCGAAAATTATTCAATAATTTATCATTATCACTTCTGATTAATTTTGATACCTGAATATACACGTGTGCCGATGGAATCAGCACAAACCTGACCAAGGATATCGACTTCAATACACGAATTGATGGCAGTCACTTTGGGATTTTGGGCAATGTTGAATTCATCATTAACATAATCGATTCCCATCATCACAACGAAAGGATTGTTATCCACAAATTGGTATAATTTTTTCGATCCAATCAGAAACGATGCCGTTATTCGTCCAGTTTGTAATTTCTTTTCAGAATTAGTAATTACGCCTATTATTATGTTCAAATAAAGGATTGAGCAACAAGTGTTATTGAGTTTATACAATTGAGTTTCAATTATACCTTTGTTACATAGATCGACAACGCCATCAGAAAACATTTCTGAATGGATGCCAAGATTTTTGTGATTGACCAAATCGGCTAGTACAGCGTCCGGAATGGCACCGATACCCATCTGCATAGTAGCACCATCTTCCACAAGATTAGCGGCAATTAATTGTCCAATTTTTTTCTCTGTATCTGTCAAGTTTTTCGGTGCATGATCCGGCAATGGAATCGGTCCATCAACCAAAGAATCGAAATGTGATGTATGTACGATTGAATGGCCAAATGTTCGTGGCATATGTTTGTTCACCTGACCGATAATATGTTTTGAATGCATCAATGCAGCACGTGCAACATCGCATGAAGTTCCCAATGAATGATAGCCATGTTCATCAGCCGGTGAAATAGATACCATAGCAACATCAGGTTGGATTATACCTCGATAAAAAAGTTTTGGAATTTCACCCAGAAAAATTGGAGTGAAATCAGCACGGCCAGAATTGATCGCCTCACGTGAATTAGCACCAGTGAATAATGAATTGGAACGGAATATTCCTTCAAATTCAGGAGCATTGTATTCGCCAGCACCTTCTGTATGTATATGATGGACACGAACATCTTTCAATTTATTCTTTTTACCATGTTCAGCCAATGCAGGTACAAGTGCTCTTGGTGTTGCAGCAGCACCATGGATAAATACATGATCACCTATATAATTTTTATGATGAATATTGATGATTGTTTCAAAATTAAAAACAACAAAAAAAAATTTGAATGAAAATTAAGTTTTCACAATTTCATATCATTTCATTATTCATGTCATTTATCACCATTTTTATTTTACTATTACTATTATAATACTCTCATTGATGATTATTATTATAACGACAATTCAAGGGCTTTCAAGTTAGATTTATTTCTCAAGCCAACAATATGTGGTCATATAATGATTGTGTGGCAATTTAAAACATGGTTAATCGTGTGCAGAATGTAACAAGTTTTGCCTCAATTTTTTCAATCAAAATTTATATTAAAAAGGAAAAAAACGAAAATTCGTAGGTAGGGGTTAATGTGCATTAGGTCATTCGCAATATGAAAAACATTTTTATTTTTTTCCATCTAAGAAATAAATATAGTTGATGATGATGCTAGGTGAACTATTTTCCTTATACAAACAGAGTAAAATGATCATCATTAGCAGGAAGAGTTTCATTCGAATTATTTCGTATTCTCAATGTGTTCGAAGGTCGAAACGTTGATTCAACCTGCTGCTAAGTTTACCGTTAAGGATCGATTACATGGCAATATATTCATGGCATATAAAAATAAAACGTTCTTTTTTTTGAAAGTCACGAACATTATTTTATGAGTAAATTAGAGCAATGGAATTTGGCATAAAATTGTATTCGAAATAAAAAAAAACTAAATAAGAACCAAATGTTTGAGAATGATTGATCATTTTTGTTGTTCATGTTCCATTCATATAAATGGCCTTGATCATCATCATCATTCATATCATCACAAAAATGATGCTAAATACGTATGAATGAAATACAGAAGACAAGAACATAATAAAATTAATTAAAAACCCTAAACATATTTTATGGACATTTAAATACGAATTGAAACTATGATTGCATTAATGGATGTTTATACGTACCAGATTTAACAACGGATACAGCTTCATCGGCGGTCATCATTTTCGGATGCCGTCCAGGTATCGGATGTGTAGGTTCATTTGTATAGCTATGAAATTGACATCGGTTCATCATCAATGGCATCCATTGTGATTTTTGATGTTGTTGTTGTAGACGAATAAAATGTCTCAAAAATGTCATTTTAATAATTTGACTACACTAAAGCATTGAAGAAAATTTGAAAATTTTCAATTAGAGGACAGCGGTCGTTCTGTTGTTGCCTATTGGATGTTTGTACTTGAATTTTGTGTTTTCTATTTCAGGCGTCGTTTACTAACATACGTTGTTAGTTGTACGTAACATTAAACGAAAATGTTCAGAGAATTAAGAGCAGCAAATCAACGATACAATCAAAATATTATCAATTAAGCCTGCGCAGACATGTTTTTCACATAAATAACGTTACCGAATTAAATTAAAAAACCAAAAAAATTTATACTTATACATCGAACTTTGAAGATAATACGAGTAAAGAAAATATGCCGATATCATCGCTATTATCGTCTTTTCATATCATACAAGTATATTTTTTCATCAGAAAATCAACTTGTCGTCTCCATGGATAAATGTTTTGTCCACAGATCAATCAATCAATCAATCAATTGATTAATTGATTGATGATTCGATCTTTGATCTATTAATCAATGACAAGCATTTTTTGTCATTTATCCATCATAAATGATTTGTTATTCATTCAGGTTTTTTTCCTGAGAATACAAGTGCAAAAATATTTGAAAATTTTGATCTGGAATTAAGATGCAAATTTGGTTATTTATTTCCGGATATGTTTTACATCACCACAATATAATTATTAACACTTCTGGGCAATTTATGGGAAAATCATCATCAAATGAAATTGACAATTAAGGAACTTGATATTTTTTTTTTTTTTTTGAAAATTTCAAATGTTGAAGATGCTGACGTTTGGAAAATATTTCCTGTTATTCATCTGAAATGTTTAAATGGGGAGGAGAAATAAAATAAAAAAAAAACAATTTTATTTTACTTGTTGACATGTATGTTTAATTTTTCATGAAAATTATGAATGATATTGGAATTTTTTTTTTTTCGTTTCTTTTTACATTTAATTTAATATATATATAGGAAAACATCAATACACAAAAGAAATACAAAAGACATTCGAATCGGATTTTGTTCAATCGCTAATCATCATCGATCGATTTGATTATTGATCATTCACATTGCCTTTGGCTTTCGGATTGATTTAATGTTAATTAACTTTTTTTTAATCATTTTACTTTTGGATTTTTTTTGTGTGTTAACCCTGCTAATGCTGTTCCAGTAATGATAAATGAAAAAGAAATTTTTTTTTTTTTTGAATACAAGAAAACAATCTAGTCCGTCTTGGACATAATGGAACGGCATTGGAATTATTCAAAATATTAAGTAAAGAGATTAATCCTTTTCTGATGAGAATCTATTTTCAATTTTATACATTGTTGTTCTTTTTTACTTGTTAATTTCGTTGTTAAAATTGAAAAATATATTGTTTTTGAAGCTTATAAATCAAGGATTTCGGATGGGTTTTTTCATTTTTTCTTTTCAATTGATTGCATTGATTTTTTAGTTTTCAACAAAAAAGATTAATTAATTATTAAAATATGATATGATAACAGATTTTTTCCCACCATCATTCATTTTCAATGTATTTTTTTTTTTCTTCAAAGTTCATCGGTCATTTTTGCACAAACAACCGACAAAAATTCAATCAGCCTTTCATGATTGTTTATTGATTGATTTAAATTAGATTTCAACATCAAGAAAAAAAAACATTTCGTTATCCTTACAAGTGATCCAATATTGATCTAGTTTAATCAGGTCGTGCAGATAAAATGAATGCAATAAAAAAAAAAAACTTTTATTTTCAAGATGAAAAAAAAACAATTTAATTGAAAAAAAGGAAAATCAATTTATTCAATATACTTGTATGATCATATATAATCAATTGTATCAATAATAAAACGTTAAAACAGAGCAATAATAACAACTTTGTGTAATTTTTCTTGATTTTTGATTATCAGTTTTTTTTTGGAGGGGAATGAAACGAAACAGATGAGGACATATAGGGATCTTTTATAAATTTTCTTACAAAATCAAATTGAAAACAAAAAAACAACAAATAAAAAATTTGTTGTTTTCTGTTTGAAATATGAAAATTTCGAAAAATAGTTACATTATTCAAATTTTTTTTTATTTTACTGCTTTTCAATAGAAATAGCAACAACAACAACAACAACAACAACAACAAGGATAGAAAGGTCAATAAATTTATGACAATTTCAATTAAAATGAAATTGTTGATTTATCTTTTTTGTTGTGGCTGTTGTTATCTTGGTCATGGGAGGAAATGTCATAACTGTGTGTACAAAAGTATTTTTTTTTTTTTTTTTTATTAGAAAAAAATTATAATTTTTGTTCGTCGACATTGCAGATTGTCAAAGTAATTTTTTTTTCGTATGTAAAAACATTTCATTTCATTATAATTTTTTTGTTTGATTGATTCATTTATCACCATTTATTCTATATTGATATATTGATAATGATCAACATTAACATCATCATCATTATCATCGTCGTCATATTGCTAAGGTTAATTATCATTGTTGTTAGTTATAGTCAAAAAACTGTTGCTGTGGAAAACGTGTATTTTCCAAAGCTCGATCGTATCGTATAAGTTTGGATTGTTTTGATTTTTGATTTTTTTTTTTTTTTTTGATGGACAATATAGAAGCATGGTTGTCTTGTTGTTGTATGACATACACCAAGAGAAGAAGAGAAAAATCCAATACAAGACTGATGATCCGAATCCTGTCCATCAAAAAAAAAAAAAAAAAAATCGCCATGATGATGAACTAGGTCAGATGATCCAAAAACAAAAACAAAAAAAAATTAAACTAGAGTAGGATTTTTTTTTGTTTTTTTTTTTTTTTTATTTCTCGCTGTTGTGTTGTGTTGGATCAGGATTTATTCATTCATTCATAATAAAAAGAATTTGTTTTTCATGATGATGTTTTTGTTGGCATTTTATTTTTTAAATTTTGTATTTTTTTTTTTTTTTTTTTTGTTTGTGATTCAATAATCACGCGCTTATAATAAATTGTAATCCATTTATTTTTTTCACACATTTAAGCCAATTAATTTTTTTTTTTTTTGCTACAAGGTGTTGATTTTCGACAAAATAAATTGGTATTGAACAAATTAATTGATCATGAAAATTATCAGATAGATAGTCAATGTTATCACGAATAGATATATTCTTCATGATAATTTTAATTTTGAGAAAACAAAATATCAGTTAATGTTCATTAATTATGATGATGATCATTGTGTAATCACAATGATTTCGCAAACAATAATTACAATTTAACCAAAAATGGAAAACAAAAATTCATATAATTAACAATAACGACATTCGACAATCCTTGCAATAAAATTCATCATCATCATCAACATCATCATCCATGGTCAACCAAAATAAATCAGATCAGAAACAAACAAACAAAAAAAAAATGGGATCAAAACATAATGATGAGCTATCGATGTATCGTTTTTTTTACATTTGAATTTTTCACAAAAGAGAAAAAAAAACAACGACAACAACGAAAAAAAAAAATTGATGGATCACGGAGTAACAAATGTCGAAGTAAATAAATTTATCAAGACATCAATCGATATCAATCTTTGTATATCATAGTTATTGTCATGTTGTTACCATTATTATAAATAATGTTCGTTAAGTTTCTCGTTTTCTGTGTGTGTGTGTGTGTGAAGCTATTAATTATAATTATGTTCAAAAATGAATTAAGAGGATGGCATACATCTTTTTTTTTCTTTTGACTAGCCATTGTTGCTAATAATATTCTATACACATTTACATCGGTATTTGTTGTTGTTGTTGTTGTTGTTGTTGTTCTCACCATTTTTTTAATTCTCTTTTTTTTATAAAATTTTTTTTTTCAATGAGAAAATTTTTGAACTGAATCGAATCAAATCAGTGATGATCGAAAAGGTAAAAAAAATGTTACCATTTTGCACAAATGTCTGTTTGGGCATGATGATGATGATGATGATGATGATAATGAAAGATGAATGAATGAATGAATGAATTGGCAGCTTGAAGAGACTTGGAAAATTTTTTTTATTTTGAAACATGCAGACTGATTTATTTTCTCTTACAAGAGAAAAAAAAGAAATGAATGAATGGATGGATACTTATATGAAGTTGATAATATGAAATAAATTTACAAAAGTTTCGCCATTCGCACAATAATAAATTAGCAAAAAAAAAAAATAAAAAAAAAATAAGTTAATCTACATTTTTCATTTGATTCCATTACATCTTTTTTGGACTTTTTTTCTCTCTCTCTCATAATATTCATCTGTCTTTTTTGTTTTGTTTTGTTTGTTAAACGATGGTGATGGTGATGGTGGTTATGATATTCACATTGATTTAGTTTTGTTTTTTTTTCGAATTTTTATTTTCTTCTCCCCCCCACCCACAACACCACTGAATTCCATATTGTTTTATCATCAAATGAAAAATCAATCAAAATTAAAAAAAAAATTTTGTTTTGCTCTCATTTTTTTTCTCCGATTTCGAAACTAACTTTTATATTCGACAATTCGTAGCCATTCTATTGGATCTATGTGTGTGTGTGTTCAATGTGATCATTATTCATACTTGTGAAGATTTGTTCGTTTTATTCGTTGCTAAAGACCATCATTCAGAGGGAAAAAAAAGATCTTGAATATAAATGAAAAGAGATAATCTTGAAACAAGACAACAAACAAGATGAAAATTATTTCGTTTTTGTCATCGTAATGAACAAAAAAGGAAAAAACATCACTATCATTTTATTTTATTTTTTTTCGTCCTGTTTATATTAAATTATAAATTATTATGAATTTTTTTTTCATCCATTTCCTCTCACGATGGTGATCTTTTAAAATAACAGTTCGATCGTTTTTCAATAATTTATTCGACAAACATAAAAAGTGTGTGTGTGTGTGTATCATTGATGAAATAATCCTCTCTTTCCATTGATCATAGAACAAGGAGAGAGAGAGAGAGAGAGTGAGGAGGAAAGGAAGAAAGAAAAATTTACGAAGAAAAATTTTGTGATTTTTCATACCAAATACCTTGTTCTTGAATCGATTCAAATTACATCGTGTGTAGTGGATTATTCGTTTTTTTTGTCTATGATCAATGAAGAAATGTTTTTTTTCTGTGACAAAATTGAATCAAATTTAATGAAATAATTTTTTTTTTATATTCACATGAACGATTCTTTGTGAACAATCAATGTTCAATGTCAATGTAATTTATATTGATTGTGATTGTTTCTGCACAATTATCAGCCATACTTTGCTATTATTTCAATAATTAATCGACTAGTCTAAAGTGAATCGATTATTTATTATTACAATTTGTTATTTTTCTATGAAATATTTTTTGATCATTTGCTAACAAAATGTCCAACATTCACCATCCATTTTATTATAATGACAAATTCGTAATGATATTTTGTTTGTTATTATTGTCATCATGCAAAAATGGACTGTCACAATCATTTACAGCATTTGATGCAAATCGAACTTTACCGCTTTTATCATCGCCAACATTCACATCATCATTTAATTCCAACCGAACATCTTCACCACAGTTTCAATTACCAACAACATTACCAATATCAGAATCACAACCATTGTCAAAATCGAATGCCATTGAATATTTTCAATCATTATTTCAAAAGGCTATTCCACTAAATCTAAATCGTGAACAAACGAAAATATTTTTAATAGCTCCTGCAAATAATACGACAAACGACTCGAATGTGCCATTATCAGCTTCAAATGATAATATTCTATTCGAGGGGATCGGTCAACCGATTGAAAGAAAAAAATCTTACTATTTTTTGATTCCAAACGAGCAGATTACAGGACGAAGTGTAACCGGCGGTGATCAATCAGCCGCACCACAAATAGTATCTGATAAAATAGCACATAACTATCAATTAGAAACTTTGGACAATAGTTTATCGCAAAATTTTACCGGTACAGAGTTAAATTCGAATCGTAATTTCTCTTTGTTAACCGAAGAAAGTCGTACAAGTGGCAATGATTCACATCCCATATCTAATCCATTTGCATCAGCCCCATATCGAAGTTCTAACGATGTTATTGAAAGTTTAATTCAAAATATATTCAGTGATTTAACTCTTCAATCGTTGCCACCCGAAGAGGTTTTATTTGGCAAACTTCCCGAACGTGATCCACAAAAACAACTTGATCCAGCGATAATATTTGGAAATAGAACACAACCAGAGCAACAGCCACCAATTGAATTCAATCAACCACGGCAAGTCGAACCTGAATCACAGTTTCAAACGCAGCCTTCACCACAATTACCACTTCAACCTGCTTCTCAATTCCATCCACAACCGGAAACACAATTACAACCACAGCCTGTACCACAGTTCCAAACGCAGTCTTCACCACAATTACCACTTGAACCTGCTTATCAATTCAATCAACAACCGGCAACACAATTACAACCACAACCTGCTCCACAGTTTCAAACACAATTGCCATCACCACCACCACCACCACAGCTGCAAGAAGTTGACTTCCGCCAACCACCAACAACACCAATACTTACAAATTATAGCCTTGGAAATTTGGACATTAACAATCGAAGTCTCAATAATACTTTAACTGTGAATCAACAAGGATTCATCAGCAGCAACGACATCTTCAATAACAATTATACCTTAAATCAAGGTTATAATCGTAATTTTAAGCCTAATCAGGGCAATTACACTTTTGATCGAGAAAATTTTACTTTTGTTCGGAATGTTAACAATTTGCCATCTCTTCAACAACATAATGGCTTTACAAACAATTTCACATTGAATAACAATTACAATTTAACCAATTCAAATAATTACAAATCATTCGAACCGGTTCGACACGCAACTGTTTCATTTAATTTATCCTCATTTCAATTTCCACCGATTCCTCCCCGATATCAAGCTGGTGTTGAATATAGTGAAACTGATGAAATGCCCAATGTGACGGATCAAGATTTATTCGTAGAACTGAATCGAATTCAGGAGCCATCTGTATCAGTCACGAAACCAGAACCAATATCTAGGTTCGCTACAACGGATGTTCCACGAACCATTCCCACCACATTTAATGATGAAATTAAAGCAACAACATTACCGATAGATTATGATCAATTGCAAAACAATCAACAACAACAACAACAATTAGTAACAGGAAAAATTCAAGCACAAACATTTTTCCCATCAACGCCTATTCCTCGTGGACAAACAGTTCAATTTCATAGCCAAAGAGTGACACATGTTGCTCCAGCATCACATTCAAAAGAAATTTCAAATGGAAATTTAGCTTATCAAAAGCTGAATATAAGCCGTTACAATAATTATTTCAATAACAATTACTATGCTCCATATGAAAATACAAATTATCCAATTTACAATTCGCCAACTGTTTCCGGTTCCACGAATGAATACTACAAGTATAATATATCTGGTAATAATTTTGTCAAAACATATCCGACCACATTACAACATCGATCATCGATATCAACAATGCAAACGAATCGACCATCGACAACAACATTAGTTCCAAAAAATCCATTTCTAAACAAACAACAATCAACACAACAGCAATCAACAGGTTCACTAACGACATATAGATATAGTTCCATTTCACAGCGATCCAAATCACGACCAATGATGGGAATAAATCCAACAACAACAAAACCAGAGCCACCATCATTACGAACTGTGGCTGTACCGATGGTTATGATACCAACCGAAATAGCCGATAGACTTGTCAATATAATTTCATTGCCAAATTATAAATTTTATCTTGGTAAAAAAACTGGTTGATCTGTTTGCTATAAATTCAAGAGAAAAACAAAATCATCACCATTCATTAATTATTTTTATTTCCAATATTTTATCTTGATATTCATATATACAATTATTTTCAGCAAAAAAAAAAAATATAAAAAAAAATTTCTATATTGCAAAATGTATAAGAAAAAAAATCACAATAATAATAATATAATTTATATATGTTTCTCATTATCATCATTGTGGCAATCACAATGAAATTGAAACTTTCGAAATTCATTTCAAAAAAAAAACAAAATCATGGATGTACACCACACACACACACACACAAATAATATATAATAATAGTCATCATAATTATCATCAGTTTGACCATAATCAACATACAATAGAAAAATTTTTAGTCACCCAATGATTTATATCTCTATTTATTGGCTTGTATGCAAATATATTTTTAGAATGGTCAAAAAAACAAAATGAATTAATTAATTAATCCATCCACCATATTTTCTAGGCTATTGTTATTTTTTTTAAATGAGCAAAACAACCGATCTCAATGATAGGTAAAAATCAATGATAATTGATTTCGACCACTATTGTAAATTAGAATGGATGGTCACTTGTAAGGTCAATGTATTTTTTTGACAGGTAGTTTGACTTGTTTATATATTTTGTTGCATATGTGTATTCAAAGGGGAGAATGATTGAATTTTTAATCGTGAAAAGATTGCATGACACTTTTATACTCTTATGATGATGATGCCATAGATTGAACACGTCATCTTCCATCTATATTAGTGTGTGTGTGTGTGTGATGATTACATATATTGTGGTATAAATTGCATTTTTAATATTTGAATCAATGCAATATATTCGTCATTTCTTTTCGGTTATATTAAATTGAAAATGCAGCTGTTGCTAAGTGTGTGGTGGTGTCTTTGTATTTTGTTTGTGAATTGAATTATATTGTATATGGCAAGAAAAAAAAATTTAGTATCGCAACTGACTGATTGTCAAGTATAGGATTTTCATTTTTTTTTTTTTCCTGTTGGATCAGGTAATCATAATACCAGACAAGACCAGACTAGGCCATGCATGGAAAAACCAGAAAATGATGATGATGTTACAATAATAATGAAACGACGATTTGGCGCGCATAAGCAAGCGCGGTTTTTTCTGCTGCAGCATTCGTTTATTTTTTTTTTTTTAATCAAAGAATGAAAAACAATTGCATCAAAGATTGAAAAATAGAGGTGGAGTTGCCTTCATCGTAGTGGTGATCATGAGAATCAACTAAAAAAAAAAATCTCTATAGTCACAATAAACAAAACGTTAATTTAATCATATCGTTTTCATCATGTTTTTATGATATAGGTGGTATGCTTTAATAAAATCTTTCTCATTGTGACTATAACATTAACTCTTATAAACATTAATGCCACTACTACAACACAACAACAATTCACAATTTCGCATTATTACAAAAAGGAAAAAAATTTGTAAAGCGTAAGTAGCACAAATTTTAAAGGGAAGCATTTGATGTTAGTTTGAAAATAAAATTCTCACTTTCACTGTACATTTCTCACCCTCGAATGAGGAGGCTATTTTTCTCTGTGTGTAATGTATACAAAACTAAAGTATACAAAACTAAAAGGAAAATAAATTAGATGATGATGATGATGAATAACTCGAACTACCCCAACCAACCACAAATGAACTGAATAAAACGAAAAAAAATACGACCGTTTTACGGTATACCGCCACCAATTACCACCTCCATGCACAATTTCCATTGAAAACGTACTAATATCAGCAAATGAACAACAGCGTCAGCATTATCCAGACCAAAGAATAATAGTTGTACCACGAAGCTGATTTTTCTGATATTTTTATGTGTATTGTCGCCGTTATCGACTATTTTCATCTTTAATTTGATTCTAATTTTGTATTTTTATGTTTATTTATTGTTGTCACTGAAATATAACCATTTTGTGACAAAAATCAATTCGTTGAATCGGTCATTATTATTATTTAACGATTATTTGAAAGTTTTTTCAGTTGCATCTGATAACAATAATAATAATAAATTTCAATCATCAATACAATTACCATTGTAGTGGCAAAAGATTTCTAACGAGCTTGAATCACATCATCACCATTCTTTATATCTTCATTTTTTTTTTTAAATTTTTTGTTAACCCGTGTGTCACTATTAAAACCGGTCCAAAATTAATCCCCAAGCGATCGCAGAAATTGAAGCACTCATGGAACTATCAGCGGTGGGAGAACGGGTCTTCGCCGCGGAGTGTATCTTGAAAAAACGAACAAGAAAGAATAGGGTTGAATATCTTGTCAAATGGCGAGGATGGTCACAAAAATACAATACATGGGAACCAACAGAAAATATATTAGATCATCGATTAATCGATTCATTCAATAAAGCACAGAAAAGACGGGCAAACAAAGCCAATCGTCGTGGTAAATCATCAAGCACCACATCGACAGCAAATGAAACGAATCCTTCATCGGCTAGCGCTGAGACCAACCATAAAAATAGCCAGGATGGATCCTCTCGCAAAAGCTCGACAGCAAAAGAGACGACATATAATAAGAGAAAATCATTATCGGATAAGTCTTCCACACAAGCAAAAGTATCCAAATTGAAAAGTGATCGAACAATCGACAATAGTGATCAAGTAGATTCTACAGATGCCGATTATGATGATGTAAGTATAATTACAATTCCTGAATATGTTTAAAATAGTAATCAATTTCAATGTTTTATAATAGTCAAATTCTGGTGAAACGTCATTTGATAAACAGGATAATAACAATAAAAATGAAATCAGCAAACAGCAACCAACAAAAATTATCAAAGAAAATGATGATGAACCTCCAGAGTGTCCAAACCAAACCAATAACGTTAAAGAACAACAAGTGCCCAAATCAAATTTTTCGATTGGACCGCCACCGGAATTTTGGCGCAGGCAAAATAAGATCGTTGATCATATTATGGTAACCGATGTAACAGAAAATGATTGTACTATAACCGTTCGTGAATGCAGAACTCCCCAAGGATTTTTTAAGGAAAGAACAGAAATGAAAAGCATCGCTGTATCAACAACAGATTCGATAACCAGTCTAAAATCGGCAAATATTCATTGAAAAAGACAAAAATTCAGCTTGGATTTATCATTGGCTTTCATCTGGTTTATTGTAACTTTACCAACTAAATAATGAGAAGGGAGTATTCAATTTTTTCTCATTATTTAATTTAATTCACATTCACAATTGTTCATAATTCGATTTATATTCATTTAAATATCACAGAGATTTAGTCAAAAAAAAATCTCTATTTTTGTAAAATATTCACTAAAAAAATGGAATCGCCAAAATACTATAATGATAATTACTATTTTCCTGTTCTAGAATTCTGGATAGATCTATATCTAAAACCGATTAGTTATTCTGGGTTATTTCATTTTACATAAATACACAGGCGAAAAAAACATTATCGGTATTTAATTATTGAATTTTAATTTTGCACACACACACACACACACATGCATACATATTCTAAAATTTGTTATTTCCTGTCAATCAATTATTCAATTTTGCATTCATTGACTTTGTTGATAATACATGCAAGCCTGATCACATACTCAAGCGAGAAAAAAAATCTATTTAATTACGAGCATTGATTATGATAATTGTAAAATAATAAAATTCAGATAATGTTTTATTTTTTAAAAAAGAAATAATCGTTCTTATTGTTACTACTATATAAATTTAACACAATTCATTCGATTCAATATTATTAATCAATGATTTAGCTAAGTAATTTGCACTTATCGTTTCATTTAAAATGGATTCAACAATCTCTTTTGGGGGTTTACCGCCACCATGTGCAAGGACTTGATCATGATAAGTTTGACCCGCAATAGAGGAAAATGGATCGTTTATAAACAGTTTGTTCCAAATAGAATTGGCGACAGCTTTCGATACAAGATAGGAATAGTATTTAGCTCCATAACCAATCAAATGACCAAATCGCAATTGCCATGATGTGTTCGATATGTTTGGTATGCCGTAGTATTGATTCTGTATCATATTCAGAACATCGGTCGTATTATTACAGCCTTTTATTGGATTTTCACTGTGATATAATTGATCTAAGGCCGAGTAGAAAACCTGCAATTGTAAATCACTTGAATTGAACAAATGTTTGGAAGTGATCCAGCTGCGTAAAAGATTCTCTGGAATAGATTTTCCGGTTTGATAATGCTTGGCGAATTTAGATACAACACGTGGATCATTAGCGAAATGCTCCATTAATATTGAGGGTACTTCAGCTAAATCTGTTGAACATCTTGTTCCGGTAATATGTTGATATGGTGTCCTGGCCAACATTGAATGCATGGCATGACCCATTTCATGAAATAAATTATCGACCATTGATGGTGATAACAATGTAGGCGATGATGTGGTAGCGTTGGGAAAATTTAGAAACACTACGACTATCGGCAATTGATATTCTCCTGAAATAATTAAAGGATTATTAATCTATGACAAAACTTTTTAGATAAGCTTACCATTTGGCAGATCACATCCACCTTGAATAGTAAAATGACAATCGTTATATGGTTTATTGGGTCGCACGAAGAAATCACAATAAATATGACCCAAAGTTTTGCTGGTCTTTTGATCGTTAACTGCCAATTTGATCACCGATGGATGCCACAAATCTTCTTGAGTAGTGTCACTAATTTTTAATTCTACATTGAATATTGATTGAAAAATCAAATCTAAACCTTCCATGCAACTGCCTATCGAAAAATACGGACTAGATTGAGTGATATCATGGCCAAACTTTTTAATCTTATGATTTTGCGTATAATAAGGCACATCCCATTGCATCAACTGAGCTGATGGATCACCAGTTTCTTCTGACTTTAATTTAAGCATATAATTGAAATCAGCTTCGGATTTATGGCGTATTATTGTATTGACAGTATCAATTAGATTCCAGACAATCTCCGGGCTTCCCGCAATGCTACCATTAATAGCTCTATGAGCGAATGAATTAAATCCACAAATCTTAGCCAATTTAAGCCGAGAGTAAATCAATTCCATTAAAAGTTGTTCTTGATGATCGTCATATTGAAGGAATTGTTTGAACGAAATTTCACGAAGTTGAGCGTCATTCGATTCATTTTGCAGACCTGAGATGACTATCTTATTGTTATCAATAGGAAAATATTTCCACAAGTGCTCTGGAATTTCTTTTTTGAAAACGATTCGTGGTTTAGTCGTACCGTACATGAAATATGTTCCAACGTGAAGAATATGTTCATTTAAACGGACAACTTCATTACGAACATTTTCGTCCAAATGTATACCACATTGTTCAAAGTCAAAAAGAAAAAGTTTAGTCACATAATCATCGGTAGGCGTTGTCGGTACGATATCACCATTTTGAACAACATTTGATAACGAGTTATAGAGTATTCGATTCGTATTCAATCTTTCAACTTCAGCATTAATTTCGATGCTAGCTTGTTCAGCTGCATTGGTATAGTTACGGTCAGGATGTGCAATTCGAATAAACTCGGCAAGATCAGCAACCTTACAAAGTGAATTAGATAATTCATCAAATATATGCACCATTTTTCGGTTTCGTTTATCGGAAGTGGCTTCATTCACTAAACTTTGGGCTCGTGTAATGGCATTTTGGCGGAAAATATAGAATCCATTAAAGTCGGCCAAAACTTGATGGCCAAAAAGACCTTTATGATATTTTATCTGTGGTACAACCTTTGAATGTTGAGTTAAATTATTAAGTTGATTGCTTAATGAAGTGAAATTGGATACATGACGATTGTTAACTATGAAATTTGACCAGCGATTCAAACGTATCATTGCTTCGATTTTTGATAGATTTCAGCTATTTCTACTAAAGTTTGTTTAGGATTTTTTGTTCTCTTTAATGAATCTTTAATTTGTTGTCGTTCTTCCCCTTTGGGCGAATATGGGCAAATACCAAAAAATTTACGAAGGTCATATACTTGATTCCAAAAATTAGTACAGCTTTTGTAATTGGCAATTTCTTGTTCGCAATGATCTTTACCTTTGGATTCTTGACACTTTAGGGAAATGAGCGATTCGTCATAGCAAGGATTTAGATCACGAAGTCGTTGAGAAGCACGGTTTTTTTTCTTAATTGTTTCCATGAAATAAAATTATCAACTATTCCTATTATTTTTATAATTATATTCAATCATCATATCATCATATGTTTTATTATTCATACAGACAACTTAAAATCAAAGACAACCATTCAAAACAAACGTATTAGAATTTACAACAGAATTTTTATTTATTTATTTTTTGTTTAAAAAATCGTAAAAATGAATACCAAAGGGAATCATTCGCAATCATCATCATTTTTATGGTTTGAGCAATACCAACTTTCTGTTTTAGATGTAGATATATATTACACTTCATTTTCATCGTAAAATTATGATTTCAAAGCAAATGTAGCACTTGGTCCTTATGGTTGTTGCTGTTGTTGATTGCTAATATTCGGATTGTAATGATTACGATTCATTCCATTTCCACGGTCGTTTGAACCACGATATGAACCACGACCACCACCATTTTGGCGAATCAATGGTCGATTTGTTCCATTGTAATTATTCACTGGATTAACTTGATGTCCACCGCCGCCACCACCGTTAAAATAGCCACCGAAATTTTTAGGATTATTTGGACGACCACCTCGGAAAGATGAACCTCCTCTTCCGCCACTACCACCTCGACCGCGATAATTTGATCGTTTCTGGTAACCGCCATGACCGTTGATTATTTGAGATGAATCGACATTCGTGTTCATTTTGTTGATGGAATCATTATCTTGCTGACTAGTTGTGTCTCCACCATTCAAATTTTCAGGTTTTTCCACATTTTCCGATTGCTCAATTTTTCCGTTCATTGGACCATTGAATTTATTAGTGGAATCTTGATGATCTTGAGGATGTTGTTCAGCTGAATTACAAGCCATCATATCTGTAAATGAAACCTGGTTACTGGAAACCACAGGAACAGCCTGATCGAAAATTGGAACTTTGTTAGAAATGAAGTAGTTCTGATTACTAAATGTTTGTGAAGGGATCGATCCAACGGCTTGGTGGATAAGTAAAGGTGAATATTCTATTGCTGTATTGTTTGCAGGGAGAAAATTAACAGGACAATTTCCATTCGTAAAAGGTGGATAAGCGAATCCGGATGCGATAACAGCAGGATCTTTTTGCAAATCAGTTTCAACTTGTGGTTTAGCTGATCCGGTGGATGATGATCGGATCGGATTTTCGGCATTCACATCTGTTACTTGTAGTTTGTCGTTGGTCTTGCAAGAAAAATGATACATAATGAAATAATGAAACGTTTTTTAATCTGGAAAAATAGTTACCTTTGATTGAGATTCGTTATTAGAGACATCAGCAACCTTAACATCAGAACAATCAACATTGTTTGAATCAACTGTCGGTTCGTCTGATATTTCCAGTTTCGGTGTAGATTGAATGTTTTCGAGATATTTATTCTCGATAATTTTGATACAAAATTCCTTCATTTCCAAATGAGTGATACCATTCGAGAATTCTTTCTTACTACCGTCTAGTATCAGATGAACTTTTTCGGCATATTCGTCAAGATCAGCATTCGAATCGTTTGCCAAATTTTCTAAGGCATCAACATGTTTATCATCCAACCGCTAAATTGTATCATGAAAAATTACAAATCAAACACACAAATGAACAAAAGTAAATCTTACCATAGTAGTGGTGACATTATCATTATCACCGCTACTCGATGATGAATCCTCTTGTTTGTTATGTTGTTTGAGATATGTGACACAAGGCAAAATTTTCTGAATACGAAGAAATAACTTGATTCGTTCCAATTCAGCTTGGTTTCTTTCGATCAATTTGTCCTGTTGTTCCTTTTTTTGCTGTTTCTTTTGTTGTTTGGCATACTATGAAAAAAATTAATAAATCAAATTAGTAAATAAACGAATAAAATGAAATTTTTCTTAATGTCATGATTCATTACATCATTGAGACTATCGGAAATGTTTTTATTGATTTCTTTAAGCATGTCAATCATTTCGACAACGGAATCGAGTTTTTTCAAGGCTTCAATTTGATCCTTTTGTAAAAGTTCTTTTTCTTCTTGTTTTTCAGCCAAAACTTTGAGTTCGAGCAAACGAGACTTTTATTCGAAAATTAAAAAAAAGAAAAATATTAGAAATTAGGAAAAAAATCAAATATAGTGATTGTTCACCTTTCGTTTTTCCAGATTACGAATCTTTTTCTCGATTATGGTATTAGCAATTTTGGTAGGATCTTGAGCAGCATTAACATTATTATTGTTGCTGCTATTGTTTGCGACAATCTTGCTGTTCTGCTGTGGTTGTTGTTGATCACCACCAGATCCAACATTGATCCGTTCAACTTTGGCAGCGGCAGGCATTATTATGGGTGATAATTACGATTACGATATGAATTGTTTTCAGAAAATGATAATCAAATTTTTCGGTTAAAATTGCCAAATGAAAGTGTACAGTACTCTATAAAACTGACAGAATAACTTTTGTTTTGTTATCAATAATAAGTGGTGGAATTTTTATTTTGTTACAAAAGCAAATTGTTTGATGAATGAACGAAAGATTGGGCTTATTGTAATGATGATGAAATGTAACAAGAAAAAATCAGAAGCAAAAGACGAACAAAAAAGTTTAGAATTGATATTTTTTTATAAGGATGGATTTAACAATTTTGTTTTTCAATAAATTTTTAATTTAGAACTTGAATTGATATAAATATTGATTATTGTTTCGATCTTATAAAACGATAAATGACGAAATATGACGAACAAAAAGTGATAACTACATGAGAAATGTGAGTCTTTCTATTCTTTTGTTGAGGTGTTGGTTGATTCAATGGTGTGTTTTTTAGTGAAATGAAAAACGACAACGACGACGACGATGAAACGACAACGAAAATGATGATAATAATAGTGATCGGCGAGACTAACAACCAAATAGGAGACCAAATACACACACCTGACATAGAGACAAATCACGCATACATTTTCACTCATTGATAATCAGACTGTTCGAACAAATCCATGTATTTACTTTGATAAATGCCACTAGTAAATGAAATGATTTTTTTTCATCATCCATTTCTATTAGAATGATGATGATGATGAGATATATAAAAAGGCAACGTGTTTTATAGCTACCATTGATGTGAATAGATGTCGCTACTTATTTTTTTTTGAAAAACTTTCATAAATTCGACATATTAGAATTTTGAATTGATTGAAATAGAAACATATTTTTTTTATCAATCTATATTTAGTTCGTGGGCGTTTCCTTTATCTCAAAATACAAATACAAATCATATTTTTAATGGTCATGAGTGTAATCGCATTTCCATCAATAATAATGATGATGATGATGAATGAAATTCCAAAGAAAAAAAAAATTTATTGTTTGCTCAGTTTTTTTTAATGAAATCATCAAAATGATGAAACAAAAGCAACAAGTATATATGTAACAAAGCATATAGATTATATATGTGATCATTGTTGTATATACGATATATAATATGTAATCTATTTATATACGAAACAAATACAAAAAAAAATTCTATATAGAATGATTGTGTGTGTGTATGTGTGGGTGGGGTATGTGTTTGTGATCAAATCAATTAATTACAAAATCATAATAATTATTAATAAAATCGAATTTCAAATATAGATTTGACATTGATGATGAGATTTGCACATGCACCTGGCTCTAATATATAAATGTTATAATTCTCTCTATAAAATGATGATGATGATCGGTATACACAAAATATGGCTGTTTTTTTATAGAGCTATTTACAAGAATTAATTCTTTGAATATTTTTTGCATATAGAAAAAGTATTCTTATGTAATATAGAAAAAAAAACAAGTTGTCGTTGTAAGAAATTGTATACCTGTAAATGAAGAGTGTTCGAGATGAAATTTTGGTTTTAGAACAATTGATCGGATATTATCGATTTCTTATGAAGCCAGTTTATGACAACAAATTGGTATATATCAGTGATAATTGAATTGAATGAATAAGGCATATGCTGGAATATGACTATAAAAAGGGTCACCTCAATAAAAGTTGAACAAACTAGCCTAAAGTGACATGTTGCCAGGTTCTTTAATTTGGGAAGAAGCGGTCAAGCGTTCAACATTGACTGTCACAAGTATAGAGTAAAGTTTCAAGCTCTTGAAACATCTAAATTATCAATAGAAAGAATATTTAAAAAGAGATTAAAAATTTCTTTAAATTTGTTCAAAAAAAAAAAAAATCAATACAAACTTTTTTCATCCAAACATTATCTTGAAGGCATTCGTGTAGAATTATATGTGATTCTTTATTGGCATCCTTGCTTTGAATTTCCTCAACCTGTTATTGAATTTCAAGATTATCACAAGTGAATATAATGAAGTAAATTTAGGAAAATGCTTACTTTTGCTTTGCATAACAGGAAAAAATTCAATCTATGATGATATAATTTGGAATAAAGGAAAATTTTCTCTGTACAACTATCACATGCAGCAATTTTAACTTTTTTATTATCGGCAGCTGCAGCAACGATAGTATCATGAGATAATTTTTCTAAAGTATCACGATTATATGGTTCACCATCAAAATACAGTATTTTGGTACTCCAATTGTCGTGGCATGACTGTTTTTTAAATAAAAGAAATTCAATATTGTATAAAAAACACTAATCACAACTAAATGACATACACGACATCGAAGGTCTCCAACATTATTCTGCTTATTGATCTGTATGTTGGAATATGTTTCGAAATTCTTAAGTATAACACTATCCCATTTGATTTTGGCGATAAAACGTGACCTTCGTGTATGACAAACTTCTTCGATTGTCTGCATATGTGATAGGAAATATTCATCTGTTTATGAAGAAGATAAGATTGGTATTAATAATAAAAATCAAGCAGAAATCATTACCATTTTCTTTGACAATTTCGGCAATGAAATTCGGATCCAATGCCTGACTGATCAATGTCTGAATTAAAACTTCAAAATTTTCCACATAAGTGGTAACGTTCGATGGTGATGAATCCGTTGGCAACGAATTGTTCTCCTTTTCATTAAAACTTGAAGCATCTCTGTGAAGAGAATGACTAAAAATTATTATTGTTTGAAATTAAATTTCTTGTTTCAATTACCTTTCATTTTTGTTTCTAGTGAGACCTATTTTTTCTACCACAATTCTTGTTCGATTACATCCCATAATTCTCACATCTAGGCCTAAATATTTTTGTCTCACTGTAGGATTCCATGCAGAATACTTGGTAATTGAAAAAAATGAGAATTAAATTCAATATAAGAGATAAGAAATTTAATTTAATTTTTACCGATGAAGTATTAATATAGATGGTGATTCCATTCTGTTCTGATGGTTCGAATCTTTGCAAAAGACTTTTGCCTTCTATACGCCAAATGACGGGCAATTCCAAGTGTGATTCTTCTTCAGCGACAACAAAATCACCTGTTCGCATCAAACCTTCGCGGATAGTTGAAATCTTTTTATCTTGAGATCTTCGACGGGATGAATTCGGGCTACAACCGGTCGCTGTAGTTGTCGTGTTACTAGTAGTCGAACTGGCAACACTTTGCGTATTCAAAGCTATGAAAGACTGGGCTGTTAATGATGGAATCGGAGTAGGATTTGCTGGATGTATCGAAATCAAAACAGCGTTGGTCATAGGAGACACTTGATATGGTTGAACAGAATGACCTTGATTGACAATCAATGTTGGAGCCACATTTGTCAATGTCGTGGGATTCACAGCCGAAGGTTTAGCTGCATTCAAACATTGAGAAGCGTTGAAAAGATTTGGCGATAGCAATGCTTGCTGCTGATTGGCATTGTTTGTGACCAATGATACTCTGGGTTTAGTTGTAATAGCTTGCGCTAGGTTCGATAGATCATTCTTCACTTTTGCAGCTACAGGTGTTGTCGCCATTTTATTTGCAGATGTTGATGACGGTGAAGGTAATAACGGTTTATTTTCTGATGATTGATTTTTCAATAGTTTTTTGTTTGACAAATCTTTTTTGTTGCAATTATTTTTCGGTTTCAATTGTGGCTGCTGATGTGAAATGGGAAGTTTTTTAGTGTTAATACTAGTCATTTTTAAAGAGTTTTGAATATTAGATATAATTTGATTCGATATGTCTTTAGGAGCTATTGGAATTGATTTGTCATTTATTGTTTTTGATGATAAAGAGGAAAAAGAATCTGAAGATAATATAGGCAATGATTTTAATGCGGTCATCGTTGTGGATGCTGTTGTTGGGATATTTTTGTTACAATTTTCTTTCACTTCAGAACATGATGAAATTTTTGGTTTATTATCCAACGATGGAAGTGGCTTTACATTATTTTTAGCCAGTTTCTTATCAGTTTTACCACTTTTAACAGATTTTTTATCTTCATTTTTAGATAGCGTAATCAAATTTTTGTCATTAACTTCAAAGTTAGAGCATTCTTTTTTCTTATTGTTGCCATTCTGAGTGCTGGTAAATTTTTTCTTTTCGTTCTTATTCTTCGAAAGACTATTTTTCGTGGTAGACATTATTGACGATAACACAGGGAGAATGAGACCAAGCGATTGATTTTCATTAGCGAGATTGATGATTGATTTGGTGCTATCATCATAATTTGTTGAGGATATTTTTTGTGTATTGACTGTTCTGGCTTTTTTCGATTTCAACACTATATTATCTTGTTTATCTTTATCTGTAGCCGATGGTGGACAATTACCATTGGAATTTAACTCAACAGGACTATTTTTATTTTTTTCCGTTTTTTTCGATTTTCGGTCATTCAAGTGGCTACGAGATTTAGATTTATTATTGATGTCGGGCAAATTTTCTTTTTTTGATTTTTTCTTAATGTTTGCATCATCTTTATTATTATGATTATTATTTTCTGCATCTAATTTACGTTTATTTGTCAAAGTTTTAGGTTTTTGCCGTTGTTTTGTCTCATTCGATTGATTTTCGGGGCAACCTTTTGTGGTGGAATCTAAATGAGTATTTGTCGAAGAGGATTTGGATGATGATTTTCGAGATTGTGAATTTGATGTGGACGTTTTCAGCGAAGATGGCAATGCTGATAAAACTTTTGACGTAGAAAGTTGATCTTTTGGTACCTGTTGAATAGATGAATCTTGATCGATTTGTTTCGAAGAATGAGCGACTGGAACAGCAGAGATGACTTTTCCTTCAATAAATTCATTTTTACAATCCGCACTTATTGAAGCATCAGCCTGATGATTGACTGGAGATTCTTTAAAGTTACTCTTGAGAAATTCATCAACATCTCTGAATTGATTGTCAGGATCTTCATCCGTGCCTGAAATAGTCATTGATGGTTGTGAAGATGGAGATTTATTCGATTGATGATGAAACTCAACCGTTGGCAATGAATGATCATCAAAAAGGCTCTTTTGTATTTTATCGAACGTTGTACCATTAGCAACATCAGCGTGTTCTTGTACGGTCGTTTCTAACGATTGATTCGAAGATTTAAATGTAGATTCCATCAAGGCAATTTTCGAATTGTCATTCATTAAAGGTGCCAGATCGGATAGGAAGCTATCAGCATTACTATTACCATGTTGATGATGGTGATGATCATCGCTTGTCAACGTTGTATTTCTGTCAGTCGTTTGTACAACTTCAAGTGGCATCAATTCCGTTTCAGTATCACCAGATTTATCCACTGTCGGCAAATGACATTCAGTTTTTGGTAATGAATCTATTAATGATTCGATTGAGTTACCACAGTTCATGACAACATTAGTTGCAGGTGCCACAGTTGTTGATCCTGATTCATTGTCAATTACTCGGCTATCGGTTATAGTATCATGACTAGATTCTTGATAGGTCATGGTAGTAATCTGCTGCTGCTGATTTCCATAGTTATCACTACTTTTATCATTTTGTATTACAACTACTGCTGCTGATGTTGATGTTGTCGGGGTTGTCGATGTTGTAGCTGGAATGAAATTCAATTCATCCATTGTAGTTTCGAATGAAACAGCTTCTGGTTCCAAAGTATTATTCATGTTCATAGTTTGGACAATATTTGATGGTTGCTGTTGCTTTGAATGTGGCGATGGCCGCTGTTGGTGCAGTTCACCGTCATATAGATCAACATTATCGACGATTGGTTGTATCACAGATTCGAAGCTTAAATTGAAATTATCTTTTTCACTATCATCCTCATCATCATCATCTTCGTCATCATCATCGTCTTCATCATCGACAACACCATCATCATCATTTTGGTGCTGTAAATATTCCCTATTTTTATTATTTTCATGGCATATCAGAAGAGAATTATTCGATGATTGTCGATGTCGGACATCCGGTTCTTTTGAACAAGAGGATATTTCCGTTTTGGATGTTTCCGGATATGAATTATGACCAAATGAATTCTCAGAATTTGATTCTGAATAATTAGTAAAATCATAAGAAGTTAGTGTAGATGTTTGATCATCCATCTGAAGCTTTATTGTTGATGATGTTTGATTGGTTGTTGATGCCAATTGTCCAACGACTGTCGTCGAATCTTTATTGGAATCAACATAATTCGTATAACTAGTCGTTTCAACTGAATCATTAGAAGACATCGATGTTACGGATGTTCCATTATTTATGGAATAATACTGTGGAGATTTATAAGCATTATTATCCAACACATTTGAAGTATACAAATTTGGAGAGCTTTGTTGTTGTCGTTGACTTGAATTAGTTTGCTGTTGAGATGCTTGCTGTGCTGCAGCGGCCACCATGCAGGAACTGAAATTCGGTAAACTGTCCGACATATTATTAGTACCATCAATATTATTGTTAACTTGTTTAGGTGATATTTGTGAACCACAAGAACTTGTCGATTTATTGTAATCATTTCGTCCATACGATTGATGGCTCATATTACTCGACATGGAATTATTTGAAAATGGTGATAATTCTTCATTCGAATTGCAACGAGAATTCGAATGACCAACACTACTTGGTGGCGTTGGATAACCAGGTGTCGGTGTAGGAGTTTGTGAAACATTTCCCATCGTCGTTGTCGTTGTCTGAAATGGCGGTGCTGAATTTGGTGTTCCATAATTTGAATATTCTGGACCAGTACCACCACCATTAGTAGCATTATTTTGAATATTTTGTGAACCATTTGTTGTTGTTGTACTTAGAGCACATGAAGAATTAATGCTGGAATGACTAGAATTGGACGTACTCGACCGGGTTTGTTGAAAAGGTGAGTGTACAGAAAGATTTGTTGTAACTGGACTTGGATAATTATAATTGTATGTATCATTCGTTACGATCGATGGCTGTTGTTGTTGACCATGGCCACTATGAGTACTGGCCACCGATGAACAACGTGAATGTGATGTGCCATTATTATTATTGCATAAAATTGTATTGTTATTACTATTGGTATTTGTTTGGCTAGCCAAACAGCAATTATTTCCATTGATATTGGCCACTGGCGTTGGTGTGCAAGAATTTGTCGAACTGGCTACAAATTCTGGTTGATATAAATCGTTTAATTTATTATTGTTGACTTTTTGCGATAATGTACTTTTTCGAGTTTTCGATGATGATTTACTCGATGTGGATGATGATGTATGTTGTGGTTGTGGCTGTTGCTGCTGATGATTAGGATAAACATTGTTGGTTTCAGAAATACATGGAGAATAGACATCATCATTAAAGAATAAGTTCGAATGATGATGCGTTTTGAATGGATTAGAATTCATTGGAAAATCATCTGCATGATGAGGATGTGTCATCGTTGGAAATAAATATGATGACGGATAATTGAGAAAACTCTGTTGATGATGATTTGTTGATCCCCGCTTGAAGTTTGTTGCAGTTTGTGTTGGATAATCTGAAGATTGATGATAACAATTGCTACCATTATGATGATGATGATTATGTGCAGCTGCTGCGGCAGCTGCATAAGCATTGTTCATCGCGGTCGAAGACATGTATTGCTGATGATGAGCATGAGATGCGGTTGAATCTGGTTTATGATTCACATTATTCGCTGTATGTAGCTGCTGTTGTTGCTGTTGCGATGAATGATTATAATGGTGATGTTGTTGCTGTTGGAACGCTGCATATTCAGTATTCTGCTGCTGATGATGATGGTGGATAGCCTGAGCGGCCGCTAAACAAGCTGCTGTATAATGATCATGAGCTTGAGCTGCTGCTTGAGCAAACTTGGCGCCCAAATCAGATGGATCAACAAGCGAATTCTGGTGTTTATGATGATAATTGTGACTATTACGATGCGTAGAATTCATCGATGATGATAGATTTTGCATTAGATCATATTTTGATTGAAGAGGAGCTTGAGGGTGAATATTAGGAAACGAATGTGATAATGCTGCCGTTGATGATGAATTACCATTTTGGTATGTTTGTTGATGATTATTTGTATTTAGTGAATTGGTAGTACTATTATTCATATTCTGATTATTAGCACTTTTATTATTATTATTGTGATGAGATTTGTTCGATGACAAATGTTGATTAGATGTTGTTGACAAATTGACTTTATTCGTATTTGAAGGACAGGTGGGCAAACCATGTGGAGTCATACAGTTGGATAACGATGGGTTTAGATTCTTTGAATAAACGCGCGATGAACTTGTATCAATCACATTGTCTGGCGTTACTGCACCATTCATCATGTGGCCATGTTGTTGCTGTTGTTGTTGTTGTTGTTGTTGATGATGATGATGATGATGATGATCAAACACATGTCCATTGTTATTTGGAAAATTTTGTGCATGGTGCCATCCATTTGTTGGCGGTTGTAATGAATGTGGGCAGAAAAATCCATTATGATAATCTCTTAATGAAGGTGCACTATCCATACAGGAATCAGTGGATGTTGCATGCATATTATTCATTCCTTTGGCCGTTGTTTTCGTGGATTGTAGTTGTTCGACAGGCGTTGATCCATTGACACCACTTTTATAATTGGACGAATTGTCAGCGACATTTGACTTGTTATTCATTGTCATAGCAGTATGATCCATGAATCCCAAATCCGAAGCCATCGATGATAAATATTGATTTGCTGTGGATTTTGACGTTTGTGATTGTTGATGGGCAGCAAACGATGCAGCGGCGGCCGCTGCTGCGGCAAAATTGGGATCATAAACTCCTGAATGATGATGTGGGGGTGGCAAATGACCTGTAGAAACAAATGGATTTGAATTGAATGATGGCACATTCGAAGCTGCATTATCTGTATGGCCATTTATATCATATGAAGATGATGATGAAGAATTGTCAACATGATTTGTGTACTGCTGCTGCCTTGAATTTGGAAACAACCATGGGGAACAATTTGAAGATCTATAATGATGGCTATTTATAAATGATTGATGATCATGATCAACACAGGTTGCTGAGTTCATTGTTTTTGTTCCATATTGATTCATTTGATGTTGTTGTTTTTGGCTTGTTTTGGTCGTATTACAGATATTTAGATTTTTAGCCGGCTGCTGTTGACAATTATTTGATGGAAGCGTATTAACACTGGCGGCGGCAACGGCAGCAGCAGCCATGTGATGATGCAGACCATTTCTGTTTTGAGTCATCATCTGTTGTGATTGACAAACAGCATTATTCATCAATTGTTGATTTCTTGTCGCCGTCGTTGTTGATGATGCCACTTGTCGTAGATGACTATAAGGATCCATCCATCTAGATGGATCCATGATCGATATTGTTCCGATTGATTGGATGTTTCAATCAAATTGGAACAAAGTGATTATTTATTATGATGATGATGATGATGATAATGATCTTTTTGCCAAATCGTTTTTGTTTGGCTTTGTTTTCAAATCATTCATTTCTGGTGAAATCTTGTTTATTATATATTCTTATTATTATTGTTGTTGTTTGCTCTGTTGTTAACGATATATTCTTGTTGTCAATAGTCAGCTGTTCAACAGGCAAAAATATAAAACAATAAATTAATCTCATAAAATAAATTTTAAACTTACTGATGATGATTTAAATATATGATAAAAATTGATAATTGATAAATAACAAATCAATTGATTGATTTAAATATAAACGAATTATAATGGAAAATTGATGATATCGATTCGTTGTCACACATACACATTTAGCAGATGCATGTTGATGCAAAAAAAAATCAACAAATCATTCAAGATATGCAATGTCCGTATGGGGACGAAAAAAAAACAATTTAATTGACAATGACGAATTGAATGAATGAATGAATTTTAAGATATATAAAAAAAATTAATTTATTTTTTTTCTGAATCAGAAAAACAAGAATCAAAATTGGTCGAATGATAAGATAATGATTTTGTTTCCTTTTTTCTTATATAAAATATTCGATATATTTTGGATACACTACAAATAAAAAAAACATATCATCAATAATCATCATAATCAATAATAATAAACAACAAATATCGAGTGTAATAAAAATATTCAATGTCGAAGACCAATTCACCATCCAATTATATTATATATTGGTGCATATATAAACACTGTGTATGTGATGATGATGATGATAACAACAATTGCCTTATGTCTGTGTGTATAAAGTGAGAATTCGGCAGTGATTGCCCTCCCCTATTTTATTATCAATTCTATTACGGTCACAATCAATTACGTTGATCAATGTATTATTCTAGTTGATGGATAATATTATGGAAACCAATGATGATTCATTCAACATAAATATGAACGTCTTCCTTTTAACGTGGAATATTATTTTTTTACAATGTGACTAAAACATTTTTTCGTACGTCGAGGAAGAGAAAAATATATGAATCAATATACGAAACTTTGGAGAGGGAGAGTGGATACTCGCGATACTCGCTCAAGTCGAAACAAGACGACAACCAACAGGGATGACTTATATCGAATGAAATGAAATGTGAAAAAGAGGAGAGAGAGCCCGCGTCAACAACAATAATCGGCAATATTCACATAGTATGTAATTACTAATTGTGTATGTGTGTGTGTTTTGTATGAGCATCCACAATCAGATAGCTTCCTTTTCAATTTTCCTTTATGTTTGTGTACAAAAATTCCCAATATATAATAAATATAAATAAATATTGGACCTCAATTGCAATTTCGTTGTCATCATCAACAACAACAACAACAGAGCACAAAACATAAAAGATAAAAGATCCTGTGGTATAGTGGAACATGGATGCTATGCTTTTGTGAATGAGCGAAAAAAAAAGATTTTGTTTTTCATTTTCATCATTATATTTTTTTTTTTTTTCTTTGCGCCTTCTACCAATTTTCTGGTTTTTTTTCTATAGACACACACACAAACACATTACGCATCATATTTTCACATCATCATCATATCACATTTTGTCGCGACGGTGAAATTTTATGTTCACCATGTCGACACAAAAAATACATAATAATAATAATGAAATGATGATGATAATAAAGTATATACTAAATACACGAGCCATGACACGCGTCATCAAAATGGAGGGAATGATAAGATGAGTGAGGGTGGGACGTAGTTGGAGGATGCACGGTAAGAATGAGAGAGGGGTGATGGTTGCAATTCCATTGGTGTTAGGTAACAAATAAATAAATATCACATCTCGCATCCTCTTACAGCAAGAAAAAAAAACGAAACAAAAAAAAAGATGCTCACTCTCAGGATTCTTACTGCATTGCTCCTTTGCTCATTATTGATCTATATGCTGTCTTGTAAAAAAAAATCTGGCTTTTACATTCGATTTCATTTTCGTTGTTCGATTCTATTTTTTTCAATTTAATTTTCAATCGTGAAATGAATTGAATTTCATTTTCTTTTCTGTTTGTTGGCTTGCGCATTTTTTTCCTTTTTAATTTTGGATTTTTTTCCGGATTCTTTTCAAAATTTTGTTCATAGTGGTTCTTTGTCCTTACAAAATAAAAATCCCAAACTCAATAATAAATAAATAAGAAAAAAAACTAGACATGGTGATGACCACAAATTACATTGATGAGTAACAAACTTTTGAACAATATTCCATTCGTATCAATCAAATCTAATGGCGCATGACAGCAAATTCTTGTTGAATAAATTAATGAATGAATGTGGAAGGATCAAAAGAAATAGAAAAAAAATCTTACGAGACAGATTCATTCATTCATTCATTTATGAATAAAAAGATTTTTACTGAATAAAAAGGTCAGCAACAACAGCAGGATATCGTCGCTTCTTTTTTTTATCCTACACTTATTCCTGTCTCATTATTATTTGTGTATGTGTAAATGATTTGATGGTTGATTTGTTGTTGTTTAAGATTGAGAAGTTCAACACAGGTCAGGACATTATTATACACAATAATCGAACGAATGGTCATTCATAAGAAGCCTCACCCGCCCGCCCTCGCGATTATAATTCAATACAATTTTTGATTCTTAAATCGCCATAGCCAAAGAACTGGTTTTTTCTACATCAGGAATTCTTCATTCAGATCTTGAAAAATGATTGATATGTGATATTTGATGATTATGATATGATGGAATAATAATAATAGTAGTAGTAGTAGTAGTAGTAGTAAAGATGCAAACAGGTCATCTTTTATTATTAAAAAAAAACAAGAACATCCGATTGCAAATTTGTACAAATCTAATATTTCCGAAATATTAATCAAAAAAAAAAATGGTAATGATGATGTATAATGGAAAATCAAGTTTTTTTTCATTATTAATCAAATAATAGAATAGAAATTTTTTCCAAATCACAAAGATAGATGGCGTACATGTTGTCAACGATAGAATTGATGGAATTTGGAATTTTGAAAAATTATTTTCATCATATTGGCACCACCACTTCCTTATAGTTGTGGTGGTCGCAATCGTCATCATATTTGTTGTTGTTGTTGTTGCTGTTGTTATGCACATTCAATTTGAATTTAGGAATTTGGGCGTGTTCATTCTTGTTTTTTTTCTTGATGGTTCCAAAATAGAATAATATGCCAACTAAGTATCAACTGACATTCAATATTCTGATCCATGAAAGTGTTGACCATGAACAACTGCTATCAGTTTAAGCTATATATATCATGTGTGTGTGTTTGTGTTTGTCATGCAGCCTTGGTTTTAACGGTAACAATTCTTTTTTTTTGGAACTCAAACATGTTTGACGTGTAGCCCAATATATTCATTGGAACACACATGAAGAGAAAGAATAAGGACCGGGAAGGGAAAGTAAATCGAGAATATCATACAGAATGTGGTAGTGGTCGTGGAAGATATTGATTTTTTTTTTTTTTTTTTTTTTGCTTTACCACTTATGTTGTCCATTCACAATATTGCTTTCATTTGGTTGGTTTCGACCTCAAAAAAAAAACATTGAAAAAAATTATAGTATACTATGATCTGTACTAGTTTAAAACGTTCTTATTCTGTATGTCTGTGTATTCTAATATTAGGGATGACATTTGGAAAAAAGATGAAAAAATTCCAAATTCAGAATACGGGACGCATCAATATTACATATACACACAGACACACACACACACACACACACATTGATTGAATCCTTATCAAAACTGCTACCACAATCATCACCACCGCTACCGCCACAACTACATTAAGAATAGTTTTTTTTTTGGAACACCCGAATAACATTTTTCTATTCTACTTCTCGATTCTTTTTCGATTTCAATTCGGAAAAAAAGAATTGTTCTTTTTTACCTCTAAACACGGCGACACTGATGATGACGACAGCAACAACAACAACAACAACAACAATGACACAATGATGAGTTTTAATATTTTTTTTATTTGTCCGGTATTCGTGTGGACAATCTACACTAGACAACAAATACAAATAGAGGAAGAAGAATCAAGAAATAAAGAAAAAAAAATTACATGCTACACCTTCTCTTCTTTGCTCTTTCGATGACCGAAAAAAAATTTGAAGAAAACGCGAAAACCATGATAACTAACTGTACACATACAAAGGCTCAAGTCTTATAATAAAATTAAATGTGAGAACAAAAATCAAAGACTAAACGGTCAATACGAATGTTTGTCATCATCATTAAATCGTGAAATAAATAGTGTGATCAAATCATCGTCATCATCATCATCAAATCTCAAATCAATATTTGCAAGATTTGCCACCCATTTTCATTTCTCATTTCTTGGAATAATTTCTCAGATCAATCATCCATGTCAACTACATTTTTTTATGTCATTTCAATCATCTTCGGTCGATGATTTTCCGTCATTTGTGATGATAATAATAATGATGATGATGATGATTAAAATGTTCAATGTGTGAATATTATGACATAATGCTCAAATAAACAAACAAAACAAAACAAAACAAAACGAAAAAGTAATTGACACCAAAGAATTCTATTTTTATTATTAAAAACTGTATCTGTAGACAAAATAAATAATGAATGTATTGGAAATATTTTCGAAATTCAAACATGAATACAACAACAGCAATTGAATGTCAACATCATTTAATTCATCATCATCATCATCATCATCATGGTGATGATTTCTTCGTTTCTCATCATTATTCAATTTATCGATTCATATTGATTACATCTTTGACCAATAAGAAACAGGAAAAAAATTGAATATTCTTCACATCTTGCTTGCTCTTGTTTTTTTTCTCTCGAATAATTCATATTGAAAACAACAGAAAAAAAATCGAATGATCAGCATATAGTGAGCTTGTGTGCAATGCCCTCACAGTTGTGATTATTTTTATTTTTTTTTTGTAAAAAAAAAGAAATATTTTTCCTCTCCCATTATTCCTCTCAAATCGAATTCAAATTGAGAATATTCGCCAAAACAAAAAAAAAATCAAACAAACAAACGAAAGCTAAAATGTCGACCAGAGATGCCAATACTCAAGATCATCATCATGTCTATCAATATGTTGGGCCATATCGGTTGGAAAAAACATTGGGCAAAGGACAGACAGGCAAGTTTGAATCGGAAACAATTTTCGAAATTCTATTTGATTTCAAATACTTTTTCTTTAAATTCATTTTTCTGTTTGTTTTGTTTGATGATGTTGATCGACATCATCATTTTCATAAGAAATAAATGAATTGATGAAATGGTTTTGCAAATTTTCCATGGTTCATTCTCGAAATTCTAATTTAATTTTATCAATACACCATCACACAAAAAAATGTGTTTGCCTGAAGCTCTTTTTTAGACCTTCGGGACATTTTTTCTCACTATCCATTTCTTTCTTATTAACTAGCAACCATAGTTTGGTATATAACAATTAGAATTCAAACAGTTCGAGCGATAAATTTAATCTTTTTATTCTTTTAGAAAATTCTATTATTTCGGGCAATATATATAGTTCATCTTTCATCTCTTCAATCTAAAAATTCAATTTTGATCGATCCATGTTATCATTTTCATTGAGATAGACAGATTACTGTTATAGCTGAAACATTTGATTCTGAAAAAAATGATCAATACATGTAATAATCCTATAAAGAGAGTTCAACTAAAAAAAAAATTTCGTTCATTGTCATAATTCGTATAATGATGACAATGATAAAATCCCATGTTGAAACAAAGACAATTTAACAAACTATTCCAATGAATACATTAACACAATGTAATGAACAATGGCTAGATTGAATTTTTCGGACAAAAATAAATAGAAATTACTGGAAAATAATCAAATTACTAAAACTATGGCCGGAGCCAATTTGACCAAAACGACCATAGACCATAGAATTGAAATGATGACGATGAAAGCATCATTGTTGTTGTTTTTGTAGAATTACTTTATGACACGAAATCTTGACATTTATTCTGGGAAATTTTTTTCGTTTTTGAAATTCACAATAGAATGTGAGATTTTTTCTTTACTCTGAATATACCGTGTTATGGCATGCATACACAATTTACAATAAATTCTTAATTTCTTTTCAATCATAAATAGTAAAATTAAGAATTTTCCATCGTTTTTTTACAATGGTTAAATTTTTACTTAATAAATAAAGATATTAATCCCATCAATTTCATTTGAAATAGCTGTCCATTAAATTCTTATATTAAACCAATCTTCAAGTTTTCTTTTCTTTTCTTTTTTTTTGGTGTGAATTTGGCATGTGTATGTATTCAATTGTAATCTATCCATTCTCATTTAATTCAACAGCGATCACACGCACACTTACATCCATCCTTACATCCTTACATTATGAACAAAAAAAACAAAAACGCATACAAATTCGAATATCAATACAAGTTTTCTAGCTAAAAATAATAAGATCATCCATAGGCTTAATAATTATATTAAACTAAAAGCAACATCAACAACAACAATGGAAAAAAAGGCAAGAATAGTGTATTAACCCAGAAACAAAACAAAACAAAACAAAAAAAAGTTCAATACAAATTCTCTTGAGAAATTCAATTTGTTTTTGTCAAGTATGAGCTACTAATTCTGTATATATGGTCACTATATATTCGTACATTTGAAAAGGATTTTTATTAGGATCGATTGTCGTCAAAACATAACAAAAAACATACACATTCACATTGAATGGTTGTGACATTTTTTGGCCATTTATGTGCCTCCTTTTTGGATTTCAAATCTACAATATATCCTTATCATCATTTGAAATGAAAATAAAATGAAAAAGAAAATTATTTTTATCCCAATAACAAACAAACAAACAGGACGATGATGAAAAAAAAAGTTTGACATGATCAACATTTGATCAGTTTATACTTTTCTTTTTTTTTTGCTGGTGATAGACGATTCTATTATTCGATTGAAATTTTATCCATTTCTGATGATGATGGATTTTACATTTTTTTTTCATGTTTTTTTTCACTGTTATTCAAAAAAAAAAAAATTCAACATTGTCTCTTGAGGTTGAATATATGGATGGAGAAAAAAAACAAATTATAATGTAGAAATGACATTCACTAAAGTTGGTGTGTCTTTGGTCTTAATCACAGCCATTTTCTTTGTGTGTGTGTGCGTTTGTGCGGTTATAAAATATTAATCAGGTATAAAAAAGCTTAATAAAAAGCTTCGTATATGTCATCGATATGTTATTATATAATGATGAGCAGCAGCATTGAGAGTTGAAAAAAAAGCATTGAATGAATGAATGAATGAATGTGAATGAAAATCAAATTTGGCCAATCAGCTTTTTTTCTGATTACGATGATGAGAATGAAATTTTTATTCGTTATGTCTGGTTGTTGTTGTTGTTGTTATTTTATTTTATTATTAAAATTCTGAATCAACGTTGCGAGAAACAACACAACATAAAAATAATACGGAATATAAGTATACAGTATAACCACCCCATTATTCATGTTCCTTTGCCCTTCCAAAATAAAAAAAAAACCAAAAATGATACCATTAATCGAGCTCACAAATCCCGTTCTTGTTTTTGTCTTTCTTATTTTCTGGCCTGTTAATTAATTGAGCACGCAAAAACACTGGGATTTTTTTTGCTGTTGTTTCCAAAGCATTCAATGGCTGTCGTAATCATCATCATCATACGGATGCCCATCATTGGATCATGGATGAATCCATGAACGAATGTTCTATCACGGAAATTTGATAACCTAGGTGATTGTGGTGGTGGCAGTGGCAGTGTTGTCCATGTTGCCCATAGCGTCATAAAAATTGAATTTTTTTTTTCATTTTCGCTGATTCTTGATATCTAAGAAATTGGAAGCAAAAAAAAAAACAAAATGATTTCTCATCATCCGACAATCATGATGAGAAATAATGATGAAAGATAACAAACAAATAAACAAACCGACTATGATTAACAAAATTGAGTAATATCAAGTGGAAAAAAAATGAAATTTTCTTTTTTGTTGTTGTTGGTATCTTATTTCAATTATTGTATAATATTATCCACAGGAAATGATTTCTTCCTTTTGTTGTCGTTGTTGTTTTTGTTGTATACAGAAAAGTTGATGCCAACAACAACAAAAAAATTTTTGAAGCATAAAAAAAACATCTCCTTTATGCATAAATCCGAATGGTTGAAGAAATCTATTTTCTTCCAAATAGATGGAATCTAACAATGTTTAAAAACTTTTTCTTTACGATTTTCGCTTGGTTTCATATTCTATGTGCGTGCATGTGTGTGTGTGTGTAGTGTTTGCGAGTTGACGAGTGATTTTATACATAAAGGAAAAGGTGTTTTTGATGGACATACAGATATACATGCACTCATTTTATATAATTCCATATAATTGTATTTGTTATGTTTGTATTGTTCTATAGAAACAAAAAAAAATGTAGAAAAAAATAATGAATAAAACTTGCCTGACAATGTTACCATTGCCATTGCCAAGGCCCGTATTCTTTTCCCATTTTCATTTATAAATTTCGCTGATGTTTGCTTGATTACTTTTTTTTGCCTTCATCATCATCATCATCATCATCGTTGATTCAAATTCTCTAATCATAATTATTACAATCATCACAATATTGTTAATGTTTGAATTTTTCTTTTCTAGCTTTATTAGAAAATACCGTGTGAAATATACTATGTTTGTAATTAATTAAATACATCGTTTCGTTTTAATACGCTTCAAAAGAGTTGTATTCGATGTAGAGAAAAAAAATTATATTTTCTATCCATGCTGGCCTTTTAATTCAAATACACTGAGTATTAGGCGCCGGCGTTCAAAAATGATGATCATGATGATGATGATGATGAAGATCCAAATTTTGGTTTTCTCCCATAGTCTTTTTTTGTTGTTTGATATCATTGATGTTATTTCACATGCATCACATTCTCATATTCTGATCAATCTTGGTGTGGTTCATTTTTTCTTTTTTTTTTTGCTTGACTATGCTCGAAGCTTTATTCTCGAATCGATTTTCTTCTTCTTTTTTTTTCTTTCCTTCTGTTGTTGCCTCCCTTTCTCTCTTGATTATTCTGGATCGTGATCTTTTTTTTGTCTTCACTATCACAATTGATGTAGATGTGGATGTGTGTGTATATATGCCTGTATATATTTGTGAATGAACTGAATGAAGCAAACTGATCCAATAATATAAACATTGATATAAATTATAATTTTCATGTTGACACTATACATACACACATACACACACACAAGAAGAGAACCAGTGAGAAAAGAGTGTCCAAAAGATCCAACAACAACAACAACAACAATATAATGTGAAAAAAAGTTAGCGATAGTCATTCACTACGATTACTGATTAATGGATTCGGCCCAATCTTCTTTCAAAGATTCTTGTTTTTCATTTGGTTGTTGGCGAACCAAAAAAAAAAAAAAAAAAATAAAAATAAAAATAAATAAATAAAATGACAATCAAGTTAAAGTTAGCCACCCGTTTTAAATATAGAATAGAATAGATAGCCCAAACTCATCACATAGATTTGATAAGAGGACACACACACACACATATTGAAAAAAAAACTCATATTGTCCATACTGATAGTTGGTTGTGGTCTTAATAATAATAACAATGATGATGATAATAATAATCATCGACACCATTTAGACACCCAAAAAAACTATCATTTGAAAAAGAATTGGTAGAAAAAAAAGATCGATTTGATAATGAATTATTAAAAAGTTATTGATTTTCAATGGTGTAGACCAATTTTTTTTTATTTCTCGGTTCATTCTCAAAGAGTAGTAGAGACAGGCAAGAAAAAAATCGAAATAAAGTTTCGCTTAAATTGAACAAAACTATTTTTTTTTCTTTATTGTAACTCATTATCAAGTTATTGAATTAGATTCTAGTTTGTGTCTGTGTAGTAGTAGTAGTAGTAGTAGGTAGTTTCAATTCTGTTTTACCCATAATTACTTAATGAAGAATTTGGGTTTTTTTATTCTCGTATTGATTGAAAATTTTTTTTAATCAATTTCGTGTTTTTGTTCTATTTTCTGATTTTATTCTATTCATTCTAGGTCTAGTCAAATTGGGCGTTCATTGTGTGACGGGTAAAAAAGTAGCCATCAAAATTGTTAATCGGGAAAAACTTTCCGAAAGTGTCCTACAAAAGGTTTGTTCATCATTCATTCATTCATTCATTCATTCATTTATGACTGATTAATTTGCATTCGTTTTATATTTAGGTGGAAAGAGAAATTGCCATCATGAAATTGATTGAACATCCACATGTTCTTCATTTATATGATGTATATGAGAATAAAAAATATTTGTAAGTTTTTCACAAAATTTTGCCATTTATTTATCAATAATTAGAATATGTCATATATATTAGATATTTGATGTTGGAACATGTCAGTGGTGGTGAACTATTCGACTATCTTGTCAAAAAAGGACGCCTTACACCGAAAGAGGCTCGAAGATTTTTTCGTCAAATCATTTCGGCACTTGATTTCTGTCATAGTCATTTAATCTGGTATGTTTTCATTATTTTTGTTCTGATGAAAAAAAAATAGAGAAAAAACTCAATTTAATAACAATTTTTTTTATTTTATTTTTTTTTATTTTTTCAATTCTCATTGCACACATAGCCACAGAGATTTAAAACCTGAAAATCTATTATTGGATGAAAAGAATAACATTAAAATTGCCGATTTCGGTATGGCATCATTACAAATCGATGGTTCAATGTTGGAAACATCTTGTGGAAGTCCTCATTATGCTTCGCCTGAAATCATAAGGGTTTGTATTATTATTATTATAACCATTATGATTATAACAATAGAAACAATTCCGTACAAAACTGAAAATGAAATGAACCAACACATTATCATCCTTTTCTTATTTTTTATACTAAAAAAATTCTTAATACCATATATTCTCATTCGATTGGCGTTCTTATAATAGTAATAGTAGTTGGTCTGTATATCAGGAAAAAAAATAAATGTTATTACAATTGATGATGTTGCCTTCTTTTTTTCCCCCGAAACACATCGAAATCCATCCATATTGATGCATTTCGATGTGTGTGTGTGTATGTCCACCCTAATGGTAATATCTTTCTTTCGCTCCCCCCATACACACACACGACCTTAATAGCCTTTTCTAGGCATCTAAGCCACCATCAATGATTATTATTATTTTGGATCATTGTGGATCATGCTAGCCACACATTGACATTATGATTATTTTTTTTTTTTTTTTTTTATATAAAATGATACGGTCAGATTGGCCCCATACAAAAGCTAAATGTTTATATTTACGATGTTGTTGTTTTTTTTTTTTTTTTTGATGATGTCAAAACAATTAATTATGACGAATCATACCATCGGCATTAATGAAATGTCAATAGTTTTTTTCGTGGTTATTGTTGTTGTTGTTGTTTTTCGATAGAATTACATTACACTATACTTTTCATCATATGAATCATTGAACCATAACTAAATACAACAACAACAACAACAACAACAAAACGGAAATAAAATACAATAAAGAAAAAGAAATAAATAGAAAAAAAATTCAAATAATTTATCTAAATGTTCATGAAAGAAAATGAAAAAAAAATGATTTAAATTGAAGAATAAAAAAAAATTCCGATCACGATATATGAAAATGGTGATCCATTTTTGTGATCACAATATATGCATGTGATATAATATGCCTCGTTATTCGAATGAATAAATGAATCATTCGTACAATGATGATGATGATGATGACGACAACAACAACAACAACAAAACGCCCATTTTATTGTTCAATAGCAGATGAGAGTGAGAGAAAGAAAAAAAAACACCAATTATCAAATACAATGACCAACTAAACTGAACGAAACCGAACAAAACTGTTGTCCAAAGTCAAACTGGCCCATTAATAATTTCTTTCTTTTCATTTTCTCATTTTTTTCCCTATAGGGTGAAAAATATGACGGAAGGCAAGCAGGTGAGTGTTTTCAATGTTCAATATATGTTAATTTAGTACATGAATGTGTGTTTGTGTGTGTGACGATTATGTAGTTGTCGTATAGAATTTTTGTTTTTTTTTTCGTTACATAATTGGAATAACTGATCATTTCATTCATTCATTTTATATTCTTTGTTTCATTTTGTCATCATCATAGATGTATGGTCAGTTGGAGTCATTCTATATGCTCTTCTTGTGGTAATGATAATTTTTTTTTTTCTTTCTCACTGATGATAATAATGATGATTGCATTTTTTGTTTCTTCATCTGATTCTGATAAATTTTCATATACATGTTTTTGATTCGACAACGACAACGACAATAACTATCAACATTCATCGGGCATGCAATTGACATCTGTTTAATTCTCAATTTTCCATTCACTCTATTCCTGTCATTTCATTTCATTTTTTTTTTTTTTTCATCATCATCATCATCATCATGGTTTTTGTTCAATAATATCTTCCGTTACAACACAGGGTGCCTTACCATTTGATGATGATAATCTACGACAACTATTAGAAAAAGTTAAACGTGGAACATTTCATATACCACACTTTGTGCCTCCCGAATGCCAAGATTTGCTTCGACGAATGATTGAAGTAGACGCCAACAAACGTATTACGGTAAGTGATTGTTATTATATTTGTTTGTTTGTCCTCCCGAACACGAAACGTAACGACAACAACAACAACAACAACAACAACAACAACAGCATACAAGAGAGAATGATGAAGGAAATGACAATAATAATGATGATTGTATGAATACATACCATGTGTGAATGTATAGATAAAAACAATCACATTAATTAACATAACATTTCTTCGCTTAATTTGGTTTGGACAATGGTCATATATAAAGCAGCAGGAATCATACAACATATTTGTGTAACGATCTCAAACCAAAAACATCTTCAGCAACCACGACGTCCAACGAAGTAAAAACGAATACTAATGGTAATAGTAATCAAACGATCCCAAAACAAATAGCCGAAGCATCGACATCCAATGGTAGTCAATCATCGAAACAATCAATAACAAACAATTTGTTAACACAAAACAGTACGAGTCTATACAAGACAACGATGGGCGATGCCAAGATTTGCTTCGACGAATGATTGAAGTAGACGCCAACAAACGTATTACGGTAAGTGATTGTTATTATATTTGTTTGTTTGTCTGTTTCTCTTGTTTTTTTTTCTCGATTCCAATAACTGCACATGTGTCATTCGTTCCAAAAAGAATTATTTCTTTTCTGATGATGATAATAATAATGCTATTCGTCGGATTTTTTATTTTTTTTTTTTGCTGACAACAAGAATCCGAATAGTAGTTAAGATAGACGATAAACATGTACATTGAATGTGAATGGTCGTTGAGTTTTATACATAACGACAACAACAACAACAACAGCATACAAGAGAGAATGATGAAGGAAATGACAATAATAATGATGATTGTATGAATACATACCATGTGTGAATGTATAGATAAAAACAATCACATTAATTAACATAACATTTCTTCGCTTAATTTGGTTTGGACAATGGTCATATATAAAGTAATGTTCTTGAATCAAATCGAACATACAGTAGTAGATCAATATATAATGGTCAATGAACAGAACATTTGTCTAACATGACAATAGCAACAACAATATATTCACTTTTCTTATATCCATTCTAATGGTATTATTGTTTGGCCTTTGGACAAGAGCATTTTTTTGAACGGATCAGATTCTTTTTTCCTAGTTATTCTTGTTCAATTAATTGTTTGGATTCCATCTTATTCCACAATCACAATGTGTGTATCTGTGTTTAGATTTAAATAGTGAGTAAGTGGAAAAAAACACTGAATACCTTAAATTCCAGATATAATTCAAACAAATTTATTCTATAGGAATTTAACAGGAATCAATTGTGTAAATTTTTTTTTTTTGTTTGTTTGTTTAGAAAGTGTTGGCAGTTTATTGACCAAATATTTTATTTTCTTCATCATCGTTATATATATTTTTTTTCCGGTTAGATTTATCTTGAATTACGAATTTTGTACAAATAAATAAACGAAACTGAACAATAACGAAAAAAGAGAGAGAAAGAAATAGAGAAATTGAAATAATGATAGAAAAAAAAACAAGAATTATAGCCAAGCTTACTCAATGATCATTAGAACAAAAAAAAAATAGAACTGTCTACAGTAAACAAACAAATGTAAAAAGAAAGAAATGAATAAATAAATAAATAAAAAACGCTGACATTTGCACACGATAATTGTTTTTCATTCGGTTCAAAAAACTTTGAATTAAAATTCGGTGGTACCACAGCAAAAAAAAAATCCGTGCGTCAGTATATATATTCCATTTCAATTCGATTCGAACATTAATCATGTCATTCATTTTATTGATTTTTTTTCACACATTTTCTTTTTTAAATGTTTGATTTACACAGCTTTCCGAAGTGATACGCCATCCTTGGGTTACAGCGTAAGTGTTTTTTGTTTGTCAATAAATATAAATGTTAATGTTAATAATAACCATTTGTCATAATGATGTTAATAATAATCTATTTTTTCGATCAATGTTTACTATCGATTCAATTTTCTTCATTTTTTTGATGATATTTAATCACTTGAATTATCAATAAATTTGATTCATTTATAATGACGGCTAAATTCCATGCTTGCAAACATCATCATCATCATCATTATCATTGGCAAAAAAAAGTGGCAGCAAAAATGAGCTTGAATTAGAATTACCAATGAAAGAAATCGTTCAGGTATGTGTACCAATTATTTTTATTTCTATATATGTATGAAAGAAAAATCAATGTTACTTCACATCAAATTTTCAGTCTCTGTATGTTTACATTGGAGATTATGAATGAATCAGTTAATACAAAAGAAAAGTTTTTTTTTCCCCATTCTAAACCCTTTTGGTGATTGAAAATCCTTTTTTTTCTATCGTTACCATCAATTAAAAGATTGTCTGCTTTTTTTTTTTAAAAATGGTGGTTTGTTTCTATTTTCTATAAAATATGTAATACTATTACATAAAAATTCTATTGAAAAGATTAAAAATTATGAAAATGGATCAAACATAAACCTCCTCTCGAGTTTGTCATTCATTCATTTTTTTTTAATAATTCAACAACAACAACAAAAACAACACATTTACTATATATGAAAATATAGTGAAAAGCTACTTTTTCTGTTTTATATTTATATAACTTGTTTCCAGGATCGAAATGGGCCAAATTTTCAGTTTCGCCAATGCCTAGTCACACAGACACACACACACACACACACAAACACATTACCACTCAACGAAAGTGAAAAAAAAAGAAAAGAAAATCGAATCGAATCCCAATGTGCTTTCAGAAAAAAAGTGACTAAACAAAAAATTTGTTTTTTTTTTTTTTTATTTCATTTCAAAGTCATGAAATTTATTTTTTTTTCAGAATATAGAATTTCATCATTATATTTTTTTTTTCATTCATATATGAATGATGATATATGGTGAAAAAAAAACATTAAAAAAAAGAAGAAGCAAGCCGAAGAACAGTTTATTTTGTTTGTATATACAATATATATTGATATAGTAATTTCTTCGTTTCTATTATTTGATGATGATCTTGGATCGTGTTGAATTTAGTGATTTAGTCAGTCGTCTTTTTTTTCATTTTTTTTCAAAAAAAAAAATATTAATATATCGTATACATTGCATGGCATAGACGATTATGATGATGAGAGCTTATGCAAATTTATAAATGAATTTTTTTTTCGCCGTTGTGTTTGCAATATACACGCTTTAGGATATAAAATGAATATTTGAAAAGAATTTTTTTTTTACAATAGTCATCCATCTTTAATGGTTGCGATCGAATATATAAAGTATCGAAAAAATTATAACCAATAATAGACACGACCAGATTAAAACCTTTAAAAATGATCCATAATTTTGTATGTGTTTAGAATGAATTATCGTTATGTAAGGAGAAATTTTTACCAAAATTTGATTCTTTTCATTGAATAATGAAATACATTATATATATAGTGTAATGGAATTTGTGTGATTCATTCAATGAATATTCTCAATGCTTTTTAATTTTTTCAATTTGAAATGGATAAACATCTATTTCTGGATCGAAAGAAAGAGAAATTCATTATCGTTATTTTTTATTTCTGGAAATGTTTTAATAAATTAAAAAGAATCACGTTCAAGAATATCTTTGAATGTGAAAAAAAAGCGATTCGAATTTGTATAATTGGAATAATTAATGGATTTTTTTTTTTTGCTTTATTTCTTTTCACGTTTCCTGCCAACCACATTATTTTCTTCGTTGATCTTGAAATCAAATCCTATTGACAACAAACAAACAAAAAAAAACAACCACTACATCGATAACAATCACATAGACACATATAACAACTTCGGTGGAAGAATTGGATCCCGATGTATTGAACAATATGACTTCACTTGGCTGTTTCAAAGACAAGGAAAAGCTTTTAAGAGAGCTACTCAGTATTAAGTATGAAAATCACCGCCCCTGTTTTCTTTATATTTTGCCTTTTTCCCATTTCCCTATATATTGAATTGAAATCGGACAAAAATGTGAATGAACTAGAATCTTGGTTAGTTTTGAATGAATGAATGAATGAATATAATTACAAAACAATGAAAAAAAAATAGATAGATAAAAAGAACCTGTCCATTTTTCAACACCATGCCAACAACAACAGCCAAGAATTTATCATAAACCCTGTACCACCATATTATCCACAACAAACAAATGTTGGATAATAATTCATCTATAAAATATATTTCTTTTATTTACTAACCAAAAAAAATTCCATTTTTTTTCTATGCTTGTATGGTTCTTGTCACGATGCTAATAATAATAATAATAATAACAACAAAATCTTATAGCCATAACACCGAAAAAGTAATATATTTCCTTTTGTTGGATCGTAAACGACGAAAACCATCATATGAAGATGAGACTGAATGCATTATCAGGAATCGTTCCGAATCAGGTACGTTGATGTTGTTGAAAGAATTTTTTTTCCATCTTTTACACTTTGTTCGTTATGTTATGTTTTTTCATAACAATGTCATTCAGTCCTTTAGTGATTGAATTTTTCGTGTTTGTGTGTGTGTGTGTGTTTTGTATGTTTGTGCCGATGTTTGTCATGGCACCCATTTTTTATGTAATTCATACATATAGAGACTTTATGTGTGCTCACTCATTAATCACCATTCATTTTGTTTCTTATTTTTTCGACATTTTTTTTTACGCCGTTGCTTTTATGTTGACCGGTTCTATTTTTTTTTTTTTTTTTGCAAATACTACATAAAACGATAGCCGATCCACCAAGAAAAAGAGTAGATACACGTCCTAGTAAGTCATATCGAACAGAAATGTTGGCTAATGGATCACCGATTGCGCCACGACGATTTCCATACGGGTATGTTGTTGTATATATGCTTATCATCATTGCATTTATTTCGATTTTTTTCTTACTTTTTTTTCTCTGGATATGGATTCTTTAGAATCAATAGTTATTCAAGTACCAAAGTGTATATTAATTGTACACCGAATAGAAGTTTTAATCGACGTAATGGCAACATGACTACCGCTAACGATCCTATGATTACTAATAATAATAATAACACTACTACTACTAATAATAATAATACTAATCACCATACACCACATCGTCATCCATCACATCATCCGGGTGTACATCCGCCGCATCATGATTCGACAAACAATTTACTAGTGTCACCATTAAATTGTCCCAAAACACCACATCATATTAACAACAACAACAACAACAATAGTAACGATGAATTGGGTGTCAATACATCACCAGTGTCGCCGATATCACAGCCTTATTGGAAATCACGCCTGAATACACTAAAGAATAGTTTCCTTGGTACACCAAGGTTTGATTCGATTCATCATTTCACTACTTTCAGAATATCTAATAACTTTTTTTATTCTTATAGATTTCATCGACGTGCGAAAATGCAAATTCCACTATACGAAGATGTTGCTTTGGCAACTGAGCCTACACCTGATATGACCAAAAAATCTTGGTTCGGTAATTTAATGGGCAACGAACGAGAAGAAACACATGTTTTGCTGATAAAAGATAAACCATTGTCGGTTATCAAAGCTGATCTTATTCACACCTTTCTTTCGGTTAGTATCTATACATTAATTAAATTATTTAATTTTCTTTCAATTTCGTATATTCAGGTACCAGATTTAAGTCATACAGTATTATCACCCATGTCATTTCGCTTGGATTATCGTCGACCAGGTGGCACGACATCAATGTTTCAAAGAAATATTCGAATCCAAGTTGATATTGCATGTGCCACACCTCCATCCAATGATGGTTCAATTCCATCGCCAAATTTCGATACTAGCGCCATTGAAAGGCCGACAATTTATTGTATTACATTCACGTTAATATCCGGTAAGTTTTTATGAATATTTTTTATTCAAATTTAATTTGAAAATCTGATTGCAAAACAGGGCCAGTGAGAAGGTTTAGGAGAATATGTGAACATATATCAAGCTATATTCTTGGCCGTCGATCGACATCAGCACCACGATCACCAAGAATGAGTCGTCGACCCACACGTGAACTCAGTGATACAAGTTCCTGTGGATCATGTGCATCGGACAGTCTGTCACCAACGCCAACACATCTTCATATATCGGAAGATACAATAAGTCTAGCAGCAGCTGTTGTCAATAGCAGTACTAATAATTTAACGGGAGCCTTATCCAGATGTAAATCGGATCAAGATGCCAATAAGGACTTATTCAAACGTGAAGTTAAATTGTTGGAACGACGAGCAACACAAACAGATAGTACAGGAGTTCCAAGAATAATAAACATTGCCAATGGAAGACGATTGTCATTGGAACCCAAACTACATACTGATAATGTGTAGCTTGCCTGCCTAATCAATGATCCGTAATAGATGAGAAATGAAAAATTTATCGACCAATTCTTTTTGAATTCATACATTCCATTCACTCATTCACATTCTCTTTCTCATATAAGAAAAAAAAAGAATCTCTCGTCTGTTATATATATATATCGATTTCAATTTACGTACAACGTATATATGTCTAATAAATAAATCAACCATGTGCTTTTGAATCCAGAGAAAAAAAAATGCCTCTCACATATATACATACACGAAAACACAAACACATTTACACACACAAACACACACACAAAATTCAAAAACAAACTAGAAGAAATTTCTAATTTAGTCCATCGATTTTGATTGAATATGATTATAAATAGAATGCAAAAAAAAATAACGAAAAGACCATCATCATCATCATCATCATCATCAGCTATTTCAAACCACATATTTCAGAATCAATACCCCGCCTTGCCAATACTAAATGTTGAAAATGGAATATTATCATGAATTATTTTGAAAAAAAGTGATACCTATTGTAATATTTACATTCCATTGCAAAGATAAAAATTCATCACATAACCGAACAAAAACCACAAACTGATTTTAAAATCAAAAAAAAAATTTGCAATTCAATTTTTTTTTGAATGAGCATAGTATATGTGTGTGTGTGTGTATCTTTATCTTTATAATAATTTGATTCTTAATCGTAATAATATATAAAAGTGACCGACCGAATGATGAAAACATAATGGAAAAAAAATTTTGTCAAATCATTCTGTCAACATTTTGTCAAATTATCATCATCATGAACTTTGGAACAACTTACAGTTTGCAAACTCAGAATCAAACATCTGATTTATTGATAAAAAAGCGATTTTTTTTTTTTTTTTTAATTCATTGTTACACACACGTCGTCTAATCTACTTTTTCGTCATCATTAATGAAATTATAATGTCTCTCTCTCTCTTGTGTACAACCTACCTACTTACCTGGAAATTGTATTTTTTCAAATTTTGTGCAAAATATAATAATAATAATAATAATAAAAATGAAAAAATTTTTCTTTCTGAAAATTTTATGGCAAAAATATTAATGGTCAAATTCAGTTATGTAAACTCGTTAATAACATTTCAATGGCAAAATATGTAAATTTGGCAAAAAAATTTTTTTTTTCATATATTACTTTATCCATATATGGGGATTTTTCAACCATCTATATAATATTGGTGAAATTCCATTATACCGTTTGTTGACTATCGGTTGTAGCTGCTGCTGCTGCCTCTATCGGTGCCGTTATATGGCCATGTCCATAATATTTTGGACCATAAAGTTTGGCATAACAAGCTGGAATGAAAATTGAAAATTTAGTAATTGAATTGGATGTTTTTTTAAATATAAAGGAAAAAATAAATTGATTGAACTAACTTTTACAATAGATATCACTTTCACGTTCACATAGAGTGGTTGTATCCAAACGTTTATTGCATTCTTTACAGGTAAAACAGGTACTTTTATGCCATGCATAACCACCTCCCATCATTTTTTCGGCCATATAAACGGCTATTTTTTGAATGGAATTTTTTTTAATTTAAAAAGTTTTCTAAATGTAACCAAATCCTAAATATAAGTACCTTTGTTACAACGTGGACAAATGTCTGCACCACCGAATTTAAATACTTTTCCACCACCATTACTTTGTGAAATTGGAGCTGCTTTTTTTGGAGCGACGAATGCCTGAGCAGTCGATGGAATGTTTGATGTTGGCGGTTCATTAGTACATTTCTCTCCAGTGAACATTGACAGTGTTCCAGAACCTTGACCGTACCTTTAAAAATTAGATTTGGAATAAAAATAGTAGTAAAAGAATAAAAAATATAGTAACCATACCCATATCCTTTGGGTCCAAACAAACGGCCATAACATTGTTTACAATATATTTCACTATCATGTTCAGTCAAACTTCCACTGTCCAATCTTCTTTTACATTCTTTGTTGGCTAAAAAACATTCATTAATAACAGAGTTAGGAGGGGTATAGGGTTTCATATTTCCGCTTACCACATACGAAACAAGAATTATGGAAACTTTTTCCAATTGCTTTTTTCTCTTCGTTGAAATATACAGTCTTGCTACAACGGGCACAGATCGCCATTTTGTATATTTTTGATGTTTATTTGGTTATTGGCCTGAGCTATTCACGATCAAATGACAATGCAATAATATATAATAATTAATATGGTTAATAAATAATAAAAATATATGATGATATTTGTGTGGTGACAAATCAGAAAATATACAATGATTTCTATAGAAAATATTGGAAAAATGTGAATTCTGATAACAAATCAGTAAAGATGAGCGCAAAGTTACTAACAAATCACTGTCGATATGATAGCTATTGAAAACGACTTCAAACAATGAAATAGACCGTCGTGGCAATATTTGATGATCGTTAACAATGATGATGGGTATAGCCGTCAAAAAAAAAGCCAAATAAGGAGGATATACGATGATGATTCCAATCTGTAAAAAAAAAGCCACAACTGATCACTATCTCTAGATAGCATATATGCAAACAAAAACAATTAATAATGGCAGACAATTCCTACACGTTAATGATATTTTTCTTTCCGCATAAAAACAATTTTTTTTCTGGCTAATTATATTCATTTAAATCATAATTGTAACAAACAAAATGTCAAAATGGATTTATCAATTAATAGAAATCATATCAAACAGGTGGTTTGTCGAATCATTTAATCTACAAAATTTTTGATAATTTTAAACCTACTTTTGTTGATGATAAAATAATATATATACGATGAAGATGAGAGGTAGAAGTAACACACAAACACACACTCAAAGAAAAAACCAGGAACTCCAATGACAAAATCGAAATTTTTGAGTGAAAAAAAAACCTTGAAAATTGCGAATTCGTTGGATACTCGTCGTCGCGTGGATGGGCGAGTTTATACCCAAAACAAATACACACCACTTGTTATAATGCAATTTCGAAATTCCATATTTTCGCGACATCTATCGAAATTCGATTGAAATTAATACAATTCACAACTTTTGGCACAAAATTTTTAAAATCATCATCATCATCATCATTTTTATTTAATTTTCTTTTTTTAAATTGAATCAATTGGATTCAATGCTTTTCAATTTGTTTACAAATTGTTTATTGATTTGACGTCGAAAATTTTTCGGCAATGAATTGATGGCTTGTAAAATATCGGTTTTAATATTTTCCGATGTTTTCAATGAAAATATATCGATGACCATCAATACTTGGATGTACAAATTAATAATCTTGATTTCGTTTTGTTGAGATTTTTTCAACGTTTCCAACAATTCACGTTGATATTTTTCACCAAATTCAATTAATCGTGACTCTGTTTTTTGATCATCACTAATACGTTTCAAAATTCCTTCAAGTATATCTAAGGCAATACAACGTTTGAATGGCCGTACTTTGTCGTCGGAAGAAAATTGATTAATAATTTCAAAAAATGAACTGTCAAAAAAGTTTTCTCGGTATAATTGTGGTATGATTGTTTTAAAAACTTCAGGCTTGATTTCATTATGGGCACGCTTAAAGAAATTAAGTAAATTTCGTTCTATGTGTTCATGGAAAAATTCCAGATCATTTTCGGACAAATGGTTTCGAGATAAAGACAAGAGCCATGATGTTAATGCGATAAACGATTTTTGCAGATCCATATTTTTACATTTGCATTGTAATTCTAGTAACACTGTTAGTAAATTTTCAAAATCATCTTTTGCAATTTTTTCGTTTTCAATGAAGACTGGATTAGTTTTAGAAATTTGTTGTAGCAATTGCTGACATTTATTGTTCAATGCAGTCAAATTCTTCGATGAATGATTGGATTTGAGAAAATTGAAAATATTCGTCAAAATTGTGAATACGATTTCAACTGAAAGTTTTGGATGATGATCGATTAATATTTTAATAAGATCTAACACACGAAGTTTGAATGATTTGATCATTGAAGCTTTTTCCGCTTGTCGTTTTTTTTCGCCATATTTTTGCTTGAAAACCTGAGCTAAAGATTCATCCAATTTGAACATTTCACTATCACTCAAAACTTCATCGGAATCATCTCCATCATCGTCATGTTCAGCCGCTGAACCCAATGCTTTGAGGACATTCTTTTTGAATTCATCATCAACTGGCTCTGTATCATCTTCCAATACGTCATCATCTTCATCGTCATCCTCATCAGTATCAACAATCTGATCAGTAGTTTCCATTTCACCATCACCATCATCATCATCATCGTCTTCCTCATCATCCATATCTTCATCTTCAAATTCAATCGTTCCATCATTTACAAATGCTTCATTAAGACTTTGTATTCCAATTGGACTTATGAATGGAACCAGATATTTGAATGTCATTAGGATAATATTTTTTGTAGATTTTGATTTAGTAATCAAAGAGATTAAAAGGTCAACAAGTACATCCGACCAAAGAGGATCGCTTGATTTTTCTTTTGGATTTTTGTCGGAAAATGCTCGATTAAAACATTCATTGAAATCAGGCAAAATGGTTTGTATATCGGATAAATTTTCAAATGATTCGATTAAGAAATGAAGATAAAATAAACGAAAAACGTAGCATTTATTCTCTTCGGTTTTGATGGAGTCGAATTTTTCGTTAATTTCCAATAATACCTCTCGGAATTTTTTCATTGAAATTTGTTTGTTTACTAATTCCAATTTTTTATCTTTAATCAAAACCATTATAAAATCTTTTAGTTGAGTCAGCATTTCTATTTGGTTTGCAAGTTTGTTTTTGAAAGTAATGGAACCAGAATTGGTTGACACAGTAGATGATATGGCATATAAATGAACAATAACATTTTGAAATGAACTTTTAAACTGTCGGCGAAGTTTTTCACTTATTGGATATTTGAATCTTTTCAATTTTTCTCCACTATCATTGTCCAATATTAAATCTTCCGAAAATCGTTCAAAATATGTAAAGACAAGAAAAATTTTGCAATTTTTCATTAAAAATTCATCATCACCCGTATAACATTTCAATAGGTGTGTTATTTGTTGTAGACAACGTACACGATAAAAATCACTGGCCACAACGTTGTCCTGTTTGATCATCAAATCCATTAGAATCGATATCCATTCTTTGATCGAATCATTACTAAAATTTTTCAGAATATTAAACAATAATTTTGATCGCGATAATTCATCAAAATTTATCGATCCAGGTTTATCAATAAAACATCGGGCAAATTCAATCTGCAAACTAGTTTGATCTTTGATTTTCAATGAATAATTTTCAAGTAGATTACAAAGAACCAATGCAGCTTTGTTCAATGGGTGTTGTTTATTCGATAACGTTTGAATAAGAAGTCGAATCACGGTGGGCGATAGAATAGTTTTGATCTGTAATTTTAATTTTTTCAATATAGTAAATTTTTAAAGAAACAAATTCCACAAACACTTACCTGAGAATGGTGTGATACATTGTCCAGCATGATTGGAATAATGTCAAATCCTAACGATGTTTTTACCATGTCAACTTTGAAAATTCCTTCAATCAATTTGGAAAAATATTCATCCAAATTGTCGCCGTCGATTTGTTTGATTAAGACAGTAAATAATTCTATGATTGGATGGATATTTGGCTGAAATTTACTCGTTTCTTTAATCAATTTGATTATGTTCGTGAAATCTTTGCTATTGGATTTGTAGACGTTTTTCACTATATATTCTTTAGACAATTTAAATCTTTGAAAACATAACAGTATAAGATAGGTTTTGAATAGCATATTGCCATGTTCATCCATTTTCATGAGCCGATCAACCACGATTTCTTGAAACAATTCCTTGTCATCAGAAAATATTTCGTAAAAGCTATTCATCAATGAACAAACAATAATTTCGACATAATCTTTCTTGCAGCCAATCAAGAATAAATTTTCAAAGAGTTTCGTAATTATTTCTTTATCTGTGTCATTAGTGATTCGTTTGCTTTTCAACAAACAACTAATGAACAAAGTCCAGGCTATTGTTAGCTCAGAATCGAAATCACTTTTGAAATGGCCAAATTCTTTTTCAGCAATCTTGATAACATCGGCTACATCGGTATGTTCAGGAAAATGTTGCAATAATTCTGTTAATAAAATACAGAATCCGTGTCGAGAAAATTCACGGCTTGATGTAAGACCACGAATCAGACGATCCAAACAATATGATAAATCATTATATTGATTATTGGAAATTTGTTTGGTTAAATTCTGAACAATTATTTGAACGCTACGACAACGACGTTCTTCGGACGATCCGGATAGATGCCAAAAATGATCAAGAATAATCTGATTACAATTGGCATTGGATTTTCGGCCATCTGAATCATTTTTTTTCTTGACAAGTTTCATAATTATAACAAATTTTAAAAAATATTTATATATTTCGAATCCAATTCTTGAAAATATCACACACACGTGTGTTGGGATACAATCGATATTATCGTATTCGTGGATGGTTGCCATCTATCGATAAAAAAATACATTATTCATTGGTGAAAAATTCCTGCTTTGTTATTCTCATCACTATCAATCTTTCGATTTTTTTTTTGGACTGACTCTGTTGCTCTCTCACTTTCTCTCACTACACAATTGTATATGGTACAAATGATATATATTGGAAAAATTTAATTGAACAAAAAGGAAGACGTATTGTTCATCGGATAGTTAGTCGTGATTGGACTATGGTCGTGTTTGGTTCATCAGATGTGTGTGTGTGTGTATGCGTTCTCTTATCGGTTTTTTTTCCGAAAAAGTAACGGCGAAGTTTTCAAACACAACTAACGTAACGAAAATTATTTGTTCGGTCGGAATCTAATTAGTTTGAATGAAGCACTTTGATGAAACAAATTTTGTGTTTACACAACAATCCCGATTAATTGGTTTGAACATCATTCAATGTCTCTGGTTTATACTTATATGTATTGTTGCTATGTGTTTGTATTGAAGTCTGTCTGTGTATGTCATCATCATCATTATTTTAATGATCATCAACCATACGAACAAAACAACAACAGCCAAAGACATCTTGAAATTTTTTACAATATATGTTACTAAAATGAAACATTTGTTTACTGATTATGATACAGAATCTGGTGAAATTTCATTATTATATAAAAAAAAACAAAATTATAATTGTAGAAATATTCATTTTGACAACGACAACAATCTTGACATAATCATCATCATCATCATATTCTCTTTGTTGCCATCGAATTATCATCATTTTGAATTAAATAGGCAAGTGAAATTTTTTTTAATTAAAATTTTTATCCCATTTTTTTGCAAACAAATTGACTAACACACACACACAGACACAGACAAACAAATGAATTATTCGATTTCCGTCATTGAATGAAAAATGCACGCTGATTAATTTGAAAATAGTTAACGGGAAATTGATTAAATAATTTTTTTTATTTTTTTTTTGTTTGACAAATTACAAATGTCTAGTTTTTTTTCGAGAAATATTGAACCCAAGGTCGATGCAATGATTATCGATCATCATCATCATTATTTGACAAATTTTTTCTGTTATTGTCATTGTTTTGGAGAAAGTTTCCTTTTCCTTCTTTTTTTTGAATTTGTAAAAAACAAGTTTGTTTCCCATATAATGATGATGATTATTATTAATTTGTGAAATAATTTTTTCATTATTATGAATTGCAAATAGGTATTGTTAATGAAAAAAAACTAATCATAATTTCTTGTCAAAATCAGCTAGTACATACATATATAGAAATTAATCAAAGTGACAATTGTTTGCCATTTTTTACACCTCATCTAATTCATTTGAAATGACACAATACACACACACACACACACACACATTTAGATAAATGGATAGATAATACCTATAGAATTTTTTTTTCCTTTTCCATAGCTTTATTTTCGTCGTTATTATGTATTTCCGAACATCTTTTATCTGTTCATGTGCGTGTGTAATATAAAATACCCGAATGACGCCAGTCATCCGAATATACATAACATTTCAGTAAAGTTGGAAAAGAAAAAAAAAGTTAATTAAGATTCACACACATACACACACACACACAAAAACATACCAAAGCAAATTTTTTTTTTCTCATTACTTTTCTTCATATGATTTGATAGTGTTTTTTTTTTTTTTTGGTCGTAATTGAAAAAAAATTGCAATTATTTGCTGATTTGCATAATTGAATATAATATATATTTTCGTTATTATTTTCGGTAGTTGTTTGTTTGTTATTATAATTGTCATTGTCGTTATTCGATAGTAAATGTCAATGTCGATGTTTTGGTTTTCACCGTCGTCGTCGTCGTCGTCGTCGTTGTTGTTGTTGTTGTTGATCAGGCTACCATTGATAAATTGCATTGGATAATATCGTCTAGAAAAGAAAAACTAAGAATGGTGACAAAAAAATGCCATATAATGGAATTAAATTTTACTCATCATCTTTGTATGATATATCAAAAGTAATCTATTTAATATATCCAATTACCGATTTGTATTCGTGAATGTCTTTTTTTTGTCATTTTATTTTTCTTACTTAACTGTCAATCAATAAATTTGTCACATTATATTTTTTTTTCTTCTTAATTCACCAAATTCCAAATGTTTCATTCATTTGGGGAAAATTCATCATTATAATCATATTGTCTTGATTATGCAGAATGAAATTTTCGTCTATTTCATTATGGATTTCCATCATCATCATCATTATGTTTCGAGTTTCATTTTTTTCTACTTTTTTTCCTTTTGTCTATGTGTGTGTGTGTGTGTGTGTAGTTATTTTTGGGTAAATTAATTGACATTTTTTGAATTGTCGTTTGTCGTTATACAACTGTTATCAATGTATATTTATGAACCAAATGAATTATTGATTCATTCATGCAAAATTACTTTTATGTTCATAATAATAATCATCATCATCGTCATTTTTTTGTTTTGGGGGTGGGAAGGTGGAGGAGATAGAAGGAAAAGTTGAGTGATATACTGAAGTTGAAACATCTTATTTCTTGAGCTTGAATATTATGAAAGAAATGGAACCACACATTTGTTTTCGATTCTTGTTTTTCAAAAACTATGAAAAAGTTTTTGGCTGATATGATGTTGAAGTTTACGATTTTTTTATATGAGCCCTAAAACACACTAATTAATTAAGGTTGTACTTGTTCTTTACTTCTCTTTTTTTGATTCTTTTCATTTATTCGTTTCATATGATCATCATCATTTTAATGATAATAATGATTTTTTTTGGCTAGTACAGTGATACAGTGATCATGATATGAACTTGTTCAATCACTTTTTGAATGATGATAATATTTTTTTTCCTCTTACCATTGAATAAGGAAAATTTAATTGCCACTTTATTATATATAATATGATCTGGAAGAAAGTCAACGTCAACGTCGATGCTGTCATCGTCATTCTAACACACACACACACACACACACACACACAGATGCACCAAATACATCTGGAAGCTTAATTGAATCCATAATTGTCCAATTATTGATCCAAAAGTAGGAAAAAAAACGAAACTTTCTTGGTCTCTACGTCGGTTTCTATGTGAGTGTGTTACTTAATAATCTATTATTATTATATCTACCATCCTCATGTTAATAATTGAATATAAAATGTACGTATCAAATTCACTATTCATTTGTACGACAATATAATATTATAATAGAAATAACAATTGTGAAGAAAGTTGGATTTTTTTCCTGTTTTCTTCTGTTCTGTTTAGGACATTCACAATTTGTCGTCATTTATATTTATCGGTTGACAATGGTGGGCAACAACTCTGCTAATTTATATTACTACTGTTACTATTATTATCTTTGTTATATTATATTCACATTCATTTTTTTTTTTCGTTTCAATGTTTGTATTTGTTAAATATTTGTTGTTGTTGTTGTTTCTCAGCTTTGTAGCTGTGTGTGTGTGGAAAACAAAGAGAAAATAAAAAAAAAAATTCTATTACATTACAAATTGGACTTTCGATCATAGATATCATTTTGGATGACAGAAATTGAAATGAAATTAGTAGATGAAAAAAAATGACACACCTTTGGGCAAAATAAAACAAAAAAAGATGACATTGACACTTGTGAATAATAATAATAAATGAATGGTTCCATTATTTTTTTTGGTTATTACTTGAAAAAAATTTTTTTTTGGCATTTCAATTCGATTCGTACATCATTCTTAATTTTATGAAATTCTAACATACAGATTACAATACTCCCACACACACACACACACACACACACACACACACACACAGATAAAGTTACAAACAATTCGAATATATGAACATGATGATGAATATAAAAAATTCAACAATGAATCAATATAAATGCCATGAAAAAACAAAATTGAATTGATTGGTTTGTTTTTTTTTCTTTTGTTTTCGATTCAAATATATATATACGGTATTTATATTTATATTTATATAAATATAAATAAATTCATGTGCATGTTTCGTTTTGATAAATTGACAGTTTGTGCAAAAGAATAAAAAAAAACATATAAAAACAGTGCTAAATTTGAATTTGGTACATTTCTCTGACAATCAAAATGGATCAAATAATAGTGGATAAATATTGAAAAAAATTTTATGCACACACACACACACACACACACACATTTAAGGCATAATCTTTATATATATGAAACATTGAAATTTTCTTTTTCTTTTTTTTTGTATGATAATAATAAATATTCTGGATCAATTCTGTTCGATTACCGATTCGAATTTGTGTACACAACCCATATATATTATATACACATTTTATTTTGTGTATTCAATTTTGGGTATTATTTCAATTATTTCTCTTTTTTCTTTGGTGAAAACGGAAACAAGAATTTTTAAAATTCCTATTATCATTGGATTGGATCTAAAATAAGCCCTCAAAAAAAAATTCAAATTCTGTCATTCTGTTTTTAATCCATCGAGTGCCATTATTGTACAATAAGTCAGTTTTGAATTTATATTTGAATAACGTACATTTCTTGTTTCGCCAAAATTTCAACTATTAATAATAATAATAATAATGAAAAAAATCATGATAAAAAATTGATAAAACATATGATTAATCATTCTGTTCATTGTGAAAGAGAGAAAAAAAAGAGATCATAGATGAATATTCATTCATTTCTTTTTAATGTTTATGTCATGTCTAATGTTTCATTTTCATATTGTCATTGTGTGTGTGTGTGTGTGGAGGAGTTTTTTTTGGGAAAAAAAATTATTGAAAACGAAAATTATAATCACATTAACCAACCAACCAACCAACCAAACGAATGTGAATGACTTTTTTTTCCTTCCTTTTATATTATATATATACATCCAGTGATTCATTGCAATTTTTTTTCTCTGTTTCGTTCGTTTGTTTGTTTGGTCCCCGAAAATCCCCCCCCCCCGAATGCTGATCATAAAGTGATTGAGAAAGAGAAAGAGAGAGAGATAATCGAAGCTAATCTAGCATGTCAATTCTATAGAGCAAGCTATAACTTGAATAAATTGAATGAATGAATGAACGAACGAACGAATGTGATCGGATTCGATCCAGCCTGTTTGCACACACACACACACACACACACACGTGTTTGGTATATGATCATTTTTGGTTGTTTGATTTTCCCATTTTCCTCTTCATTATGTGTGTGTGTTTGTTTGTTCCAGACTTATTTTTCAATTAAAATGCTATATATAAAAAAAATGTCGAATAATAACAGAACATTGTGTGTATGTATAAGTGAAATTTGAGAACCAAAACGAGCTAGTTGGAATTTTCTTTTTTTTTTTTTGAAACAATTAATTTCAATTCATCTCATTCAATGATCTCATAGTCTGTGTATGTGTTTTTTTTTCATTTCAGAAAAAAAATTGACCGATATGATCAGTTTTTCTCTTCTGATAAGAAAAATTTATCCCATATGACACACACACACACTGTGTGTATAGTTTATAATTTGTGATAATTTTTCAATCGATATCGAGCCCTAAAATTTGGTAAGTAATTTGAGCCACTGAAAAATGAATTAACCCAAAGAAAAATCAATTCTAAATGAATGACAGATAAAATTGACCGATTGTATTTGAAAAAAAAACTTGAATTGGTCAATTGACGAACATGATGAACATCACACATTGCCATCATCTCATAAACTTATAGGTCTTATATATTAGAGTTTAATGTCTTTTGGTGAAATGTTTTGTACAATATTTCATTCAGGCATTATATAATATATATTCTTTCAGATATGAATCAACTGTTATATTATAACTTTCAAAATATAATGAAAAATATTTCTGAATAACATAAACGTATATATAGATTTTTTTTTGTTTGCTCCATCACATGTTCGAATATGATGGCGGCAGCGGTGATGATTGTTGTTGTTGTTGTTATAATCTACTTAATGATGCGTGAAATTAGTGAAATTGGTCTCTTGATGTGAACATCATGGCACAATAACCAATGATGATGATGATGATGATGGAAAAGTGCCTTCCATTTTTATTTGGCCTCATAGGAACCGGAGCCAGTTTTTCTTCTTTCATATACTATGGCAATGAAAGTTATGGACTTTTTTTTACATTTTTCCACATCATCATCATCAAAGTTATTGAATTTTATTTTAATTTTTTTTCACATTTCATTAAATATAAATTTTTTTTCCACTAATCATCATCATCATCATCATCATTATAATCATAGTAAAGTTATATGTAATTTCATTTCCGTCCATCTTCAAATGTTTATTTTATACTGACAAACTGAAAGCACAAAAGATGGCTCATTTGTTTCATTTATTTTTTATATTTATGCATATTATATGAATTTAACTGGCATTTTTGATTTCTCTCCACGGACAATATATTTACTATACTATATTGGATAGATGATATTTTTTTTTTTTTTTGAATCTAACCAACCAGAACTATACAAAACTACACAACATACAACGTCCAAACATTAAGTATTAAAAATTCATACACACATACACACACACACACATTGAATAAACACACAACGACTTTTCAATCTATTTCAAAAAAAAAAAAAAAAAAAAAAAACACACACAGTATTAAATAGTGCGAAAGAATTTAATATCTTTCTAACGATGTGCATTTGACAGCCAACTTTTTTTTCATCCATATTTACCAAAAAAAAAAAAAAACTAGAATTCATAACATCATGACCATCATGTGTTGGAAACATCATATATATAATAATATAATATTCGACTCAAACACTTTACAATCATCGTTACTTCAATATGAAACGAAACATAACATAAAGAATGTATAGTAGTAATAGTAAACTCATAGAGATTCACTTCAATCATTCTTATCAGAGATTCATGTTGGTCTAGTTTCTTTTTTTTCACCATTCAATTTTTGGCATTCGATATATATTTTTCAAATGTTTTGTTAGATTATATTGTATTATTATTATTGCCGTTGTTATGGCCAACAAAATGCTCGAATTTGTTCAAAGAAATGAAAAATGAGAAAAAACGAATGAAGAATGGATGAATGAATTCTTAATCGATTTCTTGTTTGTTTGTCTGCTGTCTTCGAATAGAATAAAATTCGATTCAATTCAAAAAATTCTTCAACAGCGACGACATCCTAATTCGATTTTAAAAACTCAATCTCATCATCGTCGTTGTTGGTTGTTGTCGTTGGTGAACTTTTTTTTCCACTTCTACCCTCCATAATATATATATATAGATGAAATTAATTTTGTTTTTTTTCCGTTTTATTCTTGACGATACACAACTTATTACTTGCTGCAATTGGACAACGATGGATAGTAATTTGTGAAAAAAAAAATAATATCAATATCAATATCAAATAATATATGTTGAAGTGTGAGTAAAGAATATATATACGAAATAAGAGAAAACAATCACAATGGCCATAAATGATATGCCAAAAACATACGGTCCAGAATCATTCAACCATTATTATTATTATTATTATAACCAAAATTCACCAATGTCATGAAAGACAATTTATATTGTTTTTATAATATTGAACAAAACAAAAATATTGGATTATTATTGTTCATGTTCTTTACTCGTGGTGTTTGTGTTTTATGAATGTGCATGTACTGATGAAACATTGGAAACGGTTTTTTTTTTTTTTTTTTGATTGACATGAACAAAAACGCAACACACACACTCACACACGATTCTGTCATTTTCTATCGATTGGTGAATTTTTTTTTTCTGTCCTCGATTCTTTTATTCCAAGAAAAAAAATGAACGAAACTTTTATATATATAATTCACATTTGGAATCATTTGTGTTTTTTTTTTCAAAATTGCATAATTCTGACACTTAATGTTTTGGAAAAAACAATTCAAATCAAATCAAAGCACGCAATAATTTGAAGAAAACAAATTGAAAAATAACAGTAAAAGTAAATCAAGATGAAAAAAAACTTGAACATTAATTTAATAATAATAGAATAGAATGTATATATTAGAATCAATGGAAAGAAGAAGGAGAAGAAAAAAAGAAAAACTAGGGGTGAATGCGTATTGAATATTTTTTTTTTCAAGGCGTTAAAAATGACTATATGGGTATTATTAAAATAATATTAAAACAGTGAAAATGAATGAAACATGGGATGGGAAATTGTGCTCAAAAATGAAATGTATGTATGTATGAATGAATGAATGAAAATGAAAATTAATTTAGAAAAAAAAATATTAGAAAGATTAGATTGAATGTTGTTATATATATTGTGTGTGTGTGTGTGTGTGTGTGTATGTGTCAGTAAAGCAAAAGTGATTGTGCCAATCTTTTTTTTCATTGCTTTTTTTTCATATATACGATGATATGATCTTCATTCATATAGTGATGATGATGATGATGCTATTAAATGATGAAGATGATGATGATGCCTAATCTGATTACAAATTCTCTTCTTTTCTTTCGTTTTTTTTATTTATTATATGGGTTTTAGTGTATGATGAGATTTTTTTTTGTCCCTGTTCACCATGATGAACAAAAAACTTTTCAACCATTCATGGCCAATGATGCTCTTTTGGTCGCCTAAAATGCGATTAAGTGTGAAAATAAAAAAAAAAAAATTGTATTGAAATTTGTTTGCTTCCACATGACGCGTTGATTCATTTAATGTTTTACTATTATTATTATATAGTGTAAATCTTTTCAAATCTTTTCTTTTTTTCCCTTAAAATGAATGAATTGATCAGAAAAGTTATATGTAGTATGTGATGATATAATAATGGTATGATGATATAACTTTTGATTTTGTTTTCACTTATTCTAAAATTTCACATTTACAGTATCATCGACAGTGTTATATATTGTGTGTGTGTGTGTGTGGGAAACATCCTTTGTAAAAGTAATTTGATTGCTTTCATTATCATCATCACCATCATCATAATCATTATAGTATCGGATTTGATTGGATTGAATCACGTTTTCTGGATCCAAAATTCTTTTTTTTTGCCACTGCCTTTTTCAATATATATCGATTATGTTGCTATTATTTTATTTGATTTTTTCTATCGTTCATTCGTGTTTTTCAATTTTGATATTATGACCAGACCGACACTTATTTTTGATTTAATCAATAATAATATGTGTTTTGGGGTGTAAGGCCTAAAAGTTTGAAAAAAAATAATAATAAGATCTTACTATTGAACCGTTTCAGGATCGCCAATGTGTGTGTGTGTGTGTGTATCGGATTATTGTTTGCCTCTTTTTTTTCTCTTCCAATTTCATTATATTCTTTTTGCCTGTATTGTAAGATGGCCATAATAATAATAATGAATGTGTATTTTTTTTCTTGTTCAATAACAGCAGCAGATTTTCTCGGATTTTCTTTTCATTTCATCACTGTGTAACATTACAATACCTCGACAAAGACAACGACAATTTTCATTCATTACATTTTGTAAATTAAGTAAAAAAAATAATGAATTGTCATCCATTTTATTCATTCTTTTCATTTATTTTCGTAACAGTAAGAAACTGATGACGTTCAAATCAAATTGAATCGAAAAAATACGTGCAAATTACTTTAGGATGATTGGTTTTGTATTTGTCGCTGGATTTGAAATTGCCATTTTTTCTTCTGTCCTGTCTATCTATATGTGCCCATCAATTTTTTCCAATTTGTTCAATTCTACAATTGACTACGTATTGTTCTATATTGGATCTAATTAAAAATAGTTTACTTCACTAACTTGTGAGTATTGTCTGTGTGTAACGTTTGAATGAATAAAATAATGAATGATTGAATTTGATTCCAATTAAAATGAATAGAATAGAATTTCATCACATTGGATTTATTATTTGATGGAAATAAAATCATCATCAAACATGGGCTTTCATCATCATCACCATCATCATCATCATCAAAATAATTCCAACTCACAACATAATCATAATCATCGTTCATCGAATCATCGAATAATGACGAATTCGTTGATTAGTACGAACAATAGCAACAATCATAACAATACGGTAGTGGCCGCCAATAATAATAATATTGGTTCGACGACGACAAATAATTGCCAATTATTGATGCCGATGGGATCCAATTGTGCTGCATGCCATAAACCAATACGTGAACGTTTCCTTCTCAAAGCACTCGATCAATTATGGCATGAAGATTGTCTCAAATGTTCCTGTTGTGATTGTCGTCTTGGTGAAGTTGGTTCAACATTATTCACAAAAGCTAATCTAATATTGTGCAAACGTGATTACCTGAGGTAAACATAATTGCCATTTTCTATTGTGGTATTATATGCTTTCTATGTCCATTTGCAAAAAAGCTTATTCATTAATTCGATGATGATTCATTTCATTCAATTTTAGATTATTTGGAGCGACAGGAATGTGTTCAGCATGTAACAAAATTATACCAGCATTCGAAATGGTCATGAGAGTCCATGGTGATCGAGTTTATCATCGTTAGTATAATAATAAATGAAATTATTTTTCTATTTTCTTTCTCTATCCAATCCACAAACATTAATCATCGTTTCCATTTTCTGATTCATATATATATATTTGCAGTTGAATGTTTTCAATGTAGCCAATGCAATCATCGGTAATTGTTGTTTTGATAATATTATGGATATATTCTAATTTCCATTATCATTATTATTATTATTATTATCCATCTAGATTCTGTATTGGAGATCGTTTTCATCTTTATGATAATCGTATACTTTGTGAATATGATTTCGAAGAAATGCTAGTGTTTGGTGGCGGTAATAATGGCAATGCAACGGCCACTAGCAATAGCAATAAAATATCCATAAATAATAATCATATAGATAAATTGGTTAAACAAACGGAATCAACATTGGCATCATTTTCATCATCATCATCGTCAACCGCAGGTTCAGTAGTATCAACTTCGGGTCCAGTAGCTATTGCCGGAACATCGACAACACAATCAAATCAAACAGCACAAGTAGCAGCTCAACAAGCGATTAATCCATCTTCAAATCATGCTGATGATGGTTCCAGTGGTTATGGAAGTCCTGATTCTTTACTCAGTGATGGAAGATGAATGGATGAATTTTTCTTTTGATAATAAAAACCCAAATTGAAATTATCCATAGATCTTTTATCTGTTGAATGTTATGAAAAAAAAATATCCTGCAATTGATTTCAACTATAATGAATAGAAAAAAATTATTCTTTGAAATATATCAGCGCCATCTCTCTGTCAGGAAACAAAGAACTTATATTTGAAATTTTTTTTTATCCAAAATGCGCGCTTCATTTTCCTCAAACAAAATGAATCTACTAATATTTATTAAGAATATTGGTACGATATTTTTGAAAAACATAAAATTCTACAACACAAACAAAAATTAAATTCGGTAAATTTTATTATTATTACTTTATTATTGAAACACACACACAAAAATACCGTTGCACGCCAATCAAATTAATCACATACAAAATGAATGAAAAAAAACGAGAAAAAACAACTAAAAAATGGCACATTCATGTTCATGGAATTCATTCATTCATTTGATGATCATCAGATTCATTTACAATGAACTGACTCTTGATGAAACAAAAAATAATAATAATAATCTTTTGCTAATTAAAATAAAACTTTAAAATGAGTAGCAAACATACAGTGGAAAAAAGGCACGAATGTAATGAAAAACCGGGGTTAGAAAGGATACATTCATACAAAAACACCCAATCACCTTTATTTGGGTGTTGTGTGAATGTGTTTAATGTATGTGTGTCTGTGTGTCTGTGTGCTTTTTCCAATTTTTAATCATGTCCTTTTGTCGATTGTTCTGGTCTTGGCCATCATCATCTAGTTTCAGCATCATCAACAACAAAAGGGACGTGCGCCAAAATTCACATTGGACTAGGCGAAAAGAAAGAAAAATTTCACATATGAACTATTTCTCGCATTTTTTACATTAAAAAATTTTTGCCCCTTTTTCTTCATTCAATCCCTATTTTCTATTTTTTTTTTTTTCGTATCGTTCGTCGTTAGCATTACAAACTCACACTTCAGTGATAAATGCTGTTCAAAACTTAATTAACAAAAGTTTATTATGTAATTTAATTAACAATATTTTTAATTAAGTTTTTTTCCCCCCACTGTTTTTTGCTTTATTCCAATTCTCATCATCATCATCATCATCATCCTCATGTGCATCCGTTTCAACCAATTTTTGCCATAAAATTAAATCCAAATCTAAATTAACTATTTTTTAAATATCAATTTATTTTGTTCTTTGTCTTTTGCTCTCACACTATCTCACACACACATTATATGTGGTGAATGACAGCCAATTTTTTTACTTTTGTTTTTTTTCACAGCCATAAATGTTGTTTGTTAATGTTGTTGGCCGTTTTTTTTTTTTTTTCCGTTATTTTTTGCACGATTATTGATTAAAACACACACACACACAAACGCACAAACGCACGAATAAACGAATGAAATGAACGAACGAACCGACAGGAAGAAAAAAAAACATCAACTATAGTAGGACATGGAAAAATTAATAATCGAGGGTAGCAAAAAGGATTCTTTCAATTCAATTTCACTATTTTTTGGTTTTATATTTATTCATTCATTAATTCAATCAATAGACGTCATCGTCATTATCATCATCATTATCGCCTTTTTGGTTCGATTAATAATAGATTGTAAATTAATTTCGAATTGTTAACCGATGAATGATGAAGGAAGAGAAAGAGAATGAAAAAAAAACGAACGAAATCGATATTTTCAATATTCTTTTCATGATTCATTCGATTCGATGGTGATACTGAAAAAAATGAGTGTGTGTGAGAGAGAGAGAGAAAGAGAGGGACAAAGAATCACATGTCGATGATGATGATGATACACACACATACACATTAAAGGATGGACAGAATTTTTTTCACTAATGGTATTACACACACACATTAACAAACAAAACAAAAAAGAATTTTTTTTCTCCCTTAAAAATGACTGATAAATTTTTTTTCTTGATCAAATAAAATGAAGAGAAACAAGAGAATAAAAAAAAATTGAGCTGATAAGAGCACATACCACATCTGTGTATAGATGAATGGATGTCGTGTGACAATATTTAAAGTAATGGGAAAATTATGCGACAATTTTTTTTCTTGCACATTTATTCACATTGTCATCATCATCATTATGATGATTATTATTATATTGAAGAATAATAAACGATCGGTATATGATCTGTCCATTGTTATTCACCCCATCATCATCATCATCATCATCAGCATCGGTTTGTGGCTTTCAATCTTTGAGATTCTGCTTTTTATTTTTCTTTTTCTTTTTTATTCTACACACAAAACAGTAACAGTAGAATTATTAGAATAATAATGATTACAGTTATTGATTTGGCCATCATCTAGCGGTATTAATTCTTATCGTCATTTTTTTTCGAACCATTCATTCATTTATTCATTCATCCATCTAACGATTCATTGTCATATATTCTGAATTAATATGATGATGATAATAATGATAAAAAAAATAGTAATGCATATAGAATGTTTTTAAAAATTGTTAAATATCGTCCATTTAACGATGCATCATTTTTATCGATTTGAATCTAAAAGCATAGAATGAATATATATGAATCATAAATGACATAAATATTAATAAATTCCACAATATGTTGATTTCAATGCAATGGACAATGTACCAAATAACGAAAAAAAAGAGAGACAAAAATCAATGGACCAAAGCAGATAAATAATTATCCCACATCGATGATGATGATGATGATTACTGAAAATGAATTCATAATCTGACAATGCACTGAATGAAAAATTATGAAATCAAATATATAAAAATAAAGCTCACTCACTGGATTTTTTCTAACACCCCCGTCGTATACCCTCATCAACCGACAACACAAAAAAAAAATTATTATTTGTTCATTCTTTTTTGTCCTATTCATTTATTTATTCATCAGTTTTTAACTAGCAAAAAAAAAAGCTTTATCTCCAAGTTTTAGCCTCATTAACTCATTGTTTTTTTCATTTGTTCATTTGTGCAATTTTTTTTTTATTCTTCATCATCATAATGCCGTTGCTTTTCTGTACAAAGTGTCAAATCCTGTGTAGTTTCATCATCATAGTAATTAGCCCAATAGCCCATTTGGCCAGCAGCAGCATCATCATCAGCATCAGCATTGGCCATTCGGTTTTAATTATACAAAAAATACTTTTAGCAAAATTGATTTAATACTGCTGCTGTTTTTTTTTCACTTTGCATTACAACCAATGGACACCGAACAACAACAACAACAACAACATCAAGAAAAACTAACGACAACCATGTAGATTCACCACCCCTCTACCACCCCTTTGATAGAATGACAGTGGTATTTTAATTTTCCAATTATTAATACTACTGAGATATCAGCGACAACCAGAACCCAGCAAAAGAGAATGAGAGGGAGAAAGACAGAGAAAAAAAATCATCGGTATTAGAGAAGCGCCGGCGCATCGGAACTATATCTGTTGTTATATTCCAGAATTCAATGTATCCTTTAGATTTTTGTTGCCTATAAATAAGGCAACATTTTTGAATTCTATATTTCATTCGTATGCACAAGGTCCACGTGTGGTCCATACACACACATTACGATAATTTTGGTCATTTCGGTCTGTTGCGTTCTTTAATGAATTTTTTTCTATAATTACAATCAATCTATGATACAAATACCAAAAATGACATCAAATGAACATTTTACTGGCAGTGGATCATCATCATCATCACGAAATAGATCATCATCAACACAACAGCAGAATGGTTCAAATACTTCAAGTAGTTCATCATCAAACATATCAACCAATTCGGGAACAAAATCATCGAAATTTATTACAAATCATCAACAACAACAACAACCTAAATCATCACCACCAAAATGTTATGGATGTCATAAACCAATATTGGATAGATATTTTCTCAAAGCTCTAGATCAAATATGGCATGAAGATTGTCTTAAATGTTCGTGTTGTAATTGTCGTCTAGGAGAAATTGGTTCAACATTATTCACTAAAGCTGATCTTATTCTATGTAAACGAGATTATCTTAGGTAAGTTGAATGAATAAAAAAAAATTCCAAACATTTTTCTGATAATCTTATCATAAATAATCATGATCTTATCGAATCTAAATATAATTTATTTTTAAAAAGAATGTTTGGCGCCACTGGATTCTGTTCATTATGTAATAAACAAATTCCAGCATTCGAAATGGTCATGCGAGCAAGAGGTAATGTTTATCATCTGGAATGTTTCAAATGTGAAGCCTGTAATCATGTATGTATTCAATTTTCGAAAGATTATTGATCTATTTGTTTGGTTTATATTGAAAAAAAAACGAATCAAAAATTCTTTTTTGTTATATTATTTTTTTATTTTCAATATCTATAGAGATTTTGTGTTGGTGATCGATTCTATTTGCATGATAATAAAATATTATGTGAATATGATTATGAAGAGCAGATGGCATTGAATCAAATTCATCAACAACAACAACAGCAGCAACAACAACAACAACAACAACAAATACATCCATATTATCATACCTTAACGAATATAACAGCAACCGAATTACACCCACCATTGCAACAACAACAACCACCACCATCATCATTTCCATCAATTTTATCAAAATCTCCTGCTCATCATCATCAACATCAACATCATCATCATCATCGTCAACATCAGCCAATGCAACATGATCCATCAATATTAAATCAATCTACACTTCTTGATTTATCGGATTGTAAAATGAAAATTAAAAATTATTTAACACCATCGCCACCATCACAACAACCTCTACCATCAGCATCAACGGTTGGCTCATCAACAACGATGCTAAATAATGGACCAAATGGATTCTAAGACAACATAATAATAATCATTGTTTTTGAATCAATCCTTCTTTTTTTTCATTATAGTTGTTGTTGTTGTTATTGTTGTTTTTATTCATCATTCAACTTGAATCCTACGGACTTTGAATGGGGAAAAAAATCATAATGAACCCTTTAACATAACATTTATTTTGGCCGGAATAAACCGGGTTTCTTTTTTTTGGCTTCAATCTCATTTTTTCCTTTTAAATTGAATATAGAAAAATGTTCGAAATAAACGTTTATATCATTTTAGAAATAATTTGATGATGACTTTATCATCCTAATGTTCTGTAACGTGTGTCAGTCGGTTGGTCAATTGAATTTTTTTTTTTTTTTTGATATTCTATGTGTTGTGTGCGTGTGTACATCGTATACATCGTATTCAATGAAAAACACTTGAATTTTTTGTCTTGTATCCAACCACATTATTTAATCAAATAAGCGTAAAGATAAAACTTGAATTTGGTCATTTTGTAAACTTGATTCCGGTTGGTTTGTTTCAAAAATGAAAAAAAAAATTGTTCTATAACTGATTCTATAAGTCAATCTATACATTACGCACAATGATCTACCATTTATTTTCAGTGTCCTTTTTGGTATTTTTTTTTTCTTCTTCGCAGTCAGATTGGAACATCAATGGAAAATGAGAAACAAATTTTTCTGTTTTTTTCCCCCTGAAAAAATGGAACATGTCCACTCAGATTAAATATTATTATGAAGTAAGCGAAATATAAACGAAAAACAAAGTAATACAGTGAATGAAAACATTTTCAAAGCTTTTCAAAATTATTTGTCCTCATCGTTTATTATTATTATTATTATTATCTTTTACATCATTTTTCGATCATTTCAAAGTAAAACGATCATTTTTACGTACCTATTCAGTCGACACATTATAGTGTTTTCAAATAAAAATGGAGAAAAAAAAAAAAATTTAATGCATTATTTGTGTTCGATTTAGAAACAATTAACCAGAATCAAAAGTAAAATACATGGATACACAAACATGCATCATGATTTAACATCCATTGTCAATGAATGTTAAATGATAATTATTTAATACGTTAAAATATCAATGTTGAATTGAGACAACAACAACAACAACTACAAAAAAAAATTGGATTGAATAAATAAGAAGAACAAAGCAGGAAAAAAATTTCAACAACAAAATTTAAGTAAAAATCGATGTTAAAGTAGAGAGAGAAAAAAAATTAAACAAAGCTTTCTCTTTTGATTTAGCTATTTTTTTCCCATTTCATCGTCATCGGTATTAATTTGTTCCTGAAACCAGAAAAAAAAGCTAAAAAACTTTCTTCTCACATACAAATGATTGGTTGGTTATCACTCATCTAGGTTATGTGTTTCCGTTCATATGTTTTTTGTATGTGTCGAATATCATTGCGATTGGTGCTTATTCGCTGTCAGCTTATTACATGATCTTTCCATTTGTTTCAGAAAAATTTCGTTGCTCATCTTCATTGAGCTTTTTTCGTCTTTTATTCGGGAACATTTGGATAGGCAGAAAATGAAAAATTCTTTACACTCAACAAACAGTAAATGTGTCTGGGTTTGTAGGTGAAAGCCAATCTCTTAATTCAGTTTCTTTGTTTTTTTTTTTTTTGGTGCCATTAACGACAATGGAGAACAATAATAAATTCAGTAAAAAAAAGTATTGAAAGTAAGAATTGAAGAATAAAAAACTTCTACAGCACTATCAAAAACTAAAGAATAGCGTGATTGAATGGTTTTTTTTGAATTTACAATTTGAATCAAAGAATAATCGACCCAAATGAAAATTTTTTTCTTTTAAACAGTATCTATGACTGGGCATCTGAAAAATATCCAGGATTCTTACCGCCTTCTTGATGATTCTCAAATGTAATGAATTTGATTACAGTGATTAAAGTTAATTATCATAATGTTCATTATTTAATTAAATATATCCATCTATTCTTTATTGTATACTGTATATATATATTGTTATTAATAACACAAATGGATGAGAACGTTTGCTAATCCACTAAAACAGTGATTTTCAACTGTTGGTCTTGGGGAAGAATCTTTGATAATCATGATAATAATAAATAATATCGTTCAAGACATTCGATTCGATTAATATTGAACATCAATCTTCTAATTGCTTGTACCACCAACAACAATAACAACAAAAGCAACAACAAAAAAATGATGGCAAAAATTAATGAATGTTTTACCCTCATATAAACATGCAAACAAAAAGACCTTTATGGACAACATAGACATAAATGGAGATATATACAAAGGGGGACATCATCATCATAAATGATGATTTTATGCGCGTATGTATTCATGGTTTATGTTTATATAAATTAAATTTATTTAATCACAAATCAGAATATATATGTTATACATACACACACACACACACATATTGCCGCTTTTGATATCTTCTTGCTATATCTATGTATTTTTTTTACATTCTTCTTCGTCTTCTTTAGGTTTCTGATGAATTCGTGTGGCCATCATTATTATGAAAGATTCCGATCCAAATTCTCTATTTCTTTGGGGTTTTTTTTCATCAAAAAAAAAAGAAATCCATTTTTATGATTAAATTTTTTTTTCATTTGCCTGTTGTTCTCTTTGTATTATTATTGTTTTTTTTGTACTGCCCAGAATGATTGTTCGTAATGTTGTTGTTGTTGTTTTTTTTTTTCATTCATATATATGTTGTTGTAAAAAGGGTTGAGAATCACTCATTATTGTTGTTCTCTTTGTATTATTATTGTTTTTTTTTGTACTGCCCAGAATGATTGTTCGTAATGTTGTTGTTGTTGTTGTTGTTGTTGTAAAAATCACTCATTATTGAATGGGATAGATAGATGGATTTTTTTTTGTTGGCATTTTGAGTTCAAACAACAACAACGACAACAGTTCATTTTTAAAGAGACTTCATCTTAATGCTTATCATTGATTGGGAAAAAGGTGTGTGCGTGTTTTTACTTAATTTATCTTTAATAAAAATAAATAAAATCCAATATAAATAATCGTTGCTAATTCGTTTTCTGTTTAGATTTCCCCATTAACAAGACAAACGCAAGAATAATTTATCCAATTTCTAATTATATACTATTTATATGTGAATAGTTTTTTTTTATCAACTTTTTCTTCATTCATATATATATATACAATGTGTCAATTTTTTATCATAAATTTTTTTTTTCATTTGTTAAGGATCCACCAACATCAAACATCAATATCTGATAAAGAGAAACGACAACCAAAAAAAAAAAAAACGAAATCATCATGAATGAAAAAGAAATTGTCATGTAATGGTCAAAATATTATATACAAGTGTTTGTTATTGTTATTATTATCGGTGTAATGATAAAAAAAAACTATTGCATTGACGATGATTTCTTAATATATAAACTCTAAATGTTTAGATGATGATGTCATTCATACATACAATATACACTTATTCCATTCTATTCATTCATTCATTCACAACAACAGTATCAAACATTGAATGAAATGAATCAATGAATGGGAAAAAAATATAGTCCAACAACAACAAAACGAGATAAGAGTTTTATGGTTTTTTTTTTTTTTTTTTGTTATATGGTGTATGAATCGATGTCATTTTGGTGAATCGACGACAAAAAATCATGAAAATCAACAAAAAAAAAAAAAAAAGGAAAGAAATAACATTGGATAACACAACTAGATATATGGGCACCAAACTTTTAAATACACACACACACACACACACCATCGAAGGAGAACAATTAGAATCGTATCATTGAATGTTTTTTTTTCTTTTTCCAGTGCATTGTATATATTTCGATATATCAATTGACATGCATTTGTTGAAGAAGCGACCAAACATTAACGACATCAAAATCGACATAGACATCATAATCATCATCATCATCATCATCATTTAGGGTTTAGCTCTTATCGCAAACGAACGCGGCATTTATTTCCATTCCTTTGTTCATTCATATCATTTTTTAAAAACTATTGGCTCCTTATGAGTGAATATGATGATGAAGGCGAATTGCCGCCGGACGCGTGCTTAATCGGATGTGGTGAGCTTTTTAGTTTCCGCCATAAGGTTAATGATTAAATTTTGAGATAAATTCTCTCTCTCTCTCTCTCTTATGGTTTATGTATCAAACATTGAATTTTTGTTTGCCCATTATATATGCGATACAGTTTATTTTCCCTCTTTCTCTCTCTCTCTCTCTTCTCTCTCTTTTTCACGGAGTTTGCGATCGATTTTGTTCATTCATTTTCATTTGCCCCACATTAAATAGAAATTCGATTCGATTCATTTTATTTTCAAAACATTTGATTCGGGTCAGTTTTTCGGGAATAAATGGTTATAGCTGTTTATTATCAATGATTGGAAATGTATCATCATTTGTGACTTTATTCCGGTTCATTTCAAACATTATTCATTAAATTGACGGCCGATAAGATAAGCGTAAATGTCTATAATAATGACCAATGTCCACTAAATATATGATGGCTATTCATTTATATATATCAAGAATTAAGTTTAGAAAAAAAAATTCAGAAAAAACGATAATGAACAACAATTTTAGATATCCAGTTTTATTTTTTTTTTTTATTGTCAATAATGATTTTTTTTAGTGGATTAAAAAAAGATCAACAACAACTTTAGTAATTGAAAAAAAATTTTTGATGATTGTGCATAGCATTAAGAAAAGAGAATTTTGAATAATACAACCATATCAATGATCGAATGGTGAATCTCCACTTCCGTAACCGCTACTTGCATCACATAATTCACCATCCATTTTGTTAGGGTGTTGTTGTTGTTGTTGCGGTGGTGGTGGTGGTGGCTGTTGATGATGATGATTGTGTGTAATATTCATATTATTATTATGATAAGGATGAGCTTGTTGTAGTTGTTGTTGTTGATGATGAGATGTTGTCGATGTTGGCTGTAATGATGATGATGATTGAATCGTTTGCTGTTGATGCCGTTGCATTAAATCATTTAAATGATTACTTCGTGATAGATTGGCAAATAACATTCTTTCTTCATAATCATATTCGCATAGAATTTTATTCTCATATAAATAGAATCGATCACCAACACAGAATCTGTGTGAATTTTGTAATATATATGAAAAAAAAACAAAGAAAGAGAAATCAAGAAAAGAATGAATGAAGGAATATTGGCAAACACAAACAATTATTATCATTATTACATAATCATAACTATTGATATATAAGGTCAGAATATCCAAAAAAATAAAAATATAACAGGCATACAATACTAAAATTATTATTTTCCAAAAGTGTATTCAATCATTTTTTTAGTTCATCTTGACATTTTATCTTTCTTGTCATCATCATAATATTTTAATGTGTGTGTGTGTGTGTATGCATACGATATATTAGTTTATTATATATATATAATGCAATGTAATTCATTTATATTGGATTCGAATGAAGACAAAGCCAAAACATACACAAAAAATAGACACGAATAGAAAGAATCCAATATACTTGATTGACGATTTCGATAATAGGGATATATTGTTCCATTATAAACACTTAGACACATATAATATACACATGTACACGACATCTACACTTTAATTCTTTAATATACATCAAACCATATCCTCATCATCATCATCGTCGTCGTCGTTTTACATTTTTTTTTCTATAATTTGATTGAGTTTGACAATATATCAAAGCTTTTGGTTTTGTAGGGTTGGCCTTTATGATGATGATGATGATGATGATAATGATAATATAGACGTAGTGGCCAGGCAATATACGCTAATTGATTTGCTCTACATTATTATTTTTTTTTTCATAGATTGGATTGATTGATATATATTATTATATATTATATATATAGTTTTTATGTCTTGTTTGTTCGTTTATTTCGAATGTATTAGAAAAAAAAAATAATAATTATAATCGACTATATGGTAAAATCAATTAGTGGATTCATTTTTTTTTCTTGTATATCCATTTTTTATGAGAAATAAATTACATCATATCATATCATAATATAAATATTCTATACTTACTTTTGATGACATTGAAAACAGGAAAAACATTCCAAATGATAAACATTGGATTTAGCTCTCATGACCATCTCAAAACCGGGTATTGTTTTATTACATGCTGAACAAAAACCAGTGTTGCCAAATAATCTAAAATAAGAATAATAATGAGAGAATGATGAAAAATTTTTTTGGACAAGAAAAAAAAATTATACATTTTGGAATCTATAGAATTGGGAAACAAAATAATTTAAATTGTTACAAATTACTCGGGAATAAAATGCAAAAACTCTGAAAAAAAAATTCTGGATGAATGAACAAGGCAAGAAAAGGGAAGAGAAAGAGAAAAAGCAAGAGAGGATATCAAGAAGAGAATAATATTTCATTTATTTTCGATTAATAAAAAAAAAATAATAATAATAGATAAATAGAAAAAAAATTATTCTGTTATTCTGAATGAATGGGTCATTTCCATATATATATTCTAATTTTAATTTTGTGTTCGTCGTACACAAATTATAATGAATGTGAAAAAAAAGAGACTGAGAGAGATGATTATATATTATTATTATTATTACTGGTATAAGTATGCATTTATATAATCATGCAATAAATATATACTCTTCATGATTATATCACAAATACATATGATATACACACACACTTATCCCTTTTTTTACATATATCAGTTAGTTTGTTGTGTGCAATTTTAATTAAATTAATTATTAATAGTTTCATTTGAATATATAGCTATACAGCTAAATAAATTTTTTGAACAAATGAGAATGAATGATTGCCACTAAATGTGAATATGAGGCTTCCGAACACACACACACACACACACACAAAAAAATAGGAAAATGGAATAAAAACCACACACGGATATAGAAAGAGAATAGAACGGGAAATTTTTTTTTTGAAGCAATCAGTATCAGTGCACACAACCGCGTGGACCCAGGGTCTAAATGAGTATTTTTTTTTCGTTCATTGTTTGTTATCGTATTATATATTTGTTTATATATAAATGGGAACCATAGTCAGAATTATTAATTGTCATGCTGCATATATATAAGGATGATGATGATGATGATTATGTTGCTGTTGCTGTCAAAAATAATTAGCGATATGGTTGGTGGCCATGGTAGTAGTGGTGGTGGTGGTGGTGTTGGGGGCAATCGGTGTCGGTATATGAAAGATATTTAATAGGAGAAAAAAAAATCCTGTTATTCGCATAGTTTCAAGAAAAAAAAAATTCATTTCAATGTTGATGATTATAATGATTATAATGGGCTCCTCTATAGTCTTTCTGTCCCCCCCCCATCACACACACACACACACATATATAAAAAAAAAAAAACAGCAGCAAATAGATTATGCACTATGGCCATATAGATATTATATTATATTATACGAGTCTAATTGTCTTGTAAAAAAAATCGAGTAAACGAAACTATTTTCAATGTACTAAATGTGTCCTGGTATTCTGGTTCACTATTTTTTCTCTCTCTCTCTCTCTCTCTCTCTCTCTCTCTCTCTCTCTCTAGTTGGTCGGTTATTCATTCTCATTACCGTTTTAGTTGTCGTGAGTATTCATTCATTCGTCGTTGTCAAATTAGAATTATTATCATCATTATTATTATTAGTATTATTTGGACGAAGAAAATTATGAATTATTATTAGTAGAAGAAGAAGAAGAAGCAAATTTAATTATGAATCCCCGAGACACATACACTGATGATGATGATGATGATGGTTCTGTAGTTTTACGACAAGCCTAATTTAATGCCCTTTTTGGTTCTGTGTATATTTTTTTTTAGTTTGAATTGGCGTACATATGATGACTTTTATCTTTATTATCATTTGATAATGATAGTGATGGTGATCATTTTGTAAAGTTTATTCTGATATTCATTCAAAAAATTTTTTTTTTTGTCGAATTTAATCGAAAGTCTAGACTTTGAATCGATTAATTCGTTTATTATAATTATATAATCAAGTAAATTTGAACAACTGAATAATGAATTCGTCTTCTTGGTAACATAATAGAAAAGCATCCGCACACGTTTGACAATATATTTTTCTCATGCCACGTGTTCAGTATATATTACGTGTGCAGCGGTTTTTGTTCAAATTCCTTAGCCACTATAGAAAATTAATTTCAATTTTACAAAGTGCAATCGATTTTCCACACACACACACACACACACAAATGGCAGATGTCCTGATCCAATGGCAACCGATATGCTCATATTGATCGAAATACAAATTCAATTTTGATTTTATTTTTTTTCCCCATTCAATACAATACACTCATTCAATTAATCTAATTGAATGTTGAATTGATTCATTCACTCTAGATGAAAAAAAAATAACAGAATCACATCATGGATTATGAATTCTGGATCGTTTTTCATTCAACGAATAATTTATTTTTTTTTATAAATGAATGGCTCATTTATTCAAAAAAAAAAAAAAATTTCAAATTTTTAATACCACTTTAAAAAAAGCAGAAATAATTTTCTCAAATAGATGGAAATGATTTTCAAATATAGAAAAAAAAATTTCAGATTCGATTAAATTTTTTTTTTGTTCCAACACTGTGCATAACAACAATTTGCATCATGTCACATGTTGTTGAAACTTATAATTAATCAAAAGTTGAATATAATTCTACATTCCACCTCTTTATATTATTATATAATGGAATGAAGTAGTAGTTTTTTTTTTGTTTTGTTTCACTGGTAGAATCCATCGAAAACTTGTTTTAAATTTTTGCCCATTACACTTTTTTTTTCTTGATCATCATCATCATCATCATCATTGCTCCGCATCTATCTATTCATTTGGTATCCTATATATATATTCATATTATTAAACTAATTAAAAGTTTAATCAAGCCAAAACTAATTATAACTAACCAACAAAGTCAATTCTATCTATGCTTGCAAGATTGCTTTAGTAGTATTTTACAAGAATAACAAGAATCATAGCATGATAAAAGAAGAAGAGACGGATAAAAAAAACGCTGATGTCCAAACGCTATGAGATCAGACACACACTGGATGAATTGAATGAAGAGTTTCAATTAAAATTTGAAAAAAAGTTTGCTTTTCTTCTCACTCAATGTGTGTGTGTGTGTCTGTGTCTGAGTGTGTGTTGGTGTCATGTATATGGCACACTAATTAAAATAAAGTCAAACTTGAATACTTGAATATATATTCACATTGTGCTATAATAATAAAGAATGAATGAATTGCCAGATTGAGTCACGGGAATACTACGCTTTTCACTATTTCGTGCTCTTTTTTTTTGGTCCGTTATTATCATCATAACGTTTAATTAAATAGAAAGCATTTTTTTTCTATAGCTGGATTTGTAACTGATTCAAAAAGATGTATGATGATGATACAAATGAAATGAATGTGTGTGTGTGTGTGTAAGTTTAGAGGATACAATGAATTCATTATGATTCTTTCGCTACAACTTGTTTATACATAATCTATGTTTCATAGTTCATCATCATTTCTATTTTATTCATTCTTTTTATGGTAGTGAATTTAAATGAAAATTAACGAAATTTGCAATGTGGATGATAAAATGTAAAAAATAAAAATATTTCTCTTACCTTAGATAATCTCGTTTACATAGAATTAGATTTGCTTTAGTGAATAATGTTGATCCAACTTCACCAAGTCGACAATCACAGCAAGAACATTTAAGACAATCTTCATGCCAATATTGATCCAATGCTTTGAGTAGATATCGTTCACGTATTGGTTTATGACAATTAAAACATTCAGCTGGTGTAGATGATGATGATTGTGTCGTATTATTGTTAACAATATTAACCGATCGTGACACTTGTTTCTGTTTACTATTACCAGCCATTTTTTTTTGCAGAAAAAAAACAAATTAAATCACCAAAATACAAGAATAAATTGAATAGAATGAATAATAATATGATATAAACAATAAATAACGTTTGGCGCGCGTAAAAATTTCCAATACGATCTGCTTTATAACGAACTGGGTTAGATGTTCTATGGCCAATGAGATTCTGGCTGTTCACTTTTTTTTCATATGCATGATGAAAATACAATCCGAATATTTAAAAAAATTCCATCTGCTACTGCTAGTGGTATTGAATATTATGTGCAACAACAAAAATTTGAAGATTTACGGAAGTGGTATATCATTAATAGAAATGGGTCCTAGCATGCTTGGCGCATTAAAATCAATCGCATAGACGCATATTGTTGTGTAGATGAAAAATTTTTTTTTTTTTCATTTCATGGATTCTGTTTATATATAGAAAACATTCCGGACATTATACCAGATATACTAATATCATAAACAAGAAGAAAAAGTTTTTATTTCAATTAGATTATTATATTAGACCATTATTTGTAGTATGTGTGTGTGTGTATCTGTAGCGTTATAAGTGGCAATCATCTTGATTACTATTTATATGCAGTGAATTTTCTTTTTTTTTGTTCCCTTTTTCAAATATAGAAAAATTCTTCATTTAGAAATGTATGTAATGTTATAGAAAGAGAGAGAGAGAAAAAAAGCGGCAACGTCTCCTTGTTTCATGATCCATTACAAATTATTATTATATTAAATTGGATTGGATTGGATTGTATCCAATGGATGAATGAAATCTATCTATGTATGTATGATTTAAAGAAATTGCATAAGTATATGAATGGATAAAGAAAAGGAAACATGGTTCATTTCATGTTTGTATTATTAACAGTCACGGATATACTACTTGACGTATGCGGAACCAAATATCTACACACACACACACACACACACACACACACACATTGAATATGAATATATCAAATCGACCAATCAATTTTTTTTTTGAATCCAATGATATTGATTTGCCTTCCAGTGGTAAATATATCCAAACAATCGAAAAAAAATTGATGAACAGAATCTATACTACTATATATTGTATTATATAATAGCAAACACTACATATAATAATAAAACATTTTTTCTTTTGGATATATATCATATGAATTGAAACCATCATATTAACAATCCATATTTTTTTTTATTATTATTGCCCTCCACATTATTGTGCATATAGTTGATGCGTTGTTGTATCCGATTCTACAAATTTTTTTTCTTTTTTTCAACAGATCTGCATTCAATTGTTGTTGTTGTTGTTGTTATTATTATTATCGTTATTATATTGACCCTTAACAAGCTCATTTGTTCATATTATTTTCTGGATTTTTTATTCTTCTGGTTTCTGGCCAACACTAACGATCCGTAGGATTTTTTTTTTCCTTTTCCTCAATGAAACTTTGACATATATATTATATCAACTAACGAATGGACAGAACAAAAAAAAATTCCAAAAAATTATTTGAACTAAAAGCTTGATACAACCAAATTAATTATTATGATGATTATCATTGAGTAATTGAGCTTCTTTCTCGATATCACTTCAGAAAAACATCCTAATAATTATTATTATTATACCAGTTATGATGAAAATGGCCCGATGTAGAATAAATCTCAAACAAACAAACAAACAAAAATCCATTTCCTAAATAAAACAATTCAAAAAAGGGCAATACAAATGGAAAAAAAATGTCAATTTACAAATTAAACTCGATTGATGATTCTATGTACTAGAAGAAGAAGAGAAAAATTCCCTTCTATATTAATACAAAGTTTAATTTGAATTATTCTTTTAGTAGTCATCATCGCCATCATCATCATCATCATCATTATAATCATCATCGGTTGAATTGAATACAGAACAGAATCCAAACCGAATACGAGTCAATTTGATAACGAAGCAATTTGTAATTTTAGTTATTGTCCCTAATCAAGCTAAATAGGCTTGTTGTTGTTGTTGTTGTTGTTGTTGTTGTCTGTATTCACAGTCACTATTTCGTTTGTCCCGTTGTTATATAACATCTTAAACAAATTATTACCATGTGTGTGTGTTTTTTTTGTATGTTGGTCGTTGCCATACAGCCATTGTATTATACAATATTGTATTGTATTTATCAAAAGCTATAACTGGCCACAAAATGCATTACTATAATTAACTGAGGCCCATATACTGATATATGAGTCCTAGCTATTATTATTATGGATGTCTGAGTGTGTGTGTGTGTGTGTGTTCTATCGGTCGATCCGTTATAACCATTTTTGTCGTTGTCATTATTCGTCATCACTGACATTCAACTCCTCAATCTATTTGTATGAATAAATAAATGGAAAAGAAAAATACATGAGATCCCATTATTGACTAGACCATTTTTTTTTTTTTTAATCCATTTGGGATAATTTGGTTTCACATTCATTCTGTGTTTGATTTGAATTCACTTTTATTTTTTTTTTTTTGTAGAAGCAATATACATACATACATTTGAACCAAGTGTATGAATATATCAACACAAGTTTAATTAAAATCAAATTTTCATTTCACTATTTCCAAAAAAAAGGAGGAAAAAAAATGTTCACCTTAAACTTATCAACAACCAACAAAACAATGTCATTTGACAATAGTGAAAATATTACAATCAATTTATGATTATTATTTTTGCGAATTTTTCCATAACAACCAAATTGATTGGTTTTGGCATTTTTTTCTCATTTGATGTAATATGAAGCATTAACATCATTATTATTGGGATAATAATAATCGAATTTGTGATTAGCCAATCAATTATTAACATATATCCAATATATAGTAGCATTGAATTGTCAAAGTGATAATAATGGTCATTGAAAGCATAAGATAATAATATAATTTGGTGACGTTACCGTTATTTATTATACAAGAAAAGTGAATCAAATCAAAGTCATAAGATTTAGCATAGATTTTAGTTTAAATGTTAATTTATCAATACACACACATGTCCGGTTACAATTTGCAATTCTATTTTACCCGGGCTAAAAAAACAACGAAAAAAAAACTTGAACAAACACAAGGGCCATTAGTAGAAAAAGGTCCCGAAAAAAAAGGTTCATTGCTTATATATGCATGCATGTAATGTGTGAATATTTGGATATCAGTTTATTATACAAGTTTTTTTTAATACAAATATACTTTTTATACTATATATGTATGTATATTTGAAATGCATTACATTTAGAATTTTTTTTTATATAATCAGTATACCATGGAATAGGGAGCAAAAAAAAGCATCAATAAAGACAAATCAAACGCGAAAAGCATTCGACAACGACGACGACCCCAAGCAATGATGATGATGACGAGAATACACATTTATCTAATAAAGCAACGACGAAATGCACTTAAATTGAAATAAAATCTTTTTAATGTACTTTGGGCCAAACATTTGTTGTTGTTGGTGATGATGATGATGATGATGATGCTTTTGCTTTTATTTGTCGAATGTCGATGGGTGTGTGTGTGTGTGTGTGTGTGTATGTGTGTCTATGTCAATCCTTCGTCCAGAAAGAAAAAAAAATAAAAGAGAAAAGGCATGAAAGATGCATTTAGGAATAATATGGTAATCTGTTTTATTATTTATCATCTTGGAACAAAACACACACTTTCACTTACACCATCATAACATAAACAGACCACACATAGTATGGTAACGAGAGAGAGAAAAAAAACTTTATTTTGGATCAGTTTTTTTTTGGCAATGATGCCATTATAAGTTAAAATTAGAATGAAAAAATGCTGATGGACATAACATACGGGTATTATTGATTGGTATCATCATCATCATCATCATCATCATAAAATCATCATCATCATCATAAAATCATTACAATTAATCGATCGAATGGATAAATGATTCGAATAATTAAATCAATCATTAATGTATTGATCATAGAGGAACTATAATTATAAAAAAAAATATTGATCAATCGATTGGCAGAGACACACACACACACACGCACACAAACGGCAACGGGATGGTTATTTGCGAATGACAAATTAGATTTATTAGAAATTGAATATCACCATTATCGGTGATATTATCTTTTTCGAAAAATTTTTCAGGTTTCTATTCGAGCTATTTATAAAAATTACGCCCAATGTAATATCAATTTATAAAATTAAATTTTTCCAATTTTTCACATAATATATATACATTTTCAAGAATTGAATAAACGAATAAATAATGAACGAATAAAAAAAAATATCCATGAAAACGGCGGAGACAACATTTCAATTTAATAACGTTTTTTTTTATTCAAGAATCAAAATTGTTGAAACCGATTAATAATCGTAGAAGCTTTTTCCATTGATGATTGTATATATTCAAATGCATATAATAATGTGAATATATTGGAAAAATGAAAATATCGTCAACCAAAAAAAAAAAAAATATTATTATTGTTTGGCATGTGTGTAGAGCAGTTAGATTAAATTTTTTTTTCACTTTTTTTTGATGATGATGATTATTATGATGATTATGATGACAAAAAACATTGAATACAAAAAAAAATAGAATTGATGGTAAAAGCAATTTTCGAATGAATTGTTGGGCGCCATTTGTGTGGATATCATCATCATCATCATCATAATTCACAATCAAACATTATTGATTATTACAAATTTATTCGTTCCATAAAACGTTCGATTTATTTATTATATATAGCGAAAACTAGAATGAAAAATGAAGAAAAAAAACTTTTAGATTTTTTTTTTTTTTTTTGATACAACGTCATCGAAATTAATCCATATTCAAACACAATGTATTATTAAATGAAATTCACATTTAACTTTAAACGAACATCGATACTCCATTTATACATTGTTGTTCAGATATATTTTCATATATAAATCAAAGTTTGCCACAATTTAGTGTGGCTAATGTTGCCAGAAATTTTTTTGTTTTGTTTTGTTTGCAAACGAATCGTATTGATGAAACGAAAATAACATGAATGAAAAAAAAAAAAATTTTTGCCACTCTGGAATTTTTTTTCTTTGTTTCTTCAATAAATTTTGATTATATTGAATGTGTATTGAAGAAAAACATCAAACATAAATGGAATGGTAATGTATATTGAGATAAGTTAATAAATGGGCAAATCATGCCATTACCATTAAAACAATAAAAAAAAAGAGAATACATTACGATTGTCATCGTTGTAGGTGTGTGTTTGTGAATGATGTGGAACAATGATTCAGTATTCCAAATAGTGCAAATAGATCCATGATTTCTAAAAAAGCCGATATAGCTTTTTTTATTACACCTTGATATGGTGCTAACACATTTTATCGTCATTTTCTTCGAACAATATTATTATGATGGTTAATTTTATAAATAATAAACATTTCAACAATATATGATCATTAGCCTCATATGTTCGAAAATCGTATCGAATATGAAATTGCTTATCTTTTTCAAGCAAAAAAAAAAACAGAATATTAAACACTTGAGGCCATATTTTCATTCCATCGTTCATTAACTATCCGATAGAATCTATTCATACATCGCGCTAATGTCTTTTCTTGAGTTAATATTCGAATTTGGAATGTGAACAAGGCTCATTTTTATACGCTATCGCGATACAATCGATACCGAAATATCAAAACAAAGCCAAACATTTTGCCGGTCATAGAATCAGAATTATTATTGTTTATATATTTTTTGGACATGAATTGAGCTTGGAATTTGAAAACCCAATAATGTCAGACATAAAGATCACGCCATTGGGTATGTTGATGATTTATAAATCTAATTAATTCGATTCTAAACGATATTATTTCCCATCCAGGTGCTGGTCAAGATGTTGGAAGAAGTTGTATTTTGGTCACAATCGGTTCTCAAAGAGTCATGTTGGACTGTGGAATGCATATGGGATACAATGATCAGGTTTTTTACGAAAAATTCCTTTGAAAAATTTTGTAATTATCATTGTTTTTTTTGAATAGCGACGATTTCCCGATTTTTCCTATGTCAGTAATGAAGAAAGTTTGGATTCTTATCTTGATTGTGTTATCATTTCACATTTTCACTTGGATCATTGTGGTGCTTTACCATACATGACAGAAATGGTTGGATATAAAGGACCAATCTATATGACTCATCCAACAAAAGCTATTTGCCCAATTTTATTGGTCAGTTATCAAACTAATACAATTTATAAGCTCTAATTTTTTCAATTTTAGGAAGATTTCCGTAAAATCACGGTTGAACGGAAAGGAGAAACAAATTTCTTCACATCACAAATGATTAAAGATTGCATGCGAAAAGTTATTCCTGTAAATCTTCATGAAACTGTCAAAGTAAATGATGAATTGGAAATTAAAGCATATTATGCTGGCCATGTTTTAGGAGCTGCAATGTTTCATATAAGATCTGGACAGCATTCCTTAGTCTATACTGGAGATTATAACATGACCCCTGATCGTCATTTAGGTAGTGCTTGGATTGATAAATGTCGACCAGATGTCCTCATAACAGAAAGCACTTATGCAACCACTATTCGTGATTCCAAAAGATGTCGTGAAAGAGATTTTTTGATGAAAGTTCATGAATGCATCGAACGTGGTGGCAAAGTTTTAATTCCTGTATTTGCTCTTGGACGAGCTCAAGAATTGTGTATTCTATTGGAAACTTATTGGGACCGAATGAATCTTAAGACACCAATATATTTCGCAGTTGGTCTTACTGAAAAAGCAACAAATTATTACAAGCTTTTTATTCCTTGGACTAATCAAAAGATTAAAAAAACTTTTGTTAAACGTAATATGTTTGAATTTCGACATATCAAACCATTCGATAGGGCATATGCAGATAATAAAGAACCGATGGTTGTATTTGCTACGCCTGGAATGTTACATGCTGGCCTGTCTTTGCAATTGTTTCGAAAATGGGCTCCTGATCCAAATAACATGGTCATAATGCCTGGTTATTGTGTAGCTGGCACTGTTGGTTATCGTTTGTTGAATGGTGCCAAAAAAATTGAATTTGAAAACAAACAATTTGTCGACGTTAAATTACAGGTTCGTTATATGTCATTCAGTGCTCATGCCGATGCTAAAGGTATAATGACATTGATCAATCAATGTGAACCAAAAAATGTCGTACTGGTTCATGGTGAAGCTTCTAAAATGGCCTTCTTACATGGAAAGATCAAAAATGAATTCCATATTGATTGCTACTATCCAGCGAATGGTGAAACAATAAATATTGATATTCCGATCTCACAGGCTGTTGATGTAGATGTTAACTTTCTAAAACGAACAATTACTTCTGGAATTTCTGATCCGAAAAGACAGAAATTAATGCATGGAACATTAAAAATTGATAGCAATAATTCTACTCTCTTATGTAGTAAAGATGAATTCGAACAATATGGAATTAAACCATTTAATATAACATTTAAAACTTATATTAAGTTGGAAAAAGAACAATCCGATTTGCTATCAACTGAAGAAATAACACAGGTTATCTATGAAAAATTGAAAAGCAAACTTAGTGATCAACATGTGATAAACAAACCTAACGAAACTGAAGTACTAATTTCTCAAGTTTTAATTCAAGTTCAACCAAACGAATACAATCAAAGTAATAAAGACATCATCATTAAATGGCCAGAAGAGGTATGGTTTTTTTTCTCATTAAAAGTATAATAATTATATTAATTTTAATTCTTTTTCATTATAATACAGGACGAAGCATTGGGAAGTTTTCTTTTGAATTACATACAAGGATTAAATCGATGTTTTTACAGTACCAAGTGATTCATTGATTCTTTTTCATCATCATTATATTGAACACAAGTTGATAAAAATTTGACTTTTACATGTCAAAATATGTTTTAATCATTATAATAAAAAATCATTATGCTTCACTTGTTGAGCTGTCATCATTCAAGATTTTTCTTTGATTATATCGATTTAATTCTTTACGAATTTCTTTAACAATTGATTGCGTTTCTTCGCTTAGTTTTATTTCCAAAATATTTGGATGTTTGTGCGTCTCTTGGATTGTTTCACGGCTATGAATATAACTGATTCGATCATAATCAGAATTATGGCGACCAGTTACATTGCTATTATAATGGACCGGTATGAATTGCTGTTTAACGTTATTTGATACTGATGATGATGATGATGATATACGTTTGGGAAAAGTTTGCCAAGTCTTGGTTGCTGACTGTAATGTCGAATAATCATATTGGCTGCTTTTATCGATTTTTTTGATTTCTGTACCAGAAAATGATGCTGCAAGATCATCAGTGCTTGATGCAACACTATTCCAATTAATGTGTTCATTTAATCTTTGTACTGATGAACTATTGGCAGGCAATGATCTGCTAATCTCTTGATTAATGTTTTCAATCCAATCTTCACGATCTTTTCTACACATACAAAAATAAAGACAAAATGTACAAAACAGTAGTAGTAATAATAAGCCAAGAATAATCAACATGGATGTCAAATTAATCCAATTGATTTGAGCTGTATTTGCTTCAGATGTATTCTTCACATTGTAGGCTGAAAAAAAAATTAAAATAAAGATTAAACAATGTGAAAATGGTGATGATACAATTTTACCTTCGACTTTAGTTATAACAGGAAACCCTGTTAAATTATGAATGAGATCGGCCGGTATTAACGTCATCAAATTGTTGACGTCTTCGTATGACATCAAAGTTCCATTCTTTCTTAGATTATAAATAATTTCGATTGTTTCCTTTTTTTCATCGATTATTATATGTTGAATCTTTTTACGGGCAAAATAATTTATTAAAAGATTTCAATGGATATGCAATTATACATACATTAAGCTCAAGAAAATCCTGTTCAAAATTGTCTTGTTTCTGTAATCCGTATTCATAGACTTTTATCAATTTATTTTGAAAATGTTTGGTTAAATTTTCTTTGGTTATATTCAATGATGATGATTTATCCAGATAATGCAAGCCTAATTTATAATTTGAATTTTTTTTTATTATTATTATACAGTTTATGGTAAAAAAATTATTCAATTTACTTGTTTTAATAAGATAAGGTTCCGCTTCCGTAATATTTATCGAATTATTTTCATCTTTCGTACAATTAGCTGATTCTATAAAAGAAATCCGTTAAGTTATAGAAGTAATAAAAGTAAAAATTTTTCACCTGTTCGATTATGGATTATATTTGAAGTAGTCACCGATGAAGGTAAAATTGTTGTTAAATTTGGTATAGTTTGAATGATGCTAGGTGTAGTTAGTGTTGATTCTGATGGAAATTGATTAAATACTGAATATGGAAAATCGATAAAAGAGCCATTTTCGGAAAAAGAATGATTCGGTTGATCATAGTAAAATTCAAAATCCAATTTTGGCCATTTACGGCGAAAATTTTCCACACAATTTCCTGTACAGTTTGACTCTAAATTGATTGTAATAAGGTATCATTAGTTGAAAAATTTTATTATAGCTTACCATACGAATAGGTGTAGAATGAAAAAATAATTAAAAACTTCAACAGAGAAATATAATAATAAAGCATATTTATTGTTTAAAAATGGCCAAAAAATGATGATCAAAATAAAATTTTATTTATATTCGAACACAATGAATAAATCCATGCGATTGTAGGATGCTTTTTGATGATTGCGATGAAATGCTCGTTGTTCAACATGTCACATTCATGACAATTGTTTAACCGACAGGTGATTATCATAATAAATAAATATGAATCCTGAAAAGATAAAGTTGGCATTGGGTGCTCTATTGTCATCATTATCAACCAGTTTTTATGGATGAATTCGGATGAATGACTTGAGTAACACAGCCACACCATCAATAGAGTAAATACGTTCGACGGAACCAAAATTCAACTATGAATCATCTATAGATGGTTAAACCTAAATGTAAACAAAATCGGACTTTATTATAATTCACACATAGTGCACACCTGTGCACGTTTTTTTTTGGATTTTCGGAGATTCATTGTTTTGTTTTGTTTTTTTTTTGTCAATCGAAATGAATACTATGGAAACAAGAATTTATTTATAACACGGGCGTTGCGCTAATAAAATTATTGGTTAGAAATTTTTTCTAATGAATGAATACACTCGATTCGATTGAAATGGATTGAATGAAAAAAAATTCAATTTTATTAATTGATTATTATTAAAATTAAATTAATTTGAAATATTGATACAAACTAATTTGATTCATTTTATTTTATGAAAAAAAAAATTTTTCAATGGGTGTGTCTGTTTATTTGTTTGTTTTCATTCTATCATGACCAACAACAACAACAACAACAACGACAACAGCAATAACAACGAGAACAATCATAAATTAGAAAAAAAAACTCAGATCATCATTTAGGTTGACACCTTTATTATCATTATCATTATTATCATCATCATCATCATCATATGTACAAAACAGGAAAAAGAAAAAACATCAAATGTTCAACAATGAGAATTGAATTGCAACAAAAAAAACTTTTTTTTTTGTGTTCATTCGAACATTCGATCAAATTTTTTTTTTTTTTGGCAACAACAGCGATAACGTGTTGGATCGATCATCACAATGTGTGTGTGTGTGTTTGTTTGTTTGTGTATCTTTGCGGGGGGTTTAGTTTCATGATGATAAAAGAGAAAATGTCTTTTTTGTTTGTTTGTTCCGATTGACAAATGTCAATCCGAAAATTTGAAATATTCCGGCATGTTGAAATGAAATTATTTGTTTTCTCAATAAAACTTAAACTTTATATAATAAACTACAGCCAATACATTTCGAGTATGTATGCATATAATGGATGTGTGTGTGTGTGTGTGTATGTTTTGTCATTATCGAAAAAGATACGAATGAAAAAGAAATTCATAATAATAATCATTAACAATTTTATCACGTGATGAACAATGAGTTTTACATCGATTGATTATAACTATATAGGAATCATCATCATCATCATTGTATGTAAGTTTGAATGGATGTGTGTAATTAATTTGTCCTAACTAATCGATGTGAATATAGAGTACATTGTAGCGATAGAAGAGAAAGAAAAAAACTCAACGACAACAAATGAATGAAAACAAAAAAAAAATTCTGGTGAAAAAAAAGAAAACACTAATCATCGTCATTTAGATGAAACATTATCATTATCAATTATATTAATAATTTTTTTTCAGATAAAAGAAAGAAACGAGAGCAAAAAAATATCAAAGATATTTTATATCAAAGAGATTCTAAGATTCTGAAAAAAAGTTAGAGACTTAGATTTGCATTTTATTTTTTTTTTTTTTTTTTGTGATGAGAAGAAAAGGTGTGTTTGTTGTGAGAGAGAGAGAGAGAAAGAGAGATAATGGTGGGCGATCATATTAAAACTGACAGCAGAAAAAATAAATCACAATTTTTGTTTTTTAGAAAAAAAAGAGAATGAATGACCAATACTGAAAAGCACATCAAACACACAACCATTCGCCATACATTTCGAGCTTATTTTGAAAATCATATTCAATTATGTTATACTCATTATATTTATATTTATTTATGGCAAAAAATTTGTTTAAACATTCAAAGAATAATAAACTACATCAGTATTGGATTTATTCTCCGATGAATTGACTAGGTTTGTTTTGCTAGAATCGAGATGTTGTTTTTTAGTGGACAACATCGATTCATTAGCATTTATTGTACTCTGGTTGTTATGATTGTTAGTAATAGGATGATTTGGTGAAAATGCTGCTTGCTGATGTTGTTGTTGTTGTTGAGGCACACGTTTTGATTCATCATGATTCTGTTGTGTCGATTGAGCACGCGAAGCAATCTGAACATGTTGAGCGATCAATTTAGGCTGATGCAAAGAATTTGTTTGTTGTTGATGTTGTTGTTGTTGTTGTTGTTGTTGTTGCTGCTGCTGTTTTTCCATCGTTTTTTGCAGATGAAGTTTTAATTGATCACGAGAAAATGCTACAGCAGGACCATTTAACATGCTTGCATCAATTATTCGTACAATTTCATGCTGTGTGGCTGTTGGGCCACCAATTTCCGGTGCACCACCAGTGTGTATGGCAATCTTTTGTGCTTGAGACAGTTGTCGAGGAAGTGTCTGTGATTTAACTTGTATTTGTGCAATGTTTGCTTGTTGCGCATTTAGAATATTCTTGTTATTGTTTGGTGTGACATGCATATCGTCTATTTTCTTTACAATAGAAATCATATGCGGATGCTGTGATGGATTATTTGCATGATTGATTTGCATGAATTGAGGATGTTGTTGTAGATTTTTTGGTAGTGTAGAGCAAGATGCTATCGTTGCTGGTTTCTCTACATAGATCGGATGATTAGTCATTTGACGAATGGTTGGATTGTTTGACGTCGTATTCAATCCGGATTGTGTTTTTACATTAAGTTGTTTAATGATTTCATTAGATTGGCCAAATTTTGGCCGTATTCCTCTAACTGATGGACGTCGAGCAAATCCAAATGTTGGATCATCATCTTCAGTGAACGAATATCGTTTCTTTATCCTTTCAGTGCGTTGATGTTCTTGCTGAACAAACGCCTCTAATTCATCTTTTTCTTCGGCTGATTGATCACAATTTTCATTTATTTTGTTTTGATTTGAACGTGTATCATCTTTTCTGATCAATACTTGTGGATAAGCATAAAGGCCATCACGACGACGAATCTCACTTGGATCAGGGAATTGAGTATGATGATTTTGCTGAATATTATCGCCACTAGCCAAATGATGTGCACGTATCGTTTGACGAATTTGTACGTTTGGTGGTGCCGCGTAGGCCATCACTGTTGGATGCTTTTGTTGTACATAACAATGGTATGGTGGAACTGGAGGTTGTTTATGTTGAGGATGATGTAATTGCATGATTCGTGGTGCCAATAAAGTGGCACCTTGTGGTACAATTATACGACGAACAGGTACGGTATTGGGTTGTGTAGCATCTATAGATGAATTCGGTACGACTATTTGAGCTTGCTGTATGATAGTTGCTGTTGTTGGTTTTGGTATGACGTTGATTGTTTGGTTGGTATTGTTGTTAGATAGAGATGATGAATTTGTTACCATTGATGATGCGGATGATGATGATGATGTTGTGGATGAACCGGATGGTGAGGAACCAGAAACATTCGATGATGACGGCGGTGGTGGCTGTACCGATGAGATCGTATAACTGCCTAATTGATTACTGACTAACAACTTTGGATTATAAATGATCGATGCTGTGTTATTGGTTCCTCCATTCGCAGTATTTGCAGATGTTGGAGCAGCTTGAACAATATATTGAACAGGGCGAATAGTGCTCACTCCGTTCATTCCTGGTTGGATCACTGCATATGGATAACGATAGATGACTTGACCCGGTCGTAATGTTGTTGTTCCTGGATTGTTGACGATGCAAATATGCTGCTGGCCGGTGGCCATACGTGGAGAAACATTGTTGGCATGATCAACAGGGTGACCGGATATGTTCGTATAAGTAGCGTTCATGTTTACATTAGATTCGTTTGGAGAAAAATTAACACTATTAGAACTTTTATTGTTATCTGGAATCGAAATATGAATCTGCTGGACTGTTGTTGATGATGGATTTGGCGAATTGGAATTTTTTGAAACAGTTCCAAACTGTTCGTGATTCATTAAATTGGTTGTGGATGATGATGATGACGAAGAAACTGGAGAATTTGAGTTGGGCGATGTTTGTGATTTGATCTGTTGAATGTTGGCCGAAGTGGATATCAACAATGGTAATGTTTGAGAATTTTGTTGAGCTGTAGGACATGAAACCGTTGGTGGCACCAATGATGACGATGATGATGATGCGCTCGACAACGATGATGATGATGATGTTCGATTCGTTTCTAATATGGCATAACAGGGCAGAGGCATCAAATTGTTTGATGATATAACGGCATGCTGTTGTTGCAGAATCGGACCACCGCCATTAGTAATACCAATAAATTTGTTGCCGGCTGTCATTGGTGGTGCATTGACTTGCATGTTTACTGTAACAGAATTGGCAACTTCATTTTGATTAAATGTTTTGTTTTTGTTATTATAGTTTGGAAGATTTTGTTGTTGCTGTTGTTCCATTATTTTTTCGTAGAACAAAATATTTTGTTTGAAATTCTGTTGTCTATTTTCTGTTGTTGTCGAAGGCGTTCCATTGATTGTTTGATTATCATTATTATTATTATTATTATTATTGTTATTGTTGTTACTTGTACTATTGGAAAATTCATTATCACTGTTTTTACTATCTTCTGAACTTGATGTACTTAAACGATTTTCGAAATTCTTTACTTGATTTGCAACCAATGAATTGCCATTTATTTTGTTCGAAAGCAATTCGCCCGTGTTTTCATATAATGCTTCATTGATTAAATTATTATTTTTGCTGTTATTTTGATTTTTTACCGAATCTTGAGAATCTGAACCAGATGATGAACTGTTGTTATTTGTTGTAACAGTAGAAGATAACGGTGAAGCACCACAGTTGACCATCTGGGTGATTACGCTGATCTCTCTGTGACAAGGCTGTAAATTTTCATAAATGTTTTCATTATTTGTAATGGAGTTATCGTTCGGTGGTGTTTGTTTGACTGATTCAAGATGAAAAGTTTTGTTTTGATTAATCAAAATTATAGTATCTTGTGAGGTAATACTCGAATCACTGGCAAGATCCTGTAGAGATCCATTGGGACTAGAATCAACGCAACAAACTTCATCATCATCTTCATTAATATTGCCTGCTGAATCAAGAAAATATGAATTGAGATGATGAACAGGAAAATCTGCCGAACTGAGATTTTCTTCATAATTATTGACTGTATCGAATTCATTTTCTTCATCATTGCCATTTGTTGGCCGCGAACCATTATTAGATTGAGATTCGGGTAATGTTACTTGACTGCCGATAGCTTGAAGAATATCATCCTCTTTTAGTACACCAATAATTTGTTCTTCTTCTAAACTATCAAGATTATTATTCAATATCATCGATTGCCATTTAGAATTTTGATTCTGATCAAATGCATGATTATTCAATTTATTCCCAGAATAAATTTCCGAATTTCTAATGCTGTCTTTGGAATCATTTTCACTATCATCATCGTCGTCAATAAAATCAAAAGTGACTTCATTACGAAATACGTTTAATGAATTGGCAATGAAATCCCTATAATCGGGCGGTGGTTCGAATGTTAGCAAATCTTGATATTCAGCTGGAGGATCATACATAAACGATTGAAATTCCATTAAATTCACATCTGGTTTTAGTGCTATAATCTGTGGCATTTGATTATCTGGCATTTCATAGCAAAACACCTGCATCGTTTCGCTAAATTTCACTCGTTTATTATGTGATTTGATAAAATCTTGTGTTGGATCAATTTTCTTTTTTAGAAGTGATTTGAGTGATCTTTTACCATCACTTAAATCACTTTTGACATCGATACCCGAAGTTGATAATGTTGTATTTTTGGTAGATGAGCTCGTTGATGATGATGTCGTCGTCGTAACCGAATGATCACTTTGATCATCACTATTTTCACTATTTTTCTGTGAGCAAGACATTTTTGTAGTTTGCTGTTTTGAATTGATTTCAATAATGGTCAATTCATTATCGTTACAATTATTATTTTTTGATTGGCAACAACGTTGTTGGCCATTCGTTTCATTATTTTCACATTGATTTGTTGTTGTCAAAGATGTTGTTGAAGATGATGTCAAATTGTTGCTATGACATGGATGATCAGTCATCGTTTTCTGATGATGATCAATTCATTCCTGGAATTATATTCACACAACTTTTGACATATATTATTTTAGGCCAACTACGATGTCATGACCAAGGGAAAATTTTCGTCGGAAAAAAACCTGAAATCAAACAGAAAAAGAAAATATTTAATTACTATTGAAAACTGCATCACTCAATCACTCACACGAACACCAACAAACGAAAGCCCTACAAAGCATGTGATATAATTTCGATAATGATGACAGGTAATTTCTAATGATGATCATCAGACGGATATCTAAATTGAACTATTTTCGGACGATGATATGAAATCAAATTTCACGCTTTCTCTTTTTTGAAAATTGTAAATTGGTTGTCCCACATTTTTCAAATGATGTCCGATCGGATCATAGGCTGACTCTTCTTTTTTTTTTTTTTTGTGTGTGTGTGTGATCACTCTTTCTTCGTTCTAATTTATAAATTATCATGGAATTCAGAATGGTAAATGAAAGTACATTGAATGATTGAAAATGATGAACACTGAAAAAATTGAAATTTAGCACATAAGAGAAAAAAAAACTTTTCAAACTATTTAATCGATTCTATTGTCTTGAATATCGAAGCATCGATTGAAAAAAAAGTGAGCGCACATGCAAATGTACTCATTTAGAAAATTTAGAAAAAAAAACGAAAAAAAATTTACAGTGTATTTGCCGGCAAAGGTTATTTTTATATGTAAAATTGCTATGCTATCAATTTTTTTTTTTTTTGGTAACGGTAATAATGTAATGGAAAAAAAACTAATCAATAATCCTATAGTCGAGGTAATATTTTCGAAAGAAAAAGAAAATATTATATAACCTCTAATACTTTTCTGACACACTATATATTGAATATTGAAACAAAATGAAAAGAGAACGATCAACAAGTTGAATGAATCGTTTGTTTCTATATGATGATAATCATTTTCACAGTTTGAATGTGTAATAAACAGATTGATGATGATCTACTTTGTTGAATCTTTTTTCATTAAGATTCGCATTTTTGTTGTTGTCATTTTTGTTTTTCACGGTATAAATGGAAAAATTGGATCAAAAATGAAAGAAAAGGAATGATTGACTAATGATGATCAAAATATAACTTGAGGTAAATTGAAAATTGTAATAACATTTATATTTAAGAAAAAGGTGATCGAATGAATGAATGAATGAATGAACAAATGAAATGCATTCATTCGAATAGAAACAAACAAAACAAAAGTTTCCGGCCATATTTTGTTTCATTTATACAATGACCACCGGAAACCGGTAGACATCAAATTAGTATTGTAATAAACATTTACAAATAAACACTTTTCTACTTTAATCATCATATATAAATATAATAGTAAAAAGGGAAAAAAAATCTAAAAATTTTTTTTTCTTTTTGACAAAATACGACATCTGTTTAATAATAATTTTGTTGTTCATTATTCAGATGACAAATGTGTCCATACATGCATGGCGAAACCACATTGATTAATGTCATTCAAGGTGGACAGTCAGTATTTCATTCATTCACATTATCTATTTCAGTTATTTATTTATTTTAATATATCTATAGATTTTTTTTCCAGTCTCGAATTTTATCATTTAGAAAATGATATGTTATATGTGTATTGTGCAACGAAAAAAAAAAATTTTTTCTTTCTTTTTCAGAAACATCACCTGAATGAAGTTTGAATGATTGAATTGTATTGAATTCAATACTGAATGAAATGAAATGAAATGAAAAGAGAATTTAACGGCACATGACCGTGTTTGTTGGAGAGATTTGAAAATGACAACATTTCTCATTTCTGAATAAATTGACTAAGATGAGAAAGAAAAGGAAATAATAATAATTTTAAATTGGTGCCAAAAATCCATCCAAAAAAAATTGAAAATATGGCGAATAAAAAAAGTGAGTAAATTTTTTTCTTTCTTTCGAATCTCTTTTATCGTCATATGTTTTAGTCTGATTTTTTTTTCGTTGAATTTAAATGTGAAAATAAACGGGTTACGATTTTTTTTGTCTGTTTGTGGCGGCAGGTGTTTCTTGTTTTTTTTTTCATTCATTCATTCAATCATTCAATTCCGCCCCATTATAAAGGTGTACGAACACAACTTTTTGCCAATTGATTCGTATTATTTTGTTTTGTTCATTCATATCGTAATCATTATTATCATCATTATGATTAAGCTAAAAAAATAACCATTGATGATGATGCGGACTTAATGAATGAATGAATATATGATTCGCACGAAAAATAATTACACAGACAACAACAACTAACGGCAGTAATAATAATATTTAAAAAAACAAACCAAAACACTGACATTGCAACGCAGAAAACACATTTCTGGAATGATGAACAAATTTAACATGCTAAATAGAGAATTGAAAAAAAATAATTCAACAAAAAAAACAACCACATCATGGACAGCCTGAATATATTTGCGAGATATATAATAATGATGATAATGGATAATGGAAAAAACAACATTCCGTTATTCAAGATTTTGTGTTTTTTTTTCTCTCATTTAACTGATCACGCAATTCTGTTTCGATTATTGAATTTCATGATCATCATAGAAATTGTTATTTTTTATATATATGAAAAAAATCTGTCTCATTTGTCTATTTTTTTTTGATACATCATACATCGGCATATCCGTCAGTCAAATGGAAAAAAACAATGGTTTTGTTTGATGTTTTTTTTTCATGCGTTCAAAAAATGACGACAAAAGAAATTTTGATCAAATGGCTTTTATTGTTATTATTATTATTCGCCGACAAGAAAAATAAAAAAAAAAAAATTTTTTTTTCTTTCTTTCTTTTCATTTTGTGGTTTTATTTACACGCTGCTAACATGATCATGTTTCATGTGTATATACATTCTTGATTTGTACTTTGTATTTACGATCATAATGTCATTGTATACAAAGAAACCTTTTTCACAATTTATTTTTTTTTTTTTTTGCTTCGAAGAAAGCTCTTTTTTTTCTTGATCGGAAGTTATAATAGATACGAATTTATCACATTGAAATAGATAAGACGAGAGCTTTGTCTGTATTGTTATTTGAGTGAGTTTTTTTTTGTTCAATGAAAAAAAAACAATAACTTACCTGATGATTTGAATGAAAATAGAATTTGGAAGACACTTGGAATGATGTAAAAAAAAATTATTCTTTTTTTTCGTTTGCTATTATAATATAACACAGAATTTAAGAATGGCAAAAAATTTTTATCGTATTTTGGGACAATGGGATAATGGAGGGGTGATGGTGGTGGGAATATTGAGTGTTGGCGTTTTTTTTTTTTTTTGATGATGATGAAAACCAGAAAAGGAAGTAGAATCGATGTCGAAATAAAAGTATTTGAAAAGAAATATTGCTTTGGTGGTTCGAAAAACACTTTTGAGAATGGAATATTATATTATATTATCGGGAGAAATTTGTGAATAAATTTATAAGAATAATCATCATTTTTTTTTCGTAGTGGTCATAACATTAGATTGGCCAATTGGAAAAAACAAAGCAAAAAAAAACAAACAATTGTCCAACAATAAAACAACAACAACGATAATAATGATAATGATAATAATAATGGCAAAGACGATATAGAATTCAACAAATAATGGATAGAATCGATGTGTTCGAATTGAGTTTTCTAATCACGTAAATGAATATAGTGATGTATTATTATTATTATTAGTAAACACAATGACAATGATGATAAGAAATAAAGAAGATGATGATAACGAAGAAGAATTTAATAATTTGATGATTCTAACCAATGATGGGTGGATTTAACGATTTTGGAATATATAATATTGATGTTGATTAAATGATATTGTTGTTGTAATAACAAACATTATATATTTCAAATATAAGAAAAATTTATGAAACAAATAGCCAAATATTTATAAAATCAAGAATAGAATAATAGAATAATATTTGGAATGATGTGATATTTATGTTGGTGATAATAAACGATCGTTTGTTTGTTTGTTTGATTGATTGATTGATTGATAGATTGTTCATCAATGAATGAATTGAATTTCGATATCAAATCATCAAACACACAAATAAATAAACAAATTGTATAAATGTGAATGAATAAACGAGCCGGGAAAATTGAATTATTTTTTTTTTGCTTTGATCAACATGAGAGAACAAGAACATTCAGCCATCCATTCATTCATTCATTTATTCAATAAACCAAACAAGACTGATTAATGCAGAGAAAAACAAAATTCTCACAAGGGGGTCATATAGAGGAAGACATGAATCTTCAAAATGATGATGATCGATTCACATTTAAAAAACATTGAATTTGACATTACACTTTATTGAACAAAAGAATGGGCGAGATGCAAAAAAAAAAAATAAAACACAATCAATCCAAACGTGCATTATACACACACACACGAGAAAATAAGAACGAAATGAAAAAAAGAGTAAAAACGGATGATGATGATGGTAAAGGTGGTTAAAGACTTGGCTTCAAAATTTTTCGAGTTTCTCTCTTTTTCGGTGTTTTTTTTTCTTGTTCATCTATGATCTCTTATCATTGAATTGTTGGCTGAATAGGCCAACAAATAACAATACAATCAACATCATCAACATCTTTGTGAATGAATTCTTGTATATTTCTTCATAATGACAACAGCAGTAACAACAACAACAAAAAAAATACACACATACTTGGAGCTCAGAGCCCGAGCCAAAAAAAAAAAGTTCATAGTGAGAAAGAGAAACCATTTCTAGCTTTCGTCTGATATTTTTGGAGACATACAAACACACACACACACACACACACGTAAAGAATCTTCGGCAACATCGGTGTATAAGCAACATACCAAACACTCATATCTTTATGGCGGTTAGTGGCCGAACGATATTTTTTGGTTGATTTTTTTTTTTTTTTTGGAACACACACACCACCACATATAATATTCGTCAATGAATATCGTGCGAATACCACTTCTACTTCGATGATGAATGAAGATGGTGGAAGCAGAAAATACTTCGACATATGCACACACACACACACACACCATTGATGGCATGTGTGTGTGTTCGTATTTATATATATTTCTAGTATTAGTGTATAGAGACAAGCAAGTTCCTCGGTCCGGGTTGTATTTATATGTGCATTTATATATTTGTATATTAATGTAAAGGTCGCTATCTCCATCATCGTCTATCTAATCTGGTTTGGTTTAGCTTCGTCGACTGGTTGAGATGATAATGGTCGACGAACAAAATTGCCTACATCACAGAATCGATGATGATGTCTGCATCTTTCGGCAAATTGTAGCAATCCAATGTTCGTATAAGCATCAGGTCGTGAGGTGCGCATGAATCACTGAAGCCATAACAACTACCAATAAATGCCGTCATCATTGGTAATAGCATATAATATTGAATGTGCATTACATCAATTTATAATTTCCGAACACACACACACACACACACAAAAAAAAACCAAGAACATCGATCTCAATCCTCCTACGATGAATTTGTCGTATCTTTATTCTCGATCTGTCGATTGAGAATTTCTTCGGTCATGCACTCAATACACGCTTGCGCTTTATCATTCTTCCTTGTGGTTATGTAATAGACTTAAAATGAAATCCAAATTAATACTCATTTGCATCAAACATACCAAATACATTTACACATTTTCAAAAATATTTATTAAGATTAAAGTGAATATAATGATTGTGTTCAAGAAGAAACAGCTAAGCCAACTGATGATGGGTATAATAAAAAGGAGAATTTATGTGGATTATTACACCTGATGTTTAATCGTCAAAATCCTTTATCGTGGTCGTATATTCATTCAATTGATGTGATTTGTAATGGCGTATCCATATATCGGGCATGAGGAAATCGTTGATAGTATCGATCTTCTTTAAGGAATTTTACACTGACCAATTTCTTTTCGCACCACCATCCATGTAATGCATGGAAAGCATTTGTAGCTCCAATCATTGAGCCACATTTAAGAAATACCAAACCTTCATTGGTACTATCATCGATTTCAATGTGAACAATATCATGTTGACCATTTTCAGAAGTAGTAGCCGTTTTTTCCAATATGGTATTCTTAACTTTTTTGCTCCAATTCGAATCGACGTATTGAGCTTCTTTTTCGAAAATGTTTCTAATCTTCAAAAAACGGGTCAATGCCTGAAAATTTTTGTTTCGATTAATATCGGGAAAATGTGATAGTTCCATGGATTCATTATTCGACGATTGATTAGCTTTATTGTTGGAGAAAGCAAACGCTTGTCCTTGCCATTCAACGCCACCAATTTTCTGTGTTTGTGAAGAAGCAGGAGCCGGAAAGTCGCCGTCATTTTCACTATCAGTAACATACGGACTATTGGTTGTCGCAATCCATTTCCACGCTTTGAATTCTTCACCATCGATTTCCTTGAACACAACTTTGACGCGAGAATCCGAATTTTCAATTTGCTTTACAACTTTATCCCAAACTCGTTTATATTTAGAGCTTTTCTTTTCAGCTGGCGATAATAACGTGTCACGGATATGTAACACAGGCATTGATTGTGGCTCGTCTGGTGATTGCAATAGTTCTACAGATTTTTCAATCAAATCGTACACGAGTTCTTGTTCTTGAAGTTCAAGATTTTTGCTATAACGATAATAGAGAAGAAATATGGCGCCAAATAAACTAGTAGCCAATGTTGAAATTATGATCCAAAAGTTCGAGTTCCAGAAAAATTTTAATGAACATTGAATTGGCAAATTTACATTATAATTTGGCATCAATTTTAGTTCGAACGGGAAATGATCGTCAACTTGGATGTTCCATGCCGTATTAAGTTTGATCAATTTGAATGCATTGGACATATCATACGTGAACAACTCTTTTGCATTCATTTGACGCTGACTTTCATCACGTGGAATCGATGAAGACAACGAGTCAATCTTTGTTTGTATATCTTTTTCAAAATCACTTTTCTTGAATGTGAAACTGGTTATTTCTGGCAGGACTCTTTTGTTTGATGATGATTCACAATAAGACTCATAAACATGTTTGTCAATAAAGCTTTTGATTTCTTTGATTATATTTAATGCGGGCTTTTTATCACTTTCATACGATAGGCAATTTACTTTAGGATCGTCATCGTTTTGATTACAAATAGGCGCCAATAATTTACTTTTGTCTTCGATGAATGCATAATCGGTCAAATCCAAATTATATCTTGAAGTGTGGGTGAATTTTGAGTAGAAATAAATGGAGAAAATAACAACAAAAAAGATGATAACAAACATCAATAAAGCCCAAGAGATGTAATTAGATGATGTTGAAAAATTCGCCGTAACGTCTTTTTTTTGAGATGGCCACAATTTACGTTTCATGTTCTGGAACAATGATGTGAATACCCATGTGAATGAACGTTTGTTTGCAGTATGTCGGGCACGTCCCAATCCTGGACGATGATTCAACAACACTTGACATATCTTATCTTTTTTGTATGATTGTTCTGTATCAGATTCGCTGTCGCTATAGTTTAACAATGATGTATTACTTTTATGAATGTCGAATAAGGTTGATTTGGTTGTGACGGTTGAACGACGAATTGGTGCTCGACTTAAACTTGAAATCGGTCGATAGGTTTGATTCTCTGTTACTCTAGGCATTGTGATACCAGAAATTTTATATGAATTCGGAGTATTTAGAGTAGGCTTGACCATTTCATTTGTATCATCATTGTCATCCGAACTTTCAGAGGAGAGGTCATTTAGGCTAGAATTTGTAGAGTGTGAAATTCCAAAACTTTTTGTAGATTTCTTATTTAAGGATGGCTGTTTTAAAGTTTTCTGTACTTCCTATTGAATAGAAATAAAAAATTAACTTTTAATTAGGGTCTCACCAATGAATGATGTAATCATTACCTTGAATGTTTCGATGGCTTCAATCTCTTCGTCACTGATTATTTGTCGTCGTGGTGAATTAGGTTGAGGAGATTGTTTTCGTGTTGTCGATCTTCTAATTTCCATAGTCGGTCGAATGGTTTCAACTGAAGAAATGTCTTCATCGCGAATATTTGAAACATCTCGAACATGATCATTACGATGATTGTCACCATTCATGATGCCCGAATATTCATGTTGATCATCGTTCATTGAACCATTATTGAATGTACCATTTGTTTCATTCGAATTATTGGTGGACCTCTCATTCTCTAATTTTATAAGCATTTTCAAAAGAATACGTCGGGTTTGTGTTGTTACCGGACCACATTGAACATTGTGATCATTGATAAGCCGACGGCGAATCTCTTCGTCGGATATATTCATATCAATTGATGGTGGTAGTTCGTTGGCCATTACTGGACACGATGATTTTAATCGATGAAAATAAAAAATCAGCAAAAAACGAATTTGGTGAAAGGTGTTGACAAAAGAAAAATGTACTTCCACTAACCATCAAAAAGCACAATCACAATGCTTATTGGTCATTGTTGAAAAGCAACGAATAAACAAGAGGCTTTTTTGTTACCCATTACAGTCACAATTATAATCTTTACCTATATTTATACTTTTCAGTTAAAAGTAGTAGAATTAAAACATGATACACAATAAATGTAGTAGAAGCATTGTTTGAATGAAAAAAGAATCCATTTAGTTATGTATTGTGACTGATGCTGAGTTTTCAAAAGATTTGTAATGTCCAAAAATGTCAGTACAAATAATATATTTTCATTTTAGCCGGTGACTGGATTAATTTTCATATTGATATAATTGCGAAATGGTTCGAATATATTTTATTTTTGAAAAAAAAATTTTACCAATAAGAAATACATAGAAAAAAATATTAATTAACACATTAATCAACACATTCAATGACTTTGATTTTAGATTTCTGATGATTATAATTCGGAATGTTTATTCAGAATTGTTTCCTCCAGTTGTTGATGCAATTTTTTAACATGACCATCCAATTCTTTCACTCGATTTTCGATATGTTTGTCTAGATTTTTTTCGGAAGAATTTTCATCCCTTTCATCGACATTTTTGTTTTGTTTTTTAAGATTGCGCGTTTGTAGTTGACCGGAAAAATAGTTTAATTTTTTGATTCGATTTTGAAAATGTAACAATTTTTCTTTCAATTCAGTTAATTCATTTGTATTGAATTCGGATTTAAGAGCCAATTGCCATAATTTGGCAGCTTGTATTTCATCAAATTCTCCTTTGAATTTGATATCTTTATCATAAACCATGTTGCTAATACGTTTATATTCCTCTTTGAGTTCTAAATGTTTTTGCTGAATTTTTTCATTCATTTCTTCATTTTGAGATTGCCTGGCAATTGGATTCATTGGATCAATATGATTATCGAGGACATCGTCATGGTATAAATGATTTTCTCGTTTTCCAAGATTCTGGTCGATTAGTCGATGATATTCATGTAATTGATTTTCAAAACTTTTCAATTCTTCTTTCAGAATTGTCAATTCTTGTTCATTCAGATCCAATTTGTGAACTTTTTTCCAAAGATCTTCGAGTTTTTTATCTGAAAACACTTGTTTATTTTCTACAGTAGATGATGTAGTAGTGTCATTTATCGACATGGAATCGGTTTCCAGACCATATTTGTTCAAAATCATTCGCAATTGACGTCGAACTTCGGCCTCCTTTTTTCCATCTGGATCTCGATTTTCTGCTTTTATTTTTTTCAATTCTATTTCCGATATATCCTGATGTTTCAGATCATCCATAAGTTTTGATAATTCTATCGTTTCAAGTTTCTAAAAAATTTTAAATTATAATAAATTTAAAATCATTATTATTTGTTAAAACTTACTTGATTAGCTTGATTCCAAAGAATATTCAATTTTTGCATTCGAAATGGTTTATCTGATCTATAACCATCATTATTAGCTTCTTTAGAATATTTATTATTCATAGCCATTATGGTCATAGAACAAGATAAAATTATGATGAATTTTGCTTGTAAATAATTCATTTTTTTTTGTTAAATTGATCGAATGTTATCAACAAAATCTAATCATGTGTTGCAGCTTCAACAAGCCAAAATTGTATGGATTGATTGACACGAACTATTTGAGAGGGAAACAATAAATTCGAATGTGAAAAAATTATCAAGATGATTTCGATTTTATTTTTTTTTATTTTTTTTAAATCTAAAATCAATCAATACAATAATACAACAAACTTTAAATGCAATAAATATGATAATAATAATATTTACAAGATTAAATTCATTCATAAGTAATCAATGAAATATGATACAACAACAATAGATAATTGTGTTTCATTTTATTTCATATGTTCAGGCCAAAAATTTATATAATAACGTGTAGTACTTCCATCAAATAATTTATCCAACCAATTTGGTAGGCCATTTAGCAGATTATTTTCAAAAATAACATCATCATTTTCATTATTAATCGATGATAGATCCGATACGTTATTACTATTATTATTGGTAGGATTGTGATTTCGCACCAACATACCAGATTCAACATCAGATTCTTCACCCGAATTTTCATTTGCTTCATTTAAGCCAAGAAATTCTCCATTTTCTTCCATTCGTCGCTATCAACGATAAAAATCAAGTAAATTAAAAAATCAAATATTAGTAGCTATATAAAATTTATATTACCAATGCAATATTATTTTCCGGATGTTTTGCATGAAAGACGCAAAAATATTTTCGAAATCCATTAATCGAAATAACTGTTCCGATACAATTTTTAGGATTGATATTCAATTCTCGTTCACCACCAAGTGTTTGTAATAAAAGTTTTTTGTACCAATCAATATTTTTTTCCACCAAAAGAAAGGCAAACATTAGAGTTTTGTTCCTAGATAAATAAAAAAAAAGTTGAAAAAACCCGAAAAAACAAAGTACAAAAACTACATACTTCCTGTATGGATATACAGCTTTATAAAATTGCGGTAACAATTTAGATTTCGAAGAATTATCACAAAGAAGCACAATAGTTCGACATCCAGGCTTAAGCAAACGAATCATACCATTATACGTTTCTCCTCTCAATTCGTGAATACTTAATTTGCAATCACTCCTTTAAAAGGGAACATATGGATAAAAATTTCTCAAAATTAATGCATTGAAAATACCTAGGTTTTGATGATCCAGGAACTTGACGGCCCATTTTTCGATATTTTTCTCTTATGGATTCTTCTTCAATTTTCCTATGAAGTAAACATATTGAAACGTTTTGAGTTGTACTAGAAAACATATTTAAATACATACATGAAATATGTCATAACATAGCCGATGAATATGATAAAGATGATGGAAAAAACGACAGATAAAATTGGTGTCGGATCGGTTCGTGAAATATTGTCGCTTAAATTCTCGGTTACCAATAGTAATCTTTTAACTATACGTGCAAACAGACTTTTTGCAGATTCATCAGTTAGTGAATTGATTTTAGCACTATAAGTAAATTGGGCGGCATTTTGCGATAATCGAGTCATAAGAAGATTCAATTTTTGTTTCGTTTCATTAATATAAGTCGAATCGACAAAGTCCCATTCATTGTTTAACCATTCATAAAAGGCTTGATTTGATTCTTTTCGCCATAAAATGACCACATGAATACCACGATTAATATTGACTTTTTTGCTTAAGCCAATATTCGTCAATGATTTGATCAATTCAGCTTGTTTCTCCCGATAAATGTACATGAAACGGAATCGGTCTTTAGGGAAATCGTTTTCCTTCATGAATGCTCTCATTGCATGAAATTTTCGTTTATTATCTTCTTTTTCACCCGATACAAGCATCACACAAAGTTTTGCACGTGATGGCAAACTAGCCACTGGACATAAATGATCGAATACAGTTTGAGAGGTGACTCTGGGTAGAAATAAGTATTTGTTTGAATCCAATACATCTTTCATGATTTGAGTTTTCAGCTCAGAAACGGAAAGACTAGCAGTTGGACTATTAATATCTTCATTAAATACGAGCATCGAATTCATCTTCGGATCAATATGATAACGTCTCAATACTTCATTGGTATTAGCATCATCCGTCTTTACATGACCGAAAGCGATTCGTTCATGGAAATAGAATGCGATTAGAACATAACGAAGTCGAATAATACGATCAGGATTGGCGAACAATACCCGTACTTTGTTATCTTTCCAACCGCTTAAAAATTCGTAGTAATTATTATTATTTATTTCGATAATCAAATCTTTTGGTAAAGATCTTTTGATAAAACCAATCATTGTAGACAGGGAAATTTCCGATTCTCTAAATGGTCTTATATCACCATCTATTAACGATATAATATAAGGCAATGATCGAACGCCAATCTTTCGGGTTAAAGCAATTTCATGTTGTGAATGGACTGTACAGAAACCGACTCCCACTGCCTCTAATTCGCCCACCAATCTTCGAAGCACTTGTTCTACTTGAATACAAGGAACACATAGATCACCATAAAAGACTAGAATGTAAGGTGTAGTGTAACTTTGCGGTAAAATTGTGTTTTCATATGCTCGATGAGTTATTGAATGTTTGCGAAAATAACTACCACTATTGAATGTAAATCGGAAATTTCGGCCATCATTGGAATCGAAAAAAGTGTCGAATGTATCAAAATCAAAACGATTGAAACCACTACGATAATCAGATTTATGTTTGAAATTTGGCGAATCTTCCGTTTGTCCGGTTCGATCATAAAGACGTTTTCTTTCCGGATCCATGAGGATCTGATTAATACAAAACTTGATTACTAATACGTCGCTTCATATATAATTTTCCACTTACCTCATAAGCTTTGTTGAGTTCTATAAATTTTTCTTGGGCATCATTATTTTGGTTTTTATCAGGATGGCTATGAGAAATTTGAAATTAATTGACATTATCGACAAGCATGAAAAATTACTAACTATTTTTTAGCCAAATTTTTGAATGATTTTTTAATCTCAGCTATCGTTGCTGATTTAGGTACTTCGAGAACACGATATGGATTTAAGGCAAGACATATCGTCAATAAACAATAAATAATTGTTAATGTAAACCAAATAAATTGATTCATCTTTTAAAAGGATCTAATGATGAGATGAAATCCAGAAAGAAGCTATAAAGACAAAATTAAGAAAATTATTATTGATCGCTAGTTTGATTGTCTAGAAATCAAATGGTTTAGGGTCCAAACCAACTACTACAGGACTAGCAAAACATTTTTTACAATCATGGTAAATAAGTGTTTCGTTATATACTAAAACAAAATCGGGTCGATCTTTTTCAGCTCTAATAATAATCTCGAATTGCACAGAATCGAAAATAAAAGTGTCTATAGAATTTTATTTGCAAATCAGACTAAACGAAAATTGAAAACTTTTTATATTCTATCGACATTGTCATGTGGAAATAGGATTCTCGTTATTTGTATAAAAACGGTTGAAGCCAAGAATATGATGGATTTATTCAAATTTTTAGACTACAAACAGTTAATTTATACACCTTTTTATTGGTAAAAATTTTAATAGAAAAATTCTATTTTTTAAATTTAATTTTTTTAATCATTAGTGAGGAGAATATTTGGAAATTATGCGAACATATTCAACAGAAAGAACCCGAATTATTAAAAAATTGCTTTGTAGTTTTCATATCAAACGATATCGAAAAAGTATGATCCATGGATATGATGAATTCAAGTTATATGATTGATTAAAGCAATTTATTATTTACAGGTATTACTATGGGCACAGAAAATTGGAAATCCTGATCACAATTATCACGTAATCTGGGACTATCATGTAATTTTAATTTACTATAACACGGACGATGATGATGATGATATGGCTGTTGTTTTTGATTATGATACCATTTTGCCGTTTCCATGTTCATTCAATGATTATCAAAACAGTGTACTTCGACGTTATGATTATATAAATTCCAAGTATGATTGTAAATTTCGAATTATAATGGCCGAACAATATTTAAGAACATTTTCATCTGATCGATCTCGAATGAAAGATTCGAATGGAAAATTTATTCAACCACCTCCCGAATATCCTTGCATACAAACATCCACTGAATCGAACAATCTTAATGATTTCATATCGATGAATATGCAAACATTTTGCATTGGACAAGTAATGGATTTGGATCAGTTACGAAAAAAATTCTCTAAATGATTTATTTTGTTTCAGAAAAAAATAATCCTAATAATCGATTCATAATAAATGTTACAATTGTGTTAATGTTTCCAACTGTTAATGGGTTTTTCCAATGATAAATTCGTAACAAAAAAAATTATCCAACATAAAGACCAAGACCGACGCGTGTTTGTGCTTTGACATGATTGATCATACCGCTAAACATCAATGTAAATGGCAATGGCAGTAGCTTTTTCTCAAACACACAGCCAACATTCCAATTTGTATCGACAAGTCCTCTGAAGACAAAATTTGATTTAGGCAAATCGATTTGGTAACCAAATGATGCTGTACTATCCGGTTCAGCTAGATTTGTTTCCACTTGGACGCCAACCTTGTGTTTATTTGATTATGATATTATTTAGTGATAATCAATTAAAATAAATTTATTATATTTTACCTGCAAATATTCATTCTTTTTTTGATAATAACACAATTGAACACTGTTATTGTTGATTGTGCCACTGACAATATAATTGTTTGGTGATGTATAACGGCCAGCAACAGACAATATCGAATGGGCTAAATTAGAATTATATTGACAGACCATTTCAGCTCCCATCGAAAGTTTACTGGTTACGTTATGTAAATAGCTGAAAACAGTCAAACCGGAATTTCTAACAGGATCAATATTGCTCAATGCCATTGAGGCAGTATATTCTGGTGCAAGATAATCAGTTATCAATTGTGATGCAACACATTTTGAATTTTGAAATTGAGCCGCAACATTAAGTCGTAAACGTTCACCCAACAAATGTATGATACGAGAGTTTAGATTGCCATTTGGATCGATTTCACCAAAAAATATTGGAAAAGCTTCCGATGGGGAAATTTGTTTTGTTCCAATATATGTAGCACCGAAACGGTAACCAGGTGGTTGAATACTACCTGTGCTCATTATAATATTGTGACTGATTTGAAAATGATTGCTCAACATTTTGTTGACCACAACTTTGCTACCATCGAATGTCATTGGAAAGACATCTAATCGAGAATATTGTTATCAATAAGATGAATGAAATAAATAAAATAAAACATTTAACCTTTGCATTTCCTATGAAGTTCTTCCATTGATCCAGGATTATTATTATTGAGAACATTTTTAATAGATTGATTATTGGTCTCAGATAATTGTTTAGGATCGGGAATAATTTCGGTTTGTCCAGGTGATACTGGTGGTAAAGGCATTGATGATGCAAAAACATTACCCATGATGATTAAATTATTTGACAAAAGATGATAGGAATCGAATGATTAACAAAATGGACATAGAAACCAAATCAGACGTATTTCACAAAGATCACATGTGTGCACATAGGAAAAAAGCTATCGATGGTGAGTGTGTGTGGGGAGAAAAAATACGCTTGCTAAAATATGGTTGTGTATGTGTGTGTGTATAAATGTGCTTTCTGGTGTTCATAATGGACGATACAAATATATGGTATTGTATCCAATGACGAAAGTCATTGATGAATTGTGATCATCATACAATTATTCATCATCATAGACGATTTGTTCGCTAAGTTTTTTCGTGACATAAGCAAAAAAAAAAAAAAAACAAAACATACAGACACAATAGGTCATTCCATTGATGATTCATGATCATCATTATAATAGAAAAATTGAATTTAATCGAATTTTATTTATCAATTCATGAATTATTTAGAAATAATCAATACATTTTGCATCATTATTTCATCAACAAGTATTATATTTACCCGGTGTACTTGAAAAAAAAAATATCCGCGCGATAATTTCAAACAAACCACACACAAATACACGTACACGGACATCAAGGATGTAAAGGCAATGTCTAAAGAAATATATGAAACATGTTACGGTAATATCCAATTACCGCTACTGATTTTTTTGCCATTCAGCAGTATGGTAAGAACAAATACATATATTATTATGATGATGATTGGCTGCAATGAGGAATGAGTATAAAGAAAAAAATTATTACCTTAAATAGCAATATATTGGTTTGTCTTGTATCCTTTATTCTTTATAGTGTTTTTTATAAACAAACCAGAAAAAAAACACATCATTGAACATCAATAGAAAAACAAATCAACCACCATTATCATTGTTGATTAATTGTAACACATTGTAAAGATTCGATAAAGATCCGGGTTATATATTTTTGGAACAATGGAATTAATTAATTAATTTGAATTAATTAAAAATGATTACAATCGTATTTTGGATAAATAAATAATTTATTTAATAATCCATATATGGAAATTGAAAAAAAAACAAAATAATTTTACAATCATTGATTAATCATTTTCATAATCATGTTGTATATATCCAATCGAATCGAATCCAATTATAATTGATTGCAATTTTGTATTTGTTTTTTTTTTAAAAAAAAAATTCTAATACGTCATATCAGTTAGGGCCAACGTTTCATTATAAACAAAAAAAAAATAATCAACAAAAAGGATGGATGACAATTCATAATTTTCATACGCATGTGTGGATTGGGTGGTTACGCCCGCACTAAGTATTTTTTTTTTTTATTTTGCCGGTATATCTTGCTACAGTGCTGCCCCTTTAGTGAATTATATTCTATCATCATCATCATCATCATCACCTTTGTTTAGTTTATACAAAAAAAATGACTAATTTAGATTGCTAGACGTTCAAAGCGAAAGCACATTTCTATTTGGTGATTCAACCAAATGGTTACAACGATAAAGGCAAGCCAATTGAAATCACCACCACCACCACCACCATAACCACCACCAGCAGCAGCAGCAGCACAAATATTATTACATTAGTCAGAATACACATATATATAATCACATCCAAAAAATCCATCTTTGTGTTGTTTTTTTTTTTCATTTTTCTATTAACCACCCTAATCAGCAATTGTATATCGTTCGTTGTCGTTGATATATTAATTTTCATTGGATTTTTTCGTTTTATTTTTTATTTTTGTCATCGCTTTGTTCGAAAAGATTCTTTTCGATTTTTTCATTCTGTTTGTTTGTTTGTGTGTGTGTGTGTGTGTTTTTCCGGATAAAAGCCAAATTCGGCATTCTTGTTTGTCTTTTTTTCAACGTTTGTACGTTTTCAGCTTTTTATTTTCTTTGACAAGTTTAAATTTCCGAATTCATCTTTAATTTGAATTTTTTTTCGTGAATATTAATAAGACAAAGAAAAATCAAAAATGGTAAGTGTTTTTTTTCTGATAAAATATAACAATTGTCAATGATTATAAATTTATGTTTCTGGATCGTCAATGATGATGATGATTATGATTTGAAATTCGAATTTGATTGACATTAACCCAACACACACAATACACACGCACGTATGCAAAGATAGCAGCCACGGTCTCTATATCACATATAATTCAGTATAGCACTCAATTATTAGCTTGTTATGTGTATTATCCACCAAATGGTTTGGCCAATATTGCCGACGCCCTCAGTACATTAGTCGTTTATAATTTTGCGGCTGTTTCTGTATCTTTTGCCTCTTTTCATTTTTGTTTATCGTCAATTTCCACATTTTTTCATCATTATTTGAATTGCTGAATTTTTTTTTTATCAGAAAAAAATGGTAGGCAATATTTTTCAATCCTTTGAAAATTATCAGAGAATTTAAATTGATCGATTTATTGTATCTTATAAAATTCTTTTTCCCTTCGATATAAAAAAAATATCCAATGACGATTGTGATGTCACCATTGTGTGTGTTACCATGAAGAATAATTATTACATTTTTACATACCAACAAACTTGATATGTAATGCAAAGTTTGTTCGTTTTTTGTGTGTTTGCTGCTTATATGAAAAGAATTTAACTTTATTTGCAGCAAGAATCTTGCTCTAATTATTATTATTTATACGCCTTAATCCATCCCACTCGGATTGATTTGTTTTGCCATTCTAAATTTGGATATGTGTGTAATATATAATCGGGCCAAGATCGTGGTTAAAACATCGCGGCAAAAAAAGCAAAATATTTACATTGAATAGGAGTGCCTGACATATTCAAATACCATACGGCAACAATCATGGAATCGATTGCTTCAACATGTTAAATTGGGCGCATGTTTCAAATGACAGTTACATTTACGCATACACTTTTTCTTTTTTTTTTGTTGTTGCACGTGTTGATATTAATTCTATCTTTTTTTCATTTCATTCAATTATCATTTAGGCATCCGGAGTTACTGTCGCAACGGAAGCAAAAACGCTTTATGAAGAAGTGAAAAAAGATAAAAAATATCGTTACATCATCTATCACATCAAAGATGAACGAGTATGTATCTTTATATAATTGATTTTTTAAAATTATTATAATAAGGACTAATTGAATTTCTATTTAGGTTATTGAAGTTGAAACTACTGGCCCTCGTGATGCCACTTACAGTGATTTTGTAGCAAAATTGCAAGACTATAAAAATGAATGTCGTTATTGTGTGTTTGATTTTCCGGCCAACATTCCGGTCGAAGGTGGTGGAGAAAAAAGTAACATGAGTGTCGATCGTTTGGTATTGATGACCTGGTATGATATTCATATTTCATCATTGAACAAAGAATTAAAATCCACTAAATTTTTCTTTTAGGTGTCCGGAAAGTGCTAAAATAAAGCAAAAAATGCTTTACTCAAGTAGTTACGATGCATTGAAAAAAGCTCTTGTCGGTGTTTATAAATATGTCCAAGCTTGCGATTATGAAGAAGCATCGGAAGAAGCTATTGCTGAAGCTTTTCGAAAAGGTGGCAAATAGATGAATACACACAATCGAAAAATTGAAAATAATTCATCTCAATCTTCCCATAATAATAAAATTTTAATCTCTCAGCCACAACCAAACAGCCAACGACCATTGTGAAAAGCCGTTGTGATTTTGGATTTCTATTCTCTATATATTTTTCAACACTACTTATATACTATTTATATTTGAAACATAAATTTAGGCAAAAACATCGCTATAATCAAAGACCCTTTATTCGAATTTATTGTAATTCGAATCTAAATGTGCCCATCATTTCTGTTCGAACATTTAAGAATTTGGGTTGATAATAAAAAAAAACACCACCAAACATACATACATTGAATACAACAATCTAAATCCATTTACCACCATTTACATCTAAATTTCTAATAAAAAAAACAACGTGGCCGAAAAGTCATTAAATTTGAAATTTTTTAAAATAAAAATTTTAATTGTCAGAATTTTTCATTTTTTTACATTGTAAACTTTCGCGTGCCATTTGTAATGCTCCATCAATAGTTTGATTACCGCCAATAAATCCGGTTGAATGGACAAATGTACAACCCTCTATTTTGGAAATACGGCATATATCTGCAGATGGCAAACCTCTCCATTCGGCTTTGAGTGGATTACGTAATTCAAAACTTGATTCAGATATGGGTACGGCACGTATACGCCAACCATCATGATCCGGAAAGATGGCAAATGCTATCTGACCATCAACATTATTTTCTGATTCAATCTGAATTAAATGCTGTATCCACGGCAGACCAACATTGAGTACGACAATACGACCACTAGGATCATGTTCAAATCGTTTATTGAATGCTTCCATTACGATTTGTCGGGCTGGATACCAAGCATGTCCATAATAATTTACACATTCAACAAATTCTTGTCCACAAAGATCTACAGCTTTCAAGAAACGTTCATAAAGAATTTCGTGCGTTTCTTTTTCATTCCAATGAGGTTTAAGATTTGCAACACGTTGTGATAGATGAGTATGAATATGATAGACGGGTTCACCTTGGTACATATTAATGCCTATGATATAATATAAATAAATTATTATTATAAACAATTCATAATAATTATACCAATTAGTTACCATTATCAATTGCATCGACTTCTTTCACAAAATTTTCATAAACCATGTCAAAAATGATATCAGTTCGTTGTTCATCTTTGTTCCAATCTAATATGCGAGCCAAAATTTCGTGACCATAATGAGCGTAAATCAAACCAGCTGAACTTAGTTTAATATTGCCAATTTTGGGATTTTTCGCAGGAAATATATCCACTAAAGTCTTATCAAATGTTTTTTGATGATGATCAAATCGTTTAGAATTAGGATCATAAATACCGCCAACATCGACAACAATATCACATGAATTCAGTTCATTTGTTTCACGTGATCGAATGATTATGCCATTCTCAAATGATGGTAATTTCTTGATCATAAAACATGCTAACGATTCATCACAATGAAATGTACCATTATGAGTGCCTATTTTTATTATTTTCATACTGTTATCGGCAATGGTTGACATGACTACAAATGACTTTTGGTTGATTAATACAGGATTCAGTAATCGATGGGTAGTGAATAGGCCAAAAACCTCATGAGCATTTGACAGAGTTTTGAATGTTCGGTAGAATGCTTTACACGTGTTTAACCTCATTGCTATTTCTTCCAATGCTTGAATCAAGTTCCGAATTCGAGTACTTGCACCATATATACAAGATAGTTATTATTTCTATCAGTCTATAGTGCTTGGTTTTCCAGTGAATTGAAATTGTCAATCAATTCTGAAAATTTAAATAAATGAAATTAAGACTATAATTTAGCACTGATCAATCGTAAATACAATGATGATTGATTAACATTCATTTTTTTGTGTGGCCATTAATTTTTATATCCATTTATTGCCACATGTTGTTTACAAATTCATCAAACTATTTTACTGTATATATGAGAAATTCTATAGAAAATGTATTTACATACTTAAACTATCAAAAAAAAAACAAATGATAATTTATCTCTATATCAAATTTTGAAGCAGAGGTTTTATTTTTTTTATTTATTTTTTTTGTATATTTTTATACAATTTGAATTCAATTCTTTAGTATTCTTTATTCATCATTCGTAATGTGGCTACTTGGATTTATTACATAATGTAATGGCTATAATGATATAACATGATTAGTAAAACTATCCATCAATCAGATTCACATATATATACCTCTACCATAAAACGTAAAGTGTGTAGAATTATAGAACCGCTTACACACACTAATCATATATATGATGATGATGATGATGATGATATTGAATATATGGATGGCCTATCCATGCCATGGCAATATTGTTTGAGTAAAAAATATATCTATCTTTGCCAAAGTATAATGTGTGTGTGTGTGTGTGTGTGTAGAACGAAATGGAGGATGATGAGACGACCGATGATGCCGCCACCACACTAAACCATTTTCATACAATTTTTTTGCAGACACTTATACCGAGTGTGTGTTTGTATGTGTTATGTATTTTTTTGCCTGTGTGTGTGTGTGTGTGTGTGAATGTGAATGACAAAAGTGAAAGATTGTTAAAGAAAAAATAGTGTTAAGAGGGAGCCATCAAAAAATAAAAAAAGATAAAGAAACAGAGAAAGGGGGAGGCTTTATTATTATTATTATTCCCTCATCATCATCATCATCATCATCATCATCATCATTATTATCATTATTTTATTATTATCATCATTTTTTTCAATCATTTTTCATCACTATTCCACACTTCTCTGTTTGAGATTTTGATTGTTTTTGTTTTTTGTTTCTAATGAATTCCATCATTGATAAGAATAGAATTCAAGAATTTTAATCATGGATAAAAGACAATAACATTTCTGTCATCATCATCATGATCATCACCGATCCAGATACCTACCAATTCAATTGAAAACAAAAAAAATACTACAAACAAATATTCAAGAATCGAAAAATTTTTTACAATGCACACATGGATTTATAAGCTATCCCTGTAGCTCAACCAATAATCATCAACAATCATCAGCTAATGATATTATTATTCTTTAACTCCAACAAGGAGAAAAAAATCCCAAATCCATCCAACCAACCAACCACCACCACCACCAACAACAACAACATTAACAACCGAAGCACTCTTACTCGATTTTATCATCATCATTACCAATATAGACACATTACAACCACCATACATTTGATTACATCCTCCTCGATCGTCATCCTTTCAATGTTATAAATTGAGAAACAAAAAAAAATTATTTTTATTTGTTTCCAACAAATTTCATTGTTGTTGTTGTGGTGATGATGATTATTATGATGATGATGATGATGATTGTTGTTGTTGTTGTACGTGTGTGATTAATCTATTTTAGCCTATTACATCTTTGGAATTTCGGTTTTGATTCATTAATTTTTTTTTTCGTCTGTTTGTGCGTATCGATTTCATGTGATTCACATTCTCATCTTCATCAACATCATCAGAATGATTACATATTGATGATATTGAAATTAAATTAATATTTTTTTTCGGTTCCGGCAAATTGAAATGCATCATTACTTCGTCATATCATCATCATCGTGGTAGCGTAATTTTTTTGCTACTGAATTTTATTCTCTTGGTTTTCATCATGTTTATAATATTATTACAATGGATTTTTGTAAATTGTTAAAAATTGTTTAGTGTTTTTTTTTATTTCTACATTCAGGTAAACTCTTATTCTAAGTGAATTAATCCATTTTTTCCCTATATTTTCAGATTATATATGATTAACAGTTATAATGGTATTTTCTTTTTTTTTGAATTCGCACACGCACACATCGCATTTGATTTTATACGCCCGTCAAAAATTCACGATTCATCAATGATGACGAAATTATGATGACAGCATTTAATTTGATTTGATATTTACACCTTTTTATCGATTTCGATAATTTTTTTCCTTGTCATGTCGACAACAAATAATCCAACGATGAATGAAACAAATAAAGTGATGATGACAAATTAATGTGGTAAAAAAAATGTCATCAAATTTATTTTTACTGGCTTTGTTGTTGTTATCAATCAATCATAACACTATTCGATAATAACCACAATGTTAAGAATCTGAAAAAAAATCTGAAATTTAGTAAAAAAAAAAAAATATTCTTGTAATTCAAACTGGTTTGTGTGTGTGTATGTTGTGGGAAATTATTCTTTCATATTGAATCATAATCATAATAATAAAAAAAGATATTTGTCACCGTTGCAATGAATGGAACTTTGGCTTCTTTTTTTGTTGCCTCTGCTTTTTTTGCAGTTGCTCGTTTTTTTACATATTTTTTCTCATTTAGATTCAGGATTTTATAAACACACACACATATACACATATGCAAGAATAAAACCAAAAACTTAATTTTTTATTTCTTGATGAATATCTCTTTTGAAAATACCAGAATCTTGAATCGATTTAACATGTCATTTATTGAATTGTAAAATCGATTCTTATGTGAACATTATGCCCAAAGCCAAAGTTTTACCGTTATCAATTTGGAAAAGAGAATAAAATGATAGGCAAACCTTTGATTCTTGTAATTCTGATTTATGCATTATTCTTTCACAAATAACCTAATTATTGGAATTTACTATTTAGTCTTTATGTTGAATTTTTCGTTCTTCTGTTTTGTGTGTGGGCCTGAATATGTTTGCTAAAGATTCTGGTTATTTTTGTATTGTGTGTTTGTATGTGGTTGAGAACTATGTATAGAACATGAAAATATCAAACAATCTACGGCAATGATTCTTGATGAATTTTGATGATGATGATGATAGCGGTGGTAAGAAGAAGCAGAATCTATTGTGAGTGTTTGTGTGTGTGTGTGTGTGTATGTTTGCATGTTTGATTCATTGAAAAAACACGCACACTTTTTATCACTCATTTTTTGTGTATGTAAAAGAGTGTATATTCCCTTTGAATGTATATCAATGATAATATAGAGAAGAAAATAATTCCATTTCTGTTCCAAATTTCTAATCTGAGTTTTTTTTTGTTTTATTGAATTTTTTTTTAGATTACGTTTGGATCTACGCATTATCATAATCATGATATATTCTTGAGTGACGAATTCAAATAAAACCGAATTGTTCAAAATATTTAAACAAAGAAGAATTCATCAAAATTTTCCTTGAAATAAAAAAGGAATGAAATCTTTCGACCAAATTGAAGAAATCGAAACCGGCCATTATTGAATTTTACTATTATCATCATCTTTGTACATCTGTGGAATGTGTGCTTTTTCTTCATTTTTTTTACAAATTAATTCCTTGAACATTTTGATTGAAAAATTACTGACCATCTCGAATCATCTATGATGATTCCGACGATGAAGATGTTGATAAAAACTTGAATTTTTTTTCGGAATTTTCATATTTTATCCAGTGTAAAATTGTATAGTGATTGAAAAAGAAAATCAGTTCATTAATCAAATACCGCTGTTTCTGTTGCTTCGGTATATTTCCACTTTTTCATTAATTTTTAATATATACCATTCATAATTTGAATTATCATCTAATTTGTTCATATTGAACAGAAAAGAAACGATATTGAAATTCTGCCATTTTCGAAAGAAAAAAACAAAACAACACAACATTTGCCTTACTTTTTACTGGATAAAAAATTGTGTATCCTGTCACATTTTTTTCATTAAAATTGAATATTTCATAAAACCAAACAACAACAACAACAAAAAAAGAAATATGGCTTCACATGCATCACTTTCACCGGCATTTGTCGACAAGATTGATCCATTCAAAAAAGGATCATTGAAAAGAAAACAAAAACGATCACAAGGCTCATCGCGATATCGTATAACTAGCGAGATTGAGTTGCAGCCATTACCTCTGTTAAAAGGTATGTTTGTATATGTTTCAAATAAAATTCAAATTAATTGATCCAATTTTTTAAACATTTAAAACAGATGTCGGTCCAGCCGAACAAGAAAGTTTATTCATTCGTAAATTAAGACAATGTTGTGTGGCCTTTGATTTCATGGATCCAGTTTCAGATCTAAAAGGAAAAGAAATCAAACGCGCAACATTGAATGAACTTGTTGATTATATTAGTGCCGGTAGAGGTGTTCTTACAGAGCCAGTCTATCCAGAAATAATTAAAATGGTAACGTTTTTTTTTCATATTTAATAATTTTTTTTAATTGCTGCTTATTAATAAAAAAAAATTACATAAAAATAGATATCTTGTAACTTGTTTCGGACGTTACCGCCTAGCGAGAATCCAGATTTCGATCCAGAAGAAGATGATCCTACATTAGAAGCAGCTTGGCCTCATCTACAGCTTGTCTATGAATTTGTATTGAGGTTTTTCGAATCACCTGATTTTCAACCGACGATAGGCAAAAAAGTTATCGATCAAAAATTTGTTCTACAAGTATGTAATTAAGTTAGATTTATTGGTTCCTGGAATTTATATTGATTTTATATTCGAAACAGCTTCTAGAATTGTTTGATAGTGAAGATCCGCGTGAAAGAGATTTCCTTAAGACTGTGTTACATAGAATTTATGGGAAATTTCTTGGGCTTCGCGCATTTATTCGTAAACAAATCAACAATATCTTCCTGAGGTTTATCTATGAAACCGAACATTTTAACGGTGTTGGAGAATTGCTTGAAATCTTGGGCAGGTATGATATTGATTACTGTTTTATTTTTTATTTTTATTTGACTAATAAATTTTTTGATTAGTATCATCAATGGCTTCGCGTTGCCTTTGAAAGCTGAACATAAACAGTTTTTGATCAAAGTTCTCATTCCGTTACATAAACCCAAATGTCTAGCATTATATCACGCTCAAGTAAGAATTCTCTGTTCTCTATTTCAATTGTAATAATTGGATATTTTTTCCCTCTATAGTTGGCTTATTGTGTTGTGCAATTTCTTGAAAAAGATTCATCATTAACAGAAAGCGTCATCAATGGTCTGCTTAAGTTTTGGCCAAAAACTTGTAGTCAAAAAGAAGTCATGTTTCTTGGCGAAATAGAAGAAATTCTCGATGTGATAGATCTTGTTCAATTCGACAAAATTCAAGTACCATTATTCAAGCAAATAGCAAAATGTGTTTCAAGTCCACATTTTCAAGTAAGATATTTTTTTTATTTTCTTAACAAACATTCCAATTTAAAAATAATTCACATAGGTTGCTGAACGAGCATTATTCTTCTGGAATAATGATTATATTATGAGCCTGATCGAAGAGAATACAAACGTTATCATGCCAATAATGTTTCCAGCATTATATCGTATTTCCAAAGAACATTGGAATCAGACAATTATCGCACTTGTATATAATGTTTTGAAAACTTTCATGGAACTAAATTCCAAATTGTTCGATGAGCTTACGGCCTCATATAAAGTTGAAAGACAAAAGTAAGTCTCATGTTCAATCGTTTTGTATTCATATCAAAATTTTATGGTCATTTATTTTATAGGGAAAAGATGAAAGAAAAAGAACGTGATGAATTATGGAAACGTTTAGAAGAATTAGAGCTGACTCATAAACAACAACGGCAACAGTCAGCACCACAAAATAATAATCAATCAATGGCCAATGATAATTCTTTATCTTCTTCTTTAACGTCAACATTATCAACGTATACATCAACGGCGACAACCAATAATCAAATATTAGTAAAATCTCCTATATTCTCTTCAACTTCTTTGCCATATTCTGCATCTTCATTATCGGCAACGACATCATCATCAACATCAAATAACAATAATTCTTCATCATCGAACCCTTTGAATTCATCGACAACACTTTCGAATTCTAACTCGAGTCATATGCAAGCTGCTTAATTATATATATAAATAATACACATCCACCACCCAACCAAACTCACATAAATTTTTTTTCGGTTGTTTCTATTTGTCTATTTGTAGACCCGTTTCTTTTTATGCTTCATTATTAATTATTGTTGGTCGAACATAACGCCATCAATTCATTGATGGTAGTATGAATGAAATAATTTTTGTATAAAAAACGTTTCACTATTATCAATTATTATTCATTTTATTATTTGATGAATTTATTCTTAACACACACATAACCGTTATAACAGAAAAATTCTTTAACATGCCCGTAACGTAACATCAAGATGTCAGAACTTTACTCAGCCAGTCAAGTCACAAACAATCATTCTATCAACCAATCAATCACTCACTCACTCAATTAGTCGGTCAGTGTTTTGAGTATTTTATGTTTTCTAAAATTTTGCATGATCGATAATTTCTTGTATTGATTTTTTTAGTTTTTTTCTAAGAAATATTTTACCATCTGATCCGAAAAAAATGAGAATCGTTTCATTTCAATTTTATGTAATTTTTTTCTCGTTTCCTATATTTTTTCCTCTTCTTTGTATGTCTCTAATTTAATAATACACAACCCATATTTTCTTCAGCCCCCACATATACTACCTACATACTCAAAACTTATGATCTGACATTCAAAGAATCTATAAATGTTTCTTGGTCACAACCAAAAGAAAAACGTGCATCAATTTTTTTCGATGATGATCATTTTCATTTTAAATCATGAATTGAATTATATGACCACATACGGGCACGTGTTTTATCCTTCCCTCTTCCTTTTTCCTTCTTTCCCCAAAAAGTTCAACATACACACACACACACACACATACATTCACTTGCTCTCATACAAAGTGATATTAATTACACACCTACTTCCACCTTTTTGACAAACACATCACATCACAACTATATACATACAAACACATATATACCATATAAAATCAAAGAAAATGTAATGTCTCTGATTTCGTTCACTTGATTTCTCTCTTAATAATTTTTCTTTCTCGCTCTCGCTATACATATTGTGAATTTTATTCTTAATTTATACCTCTTTTTCTCACATTCATTCAAACACACACAGACAAACACAATCTTCGCTCCATTTCGATGATCATGCTCGCTGTCTCTATATATTTTATTATTATTATTATGAATAATTATGATTATTAGAAATCGTCGTTATTATTACATTTTTATCTGGATATAAATACAACAACAATAATAATAAAAATAAAAATAAGTGAAAGAAATTCAATTTTGTTTTAAAATGAATTTTTTCAAAAAGAAAAAAAAATCATGCCAATGGATTCCACCGTCCATAGATGGCAGCTCTGTTTTTATCGATTAAAATAGCATTTTTTTTGAATAATAAAAAAGTTTTTATCATTATCATCAGTCATTTATGGGTTTTGTAATATATCGGCCGAATAAAAACAAAATTATTTTGTTTTATATCCGAAATTGAAGTTATTTATTTATGATTTATTTTTTTGTCGCCTTTAAATGATAATGAAGGTTTCAGAATGATGATGATGATGATGATGATAGTTGACCTGTTTTGTAAATGGGAAAAAATCCCATTTGGGAATTTATTATTTGGTGATTCTCATCATTATATCATTGTAGTTTCATGATTGTCCGTAGGTGTGTGAAATGTGTTAACAGCTGTCATGATATTTTTTTTCAATTTCATTTATATCCCAATAGAGATCATAATAATGGGTGAAATAAAATAAACTGAATTCTATCATCATAAAAACCGGTCCTCTGATGATGATGACTTGTAGAATTTCCCTTGTTTTATTTTTGTCAAATTGAAAATCATTCTCCATGGAGTCATGCATTATGCCGAACTGATTCCACCAACAGTTTTTTTTTTTTGTTTCTTTTTATTCTTCCTCCCCTCGTTTCACCGTTTTTACACCGATTACAACGTAACAAACTAAATGTGTTAATTTGTTAAATGTATCATTAATCACATCCCATTCGTGGTGGTAAACTACTATGTCAATGAAAATTTTCCGCTAAAATCATCATCATCATCACCTTTCTGTGTTACATTCATTTCTCTTTCAACAACAACCATATGAAACAGAAAACCCGGTGAACCAAACAATTTGAAAACTTGCTAAACAATCATCAACATATATAAAATGAACAAAAAAAAAAAATTTCATTCGGGATTTGAATTAATTAATAATTGATAAAATGATGATTACATTTAAACAAATGCTTCAATGTCCAAATTATTATATACCATCAAAATGAAAAAGTAAAACAACAACAACAACAACATTCACATTGGAATTATAAAACACAATATACTATTATTATTTGTGTGGTCATCATAAATTAATTTACTTAATTAAATTAGCTTCAAATAGTGCCGAAAAAAGTACCAATATAAACCCAAACAATCAAACAAACAAACTATCAAAAAAAAAAAAGAAAATTCATTCGATTTACATCAAATATTTTTTTTTTTGTTATCTTCATCATTGTTATGTATGTATACCTGGCGATTACTATTTTGATCAATGTAAATAAGTATTCTGGTTCTATCAATTCAGTTGACATTCAATATTTAGAATGTATAATTTTATACACTAAAATCAATCAACTTAAACTTGAAGCTCCTAAATTGTTACAAACAGAATTATTATTATTATTATTATTATTATTGATTGTATCTGTTTGATGACGAGAATTTGTTCTTGCTATAGAATTGAAATGATTATGAAGATTGTGATGATGATGACCACTCGACAAACCAATCATCATTGATTCATTAACCGTACGAATTGTTTGTTGTCCGCCCAATGATTCTGCACGACATTTAGCATATAAATCGATAAAATTCAATTGACTCGATGTTGGTACTTGTTGTTGTTGTTGTTGTGATGATGATGATTCAACAATATGATGGTGATTGCCGATTGAATTTACGTTCCATTTGTTTCGATGATGTTGTTCATTTTGTTGTTGTTGTTGGTGTTGCTGTGATCGATGATTATGATTCTCTCTACGTTGTTTTGTTGATTTGATTATTGTATCAGAATTTCTTTGACGTTTATTATTGCACTTTATCGATGACGATGAACTTTTGCCTACGACTTCAATCACTGATGATGTTGATGATGGTGATGATGGTGGCGATTTTCCATCACAAAAATTCAAACGAGATGATGATATTTGTCCACTAATGTTGTTAAGTTTATGTGGCGATGATCTAGGTGTATTTGGCCTACTTGTATCGCCACAAGAAATGTTACCACCATCACGAAGAAATTCACGATTACTATTTCCACCTCTACCATCGATATCATTATCATCATCATCGTCGTCGTCATCCGTTATATGGCCATAATCTTTGAGTTTATCGGCCGCTTCCAATGATTTTCGATGCATTCCTTTATAAATAAATGAATCGAATTTTAAAAATAATTTGTTATTCACGATGGTGTTAAATTTAATAAATAATGAGTAAAAAAAATGATACTTGCCTAGAAGCCATGGTGCACATGAATTACTTTCCTCACTATCACGGCTAGATTTCAATATACTTTCTGGCAATGGAAGTGAATGACGAACCATAGCACCATATAGACCATATTCGGCCATAATCGTGCTTTTACCCCAACATTTTTCAGTTTTCCTCCATTTGGCACGCCGATTTTGAAACCAAACCTAATAGATTCGAATAAATAACTTTGGTTACAAATCGTTTATGAATTTGATTTTTTTTCTATTTTTTTTTTTTTTTTTGGATCCACCATGCATCAATGATCACCCAATGATGATGATGATGATCAAAACGAATTTAACGATCTAAGAGTTGAATCACTGAACATTTGTTGATGAAGTTGAAAGAGGATTAATAGCTTTGGTTGAATAAGAAAAAAAAATCCAAACTATACATGGAATTGTATACAATTTCATTGAGTATAGAGATTCTTTACCCCAAAACAAAATGTCGTTGAAAGCTAGACTAGGATGTGATTCGAATGTCAAATAAATATAATGTGCTTTTAATCTAATAATGAACCCAATGTTCATCGGTTGAAATATAAATATCAATTATGGGAGTATTTTTTTTTTCGTCTGTTGTGTTCCAACAAATGCCGAATATACTTTAGTGTTGAGCTTCATTTTTGCAAAAACTAATTTGCGATAGTTACGATCATTCATTCATTCATTGTGTATATTTTTTTTTTGTTGAAACATTTGTTGTTTTGTTCGCGTATTCATTTCATTTCAACGATATACAAAGAAAATTGTATTCCGATGACTAAATTGGTTTGACATTTATGGAGATAAACCATGCTTATAAACTATTAGGACAAACGTCAATTCAATTTATCATTGATGATAACATTAAATGACGAAAACTGACATTCAATGTGTAGAAAAACAAAAATTAATAATATTTTCATCTTCATTGAATGGATGAAAATTTTCTGTGTTTTATTTGATCTTTTTATGTTTTCTAACCACAATGATCATAATAAATTTTTTGTTTGTTTGTATCGATCAATATTTTCCATTCTTTTTTTCATAACTGAAAAATATAATAAATTCTAATTTCCTTTTCAATTTATTGAATTTTTTTTTTTCTTTGGTGATGATAATTTCTACTAATATCCATGAATTTTGTTTATTAAATTGATAATTGTAATTGAATTAACATTGTACTAACAGTTATTCTCATTATTTAATGGGTAGATTTAGATGATTTAACCGTCTAACCACCAAAAAAAAAAAAAATTTCAACTATAATCAACTGAACATCTTTGATTCGCATACCCAACAGAACAAATTCAAGCGCTATTTGTTTTTCACATAATCTCTTTTACATTTAGGTTTTTTTTCTCTTATTGTTGGTTTTATATATCATCGTGATCATCATTGAAAGTCATCCATTTGAATCAAAATCGGCCCTTTCACTACTACTTATAGTAATATATTGTTACGAAAATAATAGCTTCATTTTTGGATCATTAAACAAACCACAATCAAATCAACTTTATCTGGTTTTTTTTCAGAGCTAAACATCATCATGATGATGATGATTATTATTATTATTATCAAATACCCTTGTCTATCTTTCATATTTCGATTCTATCCTTGGTTGACAAATGGTTTTTTTGACTAAATAGATACAACAACACAACACAATTGATCCATTGCATTTTAAGATTTTTCAAAAAATATCATTTTTTCCTCCTATCATTAAAGTGTTTATCGATTATTATGGATGAAAAGATTTAAGAAAATTATGAACAATGAATACCTGAATACGATCTTCGGGTAGATCCGTTTTTAACGATAACATTTCACGAGCATATACATCAGGATAATGTGCATCTTTGAATGCTTTTTCCAATTCTTCCAATTGATAACTAGTGAATATAGTGCTAGAAAATTTAATAAATAAATAAAATAAAATAAAATTACAAAGTTTTCAAAATGGTTGTTGTTGTAATTGGAACATATTGTGATAAAAAAAATGTGGTATAATTCTAGAATCAATAGATTCTTCTGAATTCTGTGTGTTATTATTGATCAAATAATTAGTGATTGTCTTCGAACTATGTTTTTTTGTTGTTCGTCTATCATTAATCTTTTATTCAATAGATGCCTTATGGCCAAACATTGTTATACAAATCAATGAATGATGATGATGATGATGATGATGTGATAGCTTCTACATTGACTTGTAGTTCCAAGTTAATTATTACGAGCAAATGATGCGGGTGTATACAGCACACCATTGTCATACACAGGCGTGTGCATTGTATGTGTCGCGTGTCCTGAGACATACAATTTTGGACAATAGTATGTTCGGGAACAATATGCTCTTATTATTATCATCATTATCATTATCATTGAAAAAAAGCTATCGATATTTCTTTCACATTATTTCTTTTTTTTTTGAATGAATATAACAATGACAGCGTTATTCACTATCTGACAAGAATTTTTTTTTTTTGTTCAATTTCAACTGAATATTTGAAATCAGCTATGGTGCTGGTAGTAGGTGTCAGCCATTCACAATCAACCGATCTGAATTCATTCTATACATTATTGACAATAGATGTGTGTGTGTGTGTGTGTGTGTTCGGGGAACCCATTGTCACTTTAATCTTGTTTTTTTTCGATGATTGACAGTTTTAATTAGTGCTTTTTTTGTAATATCATGATTTTTTTGCTTCGCTCTTTCATTCCATTGACTTGTTTGCTCATCATCATCATTATTATTAGGTTCGGCTACAGTGGATTGCAATGTTTTTCAATTTTTTGTACGTTCAATTAAACTAATTACTTATTACTTTATTCATTCATTTAATCATTTGAATGAACAATTGACTTTAGCCAACTAAAGTGAAATATAAATCAATTAATTAGATTACTAGATGCCAATATGAAAAAATGGAATTTTTTTGTTATATATGGTTGTGCGAAAATTTCTCTGCGAAAAACTCTTACCGATGTCGGCGTTTTTTCTTCTTTTTTTTGCTACCATTACTACTGCCACCATTACCATTAACAACACCGGAAGCACTACCACTATTAGAAATAGCCACTGCTGCTGCTGCTGCTGCGGCTGCAGCTTGTAATTGAAGATGACCATTTGATTTAGAAACTACTACATCCAATGTTGAATGTTGATTTTGTTGTTGTTGATGATGATGATGATGATGATGATGATGTTGGTTAGCACTCGATGCTAAACGGGTAGCAAATTCATTGATAAAATTTCCTGTATAAAATATCATAGAAATAAAAGAAAAAATGTTAAAAAATAATCATAATAACTGTGTAATGAAAGACAATTGTTGTGAATTCTTTCCATTTCATTCATATATGAACCATAACGAATTTTTTAAATTCAAACTCTCTCTTTCTCCCTTTTTTTTCTAACTTGCAAACAAAAGAAATTGAATTTAATAAGTTCCTGTCTTTTCTCTTGTATTGGTTAGTGTTCATTTCGTTCATAGTCGTTTGATCGGTCGGAAGATTTTGCTATGAAAACAAAACAAAAAAAAAAGGCAAACAAATTCATTGGAATTTTTCCTGAATTAAATTCTATGATGCTTTGTATGTTTTAATTTTCATTAGAATTTTACCAATCCCGTCAAGAATGCTGCCAATGATGCTATTCGGCCAATCGTCGTATAATGGATATATAAAATGAATAAATAACCAATATATAAACCAAGTTAATGTGTTGAGCATTTTTTTTTTTTGGCCAAATAAAATAATTCCGAGATAGGAATTTTTATATGGGTGTGAGTGTACCACAATGAATTCAATCTAGGCAAAGAAAAAAATATATTCATAACGATTGGTGGCGGTGGTGGTGGTGGTGATGGTGGTGGTAGTGATGGGTGATAATTCAGTTAATATATTTAAACTTGGCTTTATTTTTTTTCCTGGTCCATCCACAATGTTTATTTGATGTGTGTGATGGCTGGGTTTTATTTTCTCTATAGTTTTTTTTTAATAAGCGTACTTTATTATATCTAAGTCTAAACATTCCATTCCAAACACCACTATCATCATCATCATTGATCCAAATGTGAAATGCATGTGATTTATACAACATTAGCCTCTTATTTTATTGTTGTTGTTTGTTTGTTTTGCTCAATATGACATATTCATATTATATTATTATGATGACGTTCCATATTTTCATTTGATTACTCACATTACTATCACTACTGGCCGTCGATAATGGCCAAGTATTTTTTTTTCTACTTCAATTTTATTTTGTTTTTTTTTCATTCGGACGGCGTCGAAAAAAAATTCCAACTATGCAACTTTCGTTTCTATATGGATTCACATAATCGTTTTGGCGTACTTGACAATACACATTCTTCATCGGCATTCACCATTAGATTTTATTCGTACTTTTTATTCAATGAATATATGTTTTGATAAAAAATATGAATTGTGTGTTTATGTGATCATTTCAAGAGAAATCTTCGCTTTCTAACAACAACAAAAAAAAAATTCGAACGCAATATCCGATGTTCATGGAACGATGATGTTGATGATGATGATGATGATCAGAGAAATGCGTTTACTTTGCATGACATAATGCGTTCCCTCTCAAATAGCTATTATAATTTATGATGTTTTAATAGCAAAATCTAAACTAATTTTCTTCGACAGATATAAATATATGTTTAACAAACTAATAAGTGATAATGATTGGAATTCAATTGATGGCCATCATCTTGTATTCGTGTGTGTTCCATTTGGAACTTTACCATATAACAAACAAATGAATATAATGATGTACAATCAGGCAATAAATATTCATACATTTTAAGGTGTGTACGGTGTTTTCGTTTTCATTTCATTTTTGGCTACTAAAAATTAATTATTTCGATCAAATCGATCGATAATCACGAATTTGCTGTTATATAATATTAATATTATACAAAAACAAAAAGTCAAATGTGTGCAAAAAGTCATTAGTTTTTTTTGCCTGCTCTTCTTTTAATATAGCCGGAAAATAGAAAAAAAAACCCACACTCATAACCATGACCAGACAGCTGATTCAGAATCTGTTTGATGATAGAAAAAAAACCTATTCGCCGTTCGATTCACAGTATTATTAGCATTATTCTTACACATGAACCAGGAATGAAATTTTCTTTTGCAAATCATACATTGAAATATTCATTGGTTTCTCCAACAACAACAACAACAGCAACAAAAATTAATATTAGCCACGAAAGTCATGAATGATTATTAATAGTCGTTTAAGAACACACACTAAAAATATTATTATTCTCTTTTATTCTAATAATGGACAAAAAAAATTCCAATCTATCAAACTGACAAGCTATGGATGAAAACAGAATTCAGCTTAGTCTAATATGCGTGATATGATTTGGTTTGGTGGAACAATTTTTTTTTCTTGATAAAATCAATTCCAAAACCTAAAGAACCGAATATAACGATTAATGCGGTTAAACGGGCTAAAAACACATACAAACACACACACACACACACACACACACACACACACACAAATATATATCGTCGATCCGCTCGAGTGGATATAATCCGAATCGAATATAAAGCAACAACAAAAACTGAATGAATATTATTATCATAGATTGAACAATCATGATTATAATCATCATCATTATTTTATAAGCATTAAATCCGATTTGTTGTTGACCAACCAATAACGACACAAAAAAATGGAAAGAATGATAAAAAAAAATGTGAATAGTAAATTGAATTTTCACACAAACACAAAATAGTCATGCAATGGATAGTAAAATTATAACAAAACGATGCCATGATTGGTTATTATTATTAGACTTTCCAGGAACGTTACACGAAACTAAAATCCTATGTTTGCCATTTTATCATAATGTTCATATATATATATTGTCAAGCTAATAGTTCAATTTAATTTGTAATAATCAGCCAATTGTTCTATTTTTTTTTTTTGGGGAGAATTTGAAAGGAAAAGAGGGATTCTTGATAATCTATTTTTTTGAAGCTAACTGTAATAAGAATTACAGTATGATTACGCCTTTGAATACAATTTAAATTGTTAATTCGGGCTTTAATAAATGGCAATGATCGATCATATTTGTGCACGCAAAATCAATTTATATATAGATTTATGTTTTTCTTGTTTTTTATCCTTGAATCTCATTCAATTTACATTGCTGACAATGTGTATATATTAATGATTATTTTTCATCTTCATTCAGCTAACTTGTTCAACATTTAGTGCATACATTCGGAATCAATTAGGTGTGTTTGTAGTACTTTACATACTTAAATACCTGTTCTATTTTGAATGTACACACATACACACACAAAAAAAATTTTTATTTAGAATTCATGCATTTTGCATGCCTGAATTGGCTGCCAATCAAATTTATTTCATTGATGGAAATGATGAAAAAAAATACACTTGAATCGAATCAAATCAAAAAAAAAAAAAATTTTTTACATCAACATCATAACCAATATTATTAAGGTAAAGTTATTAATCTACAGGTAACAAAAAAAAAAACTGAAGATGACTGAATAAAACGATATTGAAACATGTTTAAATGAAACATTTCTCTCTCTCTTCTCTCTTTTCCGTTTCTTTATTACCTGTTCATCGAACCATACTCATCGAATTGAGAGAAAAATGATGTTTCAAGTGTGTGTGTGTGTGTGTGTGTGATTTTCCACATAGTTTGCAATTCATTCATTCATTCACAATAATAATAATTATAAAAAACGAGATAGAATCAAAAAAAAAGGCCAAAAAGTAACAAAACAACAACATCAAAGTTTTCAAAATTTCATCACTTGAAAAATCACCAATCAACGTGTGTGCATCTTAACACATCTCATTTCTCATTTCTTATTTCTCATTCACCATTTTGTTGTCATTCTAATTCATTCATTTATTATATCCATTCTTATGAGTAATGCACATCTCAAGAGATTTGAATTTGGTTGGTTGGTTGGCAAGCTTTATGAAATTAATTTCTATCAATGCATAACACATTACAATTCCTTGCTCTTGTTAAATTCATTATTCGTTACTCTCTGTCACTGTGTGTGTGTGTGTGTTAATGCCATGGTAAATATTTACACAAAATGTCTGCCAATTTTTTTTTTTTGTTTTCTTTACCACTTGTTCACTATTGTCTTTATACGAACACTTTTTGTGTTTATGTATGTATGTTTCATTTTTTTTCTTTCATTTATTTATTCATTTCATTTATTATCATTTTTTTCTATAATCTGAAATGAACAGGCCATCAAAAAAAAAAAAAATTCAATTTAAAATCATTGACTTTACAATTGGACAAAACATATATTATTGTTGGATGGATTAATATAAAAGAAAAAAATTGAAGTACAATTAACTAAATAACCAATCTAATAATTGTTGTCGATTGTATTGTATTGTAATCAATCAATCAATCAATCAATTTCATTTTATTGATCGAATCAAAAATGATTTCATCCGGGTATTTGATTACTAATTGATAATCTATGAAGATCGAACTTAATCATTGTTGTTGTTGTTATTGTTGTTGTTTTTTTCACACATACAACAGTGGTCAAATTGAATTGGATTTTTTTTATTTTAGTTTTACAATTGTGAAAATGCATCCAATTCATATATGATCAATATAATCTTTAACCGCGTGTGCCCTAGTATCAATATGCTTAGAATCTCCTAATGGGCCGTTCTCAGCAATCTTTATCGAAGATTTATTATCTACGTATAATGGAATAATTGATGAGACAATACCGAAATCTTCCAAAATCCGTTGCACCCATAGACCCTCAGATAGACCACACGACATAGCATAAAATTCACTTTCAGCAGTGCTGACGGCTACACATTTCTGTCTGCTGCTTGACCAAAAAACAGATGAACCAAAAATTTTGATTAAAACTCCACTGACCGATTTTCTTGATGGACTATTCGCATGATCAGCATCCGTGTAAATTTCTAATGCTTCATTCTTAAAATTGCCCAAAACCAGATGACGGTCTCTGGTGCCCATGAGGTAGGAGAGAACTCTTTTAGCCCCATTCCAAATCTGCACAGTAGGCGATTGCATTTTCACAGATAAAGCATTAATACTTGCTGTAACATCAGGACGAGTCCTTGTCAAATACTGAATACTTCCAATCAATCGCCGACACAACGAACCATCTTCAAAAATCGGGCTCTTTTCATCAATATCAAATGTCTGTAAAGGTGTTTTCGGAAAACGAGCTAACGATGAGACACCAAATTCTTCAGCTAATTGTTGAATGAATGTAGATTGCGAAAGATGATAATTCCCATCATTTTTGTTTATTTCAAAACCACAAAATTTCTTCGGTTCACCTAAATCACGTAGCGATAAATTTTTCGATAGGAATTCATATATGGATTGAAAATCTTTCTGTTGCTTGTAACCAATTAAAAAATCGTCTACATAGACTAACATAAATAAATCAAATTGTTTGTGAATATACAAGCAGCTATCATTTTTGCTTTGGATAAAATCAGTCTTCAAAAGATTATTCAAATGATTAAACCAGTTTCTTGCCGACTGTTTCAAACCATAGACACTTTTACGTAATTTCCATAATTTCCCATCTTTTGCAAAACCAGGTGGTGGCTTAACATATATCAATTCATCTAAGATGGCTTTTAGATGTCTATTGTTTAAAATTTTTATAATGAAAAACAAAAACTTTTGACAGAAAAGAGACCATTAAAAAAAAATCTTTTGATTTCATTTTCACAGAATTAAATGACATCGTCATCATCATCATCCGTTATTGTTCTTTCTCTCTTAGTGTGTGTGCGAGTATAATGACTCGAAAAACAAAACAAAAAAACTGTAAAAAAAATGTTCAACCAAATTCTTAATGGATGATTTTTCAATTTTTTTCTTTTTTTTTACATCGGATAACTTTAGTTTTAGTTTTCATTCCAAATATAATGATGATGATGATGATGATGATGACTGAAAACCGTTTTCTTAATTGACCGATCATTGAATGATGGAACAAAAATAGTGTACAATGTAGACATTATTTATTATTGACTCGTTATATTGTCGTTGAGCATCACTTTTTTTTTCTTCATTTTCCATTCTAAAAGCATCTTTCTCTCTGTCTCTCTCTCATTTTCATTAATTGGATTGTTTCATCAATGGCCTATGGTCTTTTGTCTATTGTCATGATGATGGAAAGCATTCGTTTTTTAAAAAAAAATTTTTTCCATGCAAAAAAAATCAATAATTTAATTAATTTTTGTTTTGTTTTCAGTCTTTTATCATTTATATTAAATTCACTGCCATATGTATAAGAATTATCATCTTAGCCATATCAAGAGTGTAATTAATAAAGTAATTAATTAATTGAACACACACACACACACGAAATAAAATATAAGCCAAATAACAGCCAATAAAAGGTTAAAATGATTGTTATTCGTGTGCTATCACCATTATAACAGTAGCCATTATTATTATTATCACCATGAAAGTTGAAAATTTGCCAATTAATCAATTATTTTACAAAAAAAATAAAATAATCGATCAATTGATTGATTGGTTGATACAAATTTGACAGGCGTATTATTGTGGTGAATACGAATAGAATTTCGTTCAAAAGGCAAAGAATTTTTTTTTTCTTCGCCCACAACTATCATCGAGTGTACGCTAACAAAAAAAAAATAACAAATCATTGTGTGTGTGTGTCGTGTATGTGTCAATCAGTAGTTGGTCGGTGATGATGGCCAATGTCAATAATAACAATAACATAACAATTGATTCAAATTATAACCGATCTTAACGAGAACAAGTCACTTAAAAGTCGATGAAGTTGATCGACAATAGAATTTTGTGAGTAAAATGAAAAAAAAGGAAAAAAAAATGTAAACATTGCTTGCCTCGACTAACATTCAGAGTTTCGATATTCAGCAGTCATTTTTATCATTATTATCATGATTATTATTTCGTGGTGATTGGCCGATATATAGTTTAGATCAATAGATAGATAGTTACTAAAGAATGACTATGATTTGACACCCGAATTTCAGTTAGATACACAGGCGCGTGTATATTTATAATAATAAAAAAAAAAATTGTACATCATGACCATCAGACTCTCATAGTGCGTATATATAGTGCGTATATGTGTGCCTTATCATTCAAATTCATCATCATTAAGAAAAATTCCGTATTTTGTATATTGAAAATTATAATTGACTAATAACTACTATACTAAAGAGTGTATGCAGCATTATTTTTTTTTTTCTTTCTTTTTTTCGTTCCAATTGAAGTGTGTGTGTGTGTTTGTGTGTGTGTATATGCCACATACTGTGTCATAGCATATTTTGGAATATTTGCTTTTGTCACTTGACTTGTATATACCATCATCATCATCATCATCATCTGTTCCATTCTATATATTTTCGAAAAATATAACAGACAATGAACAGAATGATGAATTCAATGGAGTTCACACTTGCAAATTAGAAAAAAAAATATTTGAAAGCAGCTTGCAAATTAGACGCTTAATCTTTCATTTTTTTTTTTTTTTGAATAAGACAAATTAATAATTTGTATTTTGATAACAAATTTGAAATTGCCCAATCACCAATTGTGTGTCTGACATGTTAATGGTTTATCATATTGACTACCGGTCATCATCATCATCATCATCATCAGTATTGATCATCATCATCAAAAATTATGACATGATGGTCACATGATTGTCAATGTCACTGTCCTTGTCATATTTATTTTTTTTTTTTTTTTTGTATTGTTTGATTGTCTTGTCATACAACAAAGGCGTGCTATTGCTTTGGCCTTTTTGTTGTTGTCGATGGATGAACTCAATGCACCAAGGACTTTATTTCTTGAATTCAACATAGTGCAAAAGAAACGAGATTCAAAAACACACGAGTTGACAAAGTTGAACAAAAAAAAAACAACAATTTTGATTTGAATCAAATGTGACATTTATTCATTCATTCATTCATTCATTCTATCTAGTAAATGTTCATTGATTTGCTATTTCACATTTATTCTATTGACTTTGACACGATTACTTGACTAAATTGTGAGTAAAGAGCGACACATTTAACTTAATTTGGATTGAATAGGTATTTAAATGATATTCAATCGAATGTTTTGTTCAATAGAAATTGAATATAAAATGAGTGAATGATCGAATTGAACAAAGAAAAAAAACATGTCATTTTCATTTTCATATTTGATTTCTTTTTTTTCTGAATATTAAACGGTGATGATGGTATTTTTTTTCCATTAACCATTCATTCAAAATGAATAAATGTTTTTGTCACCTTTTTTTCAAATCATCAATTTATAAAATGATTGAGGAAACAATGGAAAAGATAACAAAAAAAAACATGAATACACTACAACAGACTGAATATCCTGTGTTTAATAATATTCAAATAAATTTTAGATTTAGATCTAAATACAATGTTCATTGTACAAGTAAAGAAGCATTTATTTATGTTTCGGTTTACAAAAAAAAAATAATGATTGTCCACAAGTTTTTTTGTCACCATTAATTTTTAAGACCATCATCATCATATTATTAAACTTACCCGTGGAACAATTTTTGTCACCAAATTTTCCAATTTCATTTGTACCAAATGGATTGAATAGTGAAGTTGTACTGCTGTTGTTACCGATTCCTGCAAAAGAATTTTTAGTATTAGAAATTGCATTCGTTTGTTGATGTTGCTGTTGTTGTGGTTGTTGTTGTTGTTGTTGTTGTTGTTGCTGATGATGATGATGATGATGTTGATGAAATTGATGACCAACATGAGCCGACATGAATGCAGCAGCAGCGGCTGTTGATGAATTAAAATATGATGGAATCGATGTTCCACGTTGAATTGTGGCCGATGATATTGGATGATCATTGATCGATTGACATACGGCAGCAACAGCAGCAGCAGTCGTAGCTGCAGCATCATTGTTACCAAAACAATTTGTTGTAGAATTTGCCACTGATGATGATGGCGGTGGTTGTGTTGACGTAACTGTTGATGACAATGATGATGAATGATGATGGCGCGAGGTTGGAAAATATATGGAGGAAAAATTCGTAGCCGAAACATTGGTCGTATTGACCAAATTATTCACATTAAATGATGAGGAACTATTATTATTTGTTGCTTGTAGTATCGATATCGATGATGTTGTCGGTGGAAAAATTCCTAACAATTTTGATGATGAAACAGCCGTACTATGTGAACCAACGGATATGCTACTATTGCTATGACTACTATGATTACTATGGCTACTTGCATGACTTGTATTCGATATTCTTGAATTATCATCTTCATCGTCATCATCATATTCATCTTCAGCATCGATATCATCATCTGTATGTGTATCCGATATTGTTGTCGATGTGTTTGTTGGACTACAAAGTTTTGACTTGGTTATTATTGATCCATTTCGATTATTAGTTTTGGTCGTAGTGGACAAACCAAGTAATTGATGTATAGCAAACGGTGATTGTTGGTATTGTTGTATAGCTCGTGATGATGATGATGATGATGAGGTGTTTATATTATTGCCTAATAATGATTTTGTTGTCGTTTCAATGGCAATGGTGTCTGTTGTAGTTGTAGTTTTTACAATACGACTATTATTTGATGAATTCAGCATTTTTTACTGGATAATTTGTTATTCGTCGATTGTTTTCAATGTCGAGTGATTAACATCACAATTAAAATTAGGAACAGATTCCAATTCTTGGTTTGATAGTTAAGTAGCAATTAAGATCTCGTTCTACTCTTATGATAACAATAAGAAATAGGAAAAGATTTTTTTTTTCGTTTTGTCGTGATCAATTCCGTTGAATAATGAGTAAATGGAAAAAATTGATTTCAAATGTTGGTTCGTCAGTTAATCAGTAAGATGGTTGTGATCAGCTAATGAGATCTATTTTTTTTTTGATCCATCTTCATCAAAAACTACTATTTCTATGATGTCCATGATGGTGGCTACAAATGAATGCTTGAAACAACTAGAAACAAACAATGAACGAAAAATGAAGAGTAGGCGAGTCATCGTAATTGCCGCCTCTTGGGTGCTTGTTCGCATGTTCAAGATGAAACCAACACAACATACACAGTTAGTGAGAAAAAAAAGAGAAAAAATAAATAGATAGAAATGAATGAAAGTAACGACAAAAAAAAATCGTTCCAAATGATGATCTCGATCAAGTCGAACCAAAACCGAACAAGACAACAATCAACACTGTCAAATTGGCAACATGCTGTGTGAATGTGATGTGATGGAATAACAAAACAGAAAAAAAGAGCTAAACACAAATACATAGCAACGCTAATTGAAAGTACATAGATAGTGTTATACTGAACCAAAAAAAAAAAAAAAAAGAAAGAATCGAAGATTGAAATCATCGATTCAGTTAGTAAAAGCCCCCAAAAAAAGTATCGCGCGCGTTTGTATTTTGAAATACAGTCAGAAAAAAAGGAATGCAAAAAAAAGTAAGAAATGATGCGCACGATTGTTCAGTTTATGTAATAAAAATATATAATTCACGAGTTGATGGATCGAAATTGGTTGATATTCATTCAAAGTTATTCGATCAAAAAAAAAAATTTTTTTTTGTTTGAAAAATAAAATCAGTCAACGCACGCGTCTCAAAAACTAATATTGATTTGAATGGAAAGCTAGTGAAAGCTTAATTAAATTGAAAATCAACTAGATGATGAAAAATTTCATGCCATCGTCATCATTTTTAACAATGAGAAAAAGATTATAAAAAAAATTCTTCTGTAAAAGAATTTTAATTAAATAATAAATGAAATTTTCCAAAAAAAAAAAAAAAATTATGTTCATCATAAAAAAAGGGATAATGTTATGTGTAATGTGGGGTGATATGGCCACACAAAAATATCGAGTTAAATAAGGCTATAATTAATTATGGCCAAAAAAAAATCAACACCCAATTTTGATCCATAATAATAATAATAACAAATTTTTCTACAGTCGATTAATTGTGAGTTATTTACACATTTTCATTAATAGATGAAAATTATTTTTGATACAAATTTCAAATTCATTTTACTCCTATTAGTTGAAATTCTTTGGTTTTTTTTAAAAAATCATTTCATCGATATCTTTGGTTCAAATATTTTTCTTGTGATAATTTAATAATTATTTAATAGTTTTTTCTCCATTTTCATTCGTATATTTTAAACTACAAACGATGTAACAATGTTTGGCAAATACGAATTCGTCATCGATATTGGAATTGCTGTGGTTTTTTTTTTTTTAAATTGCCAATAATGTCCAACAATGTTTTTTTCGACTAGTTAGTTGGCTTACTGGTTGTTCATCATTTTGGCTGATAGCACCCATCACTTGTTTGGTCGAGAATCGAATAAAAAATTAGCCATTCATCGACCAATATATATGCATTTTTTCTGAATGGTTTTTTTTTTTTGGTCATTGTATTGCCAATCATTGGGCGGGATTCCGTGATACAAAGGCGGAGCATGGCAATAAAATTGTTTATTTTTACTTGCTGCTAGCCATTGTATGTTTGCCTGTATTATAGTGTCAGAAGATTTCTCTTCAATTTTTTTTTTGCTTTTGTGAATGATATTCAGTTCAGTTCAGCAACAAAAAAAAAGGATACATGTGCAATAAATAAATGGTATATATATATATATATTGTCAACAAACATTGATTGTGTGAAAAGTAAAAAAAAAAAAAATTTTTTCATCATGCAAAAAGGAAATGCCATCATTTTTTTCAACTTCACGGCTGAAACACATAAATGTTCCAAAATTGAGCCAGAAGCATTATATATTATTATTATTATAACCAAGAACAATTCAATTTTTGTCGTTTATGGAGAAAAAAATTAGCACAAAAAAAAAGAAATAGAGAATGTGTTGACTCAGTTTTTTTCCCCTGGTACACATACATATTCTTGTTGAAACGTTCCAATGCTAATGACGTTGGTGTTTGGACCATTTTGGTTGGCCATTGAATGTAATTTAAATTTTATTGAAAAATGCATCTCAAATTAAATGATTATTATTATTATTAGCGAAAGAAAAACACGTTCATCGTCATCTTTAATAATTCAATTTTTTTTATCATCATCATTTTTCCACCAAATTCAAATACATTCACAATATCACGTCATTGACATTGTGGATAACAATAATAGATGGAAAAAGGCGGAGTGAGGACCAAAAAAAAAATCTATCCATAATTTCAAAATTAATAATTACATCTAGTATAGCTTCGAGGATGAGTGGTAAATTTTTTTTCCCATTCTAATTATCGCCAATTTTCATTCTTCATACCATGTTTCGTTCTATTATATATGGAGAGTGTCGAATGGTTGGAAGAAAAAAAAATTGATCGACGATATATATAAACGTTTTTTCGATTCAATCAATTCTGATTAAGCCCATGAAATGACAACTAATGCGAAGAAAGAGATAAAAAAAATGACTGAATTTCATTGGTTGCCGTAGCCGTTATCAGCAATTCGCCTAATCGGATCTTCAAACTGTCAACATAACGGGGGCTTCAGCCAATATTAACAACAACAACAAACTATATGGCGACAGAGGTGATGAAACAACCAATGGTTGTTGCCTGCTTTTAGATGGCTGCTATAGCTACGTTGTTGTCATCCTACGAGGTTTTTTTTTGTTGTATGCATGTCTTTAAATGACAATAGCTCAAATTAAATCTGACAATTCAACGTACGAAAACGATTATTATCATTGTGTTGAGTGAGAATAAAAGTGCTAAATTCTATGAAATTTTCCACAAAAGCACATATTTAGATAGTTTTATTATTTTGTTAAATCGTTCCCAATTTAAAACCATGGAGAAAAAGACAACACACACACACACATGCACATATATAGTGAGAGATGATGGAGCAATGATTAAATATTTCATATATAAAGAGGTGATTGAAATTTCCGTTTCCTTGTGCTTTGTTTTAATGGTCTTGGTAGTGGAAAGCAATGGTATCCGGAAACAAAAATTAATTTATCATTTTGTTATATTTTGAAATGAATTATAATGACTGGATTCAATTAATGTTTTTTTTTGATGTAAATAGAATGAAATAAATAGAATGGAATGCTGTACAAAATGCTTGATGCTTAATAAGTAATTAATTATTTAAATAGACAACATTAGGTGTTAAGAAATCTTCGTGGAAACACAAACACAATTACAACAAATTATGCTACAACTTAATGATAATATAATCCCTAAAGTAATTAATTTGTATACTAATTAACGAACAAATTGTGTTATCATGTTATGTGTTTGAAATGAATTCGACCGTTAGATCGATTGATTGTTGTTTATATGTTTACATATGAAAATGATGATTAAATGGAAACTTTTCAATAATTGTTGATTTTATTTTTTTCATTTATAATTCTTCAAAATATCGTTAAATTATTTTTTCGTAAATTTTCAATATAAAAATTAATGATGATCATGATCTATAGATACACAACATTATCGCCATCTCATTTCTAAATTCAACACTAAATAGTATCCAATTTATGATGATGATGATGAATTGATACAATTTTTTAATTTTTTATTCTTATTATCATTTAAGATTTGTTCAATGGATCGTTGATCACGTTTGTTTGAGCTGGGAACTATTTATTTATTTATTTAAAACGTTGTAATTAGTATTTTTTCAAATTATAAATGGAAATATCTTTTTCTTACCCATGCCAAATTGTTGATTTGGTGTCGTAATTTTTGCTGCAGCTTCACCAACATCTAAACCAATTATATTAGCATATTTAAGCGTATAGCTTGTATTTGGTTCTGGATTTTTTCTTTTTTTTACATTCTTATCGTTATCAGTTTTGTTTTGCTCTAATTTCTGTAATTGAGAACGATATTTTTTGATAAATGAAAAAACTCATTACAAAATTCCATAAATTACCATTTTTTCATGTAACTCTTTAAGTTTTCTGTCATATACATCTTCACCATTACGAAGACAATCCAATTCTTCTTCAGTTGGTTTGAATTCTTTTTTATAGACAACACAGTGTCTATCAACATCTTCAACGCCGAATGAGTATACTATCAAATCATGTTTATCGGCAATATTGTGACTTTTTTTTAAAAAAAAAAATCATTTTAGATCAAACATGAATCAATTGAATCAGACAACAAATTACTCACACAATAGTTCGATGTATTTTTGGCATAGTCTCAAATTCTATCTTTTCCATGTTACAATCATTGACAAATTTGATTAATCGTTGTTCGATCTATATTGAATAAATTAATCAAAATTAACTTTCATAACATATTGGCTATTAATACAAACATTAGAGCTAATCTTTTTTAATTTTTCTTTTTCCATTTCATTTATTTTCTTCAAAGTTTCTTGTTGTTCTAAAAAGAAAAAATTGAGTAAAAAAGATGATTTCATTATTTTTTTTTTAATGTTCATAACAAACTTTTGATTAGAATCTCCTGTTTTGAACTAGTTTGTGGTGGCTTTTCCATTGAGTCAAGAATCGATCCAAGAAGATCCATTTTTTTTAAATTGTCTGTTAGACTTGAAAAAAAATTCACCAAAAATTATAATCCTGAACAATAAAACCGAAAATTTGTTAAAATCGCCAAAATAAAAATAATGAACCAATCAAGTCGAAATAGTGACTCTTAAATGTGACTTTTGCTGATTCTAGAATTTCAAGTCGCTCAATTAAATTTTATTGTTTTATCTTGGTAAATAAAGATGACCCTATTGAGTACTCTCAAAGTTTTGGCCAGAAATGGTGTGATTCGAGATTGTCAAAAAAGTAAGCAACAACTTTTATTTTAATAGTTATGTTGACAACCTTTTCTTTTTGACGATAGTATCGGTTCGATTCAGTGGTCATGGCCATAAAATGCACATTCAGCCATCACGATTTGTTTGGTCTACATTCAAGGATTATCTTCACTTCTATTTCATGCTTGGCGCAATCCCGTTAACTTTAATCACTGCTTATGCTAACATTGTTGTCGGAGATGCTGAATTAACCGATATTCCCGAAGGATATACACCCCATCATTGGGAATATTATAAGGTTGCTAAAATAATCAAAGTTAAATTATCATTAACATATTTTAAATTTGTCATTTATAGCATCCAATCACAAGATTTTTCGCCAAGTATTGTTTCCTAGATCGTGCACTTGCATACGAATCTAGTGTTTCAAAATTGGCCGAAGAATCAGAAAAAATTTTAATTCATAGAGTCAAACAACAACTAAAAATGATGATGGCCGAAAAAGCCGACAACAAAGCATGGTACTATACGGAAGTAGATCCAGCACAGAATCGTTGGTTGTTGGATAAATTTCGTACCATTGCATTTAAAACAGAGGGCATAAGCGATAGAGGCGAACTTGATGATTAAATTTTGTTTTAGATCAATTTATTATGAAAAAAATTCTGATTTTTTAAATTGTGAATGTAAATAAAGTAGATTTATCTGCTCATCCACTAGATGGCAGTTAATATGAGAAACGAAACGAAAAATGAATTATTTCCTCTTCGAATCCAATCATTCTCGATGAATTGCAAAACGACGAATGATTAATCCATGTGTTTATATAATGAATAATGAAGATGATGTGATTAATAAGGCTATCATCATCATCAAGTCATGATATAATTAATTATGGCCAATGAATAACCAAACAAGTTGAGATGAATTCAATTTTCGGTTTCGATGTAGCAACAAGACATAATATGTGTGTGTGTGTGTATATATATAAAAATCAAATAATAATCAATGTCTTGGATAAGATGAAATTAATAATAAATAAGAATTTTAGCAAATAGTGATGAAACTAAATGAAAAAAAAATTGATGATCACAATCATGTTTTTTGTTATGAAATTAATTTTCATTTCACCAAAATAATTTTTCATTTGATGAAATGATGATGAGCACATTTTTTTTGTAATTGTAACCATGGCTTATATTCATTGCATATACCTGTATGATGATAGCACGTATTTATCATGTATACTAAAATAGAATAAAACAAAAAAAAATGATTCTCGTTTGGTTAATTGCAAATTCTGATCATGATTGCTTTGGTTTTTTTTTTTGTTTTTTGTTTTGTTTTCCCAGGTTGTTATTCACTCATCATCATCATGAATATGATAAAGCTAAGAAGATAAATTACTAATTATTACATGGCTTTACATTGTAAATATTTAATTATACAAAATCTAACAAACAAACGAGAAAAAAAACCAAATCAAAAAAAAAATCGCAAGGTAAATGAATATGATGATGAAAATTAATTAATTATCATCATCACAGTTATTTATTTGACCAAAAATAAAAAAAAAGTAAAACATTGATAAAACGAAAGATCATCATCATCATCATTGTTGTTGTTGTTGTTGTGCCAGTAGTAGTTAGGTTTTTAAGGTAGCTATGATGATTATGATTATGATCAAGAAAAAGGCAATGATGACCACACAGAACAAATCACAATAATGATAGTGAATGATGATGATGATCATCATCAATTTTTTTTTTTTTTGTTATATGAATAAGTTTAATATATATTTTCCTTCTCCTTGTCATAGTCAGTCCATTATCCAAACACACACACACACACACACCTCTATTTGAAAAAGCTTTACATTTGATTGGAAATATTCATTCACATGTGTGTGTAGGATCGATGTAATGATCGAATCAAACAACAATTTTTTCAACAAACAAACAAACAAATATTATTTTTTGAAAAATAATAAATTCAATGGCAATTATTTGACTCAATTTATTATAAATGATTCATTGATTGAGTAATTTGTTCGTTCGTTTGTTTTTTTTCAAAAAATTTCATCGTTTTGAATTCATTCATTCATCATCATCATCATCATAATTGAAACTAAACATATGTGGGCATATGAATGTAAATTTGTTTTTCATCATCATCATCATCATCATCATCATCATCATTGTTGAAAATGCCTTTTTTTATATAAAAAAAATGCACAGATAATTGTTTCGATTCAAAGTTTCTAAGTAGATTGTTTGATTTTATTCCCGAAGCTTTAGGTCTTTCTTCAACACACTATTAATAACAATTATCTGTAACATTATATCTGATGGCTCACCAAAAAAAAAAAAAAAAAAAATAAAAAATGAAAATGAAAATGAAACACAAGGAAAATGTCCATAAAAAAAAGAGACCGAAGTGATCCAAAGCTACTTGTCGAGAGGAGCAAACGATTAAGTCAAATACTTAAATACATGTTTCAAAAACTATCCATCAATGTGTGTGTGTGTGTGAATGAATTTTTAAAAGTCCATTATGATGATGATGATGATGGCAATATAGCTTTTTTTTTTTGTTCATCATCATTGAAGTCTTCATTTTTTTTTGTTTCTGTAATATATTCTGTTTAAAAACAAAACAAAAAAAATAAAAATTATCTCTCTCCTAAATAAAGACATTATTTAGTGGCAATTATTCAAGTTGTCGATAGCAATTAACTTGCTGTTTTTTCTTTTCTTTTTTTTTCTTTCTTTCTCTCATAATCATGATATATAAAATGATGAATATTGTCGCCTATTCTATACATTCATTTTCATTTCACAGTACATGAATTCATTATAACAAACAACAACAACAGATTCGTCTTCTGATTTGATTATATATCAGAAAACATTTTTTTTTTCACAGTTGTTACAATCATTGTTGTATATATGAATCTAAAATGTATATGAGAGAGAAGAGAGAAAAAACGATCCACTCACTAATCAAGTCAACACACACACACAGAATAATCGTTTAGTAATCAAATGGCTTAATACGTATACTTATATATAAGAAATAGAGAGAGAGAGAGAGAGAGTATGACTTACAAATTATCATGATGATGATGATCATCATTATTTTAACAATAAGTAAGTAGGATGATACACATAAAGCTTTGTATATATGTGTGTGTGTGTGTGTTTTTTTGCTACTGTTGTACGTATTTTGTACATTTCAACATCATGGTAAGTTTTTTTTTTCTTGAATCTCCATGATGATGATGATGATGATGATGATGATGATATTGGATTTAAAATAACAACATTCATATAATTTTTTTTTTTTTTGAATTAATTAATGTCATTTTTTTTGTTATTTTAATTCCCCCGTCTACATGATTGATTTATGGTCATTTGAAAATATCATGACTTTTAAAACTATTATTATTCAAAGTTCTCAAGAATTTTTTTTTTGTTCTGTTCATATTCATTATTGGGAAAACAAAATTCATATACAAAACGGTATAATCCATTGTTTCTTCATTAATATCAATGTTTTCATTTGTAATTTATCATTTCTGGCTGATATCATCATTTTCTCTAATGATATTATAACGCCTACTATATTTAATATGTGAAAAAAATGGAAAATTTTCAGTGACCAAAAAACAACAACAACCTGTTGTTATAATTAGTCTAATTATCATTATTATCGTTCAGATTTTTTTTTCTCTTTCATTTTCGGTTACTGACATCAGAATGGTCACATCAAGTTGATGATTATCTAACATTATTATTAAATAAATTAAATCAAACAAGTGATGTTCATGTCTGTGATCATGTTTGTAATTTGTGTGTAAAAACTAACTATATTTGAAGACAACAAACAACATTGACTAAACATTTGACAAGTTATCTTGTTGACAACATTGTTTCCAACATTTCGGTTATCCACATTGTAATGTGTTGTTGTTCTTGTTTCTTTTGTGTTTGTTCCAAATCGATACACATTCGATTGCAGAAAAAAAATGATTTATTCAAGGATTAATTGATTGTAATCATGATTTGATTTACCATTGACGATGTACGATAAAAAAACACACATACACACGATAACAAAAACTAAATCGGTCGATATTGGATCGGTTGTTTCCGTCAAGATTTGTCGGTTTGTTGTTGGGTGTCGATTATATTTGCATTTAAATGTTAGGACCCCAAATGATGATCTTCATGGCTTTTTTCATTCATTTGTATTTGGGGGTAGTCTATTGTTGGTGACAATTCATTTTTCCATCCCAATGTTACCGGTGACGACAAATGCTCGTCCATATAATAATAATAATAATAATAATGACACTAACACATTTAATGTGAACATTTTGACAATTCACGAGCCTCTTTCCTTTTCATTTTATGTTATGTATGTATGGTGTCAGCCACACACACACACACAATTTTGATTGTGATTGCTGTTTTTGTTAGGAGGGTATTCTTCCACGTATATCAATTGAATTTGAAATGAATTGAATCACATTTGCTGCTTAAATGTGTGTGTGTGTGTGGGCAACCAAACAACACACAATTGTGATTTAAATTAGAATAAATGAATGAATGAATGAACAACAATGGTAAATGATCGTTTTTTTGGTGAAAGGTTATTTTCATTTAATAATAATAATAATAATGATCATGATCAATGATTTTTTTTTTCATCACCATTATAAATGGACCATTATTATTTTTCCGCACATTACAGAAAAAAAAATTGATTGATGGTAACCAAGAAAAAAAAAAAAAAAAATGCTCGAAGGTGAATTATAATAATCAAACAAATATGATACAATAATAATAATAATAAAATTGGTAACATTTGATCATCATTTGCCCATATATTGCCAATTCGGTATTATTGTTGAAATTTTTTCTTTTTTTTTCATGTCGAGATACATGCATCGAATTGAACAAATACAATTACCTTGTTGTTTGTTATTGTTGTGGTGGTTGTTGTAATTGTTATTGGAACACACACACATTCAATCTGTTCATGAATCTTATTTTCTTTTCTTTTTTTTCGTTATCATTATATTGTATTATTGTAGTTTTTTTTGTGATATAACAACCAAATAAACAAACTGGAAAAAAACCAATTACAAAACTAATTTTTCACCTTTGATCAAAATTCAATTCAATTAATTAAATGAAAAAAAAAATCACAAATAAACAACATTAGGATTTTTTTTAATCAAAAAAGATTTTATATAAAAAAATAAAATAAAGCCAGTATAATATACGTTTGTTGATTGAATTTTTTTATTTGTTTTTCATTCAGTTAAATTGAATTTATTATTTGAAAATTTTCTGTGGGCTTCTTAATGACCATAATAATCACCACCACCACCACCACCACCACCACTACATCGTTTAAAACCAAAAGCAACATTTAGTTAATATATATATAGATCCCGAGACAAGAATCAAATGTCCAAATCGGTCATGGGAACAACGACAATAACCAAATAAAAACTACAACCAGCAATGATTTTTTTTCTCTTCAAACGATTATCCTTTTTTTGCTGTCTTGTTTGTGAATGTAATCTGGTGCAGACTGTCGTAATCAGGTTATAAAATAAAAGTCAAATGATTTATTTGGTTATTATTATTATTATTACAAATTTTTTTTCGGCACAATAAGAGTCTATCTTCATACATTCTTGCCATCAATCGTTAATATTATTATTATTATTAT